ATATATTTATATTATTATTCTTTACCTCAATAAATAAAGGTATAATTTGATTATAATATTTATTTATTGCCTAAGATTATAACACTATCATAAACTATAAAATCTTTTAATTTCTAAAAAAAAAATTGTTCCGAACCTTTTTTTAATTATTTCCATAATATTTTGTTGTTTTAACAAAGTCAATGGTAACAAATCTTAATTGATTTTTTTCCATAAAAATGGTTTCCTTCACAATAAATGTAATTTTTTAGAAAATTAACAATTTTTAGATTATCTAATCCATATGAAAACAATAAATATTAGTAAATTTGTTATCATCATTCATCATAAAGATAAAATTAGACAGATATGCTGGATGGGAATGAATTTAAAATTTTTTACAGAGATAAAGAAACATAAAAAGAAGGTAGAAAGTAGGTTTAAAAATAAGAAAAATACTTTTTATTATTATATTTATTTTTATAAACAAATTATAATTTGGTTTCGTTTTGAAAGAAAGTGTAATAAATCCATAATTTGTTATCATTTTATTCATAGTATTTAATAATTTTATTATATTATTCTAGAGATTTATATTTATTTAGCATCTAAAAATTTAATAAATCAAAGTTATTAGGAAAAAATAATGAAGTTTCGATAATAATTTAATTTGGATGTAGATTTACCGCATAATTCACACTTTTAATCCGAAAGCACTCCTAAAGAAGAATATATAGGAGAAGAAATGATAAGATTCATTAAATTTTCCACACCAACAGAATCCAATAGATTTTTAAATGGACAGATGTCGGAAGAGAATAATCTAATTATTAGCGAAATGATAAAGATAGATTTTTCAGTTTTGGAAAATAGAATATGGTAATAAATAATAATTGTTGTTATTGATTTTAATACTACATTAAATATTGTTTTCTTATAAATTAAATCTAAAATTATGAGTAAAAAGGACAAAGACTTTACAGGGTAACTTAAATGTTGGATAACCTAGATTTCCAGGAGATTGCAATTAAACTTAATTAAAAGCTTTGAGTGATTTTCGAAATATTGTAAACCAAATGGGATTGAGTGAGAAAATTTATGATGACCCATATTTATTGAGATTTTTAAGGGCTAGAAAGGTATGCTTCAATTAAACAAATTGTTTGAAGTAACTACAGAGCAACGTTTAATCAAATATTATATCCAATCCTATGAATTATTGCTCAAAAGAATTTTCCCTGCATGTTCTTAAACTAAAGGAACAAAAATTGAATAATCTTTCACAATCTTAGATCTTAAAGGAGGATCTATGAAAATGGTTTCTAAATAGGTTTACAACTTTATCTAATTAGCCTCAAATATTGGATAAAATAATTATCCAGAAATCCTTGGAAAGTAATTATTTCTGTTATCCATTTCAGAATGTATATAGTAAATGCCCCTATGATGTTTACTGGTATTTGGGCAATGATTAAGATTTGGCTAGATGAGAAAACAAAAAATAAAATAACAATCTTAGGTTCCTCTTATAAAGATGAATTATTAAAACATATTGATATAGACAATTTGCCTGATTTTCTTGGAGGTAATTCTAAATGTGAAAATACTGATGTATTATCATAAAATATTGGACCCTGGAACCCTGATGGAACTAGGCCTCTCTTTCCGGTAGAGAGTCCTCCTCAATTAGAGTATGCTTTCATAATTAAGGTTATTTTAGAGAAGAATTCTAATAATAATTAACATAGACCTAAGAAGATGAAGATCAAAAATAGAAATTAGATCTTTTAAAAAATGCCCTTGCTGATATGTAATTCTCTGCTCCTGTTGAAAAACCTCCTCATAACCCCAATAAATACGAAGTCACAACTTAAAATAATCATATTGTTAGTGATACTCCTTTAAATACAGAAGTGGTATATATACATTTATATTTAATTTAGGGTGAAGAAGATAATTAATTTTCATAATCATAACAATAATAATTATTTTAATAGTTGCAACAAGAGTGATATAAAGATATATAAATACATCAATAAATTTTTAATATCAATATACTCACTATTTTCTTTATCAAAAATATAACGACTAACCCATATAAATAATATCATATCAAGTTTTTCAAAATTTATTCATCAGTTTTATAGGATTTGATATTTTATCCAATTTCTCCATTTTTTTCCATAATTCACTTTCATTCTATTCTAAAGAAGTAAAACTTGTGTTATTTTCAATCAGCTATCTATCTTCTATTGATTTTTTTAAATTTTCAAATTACTAAAAATAACAGAACTCATCTTTTTTCTTTTAAACTGACTGAGCTAACTCAAATTCTTTATCAACCTCGTATATGGGACTCAACATATCAATCATTTTTTAATTAGGAGTTTTTGTTATAGAGGTTCCTCTACTTCTGCTTTTTATAGATAAAATAGATTTAGAGCTATGATTCATTATATCAGACTTATATTAAATTTTTTCATTAAGTTTCCATCCATTTTCATATATTTTAGAAATTAAAATATTTCTTAGATAATTATAATTTGGATGTTAGCCTTACTTTTAAGAGCTTAAATACTTAAACCATTAGCTAAAAATTGAAGATTATGAATTCAAAAATGATTAATCAAATGTTACTTTTTATTTATGATTTTACATTTCCTCAAATTATAATTTATTAATTATATTATCAAATTACTGCCAAGGTAAAGTTCCTATATAAGATAAATATTTTTAATTACCATTGATTAAATACAGTAATAAGTATGCCAAGCTATAAAGATCATCAATCTAATTAGGACCTTTAGCAATATTAAAAACTGGGCTGAGAAAATTACTTTCTCTAAGTGGAAATTTTTAAACTTTGCACGCTTCTTCTTTAGATTATAAAAATGATAGGTCTTTCAAATATATTAATTTATCTTCAGGATCTGATCCCAAACATAAAATGCATGGTGTTATATTGCTCAAAATAAAATTCTTATTGTGAACTTTCTAAATTAGTTTGATCAATTAGATGCCAATCAATAAAATATTTTTTAATGACATCTATCCATTAGTCTTAATAATCGAACTTAAAGAAGGACCTAGACTTTAGGTAGCCAAAAAATATCTAAGTTAAATAAAAAAATACCTTTAATCATTATTATTACCATAATCAATCACTTCAGGTATACCTTCAATATCTTAAACTTGTATCAATCTCGCAGTTTCTTATTGCAATACATTCGAATTAGTAGAATTCTGTATTTTTAAATTTACTTCTCTCTAACTCGATTTTTAAATTGCAGAATATTCAAAATATGCAAGAGTACTTTATATTAATCTTACATTTTAGTATCTAATTTAAGAAGGTTAAGGATTCAAATTCATGTTACTATTTAAAAAAATAAAAAAAATTATTGCAAATGAAGAAATTACTGGCTTTTTAATTAATCAAAATACTCTTCTTAAAAATCATTTATTTGACTAATTATTAAAATTGATAAAAATTTATTAGATTATTTCTAATAATTCTATAGAAATCCTATTTTCAATTGATATTTTAATAATTATATATTAAAATTAATTACAAATTCTAATTTTATGAAATCATTTGCAAATTACAATGAACTTATTAACACACATGATATTTAATACCTCTATAAACCCTTTATTATTTAATTTTATGAAATAGACATTTATTATTACTCTTAATTGTACTGTTTTTTTTAAATAATTTGATTATTGCCAAATGATATAAAAAATATATATAAATATCCTTACAATCTTCTATGTTAGATGACATAGCTATTATAGTCTATTAACTTAAAATGTAGATATAAGAATTTAAAGATAAAAAAATATATAATATATTAATAATTCAAGTTTATGCAATAAAGGAATGATTGTAATATCACTTTTTTTTATTTTAATTCATCTTTAGTTAGCTCCTAAAGCGATGCTTTGAGTTGATTTTCTTATTATTTTAGTTACTGATTTCATCATTATGATCAGTGTTTATTAATTTGGTAATTAAATGAGTTCTCAATTAATGGATTAAAATTTTCATAGTATATAATTGCTCTTTAACAATAGTTTCATTCATAAATAAAAAAGTGCTTTTATATTGTAATTTGAAATGATAAAATTTGATCTGATAAACTATACTTAAATAAAATGATGTAGTCACAGAAATGTCAATAAATCATGTGAGAAAAAAGTTAGTTTGAATAATAAAAAATGTAACATTATTATTTAATTTTAATTAAAAGAAGAACTAATTATATACATAGCAATTAGTATGATTAAACTATTTAAGTCATTTTTACATTTACGTTTAATTAGATTTATGTTTTAATCTAGATGGTTAGGGCATAGTATTTTTTAAACATTTCATTTTATCAGCAACAGAGTCATAAATAAATTCTTAATCTAAAATATTCATATCTGAAGATTTAGATCTTGAGATTTAACTTTTCTTTTTAATGCCTCTTGGAGTAAGGGCAATTGACATATTTGAATTGTCTATCATATCAGATTTTTCTAAGATTGTGGATAAATTAAGTCCAGATCCCATTTTCATTTGATTCATCATAACACTAGGTTTTCCCAATAAATCTCTAATTTTCAAATTTATAAACCAGTGATGATTTAGTGCTTAAAAAGAAGTACATCGTTTTTGTGGTTCCTTTTGTAACATCAGTTTCATCAATTAAAGTCCACTGATAGAAATTTTACAATAATCTGGATATTCAATATCTCCTTATTCATTTTTTGAAAGCACCTCTCTGCTTAATTATAAAATATACTTCATTAAAATCTGTTCCAAACGGCATCCTACCAAACACAATATAATAAAATATCACTCCTAAAGAGAAAACATCAATTTATTGATCATATTATTTGGTTTTAAAAATTTCAGGGGCCATAAAACCTGGTGTTCCAATTCTCCTATGCATTTTATTTTCATGAAAATCTGCACTTGAAAAATTAACAAAGCAACAATCAGTTAGGCAATCAGGAAATCTGTTAAAAATATTGTCAAATTTGATATCTCTATGAAATAATCCTTTACTATGTATGTGATGCAAGCCCAATAATAATTTATAAAGCAACTCTGCTATTACTTTTTCAGGAGTCTATAACAATTAAGGAAGTAAAAATTTTTATTCTCTTCCTGCATATTGATCATAAACTACATATAAATATATTTAATCCTCATAAACTTCCTATAGTCTTTAAACATAAACATGATCTAATCTTCTTAAAATAGTAATTTCATTTAATGCCAGGATTGGATCATCAAGTTAATTCTTTTCAATAATTCTAATTTAAAAAAATAATCCATCAGAATTTCTTTATGCTTTATATGTACAAGATGGATATGGTTCATTTAATTTGTGTTTGCAAATAAGTTTGTATTTTTTGTTAAATTTGGTTAGAATACAATATCTTTTTAAAGCAGATTACCATCTCTCATAATGATCTTGACTTTCAGTAAAGAATTCTACTCTTTATTTACCTTAATGTAATCTAAAACCATGTTTATATGGTTAAAAAGAGGATTCAGAATATTTTATCTTTTTTAAGTAGCAAGCATTAATATTACAATATTCTGCTTAATTATTAACAATTTTAATCAATCTAAATGATTTTTATATATTACTTGTCAACATATAATTCTAAATGTACAGCTTCCCACTTTCGAGATTTTGTTTGTTTCTAAAAGGCCTTGCCTTAGAAAATAAGATTTTATTGGTTTTCTTGCTGTTTAGTTGATAACCAAAAATCTCCTCCATTATTAAATATACTATCATGTTCATCTTTTTATTATGACAACCAATTCATATTTTTATTAATTAATAAATATTTAATTATTTCATATTTCGGCTATTCAATGCAAAACTTATGAATTATTTAACATATCATTGAATTATTTATATTATTTATTCATTTACAATCATAAAATATTAAACTTCAACACTCTTAATCTAAAATACAGTAATTTTAATAAAAACAAATATAATCATCAAATTAATATCGACGAACATTTGGAAAATAATAAACTGACATGGCCACTTTTAAAGATGAGATAAATCAAGATGTTGGAAGGATTTAATTTTTAATTAATATAATATGTATTGGAAGTGAGTCATAAATTAAATAAATGAAAAATATCAATAGAAAAATATAAAGAAATTAATACAATTTATGATATAGATCAATTCCTCATACGATTACAATCATAGCCACAAAATTGACTAATCAATAATTAAAATTAAACAACAATTTTTTAACAATTTATCTATCCTATAATTGTGATTCTTAATTTAACATAATAAAAAAATAATAATTAAATAATCATAAAGGTCACTATTATAATAAACAAATAGTCTGAAATGCCTAAACTTTTTGAAGATTATAATAATATTTTGCACAAAAAGAATACAGTTTGAATACTAAATAAGAGTTGATTATATAAAAACAAAAATTTTTATAAATATATTAAGAATCTAATGGATAAGTATACAAGAATAAAAATGATTGGAAAGGGTAACTTTGGTGATGTTTGGCTGGTTGAAGACAACAAAGGATAGGTATAGGATTGAGAAAACAAAAGAAATTTGCCCTCAAGTTAATCGATTTGTAATTTTAGAGTGTTGACCCAACAAATGAAGTTACATTGTTGAAGGTTTTGAAACATCCAAATATCATAAAATACTATAACTCATTTGTGTAGAATGATTAATTATGCATTTTAATGGAATTTGCAGAAAATTGTATTTCAAAATCATATCTAAAATGTAGATGATCTATAAATATATACTAAAAGCAATCCAGCAAATATATTAAATTGGTTTACATAATTGTGTTAAGCAGTATAATACTTACATTAAATGAATATTGTCCATAAAGATATAAAAATGAAAAATGTGTTTTTGACCAAAGATGGCATAGTATAAATATATATAGATATTTAGATCAAATTAGGAGACTTTAGTATTTCTAGAAAATTAGATGCCTCATTGAATCTTACATAATTAGGTATATTACAATGAATTGATATTGTGAGGTACTCCTTATTATTTGTCACCTGAGATTTGTGAGTCTAAACCATCCAATACAAAAAGTGATATTTGGGGTTTGGGATGTCTCCTCTATGAATTGTGCACTAAACAAAAGCCATTTTAAGGATAATCTTTACCTGAAGTTTTCAAAAATATCATAACAAGTGAAACTCCCAAATTACCTGATGGATTCCCTTCGGTTTATTAGGATATAATAAATTAATGTTTATAAAAGAATCCTTAAGAGAGACCTGAAATCTCATAACTCTTAGAAATTCCAGAAATAAAGAAGGAGAGAATAAAATTCTCATAGTTATATAAATAGAGATTGATAGGAATGCTCAAATAAATCGATAATACATAATCTGAATCGATTTAAACTAATATAAAGTAAATGCACAAACCTATCTTTACTCCATAAAATAAATCATAATCATTATTATTTAAAAATCTATTCTCAGAATAAATATAATCAAACATTAAAAAACCAATGACAAAGAAAATCATTTCAATTGATACTGATTTAATACAAAAGGAAGATTAATTATAATAATAGAATGAAACCCCAACATAATTTGCTAAATAATTATTTAACCCAAAAACCCCTACTTCTCCGAATAGGAATTTATTATTAGCAGATTTTTTGAAGAAAAAACTTGGAGAGTAAAAGTTTTTAGATGTTCGCTAGATTCTTGAAGAGTCTTAGAATCCAATATAATTGTTAGATCAAAAAGAAATCATGATGAACTTAATGGGAGAGGAGAATTTAGAATGTGTTAAAGTATTAATCATCAAATTAACTTTATAGATATTTAAAATATTAATATGTAATTGCACTACTCTACCAGGTAATCATTTTCGATAGATGAATAATTACTAATTTTTAAGAGATAAAGTTGGTTCATAACCAGATTTGGATTAGAACGTAAAGACTAATAATTTTTGATTGAATTAATATCTATAAATAAATTATCAAGTAGTTTTTTCATTGATTCTTTAAAGAAATTCTTGTGCAATTTTGAAGTTTATATTTAACACTCAATTAATCATTTTATTTTTTACTTCTTAAATCCATTATTCAAGTTGCTACAATTGATATTTATTAGAAAGTTACTTCTTTTTTAGTTAATATCTAACTGCTAATTTACTAACTTTTCTTTACTATAAGTAATCATCTAAATTTGATATAACTTAATTATTCAGATGTATAGTAGGACCATCAAATATATAACAATTATTAGAGTAGTTTTTATTTGTGATTTACTAATGAAAAAGCTTGATAATTAGAGCTCAATAATCTAATATTTTATAATAATTTTCCTCTTCAAAAATTGAGTATATTTTATAATAAATTTAATAAACTTATAACTTATATAAATATTAATTGTGTATATAATTATTCATTTAAACAATAATAAATTCATAAAATACAAAATTCTATTCATAAATGAAAAGAACTCAAAGAAAGTTTTCAAAATGTGTTGAAGATGAAATGCATTCAGATTCATCTAGGCAAGAATCTGACTCAGAATTTATAATTACTGAGACTTCAGAATCAGAAAAATTAAAAAGCAAATCTTTTTGGAGTCTCAAAGGATTAAGTTTTTAAATTAAGACACTTGTAAAGGAACTAAAAAGTACTACCTACAAAGTATTGGCAAACATCCTTATTGAAAAATTGTAAAATGAACTTCAAAAAATTCATAGTACAGAAAGAAGAAAGGAGATATAAAATCTTAAAAGAAGGGTTTATGATGCTATTAATGTGATGGTAGCTATGGGGGTTCTTGAAAAGGACAAGAAACAAATCTCTTTTCATGAATAAAAGGATAAAGAAGTAGTGAATTTTTAAAAAGAGTAAGTTCGAACTAAATTGGAAATATTAAAAGAAAAAAGAAAAAAACTTACAAAAGCTACTCTGACTTATATGATGTATAAATAGCTTACTTAAAGAAATCAATAAATGAAAATGGAATCTGAATCCATCCTATATACACCAGTTTTTGCCTTTTCAGTGTAAGTATTTGATAATGATTTATGTATGTAATAAAAAAATGGAAAAAAATTGATTATCAAATCTAAACAGCCTATATATATCTACTCTGAATTAGAAGTGTTATAAAAGATACTCAATTGATGTTATATCACTTAAATCGATAAAATTGAAATTATAAATTTAATAATAGTTCATTGTAAAATATTATTATATATTTTTTCAATATATTATAAAGATTTTAGAAAACTGTCTTCTCCATAAATTGATTAAGGAGGCAATAGGTATGGTAATTATCTACAAACAAAAAACTTTGAACTTAGCAATCTAAATATGAAAATTATTTAAAAAAAGTAGATAAAAACTGTTACAATCTCAAAAAGTATGAAATAGCTAAATTTATCATCTAATTAAGATTGAATTTCATTTTCTAATGTATTTCTCATTTCTATAAATAAGTTTTCTAAACTTTAAGAAATAAAGTTTATCCCTATTAGATCATCTCTTGTGAATTTTTTGTTTTATTTAAATTCTGAATTTATATCATCTCTTACCATATCTGAATAATATTAAATGGAATACATTAGTCCTTCAGTTAATTTACCATTTAAAATAGTTGTACATAATGGATTAATTAATATTGAACATGTATTTTATAAAAGATTATTTAAAACATCCAATGTTTAATCAGAATATCCATATTTAAATTATTCATCATAGTATAAGAATTCCCTATAAGCCTCTTAAACTTAATCTTTATAAGTATTAATTAATTAATCAGTTATATTAATATCTTTAAGTTTTTCTTGAATTTATACTACATAATCACAATAACAGATTTCAGTTACTTCTTAACAGTAATTTATATAAACAGAGAATTAATTAAGTCTTTATGATAACATTTCAATATATGTCTAATTGGTAATAAGAGAATATTCTAAGTAAAAACAACATAAAAATATTCCAATTAATGGATAAAATACAAAGGGATGTTAAAGACAAGAATATTATTATTCCTGTATTTTAAATTATTTTTTAGAATCTGTTCTTGTATAATTTGTAAATTTTAAACTTTGAAACTATGATAAATTCTAATTTTCTTGATATAATTTGCTTTTGAAATTGAATTGATATTTGTATAAATTTAATTCACTTGCATTTTTATATAAATATAATAAATTTGATAATCTAATTTTTTCAGCCTCTAAAGATTGTATTTATATTTATTCAGAACTTCTAAGAATTCTCCTTTTAAGACGAAAAAAGTGCATATAAGCAATTGAATAGCATACAATTACAAGTACTTCTATGGCTAGAGCAATAGAAGAAATTACACTCTAATAATATGATACAATATCATTTAAATTACTCAATATCTTTTAATTAAATTCTTCTGTTATTATTTCATATTATTCTATGTAATCAAAAAATGAATTAAGTAAAATATGAATAGTTTTATAGAATTTTTGCATATATAGTTCATCTTAAGGATTAAAATCTTTAAAATTACTCATTTGATACCAAATCTAAAATATTTCAGTCCATGCACTAACTTATTATGATTCTTATTAAAAATAATCATATAATTTCATTTGTGCTTCAGATATAGTTGAAGTAACCACTTATTTTTGAGATACTTATTAAAATATTGAAAATCTTAGGTTTATATTTTCTGTAATCAATTGTGTAGTTTCATTTTATAAAGTAGAATTTTTTGAATTTTACAAATGTCCAAGACCCAATAATGTATTTCGAATTAGATCTGCTGTTGTAAAAGGGCCAAATACTTCTAATATTTCTTTATTTTCAGTCATATTTGATTTATAAAGTAAATAAAATAATTAAGATAATAGCAGAATAATAATTAAATTACAAATATCTACAGCCAAAACAACTTTGACTAATTTTGGAATGTTGCCTTTCTTTGAAAATTTATTATATAATTATGATTTTTAAATAATAGCTGAACTATCTTTATTACCATGTAACTAATAATGAGTATCAGTTTAATGAATCTTCTATAATCCATTACCAGATACTTCATCCATAACTTCAATTTCAGAAATTTTTTAGTGTCCGACTTTAACTTCAAAAAACTCTTACTAATATTTTGATTATTATTATTATTTTTGTTTCTTGTTATTTGTGTTAGTATTAGTTTTTTAACTAGTTTAACCTTTATGTAAACTTTTAATTTCATTTTCATTTATTAGACTATTATGAGATTCAATAACATTAATTTATAATTATTCATTTTATCCTCTTTAGGAAGTAAGTATTAATCTACTGGAATCTAAAGGAGTTTAAAAATTTGAATAAATTTAAGGCAATTAATATTCTTATATATTATTCATTTCATTTTATGTATATTCGATCTATTATAGATCTGAAATATCTCCACTTTCACTTTTTATATCAATTAATCCTTAAATGGAATCCAATCTTAAAGGATTTAGAGATGCTTAAGATGTTCCTTTTTTAAATACATCAAACATTAAAGAATTTGATTAATTTTCTGCTAAAGCAATTTTCTTCATAGATATTAAATAAGCTTAATAAATTTTGGTATGTATAAATCCTATTGACATTGATATTGAACAATTTGAATAATAAATATCTGATTAAGAATCAAATTTAGGAATAATAAATGTTAATTATTCAACTTCAATTGTAAAATGAATAAGCAATCTCTCTTATTATTAATAATCAAATTTATTACTAATTGAACCATTTTCCTCTCTTATAATTTCTTCATCTTAATATGCTTAATATTAATGTTACAATTATTCAACATAATGTTAAAAATTAGGAATAATCTCTTCAATTCCTTTATTATAATAATCATTAATTTTAATCTTTAATTATTCTAATGCTAAATTTGATATTCCTTATATTTTAAATGTATCAGAAATCACAATATGTCCTTTAATATTTTCATACTTTCCATAAGGCACAATCTATTTAAGAAAGCAATATATAGGAAAGGCATCTTCACATATATTAAATGAAAGATCAAGATACATTTCACAAAATATTAATTCTCTAAATTTCTTTTACATTAATAGTGGTCTTCTTTTACGAATAATTGGAGGTTTATTTGTAAGGAAGAATATTTCTAATAATTAATCATGATATGTAGCTAAATTAGGAGTAACTATTTGATGTACTGTTTAAATAGTTTATTTAAATTCTTTTGGATCATATCCTAATAAATAAGGTGCATTATTAGAAAAATCCATAATTTAACCTCTAAAAAATTTGCCATTTATTGAATGTCTTGCCAAATTAGTTTTGAGATAAAGTACTTTAAATCCTTAAACAGAAGATGTATTTGCACTTATTGAAGGATATTCAAAAAATTTATAATTCTTAGTTTTTAATGAATTTCTTAATCTTACAAATTTATCAAAATCGCATGTAACTTCTAAAGCATAAAACATATGTAATAATACAGATGTTCTACAATTAGAATATTTTTAAAATATTTCTATTTCTTTTTATGTTTTAGTCATATTTCTAACATGTTAAGCAAGTGATTAAAATAATTATTAAAAATTCATCTTTAATTCAAGTAAACTTTTAATAAATTTAATTTTTTAATCAATATTAATAAATATATGATTTAAAATTTAATCTCTTCTAATTTCAGTAATTCTAAAATTTTTATATCTTATTCCAATTTCAACTTCATCTTAAGTTAAATTATGTTTCATTTTTTATAATACTTTATGTTTAACCAAACCAATAATAAGTGTTAGAGTAACTTCATTCAACATTGAAGTATTTTTAATGTTTCTTTATTTGTAATCCATAATAAATGTCATAACTTAATAACATTCTTCAGAATCACAAATATATAATAATAATTATGATAATCTAAATATATTAGGATTCTTTTCATTATTTTCTATTTCAAAAACATATTTTGTAAAATGTCTAATATATCTTTCAATTAATTCTATTTGAAGATAGATATTATTAACTTAAATAGAATTATATATCTTCATTTCAACTTTATTCTTTCTACTATCCATTACTTATCTTCTTTCTCCTCTAAATCCTTTACAATAACAATATACACTTGTACAATTTTAAACATGAGATTTAATTAGAACAATTATCTTTATTAAAAAATTAGATTTCTTTATGTTATCAATTTTAGAATATTTATCTAATGATTATTAATCTGATAATCTAAAAAAGGAAATATATCTTAGATAATGAACAAAATATCTAAAATGTTAATTTTTTAAGGATTCAATTTATTATTTTTTAATTTCCTACATTTCTTTTTCTATAACAAATGGTTATAAATCATCTTCAACAAATTGAGATCTTCTTGAACTTGAACGTTTTTACATTTTTGTTTTTTTCTTTTCCATATACAATTATTAATCAAATATTTATTGTAAAACATAATTAAATATAACTTTAATCATTTTAGTTAATATTGGTATACATATAAGACACATAGAAAATAGTTACATCTAAGTTAATTAAAATTAATGTGAAAGTGATATTGTTAAAGAAGCACTCAAACATAAAAATGATATATTTTGTTTATATTCAAACATATAAGGAATAGAAATAAAAAAATCTAATAAATCTCCAATTAAATTAACTTATATTATTGATGTTATTAAGATCTATATATTATTATCATATTAAGTTTCTGAATAGAGAAAGTATATAAATTAAACTATAATAGGCATGAATTTAACTACTTAAGATATATTAAACCATGTTGATTATTATATTCTTAAATGATTATTATCAAACATTGTATAACTTCTTTAAGCAATCATTGAAAATGTCCATAAAATAATCATTTCAATTGTTGTTACAGTATCTAAAACAACCATAAATAATTTCTAATTATTTGATATTTCTATATCAAAAATCACTAATAATACTACTAAAAGATTCCAATACATCAAAGGTATTGTGAATATATGAGGATATGTATTCAATAATTTAGCTAAAAAGTTTCTTACAACATTTAACCATGATCTTTAATCATTACCCATTAATTATTAATATAAGAAATTTTCAATAAAATTAGACATATTATAAGATCTGTTTAAAAGATTTATTGAAACTAATAATATTAACCTAATAATTACGATTTGAATTATCTGGTCCTCCTACTTGGGATTTAAATTGAATTGTTGCAAATTTTGATTTTTCATATTCAATGAATATAGCAATTGCTATTAAAGGTGAACATAAAAGAACAATCAGAATTATTTATATTGCAATTATTGAATTATTTGAAAACATATCAGCCATTAAAATAGTAGGCACAAATGTCTTAGATATAAATTTGCATACCCATTAATCTGATACATAATTTATATTTATATTTCTTCTATCTTAAAGAATATGTAACACTTCTTCAAACAAAAAAACCATTGCTATTCTTTAAATTTATGCAATTATCTCTATTATAATCCAAAATGTTTAATAATCCTATGATAGGGCTATTTATGTATATCCTATTGAATATTTCAAATATTCATCTGTATATTGTCTAATTTTCTTCATTTAAAATATAAAATTATTTAATATTTATAGTAACGCAAACACGAATTATACTTAAATATCAACAATTAAACTTCTCATTAATATATGTTAAAATACTATTCATCTTATGTCCTTTAACTAGAAATTTAAATAAAATTGATAATTATTTTAATAAATATATAAATGAGTGAATCATCCAACTTTTTTGTAGGAAAATACAATTTCTCAAGAAGAGTCATAAATCATAGAGTCCCTATAGATTTTAATCATGGAATCACTTAAAACCCATTTGATTTTATCTGGAGATCTTCATTCAGAAATCTACTTGTATCTAAGTATTAATCTAAAACATTTACTTTTTAGTTTGATTCGAAATATGTCAATGTGGTATTGTGGTGCAGCATTTGTTATTGGAATTGCAATTAATGAATTCTAAAATTACAGAAGATAAGGACATGCATTTACAACTCCAAAGTATTATCATTACTTATTAGAACCCAACCCTATTTAAATTATGTCACTAATAGCAGAAACAAAGACGCTAATTTAGGTAGATGGAATGGTAATTTTGCTTGTTGGGAAAATGAACCATTATGTGGTAGAGATTTTGAATGAAATATCTAAATACATTCATACATCAGATATAAAAATCATTCTAGTATCTAAAATTTCTATTTTATCTTTCAATCATCATATATTTTGATCCTTAATTTTATTAATTATCAATCTTTTATATTATTAATAATATTTTTATTATACTTTTAATTCTAATAATATAATTTTTATATATCCAATATATTGAATATATTTATTTCATACATATATTATTATTATTCTACTAATAATTTTATTTTTTATATATATTTGAAGATAACAATTTCAATATAATTAAATGATAACTTATTATATCTCTATATATATATCTTACATCCAAATGGAATTTTAATCTTTCAAATTTATTAATAATTTTAATAAAAAACTGTCTAAATGAATTAACAATATAAATAAATAGGTTTTGTTCTTTATTATTTAATTTATTTAGTAGTTCAAATAATAATTCAAAATTCTATTCCATAAAATAAATTACTCACTGTTAAAGAATTTAATTTAAACCATAATAATAAACTACCATATATGAATCAGATTTTAAATTAGTTGTTATAAAATTTATATTCAAAAATATAATATAATTAATTAATTAATTAATCAATTTTACTAAAAATAGTGAAAATAAGATATTAATGTAATTTATAGGAATCATTAATCTATAGGGCCAATTATATATCCTACAGTCACTGATTATTGAAGGATACCCATCTAATCATAACTGTAGACATCATTTAGAGCAACACTTTTCACTGATATGATTTTCATGTTCATTTGTTTCAAGATGACATCAGCCTTTAAATTTATTAATATTATATATTTACAGTATGTCTAGCATCTTCTATGGCATCCTCAATTAATACATCTTTTATTCTTCGTTTTTATTCTTTACTTATATCAAAACTTACACCACCAACAGTCTCAACTCCATTTTTTACAGCAATATCAATGATTCTAAGATAATAATAATTCTTACTTTCCCACTTCATTGATATTTAAGGTTTCAATAGTTAGTTAATTATTGGCTTTGAATCCTTTAAAGATCAATTTTGCTGGATCTACTGTATAATCAAATTCTGTATATGGTTAAATCTAAAAATCATTAGTTTAAATCTTGATATCACTACTAGATTGTTCCTTGATAGCCCTTAATTAATTGAGACAATATTTACTTGATAGCTTTATCTGAAATGATAGCCAATTATGATAGTGTCTCTTAAGCTTAAAATTTTTTAACTTCAATATTTAAAGTAATGATGGCTTAAGTTGGTTCTACAATGGTTGATGCACTTCCTTATACATAGTAGATATCAGGTAGTAGATATTCTTGAATACCACAAAACTTAATATTATGGCTATATTACTTAAGTTATTTAAGTTGGTTTAAGGAATTATGAATAGGTAATTGAGATTAGGAATGATGTTAATAGGAATGTTTTCATAATTTTTAATATTGAAATAGAAATTGAAATTTATTGATTAAATTGTTAATATAATATGGAATATGATTTGAATAATTTAATTTATTCACAAAATCGAATTGAAATTTTCTTACAAATGGTCATAATGATATTATAATTATATTCTCATTCAAAGGACTCAGAAGCAAAAGAACTATCTTGGTTTAAGGATCTCTATGAGCTTTAATTAATAGAAGTGTCTATCTTCACCTTTTTTGTTTTCCTATAAAATGAATATATATAAATTACAATTTATTTTTGACATATTCTTATAGTTTTCGAATAATCTTTGGAGGTAATACATCAATATCAAATTCAAGTTCTTCATCTTCTTTTGTTTATACAGTCTATTAAACAATTTCCCAAACACCTTTTAAATAATCTGAAGATAATTCTCTTATATTTTAACTCAATTATTTTTTTTCTTCAAATGTAATAATTTAATCTTATTTCTTTGTAGATAAAACTTCTTTAGTTTTTTAAAGTATATTTTTATTTTAAGTGTTTCTAAGATTATAATAGATAAAAAAATGTACTTATTTTAAATAGGTGTTGGTTTGGATTGATTTGTAGGTGATTTAAAAACATTTAAAAAATGGATTTCTAATTAGTTTAGTAAATCCTACATTTGATTGGATGAATTTTAAGTTAATTTTTGCAATGTTTGTTTAATTTAATTCTTGAGGTTAATCAAATTACCTTTTAATTACTAGTAAGTAATACCTTCCTATATGAAAAATGCTTCAATTTTATCTATATTAATTTACCCTTAAGTATCAATTTAAGTATATGCAGGATGAGATTTAAACATCTATAGTAATTATAATCCTTTTTTGTGATTATCATCCATCAAAGGTTTATTTGATTCTTTTTGTTAAATAGATGTTAGTCTCTGGATTCTTTTAGTTTTGTCTTCCACAACCTCTTATTTATTAGATTGGAAAGAGGCATCATATTTATTTACTTTCTTGGACTATAGACTTATAAAGGACCCATTTCTTACCACTCTCTATTCTCGAGCTTTTAATAGACTAGCTTACAATAAAGAGAATCCTTTTGGCATTTTACCTAAGATGAATTCTACTTAAATTTGGTTTAGATTGAAATCTATAGGACTTGCCATAAATAAGTCTTAATATTATTTATTTTATTGAGGAAGAATTTATAATTAATTCAATTGTTTATTCAACCTAAAATTAATTGCTGTAGATATTAAAATATGGATAATTTATGTAAATATCAGAATATTTAAGAATAGAGTGATAGATGCTTATATGTTTAAACTAATTGCAATAATCAATCCAAAATAGCTTTCACTTAACTATTCTATTGTCAATTCAATGAAAATTACCTTCTAGTATTAATCTTTATTGTAAATCTAATAATTATTATATAGCCATTCTTTTTCTTTATGATGTTCAACTTGTTATCAAAAACAGCAGAAAATTATTTATCACCTGCAGTTGCTCATATTGCTAAATATTTTAAATTATCTCAAACACTTTCAGGGTATAATTATATTTATAAACTAGAATTACACTTATAGCATTAGCCAATGGAGCACCAGATGTAATTACTGCAATTATTGCAACAGGAGAAGATGATTAAGGTGTTTTGATAGCAGTAGGTAGTATTTTTGGAAGTGGATTGTTTATGACTACATTCGTTTTAGGATCAGTTTTATATTATTCAAAACATATATTAGTGAATAAAGTATCTTTAACAAGAGATCTTATATTTAATATTTTAGGAATTGGATCTATTATTACATTTGGATATATTGGATATATCTCAAATCAATTTTCAATTCTTTTTGTATCATTATATTTAGTGTATATAATTGTTGTTATGTTAAATGAGAAATCAGAAATTAAACATTGTTAAAAGAATATGTAAATAATTTAGAAATAAGAAAATTAAGAGGAATAATAAGGTTTACTCTCAGAACAAAAATATTAATAACCATAATAAATAGATGATATTAAACCTTTCAAATATTTTGGAAATGAATAATAATCATTAGAATTTGAAGAACAATAAGTCAATTTATATCTTACTGAAAGTTGTGATAATGATGAAGAACAATAAGAAATCATTGCTTTTTCAAAATAAACAATTATTTAAAAAATATAAACATGTTTAAATATGATTTTTGATTTAATTAGCAAATATACAGAAGGAAAAAAGTAATAAAACAAAATTAAAACATCAATTTAATTATTATTTACTCCTTTATTATTAATAATTGTCTTAGATATTTATGATTCATTATTATTTGATTGTCCATTATATATAATTATAGGATGTATAGCATTCATTCTGGCAATATATCATTATTGTCATTAAATACCTTTAATAGTATAATTAATAATATAATTAGGCATTAACTATTTGGAGTGCTATTTGTTCTATAGTATGGTGTAAATTAATAGTAGAAATTCTTGTAGATTTTATTGTGGTAATTCATTAATATAAATTAATAGTTAATCTAAACTTTAACTGGAATAAGTCCTTCATATTTAGGTATGACCTTTTTAGCATTTGGTAATTCTGCATGTGATTTCTTGGTTAATACTTAATTAGCAAAGATGGGATTAGGAATTATGGCTATAACAGGTTGTTTTGCAGGTGCATTCTTTAATTTAAATATTGGTTTTGGGATTGCTTTATTAAAATAAACTTGGAATAATTCTAATATATAATTTCCTTTGTTTATTTCAGATGATAATAATAATCATTTAATAAATCCATAGACTACATTAATTATTTAATTGCTTTTATTTTTTTCACTTTTAAATATGATATCAACTTTGTTATTATCTATAATATTAAAGTAAATTTATTTTATTATTATATATAGATTTTAGCTTAAGAAGTAATTGTCTTATTATTATTTCACTTATTATTTCATTGTTTTAACCACTCTAACAATGATAACATTTTTTGTTAATTGATTTTATAATATTTTTAAATTGATGTAATAGTTATATTATAATTGAATTGACTATTATTATATGAGAATATTTTGAATATGACTTATATATATTGTAATAATGTAGTTTATATAATATCATATTATATATTATCGTATTTTATTCAGAAATAATAATATTAATGTTAAGAATATGTGTTCATATAAATAAATATATTCAAATAAAATGTAAGATGATGTTCAATAATCATAAATGGAAAATAAATGTTAAAGTTTAGTATAAGAAATGACCATAAGTTAAGAATTTGAAATGCCAATCAATAAAACTAAGAGATTTGTATTGATACCACCAATTTCCTAAATTAGATTTGAAGATGAAAAAAATAGACTACAATATTATTGTCATGCTAAAGATGGGAATGAATTTGATATTTAAATAGAATTTGAAAATAAAGCTGATAATGCAAGTATTTTTGTTAGCTGTAAACCTGTTAACCAATAATTAGATCACTCGTATAATTTAATAATAGTTTCTCTAGAAAAATTTATAAATTATCAAGTTCAATTTAAAGCAAAAAAACAAAAAAATAAAAAGACATAAAAATTGAATAAAAGGAGAATTCTTTAAAACTATAAATCACACAAAAGATAAAAGAATAATAATTCTGTTTATAGAATGAAATTCTTATAGAATTAGCTCCAAAATACAATAGTAGAGATGAAGTTGGATATACAGGAATAATCAATAATTCAGCAACCTGTTATATGAATAGTGTATTTTAAATACTATTTCATTTGGGTATATTTGAGAAATTGGTTTATTCAATTAAATCTGATTAATATAATTAGTTTCCATGCACAGTAACTTATTATTAATATTATTATTGTATAGTTATAAACCCTATTCTATAATCTAAGACATAGTTAAATAGCCATTTCTACATAAGAAATCATAAAATCATTCAAATGGGACATAGATCAATAGGCTGTTTAATAAGATGTTTAAGAATTCATTATGGAACTTCTAAAAGCTATTTGTATAAAAGTACCAGAAATAGAGAAAGATATTAATCATTTATTTTAAGGAGAATTAGAGAATCACATAAAAAATGAAAAATTTGATAATTCAAATTTAGAATAATTTATGGATATATCATTAAATATTACAAATTCATTAAATGAATCACTTGAATTATTTATTTAATCTGAATAATTGGATGCTTATACACATGATGTATATGGTAAATAAGAAGCAATTAAATTTCATAAATTTAAGAAATTACCTCCTATTCTACTTATAAATTTAAAGAGATATTAATTTGATGGATAAGGATTTACAAAAATTCATGATTATTTCTAATATGATAATGAAATTAATTTTAAAAACTATTAAATAAATTAAGTAGATGAAATATATTAATTATATGCTGTATTAGTACATAGAGGTGAAGCAATTAATCATGGTCATTATTATTGTTATATAAGACCAATTCAAAATTCTCAAGAATGGTTTAAATTTGATGATAAAATTGTTACAAGAGCTACTAAATAAGAAGTATTTTAAAATAACTTTGGTGGATAATATATATAAGCTGATTATGATGGAGATTTAGATGAAATCATAACAAAAAAAAAGAATAATCCTGAAACTGCTTATATGTTAGTTTACATTAAATTAAATCAACCAGATATTCTAATTAGTCCAAATATATTTCCAGAATGGATTTTAAAATAAGAATAATTATATAATGATTCATAATTTGAGTAAAGACATTTTATATAAACAAATATATTCACTATTAATCATTTAAATCAAAATTAATGTACTTAAATGAAAACAGGAATTATATTTCATAAATAAGCTTTAAATTAATCTATTGATTAAAATATTATTGAAGAATTTTTTGATTAATATACTACACCTTTGATAATACCTAAAATTATTACAATTTAATAGATTATTGATTAATTAAGTGAAAAAATTAATGTAGATAAAAAATATCTCCATTTATTAATGTATAGAATATCACATTTAAAACCAAATTTAGAATCAATTATTTAAATGTAACCATAAAAGAATCTTTCATTTTATTTGGCTAATAAAATATATTTATTTGGATTAATGTTAATATCCACTAATTTTGAAGATTAAATTATAATTAACAATTATTTTGGAGTAGATAAAATTAAATTAGATTTAGTTCCTTAAAATGGAGGTAAAAATTCTAAAGAAAATAAAATTATTGTTGATAACAAAATTTTAGTATTTATTAAAACATATTCTAATAAAATAATTGAATTTGATTAAATAGTATTACTTGAAAAAGGATAATAAATTATAGATACTATTAATAAAGAATATACAAATAATAATTAAATTAAAATTTATTATTAAAATGACAATTTAGAATTTAGATAATAAAATTCAATATTTAAAAATACTGAATATATTTAAGTTTATTTAGATTTCTAGAATGAAATGGAAACAGATATTGAATAAATTAATAATCTAAGAGAAGTTATAATTAAAGTATTTAATGAATCCTAATGCACTTCTTAGTTATTTAATAAAAATGATTCTACATTTGCTTTATTAGATTTTCTTGCTTAATTAGAAGATTGTAAATAAGAAAATATTTAAATCAAATATAAAGACAAAAAAGGGAATATCTAAATCTTATAATAATAAATGAAAATAGAAGAATTGATATAATTTGATAATAACATTAATTATAAATAAACAATTGTTCCAATAGGAGCATTAAAAGAATAAATGAGTTTTTAAGTTGATAATTAAACTTTTATCATTTTAAAGAGTATGAATTTTATAGAATTCATGGAATAAGAATTACTCTGTCCCATTACTTATATTCCTTTATTGATTTCAAAAAAGGATAAAAAATAAGCTTAAGTTTAATTAGATCTTACTTAAAAGATATCAAGATATACATATAAACATGATATTAAATTTATAAAACCAATAATCCTTGGAAATGATATTTATTTAATTTGCTTTTTATAAAGTGTTGATATTGTATTACTATGTAATCCAATAGTTTGTTAAGTCTCTTAGAATAATACAATAGGAGAAATGGTAAATAAGATAATATAAGTTGTCAGTTAAAAACCTATATAATATAAATCTTAATCAATATAGATAAGAGAAGATTGTATTTATAGTTCTGAAGATAACAAAACAAGAAGATTAGAATAATAAATAAGAATTCGAATAAATAATTAAGAAATTTAATAGGATACTCAAATGGGAATAGGATCTTTAATGCCTGAACTTAAATAATTAACACTTGTAATGACATTTTTGACTATAAGAGATACAAAAGTTGATAAATTGAGATAAAAAGGAGTATAAATTTTTTGATGTATTTAATTTATATATATAAATTTTAATATTTATTATATATTATAATTAATTATTTAAATTCATTAATTTTATTAATAAATACCTTCATAAAGTTCATCTAAATAACCTGTAAATGTAGGATTTTAAATTAATTCTTTGATAAATCTTTTAGAATCTTTTGGACATTTTGATAACATGACTTCCGAAAGTAATTGCAAATTCAATGCAGCCATACTACCAGTTTTAATAAATTTTCTATCAACAGGAATATGTTATGTAACTGTTGAATGCCAAAATGTTTAGAATGACTTTGCAATATCCTTTAGTAATTGCATATATTATTTTTCATTTTCTTTAAATATTTAATTAGAACTTCCAGATTTCTCAAGCTTTTATAGTTTATGTTTTCCAATTTATTTAAAAGCATTTTCTCTGGAATTATTGATTACACTATATAATTATTTTAAATGCGAATTTCTTTTAATTGGAGCAATACACTTCTTCAAATCTCTACTTTAATTTTTTGAAAAATAAACTCTTTTTGTATTAATATCTTAAATAAAATTAATTAATTACCAAACATAGTAATATCTTCTTATTAAGCTTCTTCAATTCTTTAACAATAATTATCATATTCTCCAACAACTCCAAAAAAATATGGACATGGAGCTGCTAATCTATCAATCAATTCATCTGGTATAAATATACAAAATGGTAATTTATAATTGAAAGGATGCATAAGTGAAATAATAGTTAACATAATATGAGATAGAACTGATTTCTTTTTACAAAAAAGTATAACTCTTTAAGATAATAAAACATGTGAAATTAAATAAATTAATTCTTTAAATGATAAATTTTGGAAAGTTTAATCACAACCCCATAAAAATTATAAGTATTATGCACTATCTTTTTTTGGTGTTTGAATTTAAATTTCATTTAATTAATATTTCTAATCATAAGTTACTTAAATGCTTCTTAAAGCAAATAATCTATCTATAATAGTATTCAATTTATTTTTCATATAAATAAAATCTCTTTTTAATACTTCATGACTAGATGTCTCACTAAGACAAGGTTCAATTCTTTCTAATTTTAATTAATTCCAAATATTAGCATTCTCCTTTAAAAAGAATTTAATAAATGGGTAATAACTTACAAAACAATGAACAATTGGACATAACCAACAACCATATGTTTTAGGATCTAAACAAATAAATTCATTAATTTCAAAGCAAATAATGTTCCTAAAGACATTTGGATTGGATTCTTATACAAATTCACTTACAGTCATTCTACTATTATCTTAAATATCTTCTCTAGGTATTGTTATGGAATATTCATTATCTCCTTTAGTTAATTAAAGAGTTTGCATAATAATTTGCTTTAATTCTGGTAATACTTTATCATTAAAATTATGAACAGATGTCTCTAGCTTTTTTGCTAAGATACCATTAGGGAATGTATAGATTGGAACAACATCACTAAAATACTTGAAATTGATTACTATAGATGTTCATTAACATTAGGAAATTAATATAGAATTTTAGGTTTGACTATGATTTCATTTGTATGTTTATTAACTTATTATAATTCTTCTAGATCAGGTCCAATAATTAGAAAATGTTCAAAAAATCTTTATCCAAGATAAGTGTGTTATTCATCAATGTTAGGTTATCTTAAAAATTCAGTCAAATTGCTTGTTTAAGTTCTTTAAAAAGGAGCTTTTAATTAATTTGTTCTAAGAGTATGCATTTCTAGTTTACTTAAGTTTATTAGGATCTTAACCAATTAAATCTCCTATGGCCTTTTGTATGTTTTCCTTCAAAAGCTTTTGTGAATTTTCATCAAGTCCTTTAACTTATGAAAACTCAGGTCCAAAGGTTTCGATCTATTCTTCTAACTCTGCAATCTTTTATTTCAATTCTTTAATTTTTTGATCTTTCTTTTGGCATTCTACACATTCCTAATTCATTATATTAATTTAGTAATTTAAAAACAAATAAAATTCAATCATTCTTTTGGTCTCTCTCTCAAATATATTGGAAATCTAGGTACATTACTTTTAGATACTCCATAATATTTATAAGTAATTGTAGAACCAATCTTTGGTGGCTTTTATCTTATATCATCTGTAAGTCCTGATCCTATATTAAATATTATTCCACTAGTATTTCTAACCTTTAGAGATCCAAGCATTCCTTAACATCTACCTGATCCTTCTTCATGAGCTAATACTGTAGCTTCATCATCCATAAATGTTTTAACTTTCAATAATTTATCTGATCTTCTTTATTCATAACTACTTTCAGGATCTCTTAACATTAATCCTTCTCCTTCTTTATCTTAAACAGCTTCCAATTCATCTATTAAATGATCATAACCTTTGCATACAATATGAGGCACATAAACTATAAATTCATTTCCTTATTCACATGCCTACTTAAATCTTAAATATCTATCTTTGAATGGTAATTTTAATCCTGGAGCATCAAAAACCATGTATTTAACTTTTCTCCAATCATCTTCAACTGGAACTTATCTTTTGGTTATTGAAACTAATTTCGAAAATTAATCTCTCTCTAACCATAATTCTCCATCTAAATATGATTTAGGCCATCCTTATACAAAAAAATCAGGAAATTATATTGGATTACCATTTCTTGAATACATCTTAGAACCTGTCCAAATCATTCTCATTCCATCTAATTTCTCACTTAAATAATATCCTTTTGGATCAATATCTTCATTCCATGTTTATGCTAACATTACTTTTCCTAAAGGTATTGTACCTTTTCCTAAATCAACAGCCGGTCCTTTAATTGCTTATTATCTTCCTCTTAAAGCATCATCAGTTATTGCAGCTATAGTATCTGGTTTTATTGATCCAGTTCTTTTAATATTATTGTTTTATTTTTATTATTACTTTATTTAGACAGGTGAATCCTTTTTTTTTGTTTATTTTTATTATTATTATTATTATTATTATTAGATTTATTAACCTGGTTATACTTCTATATATCCTTTATTTTGTTTAATTTCAAATGCTTCTTCATAATATTTTTAACATTCTTCTTTTGATGGGAATTACTTTTCAACTTTTTTTACATTCAATTCTTCATAATCACATAAATTTCCATATCTAATTTATAACTTTGTATCATTTTCATTGTCAATAGTTATTGACCAAAATTTACTATCACATTACAAATACTTATTCATTTTAATATTTTGATAAATACATTATGAAAACATTTTATACTCGAAATTATTAAATTTCTGATTGAGATCTGATAATTATATATATATTGTATTAAATTAAAAGAAATAATAATATTTAATCATTATTCTTCTTAAGTGTGTTATGATGATGTTTATTATGATTAATTATTAGGTAATTGCAATTCATAAACTTCTACTTCATTTTAATCAGAATTAGTTATCTCCTAATATATATTAATAAGATATATATTACAAATTATTATTATTCACTCTTTTTTGAATTGTACCAAAAGATCTTTACAGTTAAAAAATAAGGTAAAAAGAAATCAAAAAATTTTATTGTTGTTCCTATAAGTGCATTTATACCATTAGTCCAAATTGTGCTATTTAACTTTTCAATAAATAATGTTTTACATTAACATACCAACAAGTGAATTATCCATCTTTATTTTTATAATTAGCAATCATTGAGACAAAATAGACATTCTACATGAAATTAGCAAATGAACCAAAAAAACAAAAGATCACTAATATCCATAAAGAAGATTAATTCTTTTGAATCTATTCCTTCAATTTCATCATTGGATTATCTAATTTTTAGGCACTTAAATTTTTTGACACTTATCTGGACAATTATTTTACTTATAATATGAAAAGACCTTGCATAAAGAATCCTACTGTAGTTACTATATTAAAAAAGCTGGCTAAAATAAATTAAGTTTATCTACCAGAACATAAATCATAATCACCAACACTATTAACAACAAAGAAGTATTAAATGTAATTCATTATGAATATTATTGTAAAAAATGAACATAATCCAATGCAAAATAATTTCGATAATTTTAGTTAAATAATTGGATCAATATCTTAATATGAAACATCCATTCTCATATTTAACATTCCAAGAATTATTGATTTTCTTCCGAAATAATAAATAGTATAACAAAAAAAGATGTATTAAAAGTAATACTCTGGAAAATATAATAAGGCACTTTCATAAGACCATTAATATGCTAGGTATGCTAAATATTAATATAATATCATACCACAAATATTAATAACCATTATTGAAACAATAATCTATTTACGATTGTATCGTGTAATATCTTTATGTTTTTAATATCTTTTGAATAATACGATTGAACCTGAAATCAATATAATCCAAGCCCAAGCTATTTCTAAGATGTTCCTATTACTATTAATGAACAACACATACGTATAACAATACAAGTTTGAAGCCCCACCTTCTGATTCATCTTAAAAACATGTAACCAGATAGTATATTCCAGGTTATTGATTATTATGTGACATTTTATATAGAAATTAATAATAAATCAAAATGTCTCTGCATCATCAATTAATTTATCTATTTTACTGATATTTTTATCATTGTATATATCATCTAATGCATTTTAAACATCTATAAACCATGTTTATTTTCTCCATATTTAAATCATTGAAATCTCTTGTTCTAATTCAAATTCCTAAAAATTTGATTCGATTATTTTTTTTTATATATCAAAATTTAATTTTTTCTGTTTGTCGAATTCTAATAACATTTTCCTGATTTCTACAATAAAAATCTCACTTCTATTTATCAATTTATTTATCAATTGCATATTCTATCCATGTTAATTATCCATATTCTAAACAAGCATGATATCTGCATGTGTTTCAACCAATAATTTCAGAAATGGTAACATTTACTTTGTTATTTTTTACAAACTAATTTAAATATTTCATTTACTTCTAACTGGCTGATTTGAGTAGAGTATTGATCATAAATTATTTTAAATAATTTTATCATGATTTCAATTACATATCTATAAATGATTCCAATATCCTAATTATTATCAACAGTCTTATTAACATAAGATTATCTAATTTTTCATTGAAAAAAGGATTGATAAATATCTAAGCTAAATAGAATCTGTATTATTATAATTTACTTATAATTAAAGACTAACAAAATGTTGATAATTATAAATATTTGATTCAAAAGACTCTAATAGAAGAGGATTAAAAATATTAGTTAAATTAATAATAGATTATTTGGATATTATTATTCCAAGATAAAATATTATTAATTTCAATTAAATGATAATGTACTAATAGAATGATTAAACCAAATATGTCAAATATTACATAAAAATGAAAGATAAGTTAAATTAATATTGAAAATATTGTAAAATATAAATTATACAAAAAAAATATAGAATATCTTCAAACATAATTAGTTCTATAGAATTAAATTAATAATATTAGTACTAAGCATAGTAATCTAATCAATATAATTTGATATAAAAGTATTTTAATAGATACCTTATATCAACAAAGATATAAACTAATATATAATCAAATAGTCTTAGAAATTTTCAGAAATATTAATAAGATTACTTATAATAAACAATCAAATCTAATTGTGAAAAATCTATCTATGAGTTATTCAGAATTATCAACAACTGTTTAGTTATCAAAAAACATTGATTCTTATGGTTAAACTCTCATAATTTATATAAACTAAAAATTGAATTCTCTTTTACATTCTTATTAATTCCATATTTAGTATCTGCTCAACTATGTAAACAATGATATAGCTTATAAAAGGGAGGCAATGAAAAAAATCAACAAATTTAAATAAGGCTTATTTTTTTACATCGTACATACTCTTAAAGAAGAAATAAAAATATTCTACCTTATTTGAAGATGACATTGATTAGTATTAAGTTGCAGATAATATTATTATTTTATATCCAAATTTAAGTTTCAACTAAATTTTGGGAGTAATAGTTACATGTCTTTAAACTTATTTTTTGTAAATATTTACATAAAATTTAAGATAGAATTTATGAGTTACTCTAAGTTTTGGAAGAGTTCAAACTAGCATATGAATTATATTAATAAAAATGATTGAACATTTAAGTTTTTTGATCAATATTGCATTAACTAAAATTTGTCAAAATGTAAATGTCAAAAATGATTTAAATAGGGTATTTTCCATCTATTAAATCTATTGAGATGATACTTATCCTTGTTTAAGAAAAGCGTTGAGAAATCTTAAACTTTTAAATTGATTAAATATTATATATTGTTTAATGAAAAGTCTCACATCCAAAGATTATATAACAAAGTACACTCAAATTTTCTAAGAATCGTTGCCACTCTGTTTACAATATAGAAAAGATAAAGAATGGCAATCTATTATAGACTTAATCTAGGATCAAATACAATAATTTGAAAAGTTGCCTAATATTATAAAATAGAAGATTGACTAATTTACAAGAAGCTCATTGTTTTTTTTTTTGGCAGAAGCTTAATATCATTTAAAATAATCTCTTAATGCAGAAGATTTATTATTAATAGACTCGAAAGATCAAAAAATTAATCAAATAAAAGCTAAAACCTATTATATGCTTTATAAATAATCAAACAAGATTGAACATATTGAATAGGCATTCAATTTAGCAAATGAATATTTTGGACCTGATCATAAAATTACTTAATTATATCAATCAGAACATAATGAAAGATAAAGAAAAATTAAATTCTAACAGTTATAATCTATTCCGAATTTTGATATTTTTAAATAAGGTCTGGAATTTCAATATTACAATCATAAAAATAAAAAAGTAACTAATAAAACAAAAGGAAAAACAATTCATTTAAGTGAAATAGAAAAATTAACAACATAGGAATCAACTTTTGAACCTTCTAAAAAAGTTATACAAAAATTCAATGAATCTTCATTCAGAATTTCCGACAAAAAAATCAATTTATTTGTTCCATTATAAAATTCTAATTTCAATACTAAATCAAATATTTAATTTCGTTTAAATACAAATAATAGCGAATTAAAAGGATCTTTAAAAGTTGATTCATTAATTGACAATTAGATTTCAGGTACAATGACAGAATTATTATTACCACGACCATTAACTGGTAGATAGAAACATTCTAAAAAAATTATGAAAACATAGCCTACTCCAACTAAACATCATCATCAATAATAATCTAATTCATCTCAATAACAATTAAATAGAGGTAATATTCTTAAAAAAAGTTAAGTAAAAATGCATTAAGTCAATTTAGTAAAAAGTAATTCAAAATAGAAAATAGAAATAAAAGAATCTTTAAATTTAAAAATTTTTGATTCAAAATCTATTTAATGTGAAATTAGTGAAGATGATTCTGTATCTATTTATGATTAAAATAAAGGATAAAAAGAATTTGAATTTAATTTTTCACCAAGAGTAGGTCAATCTTATTATAGTCTTAATACAAGTAATGAAAGAAGTAGACATTAAATTGATTTTGAATATTTACGTAATAGAATTGATTGTTTATATGATATTTAATAAGAAGATGCATTAAGAATGATAATAAAGAATTTTAGAAATTTTGTTTAAAAATAAAAAGCTTAAAAAAAAGAAGAATTAATGAAAAAGAGTGTTGCTAAATAAAATTTTTCAAATCTTATATTTGAATTAGGAGCTACCAAAAATATTCAAATTGAAGAAAAAATAGCTAAAATAAAATCAATACTTCATATATGTTAAGTAATTGATTAAGGATCACTTAAAACTTGGATGATATTTTCACCAATCAAATAAATTAATGCAATAAATTGGAAGATAAGAAATATTTCATGGATTGTATTTAAAAGATTGAAAGCAAAGAAATCATAAATTCATCCTGATATTATTAAATTATATAAAGAATATCCTAAATATCATCAAATTATAGAAATTTGGAGTAATAGTATAGATGGAACTAATGCTATATTTGTGTTAACTATATAAATAGAAGTGCTTAATAGATTATATGATATTAGATTACATCTTAAAAATATTCATAATATTGCTAAAGATTTTGAGAATATATTTTCAAGTATTGAAATGGTTTCATAATTAATTCATGTTTATTTTTCATCACATGGAATTCATTATAATTAATCAATTAGATCAACTACATAGTGTATTTTAACAAAATAAACTATTTTAAGATAAGATATGTTAAAAAAAGGATGTCAAAGTATTTCAAATCATATCAATTAATTATTTATGAGTAATTTTTTGAATATGAAAACAGAAAATGGATCCAAATTCAGAAGAGTAACATTATCAGAATAAATATTAGAAAATTAGGTAGCTCTATATCAATAAATAGAAGAAAGAAGGAAAATCATAAAAAAAACATTTACACCATTTTAAATTGGAAATGGATACATAAGTCTTAAAAATTCTAAAGTTAGAAATTAAAAACTAATGAAATCATTATCTATAGCAATTGAATTACATTCACCTGTTTTAAAATTAAAAGGAGCTTCACCTAAAAATTATTGGGCTGATCTAAGATCTCAATCATTTAAAGTGGGATTTTAAGATAAAGTTATTGAAGAGGAAGACTTAACCCCAAAATCAGGTGAATCAGTTATAATATCTCCTAAAACTCCAATTACACCACCAACTAGAAAAAAAAATAATGCATTTTCTTCAACTATGAGTTATAAAGTACTTAAAAATTCAAAATCAAAGAAAAAACTAATTGATGACTATTTCAAGAATTATCCAAAATAGAGAGATATAATATAGAAAAAGGATATACCCATGAATCCTTATCAAAGTTAGTATGATAATTATTTATTACTATTAGGTAAAATTTATTAAGTTATTTATCTAAAAATGAAGATGGATGGACAATCAATAATTTAACTTTTACATTTAATTTTGAAAACCCTTAACAATTTGGTCATTTTATTATTACATAACATAAGGTTGGTCAATCTGAAAATGTATCAACAATATTATCTCTTATATAATTTTGCTAATTAATTAATATTAATGAAATAATAATAAAAAATCATCTAGGATATTTTAGATCATTACCTTATATAGCAAAACTAACATTTCTTTAATAATTGCATCATTAAGAAATTTAGAATAAGAATAATTCTAAATATACTAATAATGATTACAATTTTCCAGAATATAGATTTACAAAGAAATTATAAAGAAAATCTTTAGTTACAGATTCTAATTAAATTAATAAAGATCATTTTTATATCTTTTTTTATAAACCTCCAAATTAATTCAGAGTATTATTTAGAATTAAATAATCAATTTATTAAAGAAATGATATTTTTGAACTTTTTGTTTATAAAATTTCATAACCTAGATTTATTAGAATATTAAATTAATCTAGTTTAACCAAATTACAAGATCTATTTAGAAAAATAATCCATTAATAAAGTAGACCAACTATTGGAAGTTTTCAATAAATATAAAGAGTTTTAAATTATTATCTCTTAAAAGATTATAAGGCAAATGGTAGATGTTGGTAAATAGGGTTTTAGAATTCTTAATAATAAATATTTAATTATGAATTAAAATCATGTTTAATTACAGATGTTTATATTGTTATATTAAAACATCTTGTAGCAAATGAATAAAGTTATATCAAAAATTTATTAAGAACTTATTGTAAAGTAACTAAATTTTAGTTAGTATCAAAATTAGATAATTTTACAGGTATTAATCTTATATATTTTACTGAATATGCAATGGCTTAAAATTTAATCATATTGGAGATATAAATATATCCTTTTGAAAAAAGACTATCTTCATATAAAACATATCTTAACCATAATGATTTGAAGAACTTTGGTATTTAATATCAAAATTTGGAGGAAAAGGCATTGTTATTAAAAAATAAATTGAGTCTTTGTTATAATCGAAATCAACAACAAGTTCATTTATCAGTAAATTCTGAATTTAATTATGTTAGTTAATTAAATGAAAATCTAAAAGCAGATTATACAGCTAATCTATTTATTAAATAGAAATAAGTAATTAAACTGATATTTTAAAAAGTTAAAAAGTTTAATTCACACTTTCTAATTTTCTCTTTATTTTATAATACTTTTAATAATGAAATTCTAATATAGATTTACATTCCAAAATTATGTAAATTATTTAGAAGTGTTTTGTCATAATATGATTTCAATAATTTACATTTATCAAAATTAGAAAAAATAATACCTGGTAATATCTTAGATAATTTTGATTAATGTTTTAATTAAATTCCATAAAGATACAATTCATTTGTTACTTATATGAAAGAAAAAGAATGCATTAATGTAGATGAATAATTTTCAATAAAATCCAGATTTAGTGAAAGATCTGCTGTTTCTTCCATCAGTTTATAAAAGTATAAAGATTAATATGAAAAACTTTAATAAAATCCAACTTAATTAAAATAAGAATAGACTTCATTAAAATTATAAACCAAAAATTTATTGCAATCAGAATGTAAAAAAATTCCATCAAAATTGCATTTTAGTAAATAAAAGAATCCTCAAAGAGTTTCACATGAAATTTAATGTAAGATTATTATTAATATTAATAAATTATTTAGACTTTAAAGAGAGATTCAGCATAAAGCCATCAGTAACAAAATTTGATAATCTATATGACAGTGGGAAATTATAGAAGATTTTAGAAGATGCAGTTGTATCTACTAATTTAATTTATAAATATTTTCTATGTTATGTAATAATAGTTTCATAATATTTATATAGTTTTGGGAATAAATGATTGATGAATGCAATATAATCATGACCAATTATAATAAATATATTTTGTAAATGGATTCTTATAGAGGAATATTGAGGCAATTAGGGTTAGACTTATAATTGTATATTGTAGAGTAACAAGAAGAGTTTTTATTGATGATGATTATTAAGCTGAAATATTTTTTGAATAATAACAAGTAGAATATGGCTCAATGTTTGAAAAATATAGTTCTGTAACATTGAAAGAATCACAAAGTACAAGTATTTACTTTTCATATAAATAATTAAATGCATCTGCAACTAAAACAATTAATCTAAAATGTTAATTTCGTCAATGTATTTATAATTATTCAAAAGTAATAAATTTTAATATAATTATCTAGTTTAATCAAGTTTCTTATAATACTGCATTAAAAATACTGAAATAAAGTAGTGATTATATAACAAATTAAATAAAATAAAAGAAGAAATTGATAGAATTTTAAAAATTAGAATTGAAAAGTATAACAGCTCTTAGAACAAATAAAAAGAGTATCAATTTAGAAACATATATTAATAAGTATAATTTTATATTTAATATAGTCATTCAAAATATAAATTTATATATTAATGTAGATTGATGATGAATGTGATAGTGACTATTTTATATAAAAATAACAGATTTTATTTTTATTTGGAGGATTGTAAAAAGTAAGTTGATTTCTTAATAAAAATGTCTATTAAATCAGTGTAAGAAAATATTCCCCATATATTTTAATTGTTAAGATGTTAAAAAGAATTTACTATAGGATAAAGATTATTTTCAGCTTATAAAAATTACTTAATTATTAAGGCTTATGAAAACTTATTTAGAATCAACAATTGAAAAATATATATATATAATTTAGTTAAATAATATAGATAATCTTATTGTAATAAGGAATATTTTAATCTATCAATAATTAGATAATATATTTGAACCTTTCTTTGATTCTGGAATTTTCTTTCTTTATTTAATGAAATCAAGAGACAACATAGTAGATGGTAATTACTTTTTAATTTTATTAATTTCATCTTATTTATCATATGTTAAAAATTCTAATGATGTTTTATGTTTTTCTTTTCTTTTAGTTTCTCTAACTGTAATATTATTATTATTAAAAATTCCTTATTTTTTATTATCAAATTCATTTTATTTAGGTGTTGATAATAAACTTACACTATAAGGATGTTTTTTTTCATTATTTTCTAATTAATTTTATTTAGTATGATTTCCAATTTGATTTTCACTTCCTTTCTTAATACAAGATTTTTCGAATGAAATTTCATCAATAGCATTAATAGTATTTTCATTAAATTTGGGAGAGTTTAAATTATCTTATTGAATAGAGGATATTATAGATGATTGTTAACGAAGTCCTAAATTAAATTAGATTACTTATTAAGATTCTGAATAACACGGTTATGTTTGACATGATCTATGATTAATTTTTAATTGTTGATCATAAAATTGTGTTTAAGATTCAATTTTACTTTTAATTGGTGAAACAACTTCTTTTATAATCTTATTAATTTTTTCAGCATTTTTTTCATTTGATTGATATTAATTATCATATTTTTAATATAATTCTTAATCCTAAAAATGTTTAACGATAAACTTCAAAGTAATTTTAAGTATTTTCTCATAATCAGATTTTTCTAATAAGTCTAATAAAAAGTATTCAGAAATAAAATATTTAAAAAATTGAGGAGGTTTAATCTATATTAATTGATGACAATATTTTCTAATTTTGAAATTTGTATTTTGATGAGAAATGAATTCATGATTCTTTGTAGAACTATTTGTTTTTATTCTATTCTTGATTATCAATAAGCAAATACATTTATGTGTTTCATTTCATCTCGAATATTGATCAACTCGTTCACTAAATGTTTTTATCTCATATTTATTTAATTAAATTTCTTAAATGATCTAATAGTTGAGAACATCCAGCACAGTTTAATCTTCAAGAGACTAAAATTCAGTAATAATCCTTCATAAAATTAAAGCCTAAATAGTCCTATTCTCATTTTAGAAAAGTCTTAAAAACTAGATAAAAGTTTCCTACTAGCAGATCTCAACATCTAAGATCTGAACCTGCCAAGACTCCAAAATCTTCCAATCAAAAAATTACTCAATTATTTTAGATGACTTCAAGACATGAAAAAGAAAAACCTATTGAAGAAATCAAATAAGTTCATTCTCCAAATTTTTACAATTTGTGTAGTCTACCCTATAAAAATTATAAATATGAAAAACCACCTGGAAATGCAACTGTTTAAGAGTTTTTAGAATAAGCATGTCGACTTGGATAAAAAACTGGTAGATGGGATAAGTAATCTTTAATAGATAAATTTAATCCTGATAAGTAATATTGTTCAGATATATATTAATTAGCATTTAAATTAAAAGATCTACTTATACTAGTGATCATTTAATTAAATCAAGAAAAGTTTAAGGACCTGCAAGTTGTTTAGAAACTATTTATGTTGCAAAATTATAATTAGAATTGGAGGATAATTAAAATGAAGAATTATAACATAAAGTAAATGAAATAGAAGAGACTCTAAAAGAAGGTGTTAAATATGATAAAACTAAATGTGCATCTTAATAATATATTTTAAATAGATGGACAAGGTAATAAGTTTCTTAAGACAAATTATGTTTAAAAAATGATAAACTACCTTAATTTGCATATTAAAAGTATGTTATTGATTAATCAATTAATAAAGTTGTAAAATCATCTTCCTAATATACAACTTAAGAATAGAACTCTATTACATAATTACCTGAAAAGATCTCCTTTTTTAAATTTGATTTCAAATAAAAAAACTTTTAAAAACAATTGTATCATAATAAAGGACAAACTGTTGCTTTACTCAAATAAAACTATCCTTATCTTCAAAAACCTATCATAGGAGATAGAATATTATTGAGTTTTGATATTGTCTCTTCTTCAGAAAATATTCCTTATAAAACATTTTGTACATTTTTATAAGTATATGAAAACAAAAAGATAAGAGTAATAGAAGGAGCAATAGATACAGTTACAAATAATATTATTGTGAGTTAAATCTTAAAAGTAATTAAAATATTCAAATTAGTTTTTTGTACTCGATTTATAAGAAATTATTACTTCCTTAGAATTCTGTAATTTGATACGCATTCTATGTCAATAATTAAATGAAAAACACCCAACTATTAAACCAATTTATTCATAATTAATTTAAAATTATAAATATTACCAAATCATTAGTGAAGACTTATCATAACCTTTCAATAGTTCACAATTTAAGTTTATTTATTTAACCAATGAAATGAATATAGATGATATTATCGATTTAATAACATTAATCTGATCAAAATTAATACTTTAATCATAATTCAAAATTCCCTTCTCTCATATGGCGACCGAATATAAGATCTATCATATTATCTCGGTGAAATTACTCTTTTTCTCGTTTTATCTAAATGTTGTACTCCAACAAACCTTTCAGGAATCCTTTAAACTTCCCTTTATACATCAATCTCTCTATAAACATCAACTGGCTCTGAATACAATGGTACTTCCTTATAAATAGGAACCTTTTAATAAATAGTAACATCTCTAAAAACAGGAACATCATGATATACTGGAACATCCTTATAAACAGGAATGTCCTTGTAAACATTTATTGATTTTTCTACTGGCACTTCCTTATAAACTGGAACCTCCTTATTTACAGTAACTTCCTTATATTGAGGTATGTAAATTGGAATTTCTTTAAAATTGATTTCAGAAGGCTTTTGTATTTCTTTTATCACTTCCTTAATAACTTCAATTGGTTTAATAACTTCTTTTATCACATCTCTTGGTACTTCAACTATTTAAGGGATTTCTTTATATTCAATTTCTTTAACTATCTTTTCCTTTCTCTTCCTTTTAAGTAATTCATCATATTTAACTTAAAGCTCATGAAATTATATTTTAGTTTATTTGGCTTCTTCATGTAAACGAGCATTATCAATTTTTGCATAATCATCTTTAGGTAATTAAATTGGTTAAGGTTTAAGAGCTGTGAGCATAGTTATCATATCAGAATTCTCATTAGGCTTTTCTACTTCAGGAATACTAATATTATATTCTAAGACTTGTGAAGGTAATCCTTAAACTTTAACTTGCCTAATTAATTATTCCAAATGATCCAATTCTTTTTCAAAATTAATATTTGGCTATTCAACTCTTTTATGATTTTTCTTAACGATTTGTTCTGCTTGAAATTGTTCCTAAATTTCACTAATAGATTTTTTCTTCTTTTTCCTTGATTTCTTTTCTGCCATAGGTTGTTCTTAGATGATTATATATGGTTAATAGGTAATTGGAAAAGATTAAGGCTATTAAATACATATTGGATGACAATGACTATGATGAATTGGTTATGATGTTTCAATAACTCTTTCCACTTAAATTTCCCCTTAGTTTTACTTAGGTTGACTTTGTTATCTAGTTTAAGGTTGAGCTATTTTAAACACTTATCTTAATTCATCAATCCCTTTAATACATAAATCGTTATGAATTTAAGACATTTTATTATAATAAATAAGTCCAAATAAATTTTAATAAAATTTAAAAGCTACAAAATCTCTACTATTTATTCAAACTATGTCAGCAATTATAAGATTCTCAAGTAAATTGTTTTAATTTATTTTTTTATTTTCTAATATGAAAATTTATTTAAGTGAATAAATAACAGAAAAAAAATAATTATCATTTCTTTACTCGAATGACTCTGTGTTTAACTTTCATAATGTCGATCAATTTTAATATATCTTTATTATTACTTTAATAAAAATTAGTTGCTTATGTTTTATTCAATTCACCAAAAGGCTTAATTTAAGATTAACAATTAAACTGAGTTAAAGATAGTTGAGAATTGCATTTTATGTGTCTCTTCTTTTTATTTTTGCTAAGTGCATCGTTTAAAATACTTAAAGGTTTTAATCCAATCTCCTTTTTTGGTAATACATCTTTTAACATTTTTTCCATATAAATAGAAATCTTACTTTTTCTAGGTCCCTTTTAAGTAGGTTAAAATGGATGAATAGATACTGTTTCTTCGAATTCTTCATCACGACTACTTAATATAATGTATAATAACCTTTACGGCTGCTTTATTGGTTATTAAACTGGTAATAAATGTACTGATTATACAACAGCAGGTCTTCTCACAGTTAAGTTTCGAACTGCTCTAAGTAGATGCATTTTCTTTTTTAGTCTTTTAATAGCTTCCATTTTGTATGTCAATATAAAAATAATGGCATTTCCCACAGCTTTGAATCTTCTCAATGTTTTTTTTTTCTTTTAATTTCTATACTAGTATATGATTAAATACCTTGTTTCTTTTAAAGGTAATTCTCTATGTAATTTTAATGAAAATCCAACTAATTATCCACATTCTGAACAATCGCAACTTAAATTGCATTTATTTAAATCACTCTCAAATTTATCAGTACTTTGGTATAGGATGGTTCTTCCTTTCTTTACGTTTGATGTATGCTTATAAGTTATGGATTTAACATGTTTTAATTCATAATAATCAGAAGGTGATAATGATCTCTCAGACATATAAATAATCAAAAAATAAATTCATAGAAATTGAATATTATTAGATTTCACCTTTGACAATAATAATAAAAAGTAAGAAAGTAAATAAATATTTATTGAAAGATTCAATAGTAATAAATTACTTTTATAGCTTCTTATTCAAGAGATGTAGATATATAAGATTATAAGAGTATGAAGAATTAATTAGGTTTGATACTAGTTTGTATATATTTGTATGAAATAAGGAAATTAATTAAATCATTTAATTAAAAATTAGATAACCTATATTATGGATTCAACAAAGGAAAGAGTAGAAGGTACAAGAGCCACAGTCATCGAAATAATTGGAAGAACAGGTAGAATTTATAAATATTGAATGCAGGTTCTAGAGGTGGTATTACATAAGTTAAGGTTTAATTGGTTGGCTAATAAAGAACATTGATTAGAAATGTTATGGGACCAGTCAGAAAAGGTGACACATTGGAACTTATGGAATGTGAAAGAGAAGCCAGAAGATTAAGATGATCTAAAGTACATTTAATATACAATTTGCCACATATTTAATTATTTTCTTTATGAAATTTACATTGATTATAGTAGAATCATTTGCACAAGATCTCTATTTTGTGAGTGATTCTGAAACATAATGCTTAATTGTTCAAGAGAAGTATAACAATTTAACAATTAATTCTTATTATTTTTATGAAGAGTACAAATCAGAATCATCAAAATTCATATTTCATTTCATTGGAAAATTGCATAAATCTCTATTAATATATATGCATTAATGAGTGAAATAATAATAGTAATTAAACTAAATAATCAAAAAGATTGGATCTCTATAGATTATTATTTGAGACCTAATTGAGAAGTTTAAAATACAATTTCAAAATAAACTGCTTAAAATAGATTCTTATCTATCTCAAACCCTTATTTTAATAATAGGAATATCAACAATATCAATTACTAATACAGAAAAAAAGATAAATTTATAAGTAAATGTTAAAATAAAATATTTACAAGAAAGATGAAGTACTTATAAAAAGATAGAAATATAAAATTAATGAATTTTATTTGAGAATAAATAGAGAAAGAATAATCATCATATAAGGTTCTTCAGCAAGATGATTGATAAATATTATTGTGTTAATACTTGATGATATGTTTTACATGAGAATATTCAAATTTTGGAAATACCTAATTATGTATTCTTTATTGATATAAAGTCCATACTTAAAAGACAATCAATTGAAATCCAAGAATAATTTAATCATCAATGCTGAATGAATTTAGAATAATCATAATGTACTTTTAAAATTCTTTTATACTCAAAATTATTCAGGTAATCAAATTTTCAATTCAAATTCTGAAGTATATCAATATCCCTGGTTAACATCGTTGAAGATTTGTATACTATAAACTTATATTCCTAAATTGATCTTTATTTATGCTGTTTATTTTAATATAAAATACTTAGTTTTATTCATAAATATTTTAGATTTGACTTTAGTATATATTATTAACTTTTTATTTTTAAACCATCTTGATATATAATCTAAAAGTATTTGTGATAGTGATTAAAGTAATTCAATATTGAAAATGTGGATAATAATATAGATTTAGTATATTAACCCTATGATGAAGGTTATTTGAATGTTTTAGTAAATATTTATTTATATTTATTAATATAAAAGGAAGATATTCTTAATTGGATTTTCAAATACTTTTTGTTTAATTAATTTATGTCTCTTACAGCTTTAAGAGCATCAGTTTCATTCTTAACATTAAACTCCCTACTCTAAATATACGAGAATCAACCTGTAGAATTTTGGGATTCAAATTAAATGATGTCTCATCCAAAATTAACTCCTATATTCTAATCAAATCAAGTAATTATTATTTCAATTAACCTTAGTATTTGAATTTATTAGCTGGCTTTTTCACTCTTACATTAATTGATATATCTAATAAACTTTAATTTGCAAATTCAATTGCAGTTGCCACATCCGTTATCATCTAAAATTTGAAGTATTTATTATCATCTATAATATAATAGTTTGTTTTTACCAAAGACTTTCAATATGATATCTATCTATTTTTAATTGATCATTCTCATTTCCCAACTCTTTATGTTGTTTTCCTCATATTATGAAAAATTGTAATTCGATAAAATACCTTAACCTCGTTCCTCATTTCAATTTTAAGAAAGTGTTAAAGAATAAAAAACAATCAAAAAATAAACATAGAAAAAGTAAATCTCTCATAAAAAAAAAGAAAAAGTATAACAAAAATAATTACAATCAAAATAAGAACTATAAATTGAAAAAATTGAATAAGCAGATAATACAGAAGTAGAATCAATAGAAAATGATTTTACAGAATTTATGAAGCAACCATCAAATGATTAAACTATTACAGAAATAGAAACAGAAAATTTATATGAAGTTAATCATGCTGACTTATCCTAAATTTCATAAGTTAAAGAAGATTCAAGTATTTATTATATATAAAACCTTTTTAGAATTGACATTTTAACTTAAATTCAATGGCGAATTTACTAATTTAAATTGTACTTTTGAAACATTTGATTCAACTATGAACATTTTAAATTCATCATACACCTTAGAACAAATTAAACAAATTAAAATACATTTGTTATTAAACCTTTATGATGAAAATGAAGACTGTTCTTGTAGACTCTGGTGTCTAAAGAAACTTTTATCATATAACTGATGTTATAACTTCCTTAAATTTCCTTTGTGTGTGATTTATTATGTCATTTTCATTTAATTATTTATTTTTTTAATCTATGTAAGCCATGGGATTATTTGATTTTCTGGATGGAATTCCAGATGATTATGTTCCAAAACAAAGAATGACAGCAGAAGAAACAGAAGAAGCCTTCATTTATCTCAAAAATCATCCTCTCTTTATAGATCATATCCCAGAAGACATTGAAAACTATCCTGAATTATTAGCATTGTAAAATCTCTAATATGATGATACACCTGTTAACATTGCTACATCATTACTCAAAAATGCAAATGAAATTATGAAAAAAGATGGAGATAAGAAATATTTCTAAAAGAAAGCTTATGAAGTTTATACTGATGCAATTGAATAAGATTGTGGAGATAAAGAACTTATGGCTAAATTATTTAGTAATAGAGCTTTAATTTCTTATAAATAAAGTATTCTATCAAATTATATCATTAGAAAACTATAAATGTGCAATCTAAGATTGTAAATGGGCAATAGAAAATGATCCTAAATTTATAAAACCTTATTTTAGATGTGCATAATGTCTGTATCAAATACTCCATTTCAGTGAGGCTCTAAAATTTTGCAATCTTGCACTAGAAATATCTAAAGAAAAAGAAATTGAAGAACTTAAAAAATTAATTCTTTAATAAATTGAAAAGCAAGAAAAAAAAAATGAAGAAGAAAAGAAATTATAATAATTATATGCTATTTGTAATTAGAAAGGTATAAGAATGGGTCCCTCTAAAATAACTTTGCCTCCAGAATATCAAGTATATGAATTTTAAACAACTTTTAGCCATAAAAAATATCATTAGAATAAGTTAGTCCTCCTATTTTAACTGTTCCTATGTTAGTCACTTACCCTGAATTTAAATAAAGAGACTTCATTTAATATTGCTCAGAATAAACAAAACTATATTAAATCTTGGCCCCATTATTTCAAACTCCTTTGCCATGGGATCAAGATCAAAAATACAACTTGAATAATATTGAATGCTATATTGAATTAGATGATGGAAATTATGCCAAATTGAACATTAAGGCCAAAATGCTCTCCATCATGTAAGGTTACAAAGTAACTGTGAGAGAATTTATAGAAATACTTTTAGTCTGTCCAGGTACAAATTATTACTAGAAATAATTCAGATCAGAATATCATATATTAAATGATTAATGATAAAATTTGTTTATAAAATAAAAGTATTAAACTATCATATTCTACCATCTCTTCTCTAAATATCATATATTCCAACTTTGGTTTCAACTTAACCCTTTGGACTTAATACTTATAAATAAATTTTATATTTATACATTTTTGGAATCCCTAATCTTGAGATTTCATTCTCTAAAAATCATTTGGATCATTTCCTAATGATGGCTTAAGTAATTGTTTTGATCTAACATAACCTTAATATTCCTCCCTATCTTAAACAGCAGTTCTTTAATAACCCATTTTACTATTTGTAAAACTAGCCACTCTTTCTCCCATTCCTATTCTATTGAATCCTCTCTCTCTATCATATTATCTGTTCATTTGTTGTTCTCCTCTCAACATATTTTCTGCAGCTTAATTACCAATTATTTTTCTATTTGTTCCTCTCTCTAATCCCAATCTATCAATTACTGATGTATCTTCATGATAACTCAATCTCTATCCTTAATCATTATATTCCCTTCTTAAATACCTTTCTTCTGGCTACTAAGGCTTTCCAAAACTTGTTTCTGGTCTTATCCTACCATCAAACTCTTTTCTTTTTCCAAATTCTGACAGATTCTCCTCCATTTCTTGCCTACCATAAGCATTTCTTCTATCAATTTCTTCCCTCACCTTTCCATACTCAGGTCTTCCTAAATCTTTTCTGCCAATAATGTCTTATTATTGTGAATATTTTTAATCAAATTACCTATCACCAAACTTATCATCAAATCCTCTTTAATATTGATTTCTACTCTCCATAGGAGCTCTTTATTCAAAAGTTCCTCTTTCCTCAAAAGGTCTACTTTATATTGGAGGCCTAGTACCAAACTATTCTCTGTTTCCATCGAATCCAGTTCTTCCATCAAGAAGAGGGGTTCCTTAATATCGATCTTCCTCGCATGTCCTATTAAATCCCCCTCGACCATCAACCTACTATTATATACCATCCATTAATCCTGGTCTTCCTTCAGGGAACCCAGGTCTTCCTTGAAATCCTAATCTTCCTTCAGGTAATCCAGGTCTTCCTTCAGGGAATCCAGGTCTTCCTTCAGGGAATCCAGTTCTTCCTTCAGGGAACCCAGTTCTTCCTTCAGGGAATCCAGGTCTTCCTTGAAATCCTAATCTTCCTTCAGGTAATCCAAGTCTTCCTTCAGGGAATCCAGTTCTTCCTTCAGGGAATCCAGGTTTTCCTTCATATCCTAATCTTCCTTCAGGTAGTCCAAGTCTTCCTTCAAATCCTAATCTTCCTTCAGGTAGTCCAGGTCTTCCTTCAGTTAGTCCAGGTCTTCCTTCAGGGAATCCAAGCCTTCCTTCAACGAACCCAGGTTTTCCTTCAGGTAATCCAGGTCTTCCTTCAAATTCAGGTCTTCTTTCAAATCCAGGTTTTCCTTCAGGGAACCCAGGTCTTCTTTCAGGTAATCCAAATCTTCCTTCAAATCCTGGTCTCGCCTCGTGTAATTCTGGTCTTCCTTCAGGGAATCCAGATCTCCCTTCCATTAATCTAGGTTTTCCTTCTTAACCATCTCTATATTCCATTTATCCATCTTAAATAGATCGGCCATCTGAATATTTTCTATAATTCATTCCTTATCTCACTTCTTATAATCCAGGACCATTAACAGGGGTTTCTTGAAATTAGGTTTATTATGGTTATCTTACTTCATATTGATATTTTCCATCCATACCTTACCTATATCCTGATTATTAATATCTTTCATAATTTTACCCTTACAATTGTCGATCTTAAGGAGGTAATCTTTAGTCAACTTCAGATTTTCCTTCTGGGCCAAATCTTGCTTAATAAGGAGATCTATTTTAAACATCATGTCTTCTTTCAAATTCAGGATGTTCTAATCTTTTTTCAATCTCAACCCGATCAGGTCTTTTTTAAAAAGGTGATCTCTAATCTTAAATTTAAGGTCTAGTTTCATATGGGTTTACATTTCTTCTCTCATCATAAGGATTGAGCATTCTTCTTTGATCATCTAAAGGAGGTTTCATATCATAAAATTATTATTACTAAGTTCTTCCTTGTAGATAAGGATTAGTAAATTATGATTGATTAAATCTTCCTTCTTATTACATTTGATCATCATAACCTCTTTTTTCATTAATTCTTCCTTCAATTGGAGTTTTAGATCCTTCTTAAGGTCTTGTTAGTTAAATTTATTATCTCTAAGAGTATTCTTAAGATTTTGCAGTATTTCTTTAATCAGAGAAACCTTGATCTGCTCCACCTCTTTAATTAAATTCTCTTCTTTCTAATACTCTTTTATCTTATTCTAAAAAATCATTATTGTCAGATTTTCTTGTATAATCAGATGCTCTTATCAATCTATCCATTCTTTCAGGCTATTCTTATTATCCTCCTAATGTTCTTATTCTTTCCTAATCATATCTAGCTTTATCTCCTTAATCAATTGGGTTCTACTTCATTTCAAAAGCACTCATCTATCTCTAAGGGATTCTAGGATCCTAATCAGGATACATTCTTTTGTATTCAGGTAATTGAAAATCTCTTTTTTATTCTGATTATTAGACATCTCTACGATAATTATCTTATCTTGATTATGGAGTATAGGCACTCATGTTTGTATTTGGATCAAAAGGAGTTCTAGTATCAATTGGATCTCTTTTTTTGTTATCAAGATTCCCATAAGGACTAGTAATTTCTCTTTGATTTAATAATCGCTATTCTTATTTGTAATTAACTTAATCTAAAGGCTTTCTTTGTTCTCCTTCTTAATATGCACGAATAAATGGTTTTGTTTGTTCTTACTCATGGTTATTGTTTACAGATTGCTTTAGATATGGGTTATTGTTAGATGCCATTTTTAATGGTTCTCCTGTTTGACGATTTTAATCAATCTGATTTGATTTATATGGAGCTTATCTTTCATAACCCTTTAATAAATAAGCGCTGCAATTTTAATCTAAAGGATTTGAATTTTCTTTTTTGAAATTCACATCAGCTTATGGTGATATCATTTTCATGGTTTAATAATCTAATTATCTATCTACTTTTTCATTTGATCTTAAATGTCTTTCTTACATCATCCTTTTTGAATATAACTTTGATTAATCTGTTAAAATAAAAATTGCAGTTAATAAAGTATATATTTTTCAATGTTTTTATGATATTGTTATCATAATAGTTTAAAACATGTAAATTATAGAAAAGATCTTATTGATTGATTGACATAATTTAATTATTCAATAAAATGAATTATTAGAATCCTCAATAAAGAACACCAAAAGCACTTAAGATTAATATTGTAACTATTTTAATTCTTTAATATCATAGCCATCACCAATATTAAGAACCTAATTAAGTCCAACTCAATTTTCTTCACCAAAACGTGTAGTCCCTGTTACAGAGATTATACGCATTATTCCTAATGATTTACCTGGGACTCCTTAAAAAGAATCAATTAGAAAGGCTGAATTGAGTGTCCCTGAACTTTAGATTTTTTTGGATGATTTATTGAAAAGATATGATAAATTAGCTTAAGATCTTCAAAAGTCAACTTAAAAAGAAATTCAATTATAAAATGAAATGAATAATCTATAATAAGATACAAATAACAAATTATAAGCAATTTATACAGAGAATTAAATATTATAAGAAACTTTGAAGAATAAAGATTAGGAAATCATAATTCTAAATTAATAAATAGAAAGATTGAAAGAATAACAAATTAAAGAAATTTAAGATTTGAAATAAGAAAATGAACATGTTCTTGGAATATTAACAGATAAATTATAATAAATGAATATATTTGCTAAAGAGAAAATTTCAGAACTTGAATAAATAAAAAGTTTATTATAATTAAGAGATCAAGAGGTTTTGGAATGGAGAAGTAGAAAAAATATTGCAGATTCAAACAATTAAGAAATAAAGTAAGAAATTATATATCAAGTAATTTGAAATTTAAGATATCCAAGTTGGAGTAAGAATATAATTAATTAATAAAAGAAGATTAAAATTTGAAATCATAATTTCAATAAAAGGATAATGAAATAAATATTTTGAGAAATAAAGTAATAATATATTTTGTATGTTTAGTTATAATAAGGATTTTCATAGAATGATTAACAATTATTTGAAGAATTAGAATAAGCCAGATAGGAAATTAAGTATTATTAAGAATAATTAATGTAATATGAGAAAAATCAAGACTTTGTAGATCTAGATGATTAAGAAGACAAAATATAGGTTTTATAAAATGAAATAAAAAGATTAAATAAATAGGTTTGTATTTAAATTAATTATTTTAATTAGTTAATTGATATGAGACATGAATTAGAGAATTATAGAATTCATTAATCTGAAAATGAATTTTTAAAGAGTAAACTTTCAGATAAGTAAAATTAAATTAGAGATTAAAAATTACGAAATGCTTAATTTTGAATTATAAATTATTTATTTACAATTATATTATTTAAATGTACTTTATCTTATAGAGTAATTCATTCATTAGAAATATATTTATATATATTTTTTATATTAATTGATAGAAAATTTGTAAATAAATTTAATTTCAAAATAATGTTTGGATTTCCATTTTCTGGTCCTTTTGGTGCTTTTCCTTAATTCATGGATGAAGAAATGGATTAAGATTTATATGATCAATTTCCTTAGTAAGAAGATGTAGATAATAAAGAACTCTATGAATTATTAGAGATTCCACCTTAATCAGATATAGCTACTGTTAAATAGGCATATAAGACTTTAGCTAAAAAATATCATCCAGATAGACCTGGAGGTAGTTAACAAAAATTTTAATTAATCTAAAAAGCAAATGAAGTCCTATCTGATCCAGAGAAAAAAAAGATTTATGATAAATAAGGAAAATAAGGATTATTGAGAAAATTAAATGTCAAGAATTAATAATTTAAAAAATGTGATCCTTATAAATTAGAACATAAAATTACATTAAAAGATGTTTATCAAGGAGCATATCATAAAAAAAATTTAAATAACGTTTAAAGAACATGTGAAAGTTGTTAAGGTTAAGGTGGAAAACAATCTACTAATTGCCAATCATGTAGAGGATAAAAAATTGTATAAATGCTTGTCGAAGTTTAACCTGGATTGAATGTTGTATAATAAGCTCCTTGTCCTGATTGTAAAGGGTAATTTATTTATTCTATTTCTTTAGAAAAGGTAAGATATTTTTAAAAGGCAATGAATGTAAATAATGTAAAGGAATAGGTAGATTAGATGGAGAAGTAGAAATTGAAATTCCTATTGAGAAAGGAGTTCCAGATGGATATTGTATAAAATTATATGGCAAAGGAAATTAAAAAGTAAGGAAATTGTTTTTTATTTAATTAGCCAGGATATGAGAATGGAGATGTTCATGTATATTTGTAAATTGAGCAACATCCACAATATATAAGAAAAGGTACAGATCTATTCTATTAAAAAACAATCTCACTCAAAGAAGCTCTTACAGGATTAAGTTTAGAATTAGAAACTTTGGATGATAAAATAATTAATGTGATAACAAATTAAATTATTAAACCAAATTCAATAATGACAGTTAAAGAAAAAGGATTACCAACTTTTAAAGATGAACTTCATTTTGGAGATTTACATATTTAATTCAATATAGAATTTCCTACTTAGTTAAATTAAAATATTAAAAACTAAATAAATGATGTATATTTGTAATTTAATATTAAGATATTACCTGGACCTAATATTACAATGAAAAATGCAAATGCTTATAAATTAGAGGAATTTTAATTGGGAGAATTTGAAAAGCATTTAGCTAAATAAGAAGAAAATGAAGAGGATGATCCTAATCAAATAAGAGTTGATTGCTCAATATTTTGAATTTATTATGTTATAAAATAATCAATTAAAATTAAGTCTTTTATTATTATATCATTTAATTTTTTAATCTATTATATTATGTAATATTATTAATAATAATAGACATTAAGTAAATGTAAAATATCACAATATTTTTGATATAATAATAAATAGATTATTTTAAAAAATAAGAATTTTAAAATAATTTTATTATATATCAAATCTGGTGATATTTAATCAAATATCACCTTTCTATGATGTAGAACAACTTAGAGGAGGTTTCATTAAGTAATCATAATTATGTCTATCTGAAGTTTCTATTCCCCATGCAAGATTACCTGCAATGTTCAATAAAACCAATGCAAAATCTATATAGAATAAAGCATGACCAATATTATATTTCTTTAAATAATAATATCCTAAATTTGTGAATATTAGAACACTTATCATCTAAAAATAATTAATAAATAAATAAATACTCCTAATCCATAAAAAAAAAATTAATCTCCAACACCAAAATTATTTTCTTCTTTTTAATTGGATAATACAGTTGCAAAAAGTTAAAAACAAATTATGAAATAACAATAATTAGCAGTTCCACCAGCTACAGCTGATATCAATCCAAATTCAGCCATTGTTGTAACCATGATTAATCCTGCTGCCATTCCAAAAAATCCTGCTACAATTCCTGTTACCCAACCAGCTGCATATATCTTCCAAAATCTTGTTCCAGGAGTATAAAATCTTTCACAATTAAAAAATTTAACAGCATCTTTAGTATATTCTTCTTTTCTTTTTATAAAATATACAACCAAAGTTATTACAGTATTTACTGCAAATAATACAAGTAACATATAAAAATTCCAAGCTTCACATTCACCTTTATTATTTTTTTTTGGATCATTGAAATAAGGAGATGTTAATCCTGGTGTTGTTCTAGTTAGAATAATTGCCTAATTTTATCATATCAAATATTTACTTCATTTATAGCAAAGTTACCAAAAGTAATTAAGATTGCTGGTAAAGGGAATTTATTACATTAATCATCATAAAATTTCTTATATAGTTTGGCTTCTTAATCTTATAATTATTATTGACCCTTCAATCCTTCAAGAGGAACAAGGGCTGATTTAAGTAATATTTCATTATCTTATTCCTTCTAAGTTTATAAAGTTAGTTCTTTAGTTGCAAACAAAAATAAAATTGGACATATTGCAACAAAAAAAATATTTTAAATCCAAAGTAATGAACCTAATGGTAAATAATTAGCAAATTCTGTTCCTAAAGCTTAACTAAGAGGTATTGCTAAACAATAAATTAAAGCAATCTCAAAATTTATGATTGGTCTGTCAGGATCCTCAGGATGACTAATATAATTGTTAAATGTTACCGTTGAAAAAATATGATGATTATGTTAACCAATTGACTTCCAAATTGTAGACACATCGTCATATTTCCTGCAGATTCCGAATCAAAATTTAGTGTAGCTTCTAGAAAAGGTCTTTTTACAACACCACCTAACAATTATTTTATTTTAACCTCCTAAAGCTCCTAAAATTCCTATACCAATTATTGGCAGGATGATTATATAAACAATAATTTGAGCAGCATTTGCAGCAAGATATCCAATTCTGCAACATCCAAATTAGCCACTCGAGAATATTTGTTTACATGATGAAAATGGTCCACAATTAGTGGTTAAGTTTTAATGACTTAGTGTAGTGCAATTATAGCTATAAAGCTCTTTAGATGGACATAAATTATTTCCTGGCATAATAATTTAATATATATATAAAATATAAGAGATTTCAACTTTTTCCATTCATTTTTCTGTTGAAATCAAAACAAAAAATGTATAATTCATCATGACGTATGAAAGTAATACATATATATTCTCTATGAATATTCTAATACTACTTTATATAATATATACTTATTCTATAATACAATAAATATACCTTTGATCATATCTTCTGATAAAAATACAATAATTAAAAAATTATACATTCTTTTGAACTTCATTTTTATGATAACTGTTATCTTTAAAAATATATTTCTGTTACAATCAAAGTTTATATATAACAGAAATAAGATATATATGTATTAATTGCAAATGATCCTTCTTTTAGAATTATATTCATTAAGATTTCTAATGTATCTACTTATTATTTTATTATAAATGATTATAATATATCATAAAATTCTAACAATATAATAATTGATTGAACTTTTAAATATTTATTTATATTCTTATTTACCCAATCAAAAAAAGTAAAAACATAAGATAATATTATTTCCTTATCATAATTTTGAAAAAATAATAATAACAAGAAATCTGTAAATCAAATGGATTCTAAAACTCTTAAAAACTTAATTATTTGAGAATTGTAAAAAATGAAATAAAAATTTGAATCAATAAATTAAAATGAAACAAATAAAAATAAAGTGATAAAATCCTTTACTTCAAAATAGATAAAATCTATAATAAATTAGAAAAACAAAATATAATTTATCCTGAATTTAATTAAGCAATGTAATGGAACATTGCCATTTTATAAATTAAAAAATGAATAATTTGTCTAATCTTTTCTTAATTTCTTTATTAATTATAATTTCATTTTCTGAGAAAACATGGAAATAAGAGTTCATTTTACAATAAAATAATCTCTAAATATTAACTTTTTTTTCATAAAAAATAATACTAATATACTACTAATACTAATATAAATATTTTTAATGATAATAATATCTAATTCCAATAAGTATAATTAAAATGAATATTTTTTAGTAATAAAACTTTGTAAATCAGTTCATTTTTTTACAACAATCTCAGAAAAAGAAAAAGTAATTAAATGAAATATTTATTTTTATATTCCTCTCATTTATTCTCCATTTTTTAATTTTCAATCTTACTATTTTCTTTTATTAATATACCTTTACAATATTTTTGGTCCAATTAAAATTACACTTCAAATTTGAGACTTATCAAGAAATTGCATGATACCTTTACTTTCTTTTTTCCCTTTTTCGAAAACTCCTAAGAAGATGTAATTTACATTCATATCACTCAATTTATGTTCCATTCTTTTTTTTCATTTATACATACCATTAATCCATTAACTCTAATAAGTACTACAATCTGATCCTATCATTAGATTTAATAACCTATCTTATTTTGTTAAAGATTTCTTAACTTGTTCCTTGAATTATTTTGGCAATTCAGGAATTATAAATTTTTAATAATATAAAACCTAGGAAACTAATATTAATTCATTTCTTCTTATCTTCAGCCTCTTATTTTTATTATTTCACTCTAATATTATTTATATTCAAAAGCAGTTTAATTTTCATCTTAAATTTTCTCTTTTTGAATTTTAGTTATTGAAATACATGATCATTTGATAGTAATTGAAAATTTATATGTTAACCTTATATTTGTTAAATCTCATCAAGTTTTAGATTAAAATTCATAAATATCTATATATTGATATAATATTTTTATATGAAAATAATATATATTTATTAATAATGTCTGAAAGAACATTAGATTTTGTGGATTAAAGAAATCAAGTTAGAAAATTGGTCACATGGCCATGGAATTTTGTATTTGGATTACAAAGCTTTTAAACAGTGTAACATATTTACAACTTTACTGCAAGAACAATATTTGCAGCATCAAGTCTTATTCCATTTTTAAGTAAATTCTAATGCATTATTATAATAGCAACTTACAATACACATCAATTTGCTTATGCAGAAAACTCAGTCAGATTAACAAGATATAGAAATTATCATGATGATATTATCTGATATTATTTGCATATACATCCAAAAAAGAATCATTATTTACAATAAATTTAACATAATCATTTAAAATATAATCTATATTTTAATTCATCAATTAACAAAAGTGTTTACAAAGAACTTGATTACAGTACTTTCTTCGTTTCTTAGGCTCTTCTCATTAAGTAAGGAATCATTATCTCAGTTTTACCAAAAGGTACATATTTATATATTTTATACCCCTAAATAATATAAATAATTTAATACTTCACTAGCTAATTAATAAGTGACATGATCAGATAATCCATATAATTAAGCAAATAAAACATCTATATAAATAGTTAATAATAAAATATACCTCCTTAATTAGGAATAGAATATCTATTCATTATTTCTTTTACATAATCTATAGTTTGTTCATTATGACTAGCTACAAATACTTTTGTAGGTGATTTATGAATATTTTATATTAATATTTCTAAGTTTCTCTCTATCATAGATGTAGTGGTATCATATCCATTATTTATTGGATTTTCTTTATTCTATTGTTTAGCCAATTTAGATTCCTCTACCATATATGCACCTCTAACCATTTTTATACCAATATTTAATTTAAATTTTTCTGCTTTTTCAATTTCATAATCTGTCCTCTATTTTGTTTATTTTAAGTAATTTTAGAATGTATTAAATACTATTGTATAATTTTAGTTATAATATGCTTCCATTTATTCACTAAAACTATCAATTGCCAATTATATATAAGTTTATTCAGCATCAACCATTACACAAACTTAATTAATTAAAGCTGGATCCATGAAGTATTTAATTCTTTCAATAAATTATTCAAATAAGTAGATGTCTTTTTAATTTAGATTATTAAAGTATTTAATAACTGGATTGTTATTTAAATCTAAATCAAACATGAATATAGGTTAAACTCTATATTTCCATGTAATTTCATCTATTAATATTTAATCTATTTTTATATCATTCTAATTAAATTTTAATACTCCTTTGATAAATTATTTTTATTCATCTTCATTCAAACTAATTCCTTATTCTTTAAGATATGAGAATACCTAAAATAATAAAAATATAAAATAACCTATTAAATTGTAATTGTTTATTCTCCTTAACTAATTTTATAGAACATATCAAAAATATTCAATCTTGCTTTATTAATTTGCTTCAGTAAATTTAGATCAATTAAACTAGAAACCTTAATTGCAATCATGTTTTTCTTCTCAGGTTTCTTTGCACACTCCAAAATAGTTTATTAAAATATTAAACTATTCTCATCATAAAATTTCTCATAATCCTTTATCCCCTCAAGTGCTTCTGAACAGTAATCCATTATATAGGAAATTTCTTAAAAAAATAAATATCATTATTACTTGAATTTGATGAAGATAAATGTCTTTCAACACTTTCAAGGTTCTCTCCAGCTGTAAACACTTTTCCAATTGTATGATTAATTAGAAAATTCGTTAATTTTGTTCCACATATAGTATATAAAAAATCAATGAGTTTAGGACCTTAATCTACAATCCAATCATATTACAACATCTTATTAATGAATAAATTATTTAAAATTGAAGGTATAGATTTATCTTTGTGAATTCTTAAACTTTAATAATATTAGAGTTAAGAAGAACTCTAATTATAAATTTAAGTTATTACATATCTTCTTTGATTAGCTACAGCAAAATTATAGATTACGTTGCTTGATCTTAAGAACCTTTAACATGATGATATCATTATTTTATAAATCAATAATTTAAATATAAGTAATACAAGATGTCATCAATCAAATTTATATACACATAGACTCTAAGATATTTTATCAGATTTTATTTATATATTTTCTAATATTTTTTATATAAACATCTAACAACTTTCACTCTATTTATTATTTTAAATTAACTTTCAAATATGAATGTTATTTAAAATTATACTTAAAACATAGGGAATCAATGGAGCAACCATACATAAAGATATCAATTATTATCAAAGTTAATCTATAAACATTAATATTAAATTCTGAAGAACTTTTTGCTTTTTAATAAGGGAAACTTAATAATTTAAAAGAATTATTTTATATTTATTAATTAAGTTCAAATTAAATGGAATGATTTATTAATTAACTAGATAATTTTGAATTATTACATACTTTTGAAATACTATTTCTAATAAACAACATCATGAATGATGTAATTATTTAATACAAAGTTGATTTTTAAAACTAATTAAATATATTTATAAATCATTAAATTTATAAATATATTTCCAATCAATTATATATATATATATATTAATAATAAATTACAAAGCCTAATCTTATTTTATTAATGATTACATCATTATTTTCTTTTTATCAACCTTATTTTAGTATTATGCAATTAGACTTTATTTTTTTAATTTAAGTCTTGTTAATTTTCATCATTAATTTTAAGAATTATATTAATATTATTTATTTAAAGAATAATATTTATTATATGATATTAATATTATTGAGAGAATGATGTTTTGATTTTAATTAGTTTGAAACATAATAAGAATTGATGATAATAAAAGAAATGAATAAATTTATAATAATGAATATCAATCAATATATTCAGATGCAACAAATGCTACTATAGGTTTTTCATATCTCAAGCTTATGTCTTCTTAGATGATCCCTGCTAAGATAGGCATTTACATTCGTATAGTTCTATTACCTAAGTCTTTAATAATAGTTTAAGTGATTGTATGATTGTAGATCAAAGAGAAATTAATAAATGACCAATTGGGGGCTGGTTCACTTATTGTTAGACATGTTTAGAATTAAGGTATGAAGAGATCAGATGAGGTTTATGGTTATTTATTATAGAATTCCTATATATAAAGAGTTTAGATTACTTAATTAATTCTATCAGTAAATCTGATATAGTCATTTCGAATGGCATCAATTTAATTATAAGCTACTTCCATTGCAAAAAAGTAATATCCTGGATTGAATAATTTAACATAGTAAATTCTACGATTCATTTTAGGAAAAGTGGAAACATAAATAAAATTCTATTCATTAGGTACTTCAATATATTTTGAACCTTCTATTATGATTTCTCTTGATCTTAACCATTTTAATTAAATGTTAGTATATTGAGTCATAATTTAAGTATGTTTAGAATCAATAGAGGGAAAAGATGTTAATTTTTCAAAATGTTTGTATACTTCTGATTCATTTTTAAATTCTGTGAATTAAGTCATGGGCAAGGAAGCTAAATTATTTTTTATTTTATCAATAATGTATTGATTTTATTCATATGGTTTATGGAGATTATAATGAAAACAATCTTCAGCAAACTAAAATAGACTTTTAGTTTTTAGATAATTTAGAGTATTGGTTTCTTCATTTCTAGCATCAGATTATTAGAGTGAATAATATGAATTAAATTTAATAGAAATATTATGCTCTACTTTAGGTTAACTATTTATTTGATTTAAATAATAATTTACTAACAATTAGATCGTTTTATTGTAAATATAGTTCTCCTTAATTATGTTTTATAATCATTCTCTACTATTCTCCATTTAAATCCAACTTTCTTTATAGCTTCCGAGATATATTTATTAGCCATAATCTGTCCATTATTCTATGCATAATGGTTCTATTATATATATAAATTAATATCTAACTTATGCTATTAGTATTTCTGAAGCAGATGAATCTTATACAAAAATCAAATCAACTATTTGAGTTAAAAAGATATCAAAAAAACATTCAGATTTACATGATACTATTTCTATAATCCATATTCTTTCATGAATCTTATTTTAATCTACATACAATATACTATAGCCTTAAACTAAATTCTCTACAAAAAATTGTAATACACATGCTTCTTACTAATAATACATAATATCAATTAATTTTTGTGAATCTTTCTCAAAAGAATCATGTGTGATTTAACATGAAAATCTAACTATTTCTTTAACTCTTAATTCAATATCTTTTGGATTTATTTACATCACTAATATTTCATAATCTCTCTACATTTTTTTTGCTATTTAAATAGGTTCACATTGTTTTATAATATCCTCTTGTTGTACTAACATTGAAAATATTGGTTTATTAATTTAATCCAAATCTGATTAAACTATTCCTATTATAAATGGGAAATTGATTAATTTTTCTCCTTCAAAACTATAATTAACACTATTCATCCCAATTCTAGGAAAATTGATTTCAAAATATGTTTCACTTGTAAAATAAGAATATAATTTAGAATTTGTTAAATTCTATCTATTACCTAAACTACTAAAAAAAGGAAGCCATATATTGTATTATGATAAACTCTTTTAATCATATTTCTCAAATAGATCATTCACAACATTTGGTATATTTAATGTAACTTCATCATTTTTTAATTCAAAAACATATCTAATATTTATTATTATTCATAATTTACATTTTAACAAATGGATCTGTTGTGGATATTAAATATAATTTTCTTAAATTATTTCCTTCATTACTAGACAATTACAATAATGATGCTTCATCTAAACTAGCTTTGGATCTCTTTTTAATAAGATAAATATACTGATGAAAAACGTATATAAGGTTAATGTGTTTATTTGTGTATCTCTGATGAAAATACCATAAATTGTAAATTCATATTAAAATACTATAAATATACTGGAGTTCTAATTGGAGATTTAAATCTAGGACAAACTTTAATAACATCTTTAACATTTTATATATGTTAAAATGATGATCCATATATTTTCTATTTCTATAATTATAGTTTATATATTAATTCTTACAATTAAACATTTTGAAATTCCTTCTATTTTTTCATCAAAAATAATTAAATTAGACTTTCCTAGATTAGCACAAAATTATGCTTCCATTGTTTCTTCATCACTATTTAATACTAATTTTTTGATCCTTGATAATATTCTTGCATATATAAAACATATAGGATCATAAATAATTGACATACTTTACTATTCTTATTCTGTTCTTTTAATATCTATTACATACTAAGTGTAATTAACCTTAAGATTTTCAATAGTTATTATTTTACAAAAATAAAAATTGAGTATTTTAAGATTATATTCAAAACATTCCAATAAAGTTAAATTTATACCTAATTATTCAAATGAATCCCCATTATTTATCAACATTTTAATGAAATGTTGTATAATTTTGTCAAATATTTATTCTTTACAAACAATCAAATGAATAACCCATTTTCTAATATTACAATCCTATTCAACACTAGCTAACATTATTCCTAAATCAGATATTTATAACATCATTGCTTCTTAACCATAACTTAGGGTTTCTTAAATATATGTAGAAGGTTATAAGAAACTTTTATGAAAATCTTCAAAATTAGTAGAAAGCCAAAAACTCAAAATTTATGGGATGTCTTTGATTGGCCAATCTTTAATTATAAATTAAATATCATCTGATTTATAGATTACTTAACTTCTATATTCAGGTAGAGGAGGTAATTCAATTTGTAATTTAGTTATACTACCTTTTCTAGATGTAGGTTAACCACTTTATAATTCTTTTGTACTTAGAAAATTCGTTTTGGTTTACAATAAAGTTTTAATTTTATTTTCTGATTATTTGCATGTAAATTATACTGTTGCATAAGTCTATAATTCTTTGATTCTTTTTAAGTATTTTTAATCAAGTTTGTGTTTAGTTAAATAATCAAAATATTCTAAATCCCTCTCATAAGCTTAGTTAATTATTCCCAAATAAAAAATATCATCCACACTTTCACTAATATGAAAAAATTTCATTAATACAGGATGTCTCTAAAAAAGCAATTTATGATCGTTTTTAATTTTCATAATGTAGTTCTCTCCTTAATATATCCATTAGTAATTGTAGGCATATTAAATATATAATTTATTCACCCATTTTCTCTAATACTCTATCAGATTTAAGGTAATTTTTCTTAAATCATATATGTAATTTGAAATAAGGCAAACAAATTCTATAATATTCTCACTCTATTCAATAGCTAATGCCTCTTTTAAACATATTTCTCTACTGATAGTTAATTGATTTAAAGTCTTGATAATACTTCCATTTAGTTTATAACTTTCAATTTCTTATCTCATCAAATATTCTTAAGATGCAATATTCGATGTTAAAATAAAGTAGTAATATTTCTAATGAATCTCAGGAATCTAATTTTCATCCCAAAGTCTCTAAAGCTCGAAAAACAAGTCTCTTTATGGAAAATTATTCTTTACTAAAAATATTATATGTTTTTACTTTCAATTAGTTCAATGTTTTCTTTAGGTCTGAAACTTTGAGTGAATTTTGGACTTAGTATTTTAGTATTGAAATTTGATCTACTAGTAGTTGATGCCAGTTGTAAACGAAATTATCCTGTACTTTGTGATTTATTAAACAACATTAATATAATAATTTTTATATCATTTGCTATAAGAAAACTTGAAAAATTCTAAAACATGAATCCCTATAAATAGGAGCCATTTCCTATTCCAAAACTAATTTTCCAAATATATTTAAAATAATTATTCCAACTTGAAAAAAATCCTTTAACATTATTTCTATTCTAGAATTCTTCTATGTATTCTAAAGTAAATGGTTCTTAAACATCAACTTAAATAAGAATACAAGTAAGTACATATAATATATTTCGATTAATAAAATGGAATAGACTTTAATAAATATTGATTATAATCTTAATCAAAGACATATTATTATACTTAATAAAGGAATAAGATTAATTTCAAAATAATATATATATAAATAATTTGCTTCTTAAATATTTTATTCTAAACATCAGTTTATTTAATTTCATTTATTTTTAATTATACAACATTTATCATTCATAATTCAAACATTGTAGATTTTATAATGTTATATTAAATTACATATTATTAGATGATTGAATAAATCTAGAATAATTAAAAATTAAATTGATTTATTTATAATTATAATTGCCTGTATAATAAAATAACTTTTTTTTGTGTAAGGTCTTATTGAAAAGTTACACATATAATTAATAATAAACTTCTAAATCATATAAAGATTTTTTATGTTTTAGATAATTTATAGGTCTTTATTATAATTAATAAATTTGGTATTTATTTTTTACAATAAAATATTGAAAAATTATTTAATTTTATTATCTTTGTTAAAAATCATTTTAATTTATATTATTAGATTAACACCAAATAAGTTTTTGTAGAAAAATAGTATTCAAAATACTAGTATATAGATTTACATTTTACTTAAAATTTATATAAGAATAAATATAACTATATTAAGAAGATGTTAATTCATTTCATTTTAGGTGATTTCATTAATATATTGTTATAATTTTATGAAAATTTTTAGTTTAAATTTTTCGGATTAAGAAATGGAACATGAATATTAGAAGGAAATTACAAGCATATATAAAAATTATTAAAAAACTCAAAAATGGATTGTTTTGCCTTTGGTAGTATTTCAGATTTCTATAAAAATAATGAGAGAGGATTGGCTTTTATTAACAGTGTTATTATTATGTAGTTTACTTTATGCTTTAAACCTAAAATGTGCTTCCTCATCAAACAGATATTTCAAAGACTTATTGCTGTTTATGTCATTAGTCTTGTATAACTTTTTCTTCCCATATAATTCAGTATTTTAAAAGAAAGAATTGTAACTCTAAACATATTCTTTGGATGGATATTTTCAAGCTTTAACAATTTTGGCGTATGAATTAGTATAAAATAAATAGTTTAATGAATACACTAAGCTATTCCAAGAAGTAATTGATCCTAGTAGTAATTTTCACATTTCAAATTACACTATTTAGAAATCCAAATATTTAATTGTGGGAATAAGTAGTTTTGCATATATTTGAATTATGCATTTACATACACTATTGTTATTGCTTTGAGAATTTCAGGAGAAAAATATTTATTTAAGCAAATACTTAAAAAATTTTAGAAGATAACATCCAAACTTATAATGATATTGAAAGTTTTATTATCAGTTATAATCCACCTAAGAATAAGCTAATATTAATGTAAAAAAATAGATAGCAACAAATTACAGAATAAATTCAGGATGAGTTTATTGATAAAATAAGAAATACTAAAGTCTCATCATATGATTCAAAAAGAAGATTTACTTAATTTACTTCATAAGAGGTATTAGAAAATTAAGCTAACATGACATTAGAGAATTTTTTATTTTATGAATTCACAAATAAAAAGAAATATATTATGCATCTAATTCATTAATCTGAACAAAATAATTCTTATTTATTGAAGGGATTTCTGTATTAAGAAAGCTACACAATTAAAGTAGTGAAATTATATTAAGACAAACCTTGTGCTTTAGTTTTATTAATGGAAAATAAGAAAGATAATGTTATTGATCAACTTAATTTAAGGAATAAAATAGCAATGAAAGCATTAGATTAGATTGGAGATGTGTTTAGAGAATATGTAAAACCTAGTTTAATTTCATTCTAATGGATTTATAATAACAAATAGAAAAATAAAAATATTGTATTCATTAATAAATTATTAAGAAAAGTAAATAGCAATTTATTGAGATGTTATAATGATTTTTCAAATATTCAGGATTACTTTAGTATAAACAAAGAATTTTAACGCTGTTTAATTCAGAAATTTGACATTAAAGAATTTATTGAGTAGATTTACTAACATGTGGTAAGATTTTTTGGAGATGATAAAGGAATATTTTTCACAATAGATTGCAAAATTCCAGATACATATGTAAGACAAGATTAGAGATAATTGAAGCAATTATTCTTAAACTTATTTTTTTTTATTTTAGAGAAACAATCAGGATCTAAAAATAATCATCATAATTATGTACATATCACTTTAGTCTAAGAGAAGGATGAATCCAATTAATAAATGTCAATCAAAATAAGGATTGATTATGAAGGTCATCATTTAAGTAAAGCTGCAATAAATAGTTTACCAATTATCAATCCTTAAACCATTGGAGAATTAAAGCATAATAGTTAAAAGGCCTTTGACTTGTTATTACCAATATCATTGTTAATTATTCGAAAGATTGGACCACATGATAAATTAACCCTAAAACAAAATAGAATGAATAGAAACTTTATGGAGTTTTAAATATTTAATGCTCTTGAAGAGAATTATCATCTATTGCCTATAATTTCATTTTATCCTAAAGACAATATTCTAACAACATCAAGTTTGGCGAAGCATTACTCTGAGTACTTTGATTAGGTTCCAATCGTGTAATTAAATTCGATTCAGGAATTCTGATTGTATATATTCTAATCAATATATTAAAAACGGATTATAAATATATTTATGTTAAAGCAATTGCTAGTGGCATGGCTGCTAGTCAGCGTGTCTTTACAGTTCAAGACGTCTTCAAGGACGTAGATAACACCTTTGGAATCAATTTTATCTATTGATCCTTCTGGATGGACTTGTGAAAGTCCAAGCTATAAAGAATAGTTGGGAGCATAGCATGATATTGATTAATGGATAGACATCGTCAAACACAAAGATGGATTTGATGGAGATTTGTAGGTTTTGGCTATGGTCAAAGCTTTAGTTGATAGAGTTTTACTAACTGTCTAACATATTTAAGGAGGATCGTTTATTCAAGTCAAATAGTTGCATCATTAGATCTCAAAGCATTTCAAATCACTCTCTCAAATCGAATCTACATCATCCTGGTATGATATTAACGATATTTTGGGATATTTGGAAGTACTTAATAAAGCAAAAAGTATCATTTATATATCTATTTGTTAGGTGAGGAAGACAAATTATAATTGGCTCAAACAATAGCTACCAAGATTTCAGAGTTGATTCAACAAATAACAGAAATCTAATTATAACTAAATACTATACCTATTGAAATTGATTAACTCTATGATCTTGCCACTAGAGTCAATGAAAAAACTTCTTAATGCAAAGATTATTGGGCACCCTAATTAGAAGCTGATGCTAAAGCTGAAGAAGAAGAAAGAAGAAAAGAATAAGAACAAGAAGAAGCTAGATTAAGAGCAGAAGAAGAAGCCAAAGCAGCAGCTGAAGCAGCAGCAGAAGAAGAAAGAAGAAAAGAAGAAGAAGCTAGAGAATTGGAAGAATTAAAGAATAGAGTTGATATCACTCCAGAAGAAGCTGAATTACTAGAATAAGAGGCTGAAAAAGAGTTGGAATTAGCTGAAGAATTAGAAAACGAAGCAGAATAAGAGTTAGATGCTGCTAGATAGGCAGAATAGGAAGCTGAAACAGAAGCTGAAAGGGATGCAAGAGAAGCTTAAGAAGCAGCTGAAAAGGCAGCAGCATCATAATAAGCTTTGGAAGATGCCTAAAATAGAGAAGAAGAAGCTTGTTTAGATGCTGAGGAAGCATAAAGAAGATTAAAAGAAGCTTAAGAGGCAGCTGAAGAAGCAAGAAAAAAGGCAGAGGAAGCTGAGAGATTAGCTGAAGAAGCTAAAAAGGCTAAAGAATGTGAACCAGTGCCTGAACCAGAATCCGAAGCAGAAGAAGAAGAGGAAGAAGAGGAATTTGAATGGGAATCAGAAGAGGAAGATGGTTGTGGAGATGATGTTTTAGAAGATTTGATTGATACATTGATTGATGCAGCTACAGGACCAAGCGCATATTAACCAAGTTGTGGATATCCAGGATGTTAAGAATAACCAATCATTATTATTGTTGAAGATGATGAGGATGAACCAAAACCATAACCATAACCAGAGCCAGAACCATAACCTGTACCTGAACCAGAACCAGAACCAGAAGAGGAAGAAGTTGTAGTTGAAGAATAACCAGAAGAGGAAGTTGTTGTTGAACCAACACCAGATGATGAAAAAGTTGAAGAATAAGAAGAAACTGTAGAAGAAATTGTTGAAGAAATTGTTGAAGAGATAGTAGAAGAGATAGTTGAAGAGATTTTTGAGGAGTTTGTTGAAGAAGATGATGATTTTGGTAGATTAGAATTCCCAGATGAACCAGAATTAGAATAACTTGTATATACTTTAGATGAGAAAACTGATAGTGTTGTTACATAAGAAACATCTCCTTGGGAAAAGGAAATTGAAGATGGACCTGATAGCAGAATCAAGAAATCAGTTGAATATAGTTATGGTTTATGGACATATTTCAGATATAATGGTAAAGTTAAGATCTCAGAAAAGAAGGAAGTCTTGGCTGTTGGAGGTTTGAGTGGAGATGACACTAATAGATTAGTAACAACAATTGGAGAAGGATTCTATAATTTCTAAGTATTTGAAGGAGATGTTGTAACTGAATTATAATTAGATTATGGAAAGTATTTAGATGCTGAATGGATTTATGTTTATTTTGGTTATAAAGAAGGAAAGGCTAACGGTTATATTTACTGGGGTAGAACATAAGTAATTAAGACTGTTACTTTTACTGTTACTTAACCAGCTATTGTTAGAACTATTAAATTCTAATCTGGAATTTGGAAGGGATTCAAAGGATTCAATGGAGTTATCACCAATGTTAGAGTTGTTTTGAATAAGAATTCATTTGTGGAAACAGAAGAGGAGATGAAAACATTGATTGAAACCAAATACACTGTTCCAACCGACCCTGATCTAGAGTACAAGGAAGTATAACATTATGATAAAGTCGAATATGATGGATTAACAACTGAAACTAAATTCCATTGGGATTTGGATGGATATAGAGAATATTCAGTATCCACTTGGTTTAGATATGTAAGAAGAACTGAAAAAGCACATTAAATTATATTTAGATTTACATCAAATGAACCAGATTCAGGAGTTGTTGCACATGGACTCAAAGTACTTTCATTATGGTAAACTGAAAACAATGAATATTAATTTTCTACATATACAGTTGAGGAGAAGGATTAGTTCAGTGATATAGATGAAACAGTTACTATTGCTTAAGAATCACAATAATTATGGACTTATGCATATTTTGGATATAATCATGGAGATTTCTAATACTACATGGAATGGCCTGATAGCAAAGTTGAAAAACAATTCAAAGGATGGCATGTTGTTGCCAAATATTGGGCTTTATATTTGGGATAAGGATTGAGGTATTTCTTCCATGGAAAGACAGCTTATACAACTATCAGATTTGGAAAAGGTGCATGGGCAGTTGCTACTGATTTTGATGATTATAAGATTGGTAAGATTAAATTATGGCCAGGTGTATAACTCAAAACATATGATCCTAAATGGATGAATCATAAAACAGAATCTGAATATGATACTTTACTTCATGAAGAACCAGATTGGGTTACAGATGGTGTTTATGAATATGGATTCGGTATGTGGACTAAATTCTTCATTACAAATCCTTCAAGAATTTATGAAAAACCTGATCGTATTTTAGTAGGAAGATTAGGATTCACAGATTAAGATGAAGCTGAATTTGCAGTATATATTGGAAGAGGAAATTATGAATTCTGGGCTAATTCAGGAAGACCAGTTAATTATGGAAAGAATTTAGATGGATATTGGAATTACATTTATTTCAGTTATTCAAAATTGAAATAAATAGCTGTTGGTTATGTTAATTTCAATAAATTAAAATAAGTATAAAGAACAGTTTTTGATCCATTTGATGCTGATCCTGCTAATAATTATGTTAGATTTTATGTTGGATTATGGAAAACTAGTGTTTATGGATTTAATGGAAGAATAGCTCATGCTGTAGTCAGATTTGGTAGAGGATCATTTATCAATGAAATAGATGAATATGAAACATGGATTGAATAATATAAAGTACCAGTTGATGAAGAATTAGGAACTAAAGATTATGAAATTTAAGGTGCTGATAACAAAGATACTGAAACATATGATACTTTTGTTTATGAAGACGGAGCAACTGAAACAGAATAATACTCAGTTTATGGATGGTTCAAATATTATGGAGGTTTAGATGATACTGAAGCATAAACAGTAATTAGATTAACCAATAATGAACCAGGATTCTTGAAAGATGCTGATTTATTAGGAGATAGAACATTATCAGTAATTCAAAAAGGTGGAGATATGGAAATTGGAACATATGATATTGGATTTATTGATACTGATTTCAATCTTAATAGAAATACTAATATTGCTTTAGGAGAATATAGAGGAATTTGGATGTATATTTGGGTTGGATATTCCAGATAAGATGAATATGCTGGTTGGTTCTTTGGTTTCCCAGATATCAGTAAAGGAGGTTTATTAAAGAAAGTTTTACATTTCTCTCCAAAATACCTTGCTGTTTATTTCGGAAAAGATGGAATTAATAAGAATTTCGTTGGTAAATCTAGACATGTTCATGCTTGTTATGGTAGTACATAATGCTGGCACTATGTTGATAAGGTTGAAGTAGAAGTAGATCTTCCAGCTTGGATCCCATATAAACTTAATAATTACTTTGAATTCTATGTTTAAAATGATGCTGATGCTTTGATTGTTGCTTAGGGTGATGATCCAGCATTAGATGTTGAATTCACAGAGACTAATTTCCCAGGTTCTGATATTGAAGCTATTTATGAATATGGTATTGGTTTATGGACAAGATGGTTAATGAATTATCCATTCATATTATTAGAGAAAGCTGAATCTCACTCAATATTTAGATTCACTACAAATGCTCAATATGAAGATGCTTAAAAGAATGGAGATAGAACAGTATCAGCATTTGTTGGAAGAGGGGAGTATAGATTTAGTACTTATGATGCAGTTCTTGATAAGAATGAGATTACAACAGGAACAAAATTTGATAAAGAATTAGAAGGATATTGGAATTTCGTTTATTTCTGTTACAAGAGAATTCCAACAGGACCAAAGGGTATTGGATATGTTTATCTAACACATCAAAATGTTGTTAAGAGAGTTGAAATTGATAGTGCCAAACATTGGTTATTGAGAGATTATGCCAGACTTGTAATTGGAAAGAAAGAATTTGGACATTCAGCATTCTAAGGTAAATTGTTTGATCCAAGAGCATTTTTGGGCAAGAACAGTTACATTGATTCAAGTGAAGATTTACTTAACATTGTTGTTCCTAAATTCAGACCTTATCCACCATACAAAGATAAATAAGATAATGAACCAGTTTAAGTAGAGAAGGCTAAGATGACTTAAAGAGTTTTCAAATCTTATGAAGAGAAGTATAGTGGTGTCTTTGAATACAGTGTTTATGGATTTGCTAAAGGTAATAAATTAAAGAATGTTACTGATTGGACTTCACTTGTCAGAGTCACATAAAACACTCCAGATATTTAAGCTGATAATGATAATGCAGGAGATAGAACTCTTTCCATATTTATTGATAAAGGTGTCTGGTATTTCAGCACTTATGATTATGGAGATATTGAAACTATAGATGATGATGTTGGTTCAAGTATTTATTTATATTTAAATTTCTAGTTGATAAGAAATTTGAGATTGGCAAATATTGGGGTAAATGGACATACTTCTATTTTGGATATTCCTTCCATCTTAAATAAGCTTATGCATACATTCGTTAAATCGATTAAACATCCAACTCTTATCTATTTGAAGAGATCTATCACTTTGTACCAAACTATTTGAGTGTGTTCTTCTCTGAGGATGGATATGGCAAATAATTTGATGTATTTATCATTTTCATTTCTTTAGGGTGAAGCCTTTGATTGGTATTTGGGTATTGGCGATGGTGCATTTACTACAAATCCAGAACCAAGAGAGTGGCCAGTTGATCCTGCACCACCTCCTGATAGAATCTTGTCAGCTCTACTCGCCAACCAAGGATTTAACTCAGGCAGAATTATTAAGGGTGGTGGAACATTCTTACAAGTTGAAGGATCTGTCAATTTAATCTAAGAAAATGAAGAATGATATAAATAATCATAAATTATTATTATTATTTTTAATAATAAAATAAGTAGTCATCATTTTCTAATCATTATTGTATTGCTTGAATCTTAAATGCACATATAATTCAAGAGAAATAAATTAAAAATGCAAACAGATATCTCATCTGTAAACAATTAATATCCTTTAAATAGATAATAATCATTTATTTTTTTTGTACATTCCTTAATTTTAAGTGCTTTTCCATCGCTTAAAATACTCTTTACTAAGTTAATAATGTTAAAAAATTCTTATTTACAAACAACATTTCCATTAAAAATACCAACACTTTATAAAATCTGAATTGACATTTTCAATTCCTCTTTTGAATATATCATATCCTCAAATTCCTCCCCTTTAAAATTAACTAAATAATCATCTTTTATTTCAGCATTCTTTAAATATTTACCTCCAATCAATTTTAAGTAGTAAACTGCTATTTCAGTTGTGAGTTCTTTAGAGTGTTCTATAACCTAAATTTGCTTCGTAAATTATTACTGTTACTCTTATTATTATTCTTTCTTTTACTCAAAAATAGTTTCTAAAAAACATAGCATGTAGTTATTTGATGACTCGAATATTTCTATATATTATTAAATAGAATACTGATTCTTTTGGCATATATCTTATTAAATTTAATATCATTATAAATCTTCTGTTAATATGTACCAAAAACTTCAACATAAATACCAATTGAAATATCATGATGCCACCAAAACTCTAGATTACCAAAGTTATCTGTTATAGTAAGGCAATATTGCTGAGGTGTGATTTTGGAGCTATTTATGACTTATCCAAAAACAATAACCAATTGATTTTATTCACATAATTGATTAGAAAACACCCGCTTAATATTAAAATTCATTAATAATAAAAATAAAGAAACTCATGAAATCAAACTTTGTTTACACTCATGGTTCTCATTATTTCAATCCTCTATAAGCAACTTATATCTACGAACTCTCTTAATAAAAATTACTATTTAAATAAAATATTTTTCAATATTCGAGAATTTCAAAATATTAAAGATAAGCATTCTATAAATTTAATTGAAATTTGTATATTCTTTAAAGTAAAGTAAGGATTGTTATCATTTTAATCCATATTATGAAAATCTAAAATTATTATTCTGATTCTTCAGACCTTTACATAAAAGTTTTAAGAGATAGAAGCCTTCTTGTGTAATTTTTATTTTATTCTTTTTATAATCATTGTATTAAGATATTAAAATGCATAGAAAGAATTAGTAGATCTGTATTAAAAAAATAACTAAATTCTCGATCATTATCATTATAATAAATGAAATTAAATAATTATATTTAAATATTGTTGATAAATAAATAAAATCATCCATTACATGAATTCTATATATTTACAATAGAATAAAAACCTTATCTATCTTCTTATTCTATCCCCCATGCAATGTTACCAGCTATATTTAATACTACAATAGCAAAATCAATATAAAATAAAATATGGCCCATCTTATATTTATTTATGTAGTAATAGCCTAAATTTGTAAAGACAAGTACACCTATAATCTAAACAATTAGTAAAATTACATTACCCCTATTCCGTAAAAGAAAAATTAATCACCAACAGACATTCCTGAATCACTCACCATAAATGATATAAAAACTTGTAAACATACAATAAAATAACCATAATTTGCTGTTGCTCCTGCAGATGCTGCAACCAAACCAAATTAAACCATTGTTACAAACATAGTTAAACCTGCTGCCATACCTAAAAATCCAGCAATAAAGCCGGTTGCACATCCAGCTCCATAAATTTTAAAAAATCTTCGAGTAGGTGTAAAATACCTTTCCTTCATTTTATATCTTACAGTATCCTTAATTTCTTCTTTTTTTCTAAATAACAATAATGTTGTTCCTGTTATCAATATATTCACTGCAAATAATAGAATCATCATATAAAAATTCCAAACATTACATGGATTTAATTTGGAATTTGGTTCTTATTCATTAGTTTTGAAGTAAGGTGAATTTTAATTAAGAGTTGATCTTGATAATATCACTGCTTCGTTAGCAGCGAAACTACCAAAAGTAATTAGTATAGGAATAAGAGGTAGGATTTAGTGAGATTCATTTAAAAATTATTTGTAAACTAATGCCGATTAAGCTTCATCTTAAATTGTTCCTTTAAAAGCTGTTGTCATAGAAATATGAGAATCAGTATAATCTTCATCTAATTCTTATTCAACTACTTCTTGTCTTTTTGCATATAATAAGCAAATTGGAAGAATAACAATAAAAAACATCATCTATATAGTTAAAACAGGCAATAATGGCATATAACTTGCTAATTCTTCTCCAAATTGCATTGAAAGTGGAATAGCCAAGGCATAAATCATTCCAACTTCATAATTAACAACCGGACGTTAAGGATGGTATGGATGTCTAAAATTCCAAAATTTGATTACTTCTAGAATGTGATAATAATCTAATTAAATAGTTGGGCTCCAAACATAAGGCAAGCGGTTATATTTCCTGAAGGACCTGAATTAAAATTTAGAACAGCTTCCAAAAATGGCCTTTTGACCACACCACCTAATTTTCAATTTTACTATCTCACCTCCTAAAGCTCCTAAACTGCCAATTCCAATTATTGGAATAATAAGAATATAAACAATAATATTAGCTGCACTAGGATATAGATAGTTTTCTCTACAACATCCTAATTTTGATGGCCCAATTGCATCAGAAACTTAGACACATGAAGAAAATGCCCCACAAAAATTGGGGTACCGGTCACACATCAAAGTATTTTTACCTTGGAATAAAGTGTATTATCCTGATGGACATGAATATGAACTCATAGATTCTGATAATAATTAATATAATGAATCATTATAAACTTTATTATATTGTAAATGAAAATATTAAAATTTTAATCTCAACAAATATAACTTAGAAGTAGTAGAAGATTTCAATTATCAATCTTAACAATTGATTATATAGTGAATATTGTAAATATAAAATATTGTATTTATCATCTTTCATTTTTTCATTAAAAATGATGATAAATATTTACAAACTTAGTATAAATTGAAAGTTATTTTTTATACATATTAAATGCTTTACATTTTATTTTTATTTTATTTATTATTATTTTTCTATTTAGCCTATTGATTCAACACTTTATTTATTAATTCTGGCTTTATTATAGCATTTACTCTATTACTTTATTATTCTATTAAAATTTAAAATTCTTTTTCTCAATCCATTTAAATTAAAATCTTATATTTTGTTTTTTTATTTTTAATTCAAGTTTAGTTTCATTTCTGCTAAAAATCTTTATTATTAATTATTTAAAATAAAACTTAAATCTATATGTATCAAAATACTGCCTGGAAATCCGATATTATTAAACAAATCATTATAAATAAAGATAACCTTTCTCTTGGTTTCTACTAAGTTAAAATATAGTTATACTTATTTTTTTTATAAAATATAATGAATGTATGATTGAAAATTAAGCAAAAGAAATAGAATATGATTTACTCTCTTTTCTACTTCATAAATTCTTTTCATCTTTCTTATAAATCCATAATTTACTAACCTATTTTAATTCTATTTTTTAATCAATTATAAAATTAAATATATTTTTAATATATAATATCATCATATATCTTCATACATTATTTCTTATTGGCCATTTCTTTCTTTATATCATTATTTATCAAAAATCCTGAGTTATTCAGTCTTCATTAATATTAGAATTTTTATTTTCAGTAAGATTTAAATTAATTCTTCATCTTTATCAGAAATATTTATTATTTCAGTTTAGAAGAGTGGATATCTTCTTAAATTATTGTATTTAAAATGGCAAATATAGAATTTGTATACTCTTGAGAAATATAAATGTTCTTTAGAATGTTAATTAAATATTTAAATATTTAATATATAGAAAAAAATCATATATGATCAAAGAATACGATTATTTGTTCAAGCTAGTCATCATTGGTAATTCTGGAGTTGGAAAGAGTTCTTTATTATTGAGATTTGCTGATGATTAATTTAGTGAGTCTTATTTAACTACAATCGGAGTGGATTTTAGATTTAGAACATTGCCTATTGATGGTAAGAATGTGAAATTACAGATTTGGGATACTGCTGGATAAGAAAGATTTAGAACAATTACAAGTGCATATTATAAGGTTATTGATTCAACTATTATATTTATTAGGGAGCAGATGGGATTGTTATGGTATATGATGTTACTTAAGGACAATCATTTGATGACATAGATAAGTTTTGGTTACATGAAGTTGAATCATATGGAGAAAAGAATGTTTAATTGTTAGTAATTGGAAATAAGAATGATTTAGATGAATAGAAATAGTAAGTTTGTGTAATATCATTATAAAAGAGTTGATAGTGCAAAAGCATAAGAGTATTGTAAATCACATAATATGCTATTTATGGAATGTAGTGCAAAGACAGCAGATCATGTAAATAATGCATTTCTTGAACTCTCGAGAAAGTTGATGGCTAAGAAGGATGCTTCACAACCACCAAAATCTTCCAATCCTACACCAAGTGGTTCTCAATCCTCTTAAGCTAAATCAGGAGGGTATCATATTTTTCTAATTTTTTTTAGATCTTATAATCAAAACACATAATAAACCAAACTTAGTGCTAATACATCAAGTCAGAAAAAATAAAAAGATGGAGGATGCTGTTGATTATTCTAATCAAAATATAACATTTATTCATTTTATATGTTTCTTTTGTTTTCTGATTTTATAATTTTAAAATAATTAAATATAATATTAATATAAGAGATTATTATTATAACATTATAAATATAGATTTTATATTTGAAAACTCATAAAATTATTGATATTTAATTGGATGTAAAGTTCTTTTTTGAATATTTGGTTTAATAAAATATATTATTTGAGAAAATCAAAATTAATATTTTGGTAATAATGCTTTAATAATTTACAATAATCTATTCAAATAGTTATAAGGTTTAACTTTAATTTTAAATAAAATTAAATAATCTTTAAATAAAATTTAAATTATCTTTAATTGATAATAAAATTTATAAACAATTTAATCTCAATATATAATTCAAATTAACTTCATTTTTGATCAAGCTTTGATTTCTTCTTCATTGACTTCCTCAATTGGTTGATTTGACATCTATCTTTATAAAATAATCTATTTGCTGGGTCGAGCTCTAGGAGTTTGAGCTTTGGCTGAACTTTATGTTGAATTTTTAAGTACAATAGTTGGTCTCATTCTAGCAGAATCAGGAGATGAAGCATCTGATGATAAATCATACTCTTAAGTTGAATATTTTTTAATCTATTTTGTTCTTGGAGTTGAGGGTTAACTGTCTATGAGATTTATATTTTTCTATTTAATTTATTATTAAAATCTTGGACTTTTCATGGCAGGAACATTTATAGATATCTTTTCATCTTCAACTACCTCATCCTCTTTAACTTATTGTCTAAGCTTAAGTGGAATCTCAGGCAATTGAATTTTATCAGATTTAATATTTTTAAAAAGTTAAGTCTACCATAATTTATTCTAAGGGTCTAGTCGCTTTTTTGTTTAAAAGCTAATTCTAATATCTGCTTAAGGACTTTAAACAAAAAATAAATGTTCCAAAGCTTTTTAAGCAGAGATTCTTAAAGTGGGATTAGGATTAAGCATTTAAGAAATAAGTTCAACAGCTGAAGAGGGAGCTTTGAACATTTGAAGATTGTCAAGATTGACATAGCATTTTTTATTGAGTTTAAGTATTTCATGATAGTCTACTCCAGGAAATAAATCTTTCTATGTTATTCTAAATTATCAAATAATTTCTTACAATTTATAGAAGATGCAGCCAATACTAAACATATCACAGATCTTATCATATTTTAAAGTTAGATCTTTAAGATTAGCAATTTCTGGAGCAACATATCCAGGAGTACCACATTTTGGAAATGGGTATTTATCTACATTTGTATTTGTGGCCAACCCAAAATCAACTATTCTAAGACCTTAAACTGAACCATGTTCTTTAAACATGATATTTTCTGGTTTTAGATCACGATGCATAATATTTAAACTATGCATATGAGCCACTCCTTTGAGTAATTACTAATAATTTAAACATTAGATGATACCCACATAATCTATTTAATTTGATCCCATGTCAAGGGTTATGTGGTACTTCTACTATTACATAGGTCATGTAAACTTGGTCCTTTCAGATATTCAAGTATCAGGTAAAATGTATTGTCTCCTTCATATACTTCTTCAAGCTTAACGATCTACTCATTATCAAGGTTAGCCATGATACTAATCTCATTGAATAAGGCAGTCTTATAAATTATAAGAGTATTTCTTACATAGCCACCATCTTCTCTGAGATATCTTTTTTCAATACATTTGGATGCAAATTCTGCTGAATTGTCCTTGTCATGTACTAAATAAACCTAAATTTTAAGTCTAATAACATACTTTAGATGACCCTCCTTTGCCTAAGAGTTTTAATGGTTGGTAGAAGTCACTAACTTCTCGATACATTATTTTGTTTTTGACTATCCTTTTGAAGATTTTTAGCTCTTGTTCTGGTGCTGTGAAATATTTGACTGTCCCTTTGTATTCAATCCCAAATTAAGTCAACACTCTCTAATTGTTTTTTACCCAATGTATATTATTTTCTAGATTTATTGGCACCATATATTTTGGAGTTGTTGACTCAATTTCCTATATTTAGATCATAAACCAATAGAATTACAGTTGAAAGAGTTATAGCATTCTTAAAGATGTACAATTGATAGTAGATATCTCTAACGAGATGCTCTCTTTAACAAATTATATGGTAAACTACCTCACCATAGTTAATTTCAATGTTTTACATGTTCTTTTTTTCAAAATTATTTAATTATATGCTTTCAAGATTTATAGTAAACGTATTTGAAGATGTCTGGAATGGTACAATCAACTTAAATACTGACGGACTATTTTTATTATTTAATTAGAATCCCTTTATAATAAAAAGATGATGAAATTATCCAAATTTTTGATTGATATTCTACATTAACCAAATAAATGTATAATTCCAATTATTTTGACAAATTAATAAAATAAATCAATTAAAATTATTATAAAATAACTACTCATCTGAAATGTTTAAAATTCAAACTAATACATTATATTTTGCATAATAATTATATAATAATATATTTATATAAAAATTATTCATAAGACCATTTTATATTATTAATAAGATAATTATATAATAGAACTTTTTATTTAATTAAAATGTATAATATATTTCATAATATTAAAAATAAATTATACTTCATAATCCCTGAGTAGCAGGAGCATCATTTGGTTCTAAATCATATCCCTTTTGATTATCAAAACCTTAAACTTGACTAGTTAACCCTTCTTCTTTAACTTTAAATCTTCTATACAAATAAGCCAATAAGAATGCTAATAGAACTAAGAGAATTACGAGTCCAATAATAACTCCAATTAATTCTTAAGTGTTGTATATCTTTGCTTAAGCCATTACAACTTTAACTTAAAATGAATTCTTATATGAACATTAAATAGTTTGATATGGGATAGTTGGATTTTCTTCTAAATACTTATCTTTTTCAGGACAAGAAGTAGCATTCATTAATATGTCATATTTGTAAATTTTACCTATATCTTACTCAGACTTAGGTTCACAATAAACAGAAGGATTTCTTACAATATATGGTAATTCCACAATTGTATGTTAAGTTAAACCTAATAAGAATGGATATTCTTATTTAAATGACCATTAATTTTCATCTCCTTCAGTTTAAAAATTTGATCCATAAAACTATACATTTTATAGTTTTGGAATAAAGACATAATCTTCATAAAATGAATTGGCTTTTTCTGTAAAATAATCATCTTATGTATAAAATTTAAATTCTGGCTCAAATTCTTCATAAACTCCAGTTCTCACAATTCTATGTTCATCTTTACCTCTTAAAAGTACAAATTCTGAAGAAATGATAATATCAAAATATTATCCTGTCAAATAATGTGTTTTGACTTCAAACCAACCTTCATCTTTGAAACCTATTTCTACTAATTATTGATTGATTCCACTAAATAGATTATAAATTATAATTACACTTCTTTAAGAATCAATAGAAAATCATCAGGTTATACTGCAATGGCTAAACCTGATTTAATATCAACTAGGCCAAATTTATCATCTCTACTCAATGTAATTAATTATTCACTTGTTCTAACAAGAAACTTTGTAACACCATGAATACTGTCTAAAATAAAAGCATAAGTATCATTAGATGTGCTGGATTTACTAAATACAATATCAACTAAACTAATAGTTAAATCTTTGTTATAGAAATCAAATGAATTCATAGATAATTTAAGACTTAAATCACCATCTTTATTAATCTAATAGATATCTAGTCCATCTCTACCCAATGGAACAAACATATAATTATTTAAAACTTTTATTTATCCAATAAAATTATTGTCATTTTCTAATCCACTACCTATTGAACAATTTTACAAAGTCATATTGGTTTATACTTTACCTTTTAAAATTTAATCTCTATATATCAAATATACATAATTAAACATAGAGACATATACAATTTATGGTACTTCAGCTTCAGTTGCTTAACTTCTTAAGGAATCATAATCATATTCTTATAAAAGTTTTGTATTAAATCCAACTTTACTTTATGAATCTTATGTAATGTTATAATTCAATAAAGTATGATCACTTGTTGCAATCAATATACCTTATTTTGTTATTACCATATTAACCAATATTGGTGTACTTAAATAATATGATGGATCATTTGCATGTTCTTCATCAGGATTATGTGTAGCATTATAAATTACAGTATGATGATTTTCATATTCTCCAAATTCAACTGAACCTTATTTTGAAAAACATATATCCCAAGGAAAACTATTATTTCCTTGCAATTCTATATTGATTGCAAATTCAGCATTTTCAAAGTCTGTAATAAATTAGTGTGATCCTTGAATAACTTCTTTGACTCCACTCACTTCACTTTCAATTGAGAATGTTTTAGTTGTCAAATTTAATAACTCTTCTCCTATAACTTAGAACACAATGACTAAAATAATTATAATCATAATTAATATATTTATTAACCTTTTATATATATATTCTCATTAATCTATGATAATTGAATCATTTTGAAATCTCAGACCAAAAATGTAGCACCAATCATCAGATATTTGAGGTATCTCATATTCTTCTTTTGCATTTGTGATTAAATTTTCTATAATCAATAAATTTTAGTTAGTTAATAATTTCATACTAATTTTATGTCCTTTCTTGGAACTAAATTCAGGTACACTAAAATCTTGTTAAACTTCTGTTAAACCAAAACCAAAATGAACTAATATATATATAATCTAATAATATACCTCCATCCTATCTAACAAAATAAGAAGTGGGTATATTATATTATAGTTCAAAATTATGCTTTTCTATTTGAGAGTAGGAAGCAATTCCAAAAATAATATCAGACCCATTAATTGTAAAAACTAATCTATTTGATCTTATACAATTATTCTTTTATCCTTGAAACTTTATAGTTTAAATTAACCATCGACCATCTTTTTATTTAATTATAAATACTGGAAAGTTTAGATCTTATAATTTAATTTTAATTTATTATTTCAATTTCATTATGATGAATCTAATCATTTAAACTAATAATTTTAGAATTCAAAAATTCCTAATTCATTAATTACTATGTAAAAAACATTTAAATTTAATTGTATATCTTCTACAATTCTATCTTCAATTAGTTTGTATCATTATTAATACCTTTATATTTTAAATCATTGTTTTTAATAGTATATTTATTTTAAATTGAATTTACAAAATCTTATATATTAAATTCTTTTTCAATAAATTCATAATATTCTTGTGATATTGAAGTTAAATTGACATGATTAGTTATGATTTCAATTATCATATTTTCAATATTAGTTAAATGGTTTAGTATATTCTATTTAAATCTTTAAAATTCCTCCAAAATCTCATAATATTAATTATTTCCATACTGTGATATTTTATATATTTCCATATTAATTATAATAATTAATGTAGAAATCATTTGTATTAGGCAATAAAATTGTATGCTCAAATGAAGCACATAAAAAATAAAATATGTAAATTATTGCTTTATGTTTAACCGATGATTGTAATTTTAAGAAAACACTTTGTCCTTAATGTTTTAATGAACATGATAAAAGTCATATAATAATTGAATTATCTGATTTAACTTCTTAATTAGAAGAATAATAAGCATTTTAAATATAATAAAGAACTGAGAAATATTAACTTTTAAGTTCACAATAAAATATTTGTTTTAAATTAATTCAAGAAAAATTAAATTAGATGTTAAATGAAGCAAATTAAGCTAAATAATTAAGTGAATAAAAAATAGAAGCAGAATCTAAATAACATTTTGCAAATAACTTAAGAAATGAGGAAGAATTAGAATAATTAACAAAAGAATTATAAAATAAAGTTAATGCTGATCATTTTAATCCTAGACTTATTAAGTATATTATTATTTATATTATAAAGACTTTTAAATCATAAAAATATTTTATTTGGATATGAAAGATATATAACTAAATTATTATTTGATACAAGTTTATTTCTAAATAATACAGATTGTGTTGAATAATGTGAATATTTTATGGATAATTAATTAATGAGTTTAAAAAATCTTATAAACAACATTAATGAAATTAGATAAGAAATAATTGTTGGATTCTAAGATGAAGAATAAAATCTATTATATATGCAATCTATATTAGAAAAATAAGATTAGAATTTCTAACTCTACATATCATAAAAACCTTAATAAATTAGTGATGAATAGATTCAATATATGAATAATCTAATAAAATTACCTATTGGGTAAATATTACATTTATATCCTACAGAAACACTTACAAATAATTAATTTCAGATCATTTTTGATAATCCTTTCTCAAAAGTAATAACTAAATAGAATCTAAATCATTTGAAATCAATATCTAATGATAAATCTTTAATTTGTATAGGAGCTATTAAATAATCAGATCCTAATCTTCTTATTCTCTGCTCTATTGATTATGCAACTGAAGTATTTTAATCTACGTCATAATTCAAAGTAGCTAGAAAAAGTAAAAATGGATCAGTTTATTGGTATAACAAATATGGAGTATTTTGTGGAGTCATTGGATTCTCACCAACATAATAAATTGATATTGGAAATGCACTCAATATTCACTATGACACACATATATTTGAAGGAGATTTACGTTTCAGTATGTAGGTAGATCATAAATCAAATTGTAGAGTTGGAAAGGAAATTATTGATAATCAAAATTATAGATGGTAAATTTATTTAAAATAATGAATATATATATATATATAATATTTCATTAATCATCATTTATTAATTGATACCATATTAACGACTTTTCATTTTAGGCTAATAAATTTGTAAAATCATTTGTTATAATAATATACTTTTCATCCATTTCTTATTCAAAAATTAATTACATTCTTCCATCTTCTAAAATTGACCAAATCTTTAATTTATTATTTTGACATTAAGCCAATAATGAACCATCATTATTTATTTATAAAGGATTAATTTCATAATCTTTTATATTGTTTTCTGGATCCCATTCTGTTATAATCAATTAAAATAAACCTTTTTTATTTCTTTACCATATTTAAATCTAAGCCTTCTAATTAGTAGTTATAATCATCTAATTTATTTAACTCCATAATGTTGTTGTGAAACCTTAATGTATTTATTAATAAATTATCCAATTGTTATTTTCCTTAATTAAAAATGTCAATTTAGAACTTGATTTACAAATTAATATTCTTCCATCCTCTATAAATATTAGATCATTTAATCTTTCTGGTAACATATTGAAGGAACTATTAAATTCCCAATTATTATTATTTAAACTCCAAAAATTGATTTTTTAATCTTAAGTACTAATTACAAAATCATTAATAATATTGAATGCAATTGAATCTAAAGCTGAATTACAATTTATTTATTTGTATGTTTTAGTTTACAATTAATAAATTTAAATCCTTGTATTACTACCCCAAGCATAAAAATGACCATTAGGACTTATACTAAAGAATTCTGCTGGAATACTATTTTTTAATTAATCAAATTGTCCAAATAAACTATATTAACTTGGTTTAATTATTTTAATTTAATTGTTTAATTCTTATCCAGTAGATATAACTATAATTTATTCATTCTTTATGTCCTAATATATTCTCTTTATATTTTATTTATTATATTTGATACTTATTTCATGTTGTCTTTAAAATTACATAGTTTTAATTTTAACATAATCAAATTAGTTTTTTTAAATATTGTAATCATTATTAACATTAATCTGATCATTTTAAATAAGGGAATTAATACAATTTAAAGTATTTTCACATTTACTTAGAGTTCTATAAAATTTTTAAGTTAATGTAGTTATAATTCCTATTTTAACATTTACACAATCTAATTCTTATTATTTCAATATTTCATATGCTAATTAATGGATATTTTCATTTTAGAGATTTTCTAAAATAAATTTAATTTATTAATTGATTTGATTTTATTATTCACAATTCTTATCTAAAATTTGAATAGCTCTATCACAATACAATTCAATAGACTTATTTAAATCTTCTCTATGATTATTTATCTTCTATTTTTATTATTATTTAAATTCATCTGAAATTGTTTCGGACAATATTTATTTTAATAGCATTATAATTTCAGTATTACTTAATGGTTCATTATCTTAATTACATTCCTTTTAATTACAACATACATAAATTCTCTCATTTCTATACTCAAATTATTCATATTTTAAACAATGACTTTTACAATAAGAATTTCTTCCATTATCATCTAATTAGATATAAGATAAAGGTTTTGAAGATAAACTCAATTTCTTTTTCATTATTTTTCATATATATATTTCTATTTTATCATCTAAATACTAAATTAGTGGTTATTTTATTTGGAAAATAGTCTTTTTAAAATTATTCTTATAATATTTAGGTATATTCTCAAATGTTATTATTTAATAATTTATTAACCATACATGAATTTAATTACTTTAAATTTTGAAGTTTCCTAAATAGAAAAGGAGTTTAGAGAATCAAAACAAAAATTATTTTCAACAATCCTGGTCTATTAAAAATGGATCTTTGGTTTAATCAATTTTCTGTCTTTTGTCAGTTGTTTGATTTCTAAAAATTGGATAATTGCATCAATCAGTTTAGGAACTCTAATCCTTATTTTAATATCAATAAAGGTCCATAAGAAGTATCCATATGTTTATGAAATTGCAATTATTGTATACATTCTCTTAATAAATGCGTATATAGCTTTAGAATACTAATTTGCCAGCATAGATTGGCAATATACTGAAATATTTTTTATTTCCTTCACTTTTGCTAGGTACTCTATTTTCTTAACATTATTAAGTTTATTAAACCTGATGAATTTTATCAAAAGAGCCTTATTATTATTAATTACCGTAACCTTTCATCTTATATTTGGAATTCGACATTAGGATATAAATGCTGATACATATATAAGATATTTATTGTATGTTATCTTATATGTTTAATTTATGTATTAATTTGAAAGGTTATTGAGAATTATTTATTTGGATTATTAGAAATGTCAATAATTCTTGAATAAAATCTCAAAATTCAAAGATGTTTAAAGTTATTCAGTTAAATATGATGAAAGAAAATCATTAATTTTGATTGAGAAAAATAATAACAAAAGAATACTTAAATAGGATTAGGAAGAATTTTTAAAAATGATTACTAATATGTAATTATCTATGTAAAATTAAAAATCAAGGGTTGCTTAAATAATTTCGGTTGATAATTTATTTTCCCCAAAAAAACAATCTCTTAAGTAATTACTAGTTTATTATACACAAGAATCAAATACAGATATGAATGATACTCCATCTAAAACAAGAGAAGATATTTAAATCTATGGATTTTATTAATAAAAAGTGTTTGCTTTAAGTATTTTTAGAAGTATAGATGTTTAACCTATAACAGTATTATTGATGAAAGAGAGTAAATCTGAATCATAAGAAGAAGAATTAAGATTGAGAATGAGAAATAATTAAAAACAACTTAATTATATACAATAAATATTTGATAGATAAATTAAAAAATCTCTTATTTATTTTAGATGGATTAAAAATTTTGCCAATAAATAAACAGATGGATATCTAATAAATAAATCATTAAAAATGATTAATTATAGTTTAATTAAAGGATATACAGATTTCCTTAATTTAGAGACATTTAGCTTATCTAAGATGTTATGTCCTGGAATCAAATAATTTGATCTTATATTATTAATTAAAGATGTTTTTGCCTTTTATGATGGATATAATAAATAGAAACCTGAATCTATGAGTTATATCCAATAATATGAGATTATTAATAATTTAAGTAGTAATAGCATTTTTTCTGACTTCAAATATCTAAAATTATTACTATTTAACTTAATTCATTATACAAGTGAAAAATCATAGACAATAACAGTAATATTAGATGAAGTAACTACAGAATTTTCATAAACACCTATAATAAGAATTAAAATACAATATTAAGCTCCTAATTTAACAAAGGCTCAACTACATAGTTTACCAATTTTGAATCCTTAATCTTTGGAAGAATTAAAGCACAATAGTACTGTGCCTTTAGATTTAGATTTAGCAGTTTCATTAATATTAATTAGAAGATTAGGACCATTTGATAGAATGAAGTTAGTTTAATAAAAACGAAAATGTAATTATTTAGAATTTTACATTTTTTAATAACTAATGGAAGATTATTTGTTGATTCCTATAAAATCAATGAAACCATCAGACAAAATAATAGTTTAAGAATATTCAAAGATTGCTAATTCATTTTCAACTTCGATCCAAATTGAATCTGCTGGAGAAAGTTTCTAATTTTTATGATTATAGTATATTTGATTGCCTATTATAATTATATAATTATCTCTCTCTATTAATATTTTAAATTTTAATGCTAAGTGATTAAATAAAATGAAAGTTATTTAAAACTTATTATTGTTATGTATATATGTTAATATAAAATAATGATCTAATAATATATAATTTTTTACAATTTAATTTATAAAACAGAATAAATGAGTGAAGATTGGAAAAAAAAAAAAATAGATAATTTTGTGATCCTTAATAAAATATTAGGAAAAGGTGCATATGGGACTGTGTATTTAGGATATATGGATACAGGATAGAGCTAAGTGAGAATTGCAGTAAAAACGGTACCAATGGATGTAAGTTACTTAATGATTGTATAGTCAGTGAAGTAATCTCCTTAAATATTAAATTTGATTAAAAGAGAATCAACTATTTTAAAATCAGTAGAGCATCCTAATATCGTTCGTTTATATAATGCAAATAGAACTCAAAACTACATATATATCTTTTTAGAATTTTGTTCTGATGGAGATTTAAGAAAATTTTTGATGAGTAAAAAAGAAAAACATTTATCTGAAGTTAATTTTTTAAATAAATTTATAGCTAGAAGCAATTATATTTCTAAAACATATTGTTGAAGGATTCAAAGAATTATTCTCAAAGAAAATAATTCATAGAGACATAAAACCTGAAAATATATTATTATCTAATGGTATTGCTAAGATAGCTGATTTTGGATTTGCTAGAGTAATGGATGTTGAAATGGATGGTATTATTAATAATTATAAATTTTATTAGAACCTGGCAAATTTTCAAGAAATGGTACTCCAATTTATATGTCTCCTTAGATTTTAAGAGGTCAACCATTTTCAGCAAAATGTGATGTTTGGTCTTTAGGAATTTTATTTTATGAAATGCTTTATGGTAAGACACCTTGGTAAGCAGAAAGTTAGATTCAATTAGAACAATTAATATTAAATAAACCTTTAAAATTTCCCAGTAAACCAGTTCGTAGTTAAAAAGTAAAAGAATTAGTTGCGATGATGTTATAAGTAGAAGAAAAAGTATTAAAATATAAATGATGTATAATTTAGGATAGATTAAGTTGGTAACATATTTTTGAACATTAAGTTATAAAAATGAATGAAGACACAGTTAGATAGAATATGAATGATATAATGAAAGAAGATCCAATGACAAAATCAATGAGTTTAAATAAGATTTATTTGGATTAATATAAAGTTGTTGGATATTTACATACAAAAATAGAGGATTATAGAGAAGATAGTAAAAATGATTTAGATGGTTTAAAATAAATGTTTGATGAAGAGAATGTAATCATTTTCATTCATTTAACTTATAGCCTGATTTAATATTGTCTTAATACTAGAAGGAAATGAAAAGAAGAGAATCATTTTAAAAATTCTATACTTATTATTTATATGAGAGAAATGTTGCTTTTTTCATTAATTATACATAATTAAGAATTATTAAATTATAGACTTTTGGAGATATTACACTCAAAAAAGATGAATTCTTATAATTAATATTTATGTTGGCTAGAAATTAATTGTTACATTTAGATAAAATCAATTTAGCATTGAATTCTAATAAACATGATTAATTTGATTAAGAACTATGGGGTCGATTTATTGTTAGTAAAGTAAATGATTATATTATATTTTAAAGGATTGTTAGAGATTATTAACTACTATCAAAAATGACATTAATATAATTAAAGATGTATTTATATAAGTCAGAGAAAAGTGTCCTTAATATTAATAATTTTATGAAAAAATTGATCAAATCAAAGAGTTCTTAGGATAATATAAATCTATTATTTCAAAAACTATTGAATATTTGAATCCATTTTAAACTAATCTTGGAAAAGATGTATTAACTGGTGTATATTATTTAAAAATATGTTTAAATCCTTATGAATTTTTCAAATCAGTTGATTTTGATTTCAATTCATTTTATGAAGAAATAGAAAATGCATCTGAAGAAGAATTAAAAATAAAAATTTGAGTTCTTTTTGTTTAGTTTTAATAACAATTTATTTATTATTCTTTATTAGCTAGTATAAATGTATAATTATTTAATTATTCCTTATGGGATCAACCTCAAGCTGCTTTAAACATCAAAATCTCAATTAAAATGAATTTTAAATCCCTGTCATTGTAAAATAATAACTCATTCAACATCATCCAACTAAATAAAATTATCTAATTGAACCTCTATATTGTTTAGGAGAAAAATCAGAATCCTTAGAAGAACTTGAAGCAATTCTCTAACAATCTTATGCTAACCTTAGTTACCATTAAACTGCAACATTTCATAGTAATAGTAACTTAAAGGCTTCTTAAAAAGATAAACAAACTATTTCATTAGCTTAACTTCCAAATCAGTAAGAATCTTATAAAATACTAAGTATTAACAATAAAGATAATTAAAATCATAACTAATAATAACATTCAGTATTATAAGACCATATCTAATAAGAGAAGAATGAAAATATATTAAACAATTAATAATCTTAAAAAAAAAAATAATTCAGCAGAAGTTTAAGTAATCTTAAGCAATAAAAATGTGAATGGAAAGATGATTAATCTTAAAAATAAAAAGATTCAGATTAAAATACTATTAAAAGTATATTAAAGAATAAATCAACAATTAAAAATCAAAAATAATTATATTACAAAAGAGGATAGAGTTTAAAGTAAAAATCAAATTTTGTTGAAGTTGATGATAATTAATCTTAAAAAACTATTAAAAGTTAAAAGAAAAAAGTAAAATTTGATCCAAAAATCTTTAGATAAAAAAATACTCATTTTTTTTAATGATTACTTATTCATTACTCTCTAATCTATATCTATTATTATTTTGATTCATTATTTAATTAATAAAAAATTAATTTTCTTATTAATTTATCTAAATTTTAGATTTAATAATGATATCAAACCTATATTCTTCAATTGTATTTAATTATTATTTTTATAAAAAAGTAAAATTTTTAGAAATTTAATGAATTATAACACTTTTAATAAATCATTTATTAGCATATTAAACTTTATTCTATAATTTCTATATATAATAGAGTTTAATCTTTTTTAATATATACTTTTTGGATGATTTTTAATTTCATAACATACATCTATTTTATAAATGTAGAAAACCAATAATATTTTTAGATTCCTTTAATTACTAAAAGTTTATAATAACAATATTTATTTAAAAATGTTGAAAATTAGAATAATGTAATTGATTTGATATATTGTAAATATATTAATATATAATTTAAAAAATAATATGAATTTCTTATCACTCTCCTTTACAGATAAAGTTATTGAAAATAAATATTAAAATAGGAAAAAGGAACTATCTTAATAATTATTAAAATTCTAATAAGCATTAGTAATATTAATGTTGCTTTATGTTTTAATATCAAGTGCATTTAAATAAATTTGGATTTCACTTTGTATAAGTGGAATAGGTTTGATACTATTAATAATTAGTGTGAAATTAAATATTGATCGATAAGAATAATGTTATCTCAATAACACAATTATAATCTTTATGACGATCTTTAACTATTATAAATCATTACAAAAAATACTTAGTGAAACTCTTCATTAAATTAGTTACATTGAAGGATATATGTTGGCCTTAGCTACTACATCATGTATTTTGCATAATATAATAGAGTATTGAATTAGGCTAGTTTTATGTAAAAATGCTTCATCCATGTTTCAATTTACATTATGTTACAAATATTTTAGCCTATTTTAATATAGGAAATATGGGAATAAATGATTATCTTTTTAGTTTATTTAACACTACATTTAATATATCTATACAAAACAGAGTAAATTTAAAGATAAGAATATATAGAGTTAATCAAGCATTAAAAGGCTGAATAATAATTAATTAATTTATGTGGAATCACATTATATATAATTAGTTACAAAAGAGAAACAAATTAAATGTTATTAACTACTTAGAATAATGAAGATAATATTACAATTCAATAACAATAATAATTTGTTTCTCAAATAAGAAATATGAGAGTACTCATTAAGGATTAGGAATCTCGTACACATTATAAATCATAAGAAGAAATAAAATAAGATGCAAAAATGAATTTAGAGAAATTTCTATTTTATTTTGTTAGTTGTCCAGAAAAATTAAAAGATTATATGAATAAATTCTAAATTGATTCTTTGATTAAATTGTAAGGAGTATAAAATTAAGAAAACTATAATATTTCAATAATTAAATATTTTGATGAATTACCAAGTGCCATAATCTTAATCTCATAAAATAAGAAGGATGTATTTATTGAAGAACTTAAATTACGATATAAGATATTTCAATAAGTCATGGAAACAATTGATGAAATATTTCAATCCTAAGTGAAAATGAGTTTGATATATTTTAGAGCCATACACAAATATTAAAAAGTAAAATCTAATACTAATATGGATTTGTGCATATATAAAAAAATATATAGTAAAATTGCAAAGGCATACAATGATTTCTAGAATATTAAAGACTTTTTTAATCTTAATACTACTTTCTAAAGATCTATAATTTAAAAATTTAATTTTATAAATTTCTTAGAAGATATTTTAATTGAAATATAAAATTACTTTTATTAAAGTAAAAGATTCACTTATTCTATAAAAAATCAACTTAAAAAAGATATTGTTTTTTAAGATTAAAAATAACTTAAGTAATTATTTTTAAATCTTCTATATTATCTAACTGAACATTGTTAAGATATTGGAATTGTATTGGATTAAGGAGAAGAGTATTCTTTGAAGAAATCATACTTTCGTGTTAGGATAGAATTCAAAGGATCAAGTTTCAGTAAAGATGCAATAAAAGGACTACCATTCATTAATCCAATAACTCTATCTGAATTGAGACATAATGCAGAGTAAGTATATCAATTAAATTTACCAATGGCTATAGTAATAGTGAGAAAGTTAGGACCAACTAATAAAATACATATAAAATAGAATAAGAATGGAATAAATAGCATTGAATTTTTGATATTTAGAGAACTTTCAGAAGATTTTCATCTTATGCCTTTGAAATCTTAACATCCTAGTAATTATCTGATTTTGAATGCAAAATCATCAATACATGGAAAACATGCAGCCTATTTTGATTTGTTATCTTTGAGTCCAAGAATTTAATTAGATAATTTTAGTGAATTATGATATTCTTTAATTTTGAATAATTAATAAAATTTTAAAACTAGATATCTAAATTAAGAAGAACATTCATTATATGATTATAAAATATTAAGCATTGTCAAAATTTAACTTAAATATATATATTATAAATGTAATTATTATCATAGAAGTTTATCTCTGATAAATTTGAAGAATAATATGAAAGGTACATAATGAAGTTCAGATTAAGATTTTAACTCATATAAAAAGTCATCTTAATACCTCTCATTATTTACTATACAATTGAAAAGGTTATTTAATCATCTTGGTTCACAGTTTGTCTAAATATAATTTTAGGAATTATCATATTGACAAGTTTGAGATATTAGAAAAAGTGTATTAAAGTCTATGAAATATTATTACTAATAGGAATTTTGTTATTCAATATATTCTATGCAACATCTCAATATTTATCAATACATCCAGAGAGATACTAATTTATTGATGGGTATTTTCTGGCTATTCTTAGTTTAACGTATAATAATTTCATATACATATTTTAGAATATTAAACATGATGGATTCTATTCAAAAAGCATTCACTTTATTATTTATATACCTCTACTTTATGATTATGATACCCAATCCCAAAGAGCCATTATGGTCTCAACTTACTAAATTCATTATTTATATTATCCTATACTATCAATAATCAAGATATTAATAATAATTAATGAGAATGACGTATATGCAATATTGCAAGCACTTAACGATAGAAAATAATATAAAAGAAAATTTAGAAATGAAATATTATATTGTTAATTTTATAGAAAATTCAAGACAAATTATTTTATAATAAGAGAATGTAGATAAATTCAATGAATAAGAGGATTAATATAATTTTTAGGCTTTTATAAGAAAAACTATAGTTGCAAGTCAGGGTCGAAAAATAAAAAAATAAATGGATATTAGAAAAAATTCAAGTGATATGAATTTAGAATAATTCTTATTTTATTTGTTTACAGATAAAAATAGATTAAGATAATTAGAAAATTATGAAAATAAATATTAGGATTATTAACATTTATTATTTGGATTTAATTAAGATGAATCCTTTATAATAAAAGTAGTTTTATGTTTTGATACTGCACCATGTGCAATATTATTAATTACTGAACAATAAAAAAAATAATTTGTAGATAAATTAAAATTATAGAATAAAGCAACATTAAAATTATTAAACTATTTTTAAGATATTTTTAATACTCAAATTAGATTATCATTAATAATAATGAATGGAATTCTAAAAAAATATCAATAATCTTAATAAATGAATAAATGTCTTAATTATGTTGTATCTTAACTTTATATTTCCTATAATAAATATTATAATATATCTGACTATTTCTCAGCTAATACTGATCTTAAATAATTATCTCTCTTAAAATTTAATTTAATATAATTACTAGAAATTTTGATTGATAAAATGAAATATTATAGAAATAATAATAAACTTAAAACTAGAATTATCAAAATACATACTAAACTTAATGATTTATTTATGAAATCTGATATTAAATAGATTTAGTAATTATTCCTAAATCTTATGATATTTACATCTTAATATTCAAATGAAATATCAATTGAAATAGATGAAGATCTTGATCAATCTTTTTTACCTTAACCTATTGTTAATGTTTGCTTTTATTTTAAGACACCAAAAGGTACTAGAATTGAAGTTGATAAATTTCCTATCATTAATCCAACAACTTTGGATGAAATCAAAAAGAATGATAAAAGATAAATGGATCTTTATATATCAATATCTTTATTGATAATCAGAAATCTAGGACCTTTTGATAAGATTACAATGAGAAACATAGGAAAATCACAATACAAAATTCAATTTTACCTATACAAATAAATACCTTTAGGATTAAGTTTAGTGCCTATTCATTCTTTCGATCCTAATATGTATATTAAGAGAGATGAAGATTGGCAATTAGTTTAATCTCAAAAGAAAGATTCTATAATTAATAGTTTCAATTAAGAATTAAGATTAGATACTTAACGATGTCTTTCATCTCCCCTTCCTTTATTAAAGAAATGATATATTGATAATATCAAAAACTATTTAATATTGATATCAATTTATTATAAATATTGAATAAAAATGTATTATTTTAAATATGAATCCTTTCTAACCTAATAATATATATAAAGGAAGTAGAATCAAAACAATATTAGAGTGTTTACTCTTAATAATAAGATTACCTATCTTTTTAGGATTGACATTAGAAATAATAATATTTAATGATATACTCTTTAGAAAATTACAAAATTTAGAGCTTCGTCCTAATATTTATAAATTAATAAGAATTATAATATTGTTACATAACTTCTTTATTGGAAGATCATTATTATTGTTTATAGGATACTATAATATAAAATCCATATTTAAAAACACTCTGTAACATTAAAAACAAAAAAATTTACAATCTTATACATTATTATGTTCAAGAACTTCTCCAATTGATGTTTTTACACTTATTACCTAGTATGAATTATCTTTATAATAAAAGTTTTTCTCCATCTTTTACTCATATTTCAATAAATAAGAGATAAGTCCATTATTAATTAATAAGTTATTATTAAGCAATCATAGATTCATTTTATATTGAATAATGTAGTTTTAAATAGTTTAAAGTGGGTAAAGATATAAGAGAATTGATGGAATTAATAGACAAGAAAAGAACTGGACCTTTGATAGTGTTTTGGGAAGGAGGTGTATCAAATGGTTAATATTTTTTAAAGATTGATGATCTAATGATAAATGAAGCTTATAAGGTAAATAAATATTCCAAATAACATTAATTATTAGTAAAATATAATTATTCAAATCCAATTGGACTCTTCAGTATTTTAACTAATAAAAGAGTCAATCTTATAGGGAATTCATGGATTAAAATGTTATTTAATTTATTATCAAATTATTATTGTGATTTAGAGATGTTTTTCTTAAAATTGCCATATTATTCATTTTCTGATTATAAGCTTAATAATATTTATTATTAATTTGTAAATAATCAATTAAAAAGAAAATTAGTAATTATATAATAATATAAAAAAGAGTAAGAAAAATTGGATGGATTTTATTAATAAATATGTTAGAAATATAAATTGATTAAGTATATCATTAATTTATAAACAACATCATCAAATCATAAGAAATCATCATCTATTATAATTTTATTTTCATTTTGATTATCTTCATTATTAAATAATTCTCTTTTAATACTTTAACATAAACTCGTAAACATATTTTTAGTAGCCATAAATATTTATTCATCATCAGTATCAACATCATGATCTAATTTTATATCTCTTAATTTGCATTATTTCATAGTATCTTTAATGCATCTAAAAGCATAGATCTAATCACCTTTTTTATATTTAATCAATTATCCACTAACAATTCTTTTTCCATCTTTAAAATTAGCATTCTTCATTTTCATAGATATTGACTTTTTATGCCAAACATCTTTAGAAATAGTTTTTTGATTAATTTAAACTTATTATTTTTGTATAGGTTTAAGTATTTTAGATGCTTCATTCAATTTATTAATCAAATTCACTTTTGGTAGATCCTTTTAAACAGGTACATTTTCTTTTTACTATGAATAGAACTTAGGTTTAAGTCTAATAGGTTACTGAGAACTTTATGATAAAGTCATTAATCTTTTTTGGAACAGGAACATTATTTATTCGTTAAATATTATTGTTTAACTTCATTAATTAATTAAAAAAAATCAAGTATAAAATAAAAACAATTTGATTTTTTACATCATCATTATTAAGCTCTAGAAGCATGTATTTATTATTATTATTCAAGTTTTTATTTTTGTTCTTATTCTTATTATTTTTTTAATATATGTTATCCAACAATAATAATAAATTAACCTGGCAATAGAAATACATAACCAAAACAAGCTATGGCAGATGGATAATATTAAACTGTTGCAATATCACACAATATAGCTGTAATTACAGGTTCAAATAAAGCAGCTGTAGCAGGCACAATTGGTTCAAATAATTTACTTATTAATATAGAAGATATAAAAACTCCTATACTTAACATAGTAGACATATAACTAATAGAATAATAATTAATTATTATACAAGAAACCCATAAATTTTCCATTTTAAAATAATCCAAACCAACCCCATCTTGAATCAAAATTTATTGATGTACCATCCATAAAAAATGAAACCATACACATATTTAGACAAACAAAAAAAGCAACACAAAAATTAGCTAAGAAAGGAGGGAATACACTTCTAAGATCTTAATTAGCTTTTGATAATTCAGCTAATATTATAGAAGCTAAAAACTATAATAATAATAATAATAATCTATTACTGGTATAGTATTTCCAATAATAATTCTCATCCAAATTGGTCTATTGTACAATAAAGGATTAATGTAATTTTTAGCTGTTTCAGGAATAGTGTCAGTATTCAACATATATGAATCTAAACAAATAAGTAAATATCTATTTATATATGATCATTATACCCAGCAACACACATGATTTTACCTCCTCCTTCAATGTTATGATTATTTTCTTTTTTTCTAAAGACTGATAACCAAAAATTAGTCTAAGATCCTAAGACAAAGACACTTGAAATATTTGTATAATCAAAACAAAACAGAAATACTGCAAATGTTACCGTTGTAGTTAAACTTGCCATATAAACTTTTCTCATATGAGTCCATCTCAATAGAAATTCCATTGTATATGCTGACTTAACTTTCTCATTTCCAGTCCTATATTCATACATGATAAATGGAATAAGAAATATTCCTTATAATAAAAATCTCCAAGCAATACGTAAATACTTTGATTTATATTACTAGATACTTTTTCAGCTGGTATTGTCATAATCCATGGAGGCATCATGGCATTATTAAAAGATGCATAAAAAATAATTGCCCAAGCTAAATACTATGGAATTTTCTCATAAAGTTATTAATCATCTTCTTCATCATCTGCCAACTTATTTAAACCCACTATTTATGTAATTCGAGTATTCAATGTCAATCTCTTTATTTACTTATTATTCTTCTATTTCTTATCATCAAATCCAAATGTCTCTTCAAATAAAAATCCACCCATTCCAGAGCCAACAACAAAACTCTTTACATTTTCATGTTTCTATTATTAATCTTCACCATCCTCTTCACTTACCTCCTCCTTCTATTCTTCTGGCAGAAATTGTTCATTTTCATCAGGTTCATCTTCCCTCTACTTACTCAAAAATTATTATACATTTTTATCTAAATCAAGAAGATTTTAGTTTAAGTCCATATTTTCTAAAGAATGCCTTTCTTCTTTTATTGTTTATAAATGTTAAAGAGACATTAAATAATTAATTACATTTTTGAATAACAATATGTGAATCACAATGTCTTCTTACTTAAAGAATGCTTACATTATATATTCAGTTTAACACTCATTTCCAATTACTTTTTATGTAAATCTTAACCTATTATAATCAACAATTATCCAAATTGTAACCAAAAATACCCTAAATAAGTCAAACCATCAGGATAATATTGAACACCTGTAAATTTGAGTAGTACAGAGGTTAGTAATGGTTCAATAAGATTACAAATAGCTAAAGTTAAAGGATCAAATAACTAAACTGTGATTATAGAACAAATTGATATTCCTATAATTATAATTAAGGAATTATAACTATTTTTATATTATTTATAAATTACAAAAATTCTATAAACTTCTAATTTGTAAATAATCCAAAAACTCCAAATTATGAATTATCATCTAAAGAAATTCCATCAACGAAATATGCAACTATAAACATATTGAAACTAACAAATATTGCTATAAAATAATTGCTCAAGTATATTGGAAATGAATTTCTTACTCTTAAATTAAATATAGAACTTCTTGCTAATAGTAATGAAGATGTAAACTAATTGTTTATTATTAATATATAAATACTGGCACTATAGTTCCAATCAATAATTTTAATTATGGAATTTAGGTGAATACTGAAGTATTAATATAATTAGATGCTTTTATTGGTATTCCTTAATTATTCATTATCATAGATTCAACAACAATCAACAAAAATCTTATTATTTCAATTTATACCCAAAAAAACTAAATATCTACCCTCTTTTTTCTAAAATATGATTCTAACTTGAGACACGTACAACTGATAACCAAAAATTTGTTTATGATCCCAATATAAAAATAGTGGCAATATAATTATAATCAAAACAAAATAAAAATATTGTGGAAGCTATCGTTGGACTTATACTTGCATAATAAAGTTATCTCATATTTTCCCATTAAAATATATATCTAAATTCGTATTACGATTTAACTTATTAACTTCCAGTTCTCTATTCATACATCATTATAGGAATCAAAAACATACTCTAAATCCAAAATCTCCAAGTTATTCTCAAATACTATATTTTATATATATATTCAATACTTTATCTAATGGTATTGTCATAATCCAAGCAGGTATCATAGCATTATTAATTGTTTGATATATGAGTATAGAACATGCTGCAAAAGTTGAAAAGTTTTCAAATAAATTTCTATTCTAATTTTCTAAATTGTCTAATTCGACTTCACTTGATCTAAAAATCTATGTAAAATTAGAATATATTGTAAGTCTTCTATATTAATAATTTTAAGGCTTTGTTTCCTAAAAATCAATTGCTTAATCTGTGTAAAATCCTCCTAAGCCAATGAATACCATAGATGCCATCTATTATATATTTTCTTTATTTGATTCCCTATTGTTATCATCTTCTTCTATTATTTCATCTGGAATAAATTATTCATTTTCAAATTTGCTATCATCTTGTAATAAAGGATATTGGATTTTCTAAAAAGACTTTTATTCATCTTACTCATCAATTTCTTCTTTTATGATATCTAAATTTAGAATCATAATAAATTCAATTAAAATCTCAAATTTTGCATTTAATTTTAACAGTACAATTCTAAAATCACGGTTGCATAACAATCAAATACTATTAGATTTGATTTAAGACTTTATATCTTTAGATATTAAATCAAATCAAAATTAACTCATAAAATCAATTACAATTGAAAGAATTAATTGCTTTTTCTTATCTTCTTAACCACACATATACAAAGATCATCAATTAAAATTAACTTAAATATGCAAGGAAGCTTATTTTGGATCTCTATATTGATCTTGTATTACTAATTGAGCTGTTAGAATTATGTATTATTGAAAAATAATTTATATAAATTCTGTGCTTATTAAATCCAATTCAGTGCTTAGAAGAATAATATAAATTAGACTAATCAATATAATAATACCCTTAACAACATTTGAATTTTAAGTGTTGCTATTTAATGTATTATTTTAATAGATAGATTTTCTGTAGGCCTTCTAGAAATTTGATATAAATATTATAATTATATAAAGCCTAGCTTCTGGTAGGAATTTTAGAATATTTGTAAATTTTGATCATAAGTACATCTTATCTATGAATATAAAATGTTAAGATTATTCGATAATAATACCCCACTTTAAAATAGAGAATATTTAAATGAATTGGTCGTATCTACTTTAATAGCCTAGTTATAATGAATTAAAATAAAATAAAATAATTTATTTTTGAAATACCAAAATTTCATTCAGATGAATCCAGATTTAATGTGCAATCTATACTCTTAAGCCTAATATTATCAGCCATACATCTATTTCCCCCAATAATAATTCTTTTAATATAGTAATATTGATTCATTATAAGTCATAAAGTGATGTTTTAGAAGTAGACCCCTACCGTGCCTATCCCTTCATAGAAATACGATACACCAATTTTTTTGAATAATGGAATAACTTAGCAGTCAATTGAATCTCCAAATATGACAAAAACACTCTAAAATAATCATTTAACTGAAGTTGACTTTGAACACTAAGAAAAGTGTTCATCTATTTAGGATGAGTCTCAATCAAGAGTAAATGGTACATATAATTTTTATGCTTAGGACATTGGACTAAACAAGAACATTTATTATATCTAGAATTCGTTAAGAATCATGAGTCTATCCTGAGGTCCAAATATGATAAGAAGTCAAAAAAAATATTTAAATTAATGAGTCAATATATCCCGACAAGAACAGCCACTCAATGCAGATCTCATCATTAGAAATTCAATCCTTTAACAAAAAGTAAAAAGAAATGCAGATAAACAAATAAGATTCCAACTGTTATCCACCCATGAAATTGTTTTCTTTGATTCTATCAGTGTTATTTCAAATTTTTAAATGGAATAAATTTATCAAGCTGTTGTATCCTATATTAATATTTAAAAATAAATACAAAAACATAAATCAAAAATATTTTGTGTAATATTTTTAATTTGATTTTATAATGACTAAATATATGTGTATATTAATGTAGTTAAAGTCTCTTAAATATATTTATTTTTATAATCTTAATCCAATATGAAATAGGATTTTCATCATAAGACTATAAAGGCCTTCACAATGATAATTTTTCTGGTAACTTTAAGTAATATCTAAAATTTGATAGCTTTAGTGGCCACAACAGATTTTTAAGATGAAAATTAAAATGAATTCACATAAAAACTAATATATGATATGTGATGAACATCTACCTCTTTAGGACTTCTTGAAAATAGATTTTCTCTTATTGATATTATACATACATACATCATACATTTTCTCAGACAATTTTTTTAACATTAACATCAATGATCTAAAAATCTAATTATTCATTCAATCAAAAATGAAGTATTGATTGGTTTGAAAAACTTTAAATCTCATCCATTCTTTATTTTTGACAAAAAAAAATATTTTACTTGTGATTACAAATTAATTTTCTAGAAATTAATCTCAAGATAATAATCAGTTAAAGAGTCTATTTGTATATCACAAAAGATCCATATTGTAACATTAGTAAATAAATAATGTTATGATATAAAATTAGTGAATGTAAAATTATTTGATTATTAATTATTCTATGTAGATTAGATAATCTAAAATGAATATAATTTAATTTTTGAATATTATTATTTTATATATTTTTTTTCTCATTTTTTCAATAGAATATTTAATAGATATATTATTAAAAACTAAAAATCTTTAATCTCTATATTTTTGTGAATTCAATTATTCTGTTTGATTATTTAGCAAAAATAACTATATCAAATTTAAATTTATGAGTTTTTTAAAGAAAAATAGGTTTTGGAAGATTAAAAATATTATTATTTAGTTTTCACATTGATTATAAGATATATTTTAAGTAATATATTACATAGATCTAATAAGTCTGGTTATAATCAAATTAGAAATTGAAAAATAAAGAGAAGTTTGTATTTTTTAACTTTATAATGAATATAAAATTGAAAAGTGGATTATTACATTTAATAAATATTATTGTTATAATCAGTCAACAGAGCTTATTTTACTACAAAATTTATTTAGAAAATAATTATACATATAATTATCATATTTTAAATGTAAGATAAAATATGTGATTTATTATTGAAACAAATACCTGGTATTTGTAGATTAACTTAGAAATGTATCCATCATATGTCAGGAATGTTGGTTGAAGATACACCCTAGAATGCTGCTGATGTTTAAGAGTTATTGGGAGAGTATTTTAGAAACGGAGGAAAATTGACCACATAAGAAATTAATAAAATTTGCTAAAAAATATTTGATGCTCTTGAAAAAGAGTAACTAATAAAAAAAGAAAAGAAACATACATTAGCAGCTGAACGATTACCTTAAGAAGTTATATTGTCTGAGTTAGATTTTTATTTGGAAAAAGAGTCTGTAAATTTGATATATTATCATTTAGGAAACAATAAAATTTGAGGATTTATTTAAAGAATAAGTAGCAACAAATACAAATGATCAAATTTAAAAGAAGGATCGTAAAGAAAAGTTAAGATAGAAGGAGGATATTAAAGCTATGGAAGCATATGAGAAACATATTAAAACAATAAAGGAATAAAAAACACATATTCCTCCAGCAAGAGTAAGACACAGTAAAGCAGAATAAGATGGCAAGAAACTAGATATAGTAATCGATAAATTATCAATAATTGTGGGAGGAAGAGCATTATTGGAAGACACTTCTTTATAATTGATATATGGTTAAAAGTATGGTTTAGTTGGTAGAAATGGTATTGGTAAAACATGGTAATTTATAATCTTATTGATTTTATAGTTTGATGAATGCCCTTGCAAGATATGAATATGAAAATGCTGATAAATTCAGACACATCTAAGTATTGTTGGTTGAATAAGAAATTTAAGAATCAGATAAAACTCCTGTTTAATTAGTTTTAGAAACAGATATGGAAAGATTAGAATTACTTGAACAAAAGGATAAATTGGAAAATTCTGAAGATCCAAATGCTGGATTAAAATTATAAGAAATATATGAAAGATTAGAATTAATTGAAGCACACTTAGCTGAAGGAAAAGCAATTAAAATATTATAAGGATTAGGATTTACTAATGATTTGATGTATAGAAAAACTAAACATTTATCAGGAGGTTGGAGAATGAGAGTTTCATTGGCAAGAGCTTTGTTTGTATAACCAGATGTATTATTATTGGATGAACCTACTAATCATCTTGATTTAGATGCTGTTATGTGGTTAGAAGATTATGTTATTAATTGTAAACATACAGTAATTGTGGTATCACATGCAAGAGAATTTTTGAATGTGGTTTGTAATTAAGTTATCCATTTCTATGATTAAAAATTAACACCTTATACTGGAAATTATGATTAATTTGAAAAAGGAAGAGCTGAAAAGAATACTAATCAAAAGAAATAATTTGAAGCTTAATAAAAGAAATTATCACATATGCAATCCTTCATTGATAAATTTAGATATAATGCTAAAAGAGCATCATTAGTCTAATCACGTATTAAAGCTATTTAGAAAATGGATTTGATTGATGAAGTTTTAGAAGATCCAAGTTGTGTATTCATATTCCCAAATCCTGAAAAATTAAGACCACCTATGTTGAGAATTGAAGAAGGATATTTTGAATATTAATTAGGTAAACCAATTCTAAAGGGACTTAATTTTGCAGTTGAAATGGAATCACGTGTGGCCATTGTTGGTGCAAATGGTGTTGGTAAATCAACATTATTGAATTTATTAACTGAATAAAGAAGGTTAACAGAAGGTAATTACTTCAGAAATCCGAGATTAAGAATTAGCATGTTTACTTAACATCATATTGAATAATTAGATCTTATGAAGAGTCCTTTAGAATAATTAATGACAACCTTCCCTGGAGCATCAGGAGAAACATATAGGTCTCATTTATCATCATTTGGTTTAAATGGAAATTTATAATTAAGACCACAATATTTATTATCTGGAGGATAAAAGAGCAGAATATCTTTTGCTATGGCTGTTTGGAATAATCCTTAAATTTTAATTATGGATGAACCTACTAACCATCTTGATATTGATGCAGTTAATGCTTTAATCATTGCTTTGAACAATTTCACTGTATTTTGATTATTTATCATAATTAGGGTGGTTTAGTAATAGTTTCACATGATCAATATTTTGTTTCTACAGTCTGCGATTAGATTTGGTATATAAAGGAAGAAAGACTTAAGAAATTCAATGGAGATTTTGATGATTACAAAAGAGCTTTATCAGAAGGAAAATTGGCTTGAATTTCTTATTATAAATATAATACAATAATGTATAATATATAAATTAATTTATTAAAATGCAAAAAGTCTTCAAGAATGCTCTAGCTAAATATAGAGTAGTTTTTCTAAGACATGGTGAATCATAATGGAATAAGGAAAATAGATTTACAGGATGGCATGATGTTACACTCTCATAAAAAGGAGTTGAAGAAGCTAAAGCTGCTGGATAATTATTAAAGAAAGAAGGATTCTAATTCCATTAAGTTTATACATCAGTATTGACAAGAGCTATTTAAACATATAATTATGCAGCTGAAGAAATGGGATGTCATTATTTACCAGTAACTAAAAGTTGGAGATTGAATGAAAGACATTATGGTGCCTTATAAGGTTTAAATAAGAGTGAAACAGCTTAAAAACATGGTGAAGATTAAGTTAAAATTTGGAGAAGATCTTATGATATCCCACCTCCTCCATTGGATCCAACAGATGCCAGAAATCCAGCCAATGATAGAAGATATGCTGATGTTCCTAAAGATGCTTTACCACTTACTGAATGTCTTAAGGATACTGTTGTTAGAGTTATTCCATACTGGCATGATCATATTGCTTAAGATATCCTTGCTGGTAAAAATGTTTTAGTAGTTGCTCATGGTAATTCATTAAGAAGCATTGTTAAGTACTTAGATAATGTCTCTGAGAAAGGTATAACAATCTCTTATTAAATTAGATATTCTTGAATTGAATATTCCTACAAGTGTTCCATTGGTATATGAGTTCGATAGCAATTTAAAATCTTTGGGATCTTATTATTTAGGAGATCAAGAAGAAATTAGAAAAAAAATGGAAGCCGTTGCAAAATAAGGTGCAAAGAAATGATAAAATAAATTAGTACCAATAAACAAAATTACAAATTATGCTCATTAATCATCATTTGAGAAATGAAAACTTTTTGAATTAATCTTTGGTAATCTCTTCTTACCTGATCCTGGTCTTTAACTTTAACTGTTTTCAAATAATTATTATCTTAAATCAGAATCACAAAATAGATTAGAAATTTGTTTTACTTTTGCAGATAATTATTGCATTTCAACTTAAGGTCGAATATCCATGGCATGTTCTATTATAATATAAATTTTTTATATACATTTTCCTTAAATATAAAGAGGTTTCATAGCTTAATTAAAATATAATCTTGTGTCTCCAAAGTAATCTTCATTGCTCTAATATACAGGTTATATATTAATCTTTAATTAATTTTAAGGATTTAAAACCTATTATTAAATTATATCACTTTTTTGTACTTCTTACTTTAATTATTCTTATTTTTATTATTATTAATATTGTTAAAATACATATTATGGATGGTCTAAATTATCTGAATGAATTTATTCATTTGAATTATTTCTTGTTAAATCTGATTTCTATTTTTATTTTTAAGATTCCAATTTTTATTCATATCTATAAGTTTTACAGATATGTTTGAATAACAATTAAACATGACGAAACAAAATTTCGATTTATCCAATTTAATCTTTTAAACAGAATTATTTTTAAATCTTTTGACTTATTAATAATGGCCTAAATTTTTCTTATGGCTTTTCAGTATGTTTAGTTTCTTAGATTGCTTAAGGATTTAAAGTAATAGTATTCATTTTCTCATAAATACCATTAATTGCAGAATTAATATTTTTCATTTCACTATCCATTGTAACTATTTAATTTAATGCTCTTTAATTTTATTGATTATAATCTTATTACATCTATTCTAATTTAAACTTAAATTCATTCTCATTTTTAAAAATCAAATCTTATTTTCTTTCAATTTCCCTTATTTTTTATTAATCTTATGTTAAAATTTACAAAATTTATTCGTTATTTTCTAATTTACCAACTGAAGCATCTTCGAATTGCTTTACCATTTATTCTCTTAAATCTTTAATATTAGTTTTGCATAATTCTGACTATTCTATTATACTATTATATATTATTAATCATTTACTTATGAACTTATTATTACACAACTTCTTTAAATAATGAATTTTGATGTTATAATACTTAAAGTTTTTTTTATTATTATTTTTGGAAATCCATCTAAAATTCTTTTGAGATATTGAGTTGATTTTATAAGTCATCTTATTTTGTTTCACATTTTCTAATCTAAACTTAATAATTAGATAATTAATGAAATTAATTTGTCATTCTTTCATCAATCAACTTTTGATAATCATTTAGTTTATTTTAAACAGTCTCTTCTGTTAATTTCAATACTTTATCAACTATAAATTATCCTATATTTTAATTAGTTAACAAGTTCTTTTAAATTATGCTAGCAATATAACGATCATTAGATTTTGATTCCCATTTTTTATCTAATTCTTTAATTATTTCATCATATTGATTGAATCTTTACTCTAATTCTTTTATTCTATTTTATTCTGAAATTTCTTTTTATTTTTATAAGCTTTCAAATTCCTTAATTTTATCATTAACTTATTCTTCGTATTTTTTATAAAGATTTCCAACTGCTTAATCCAAATGCCATCTCAATTCACTAACACTCTATTTAAAATGACATCATACTTAAGTATTAAGATCACAGATTTATCTACTAGTTTAATTTTCTTATTTTTGTTATAACAATTCCTCTTTAATTGTTGTAATAAACAAATTAGTATTTGTAGCTAACACATGAAATTCCTAATTTAGAGTACTCATTCTTAACAACAAATCTGTATTCATAGCTTATGTCATTTCTTTGTTATAATTTTTTTTAGATTATTTTTATAATAATTAACTAGAAGTAAATATAATATAACAAAAATTAAATGTTAAATGACTTCTAGTTTAAAGAGATTATTAAGAATAATAATTTTAGAATTGAATATTTATAAAAATAATTTAATAAATATATGATAAAAGAAAAGTGATTTTAAGAAGTGAAGTTTATCATATTTATTCATCTGAATAATAGGAAAGAATGAAAGTTTATTTTGATTTATCAGAAAGTAATAATATTTATAATAGCAGAGTATTAAAATTGTCAGGAACCTTGTTAAAAGTTAGATGATGGTGAGATTTGCAAAAAAATTTTGAGAAAATATTTGATGATTATACTAAATTACTTTAATATAGATATGAAGGAGATAAAAAATAATTGATTGATGCAAAGTATGTTTTCACCTTATGTAAAATTGAGGTGTCTGGATTACCCTCTTTTGATAGTTTTAAAAGAAAAGATAGAGGGTTATTTTACAAAGTTTTTGGGTTTAACTTCTGTGAATTTTGGGAACCTGATTAAAGATAAAATCAAATAAATCTGAATATTCAAAGAAAGAATTTGTATTAAATAAAAACACTGTTAATATCAAGAATCAATTTCAAACCAAGAATGCTACATTAATTCTTGGCATGATGGTCTTTTATTTGGATCCATATCTAGCATCAAAGTTATTATGTTTTATAATTCTTTTGATCTCTTTTTCCAATCAAACTTTCTAAAGGGTATGGGACCTTATGTATACTTGTATCTAGAAAAATAATAATAGATTAAACGACCCTTGAATTTGAGTAGGTTTATAACCACAACTCATTGTATACAATATTATTCCAAGAGACCAAATATCTATTTTTGGTGTCACAATAGCATTATTTGTTATTTCTGGTGCAATGTAATTGGTTGTTCCACACTTCACTGGCATCAAACCTTGTCCTGTATTTAGATCATATACATGCACCAATCCTAAATCTCCTAATTTTACCTAATTATAAAAGTCAAATACATTTCTAAACACTTGATCCTCCAATTTTTCACAAAACAGATTCTCTAATTTAATGTCACAATGAATATATCCTAGCCAAGAATCGGTAGAATACCTTGCGTATGCAGGTAGTCTAATCCTTACAATACATCTGACATGTAAGACTTCATTTTTGCCTCTGTTGATATGATCTTAAGTTCCTATATATTATTATATGAATATTATTACAGTTTCAATTTTATCCCTAAAATAGTTAGCATTATTCATGTATTCTAAAATTAATGTATATTCTTCTTCATTTTGAAAACAATCAAATAATGCCACTAATTGATCATTTTTAATTTAAGAATGTACTTTACATTCCATCAAAGCTTATTTTCTTTATATATCATTGAATAATTGTTCTTTAAAAATGTGTTTGACTACTACTGTCTACTTATTATCTATTCTGATACTTGTTACAATTCATCATCATAACCTAATTCAATTTAAGTTGGTGACATTTCTTCATTATATATTTCTTCCAAATCTTTATATCTGACTCTAAATTAATCCTTCGAAAATATTTTAGGTTAGTATTCTTTTATCATACCTACTTTTCTCTAATATTATATATTAATTACTTATTATTCAAAATAATACTCATTATTGATAACATAATATTTATTATTGATAACATAATAATTATCATAATTTTAATCTCTCTTTTATCAATAAATCCATTATTTACATGATATTAAGAATTTTTTAATATTGATATCATATTTATCATTAATTATTTTTGATCTATTAAAACAACTAAATTAATTAAAGATGGAAATAAATTAAATTATTTACAATAAGCATATCAATTTTTATTAAGATTGTTCAAATAATATATTTATTCAAAAATAGAATTTTTTTAAATATTTAATAAATTAAGATAAGGAAAGTATTATTCAAAGATTTTAAATTTAATTTAAGTTTTATATTTGATTCTAAATTATCATTATATTAATATTTACATATTATGTGAAATGGTGCACTATTCTTGAAATACTTTGAGAGACCAACTTAATTTCCATCAAAATAATTAAGGACCAAATTCTATTTAAATTGATCTTTCATTTATAGTATGATGAATTTCCATATGGTCTTTTTGAATATTGAATCATATCTTATTATACAATAGTATATTCAGGAAAATTACTTTATTTTTATTTATTTTAAGCATTTGAATAAATTTTAACTATTTAATTGATGCTTATAATAATTATATTTCATATAAAAAAATAATAGAAATTAATGTTAAATTAAAAATTTGTTATTAAGATATTTTAGAAATTAATATAAAACAAAAGTATTATTGTAAATTATTTATAGATTCAATTTGACAGTTTCAATTTACAGGCTAAATAGCTAATAAATAAACCACTTAACCATATATGATGACTAACATATAAAAATCCTAAATTAATAATATTACTAAATTACTTTTGATTGTATCTGGAAAGTTTCGCTACACTTAAATAATATTGAAAGCAATAACAAAAAATAAAAATAAAAAAACACAGGCTAATGCCCAACTCCAAACAGCAAAATTATTAATACAAATTATTGAGACTGATAATAAAGGAAAATAGGTTGAAACTATTTCATTTAATCCATCAAACACTTTAGCTGTTCTTGTCTAATTATGAATATTAAAGTTAAAATTATACATTTTATGTAAGATTTTAAGGGATGGTTGATTATTAAGGAACTGATTACAATTACTATGCCTATTAAAATTATTTTTTCTATCCTTCTTCTACTACATTCATTGACTGATTTTATTCATAATTCCCAACAATTTGTATTTCTAAATACAATTAACTAGTATTTTATACCTGAACCTTAAAGATCAATGTCATGTTTTTAAGGATCATGAATATTTTATTAGGTATATGCTTTTGATCTATTTACTTCTTTTTCCACATGAATGCTAGTCTTAATGTAAAATTTAAGGAGAATAGCATTTATGAAAAGTAAAAAGGGAAAGAAAAACCAGAAAAACTCAATAATTTGAGACGAGGTAATCTAATCAGACATTAGTAATTTGAAATTAATATTAGTTTATTTGAGTGGAAACAAAAATTATCAAAATTATTCCTTAAAAAAAATTTTATTTAATAATGCTTTCATTATTATGAACTAATGAGACAATAAATGAATTCTTTAAATAATAAATGATGAATACAGAATCATATTTAATTATCATAAGAAATTTGAAATTAATTATAATTTAAATTATGAATTTTATTAATGTATATTGAATAAAGATAATATTTATAAATCAAGAGTTCATTTTTCTTTCATAATCTAGAGATGATTTTTGTATAAATTTGAAAAGTTTTCTAATTGTTAATAATTATTATATAGATAGTTTGTACTATCATCTGAAAGAGTTCCTCCTTCAGAATTAATCTCAACTATAACTGCACTTTATGAAATCTGCATAGGATTTTAAATGATGTTAGAAATGGATGATACTTTTTTTTCTATACATTCCATTGTAGAAGGAATTTATAAAGATTGACTAAATATGTTTTATTTCTGATATTTACCATTTAAGTGAAAAATGCTATATTTTCTCACTCTATTGCATCATTTTTGCTTGAGCAATTATGTCTTCTTCTTTACACCAATCAAATAAATTGTCATACTCAAAACCATGTCTTTAACCTAATTTCCTAAATAAATTTATTAAATATTCGTAATCAGGTTCAACTGAGAAACCAACACTCTTTATATGACTCATATAAATATTTATTATTTACTCTAAAGCTTTTTAGAATTCTATTGGTAAATCTTAACAAATTTCAGTCGAGCCTAACTTAATCTTTTTCTCACCAATCAATTTTTATTTCTCTTTATTATTTTAAAGAATCTAGTTTTGCCATGGTAGAACTCTTTATATCTAAATTAACCATTTAATTATACCCTTTCAAAAATAGAACTAGAATGTAAATTAATGTTTCAAGATCATCTTTTCTACTCAATTCATGACCTTTATGAGCAGCAATAGGAGCATATCGAGTAGTTCCTACAAATGGTCGACCATCTCTAAAAGGTCTATAAGTTATGTATGTTCAATATTACATATGTTTTTGATTACTATCTCTATATATCTTGCTAATACCGAAATCTACAATGTAAACTTATCTTTAATGATACATAAGATTTTCAGGTTTCAAATCTCTATGCAAAATGGATTTCTAATGAATATTCCTTAGAGTTTATAATAATTAATCTGCAATCATTAAGACTGTTTTGAGACTGAATTTTCGATACTCCTTTAAATAGTATCCCAAATCCTTAGATAATAATTGCATAACAAGAATATTTTATCCATTATGAGTTCCACTCCAATAAATTTAAGGGATTCCTGTAATTTTTTACAATCGAGATAAGACTTAGACTTCTCTTTCCAAAGTTTAAGGTTTTTCCTTTTTCTCAATTTTGATAGCAACAGAAGTCTTATTTTGAATATCCTCACCTTCATATACTACTCCATAACTACCGGCTGATAATTTCTTTATTAGTTGATATTGATTGTTAATGTAATTCATATTATTTTCAAAATATTTTAATATTTTAAAGTTATCCCATTATATAAATATTATTTCATCATAATTAAGATTATATTATAGTTTTAATGAATAAATTTTTTACTTATTTAAGAGTTGAAGATGCTATGATATGTTAAATTAATAGGAGAGAAGTGAAAAGTTAGGAATAATCAAAGAGTGGGTTTTAGTACTCTATTTATAGACAATTACTTTAATTTGGTGATTTGGATATAAACACACACACACTATAATTACAATTAGTAATTATAAATAAAACTATAATAAAACATACATTTTATTATATACCAAATATATCTTCTAAAATAAATTTATTAAATATTATTTTTTTTAATTTCCATCATATATAAACTTGAAATAGTGTCATCTATGGATGGTTTATATAGTTTATAGATTAATCTATAATAAATATATATTTATAAGTTCAATAAAATGACATCAGAGTACTCCTTGGAATGGAAATATATACCAGTCACAGGTAGTTTGATTGATCAAAATTCAAATAAAGTTATATGGGATCTCAAATCTGAAGATTCGAAGTGGCCAAAATATTTATTTACAGTCTCTATTTCTTAATAAAAAGAATTCATGTCTGATCCTGAACTTGGATGGAATTGGCATAAATCATGGAACTTACCTGACATTAATTACACAATAAATGTACTGACTATTCATGTATAAAGTTTAAAAACAATGATACTACTATGAGAGACTTTAGAGGAGGGATTTTAGAAGTGTAATTGTTTGTAATCAAAAAGGGACTTATTGCAAATCAATATATAAGTCTAGGATTAAATGGAAATAGTAAATAGGCATTATTTGAACCTTCTATAACATTTAGTGGATTGAAATTTGGAACCACATCTTATAATAATAAAGTAATTTAGAAATTTAAGTTTTTAAGCATTCCAAGTTTAACTTGATATTTGTGTTATTTTATTCCAGAAAAGAGGAAGTATTGATCTTAGATTCATAAATATCTTCAGATGTGTTTGTTGACTCTAGAAATAGAAGTAATCATAAAAATGGAGAAATATCTTAAGAAATGTTTATAGATTTATTTCCACCTTTATTAATTGATTAAATATTGTATAAAAGAGAAAATGAGAAATAACTCTCAAAATTTAATTAGATTGATAATTCACTCCAAGGTTTTATTAATTATTATACTTCTCCTAATATTAGGAATAAGATTAAGCATCCTCTGTTTATGATAATGAGATTTTCTAAGTGTATTAAATTATTCTTAATTGCTGATTTTATAAAAAAGTCATAGAGTGTTTTAATGCAAGTGTTATCTCATTTAAATTAGGTCAAATAACAATTAAACCAGTCAAAAGAGATGAAACTATTAATAAACATTGAAAATTCTAATTAAAATACATTAAAGAAAGTAAATATTTATAATTAAATTTTAGGTTCTAGATATAATTAAATAGTTGGAGAATAATTATTATGAAATATGTATTCAAAGGAGTAACATCCCATCAAACTCAGTAGAAATAACAGATATCTGCTCTTTAACAAGTGAATACAAAAGGAAATACAAACGATTTATAAATCATGCCGAAAATCAAAAATATAATGAAAATTCCAATACTTCAAAGACCCAAAAGAAAAAGTTAAAGTACACTTAGAAAAACCATCAAATATAATAGAATTAAGGATAAATTAATTTAATATCATAAAATAAATAATAAAATTAAGATGATGAACAAATAAATAAAGAATACTAAGTTAAAGAAGAAAGAGACTTAGAAATGAATCAATAAAAGGTATAAGAAAAAAATATTATTTCAAAAGATAAGTATTTTAATATTTATACTTTAGAAATTTGTTTATTCACCCTTATATGAATCCACATTAATTTAATAATTAATTTTAAATTTCTCAAGTAATATAATCTTTATGTAGATCTATAAACAATAATATTAAAACTTATTATTCTAATATTGCCATCAAAATTAATTATATGGAGACTTTAATTTAAATTATCCTTATTATTATCATTAATATCATCCAAAAGAATGAATTATTATATATTCATATTTATTCAGAAAAATTATTTACAAATGTCCAATTTTCCTTATTATCTCAAGAATTATTTATCATAGTTTATTGATATGATATCTTGTTAAGAATTTAAATTTTCTACAGGAACTAACTTTTTAAAAGGAGCTTTATGTTTCCTTCTTTAAGAGATTTGATCAATAGATGAATTATTTTTTATTAAATTTTATTATAGTTCCTTTTAATCTTTAATTATTTTATTTAGGCTTAATGTTTCTCTAGCCAATTAATTCAATCCTTCTACCTATCAATAAATATTTAGTCTACCTATAAATTTTAAATTGAATTTCCTTTTGCTGTCAATTCATTTACTTTATCCTATCTTTCTTCAAATCTTTATATAAAACTCTTCGGCCTTTTATAAAAACCTGAACTATTCATTGATTTTATAATTTCCAATCCTTAAGCTTTTATTTTTTGGTTTGTTTCCAGTACTTCTGAACTCGATCTTAATTATCTTTCCTTTAAGTAAATATAATTATTACCCATAATTTATTACCATGTCTTTCTGCATCTGTTTAAATTAAATCCAATAATTTTCTATCCTCATTTTTTTCTCTTTGTACTTAAATTTTATTATAAATAGATTAAGAAATATGTCTTTTACATCTTTATGCTGACTATACTATTCTTTCTTACCAACTTATTTATTATTAATCAAAAGATTTCATGATTCTATTATCTTTATCATCAGATGCTATATTAGCAGGATCTAAAGTTGATAAGGGGAGTTTAAATTTTTATTAAATTTGCAGTTATTTTATTTCATCTTCAACTTAGAAAAGCTCCATGTCAATTTTAATAAATTCATCCCCCTCGATAACTCTATTTTGTAATTTTTATGCAACTTTGGATTTATTTTCTTTATAAAATATAGGTTTAGTTTTTGTATTTGTTAATGAATCTTCAGTTTATGATGCATTATTTAATTTTTTATCCATTATTTCAGGTTTACCAACTATATAATAAGGAACTATCTTTCCATTTCTATATAATCTTTATTAATCAATTTCATGTTAAGTCATAAAAATATTGGCATTTTTGTTTACAGTTATAGACTTTCTTATTAAGTAATGTTAAACTGAAGACATATAAATTAAATAAATTATATAAATGAAATTTATAAATAAATAATTTTTCATAAAATCTAAAACATTCAATAAATCAACTAACTATTAAATTTAATTGAAATTAAGAAAATTAATCATATTTTGTAATTGCCATAATATATATTTAAACTCTAATATTCATTCAATTCATATAGTTATAGATTAATCTCATTTTTAAATATCATTATCTATTCTAAATTTTGTTGTAAATTATTTCTAATATTTAATTATAATAATACTAGTTCAATTTCAATTTATAATTAACTTATTATTTATTATTAATTTTTTGCATACTCCACATTAGTTCCCTCAATTATTGAAATTAATTAACTTATAATATATTCTTCATACAGTTTCTTTTAATTTTATATATATAGTAATTAATCTTGTTTATTTTCTTTATCAAAAAGATTACATTTATTTAGTATAAATATGGATAAAAATTTTAGATGATTTGATATAGCTCCATTTTATATTGATTTGGATGGAGAAACTTATGGATTTATTGATATTTAGTGAGTAACACATATAAACTATGAAATTGGTTAGATATAATATATTTTGAATTTATGATATTTATATTAGAGACAATATAAATAGAGAGTAAATAAATTTATTTGAAATATTATTTTAAATAACGGAAGATATGAGTTCTCTTTTAAGACATAATGAAGGAACATGTATATATAATAATAATTAATTAGCTGCTGCTCCTGCTATAGCAAATATACCAGCCCCATAACCTGAAGATTATGATTGGGTTTTGGTTTCTGGATTTATCGTTATATTAACTTAAGTTGGGTTTGCATTTATTGGTGCAGGATCAGTCAGATATAAAAATTCACAATCAGTAGTAATCAAAGTCTTCTTGGGATTATTTTTAACAGTGTTGATTTGGTGGTTGGTAATTGATAAAGTAATTCCCTTTAGTTTGGTTATGGTTTTTCTTTCGGTGATGATTTCTAAACTAAATTCATGGGAGGAACAAAATTAGCAGGAGCAAAATGGGAAGCAACAGCTTTTGGTAATGATTATACAAACTTTGGTAAAATTAAAAAATAATTTGAAATTAGTTTTCCGAGCATCAGGTGCTGCAGTAGGAACTGCAATATTGGCAGGAGCAGCTGCTGAAAGAATGACATTTTTGGGTTGGTCAATCTTCTCTGTTTTATATTCTGGTTTTATTTATGCAGGATTAACACATTGGACATTGGCAGCAGGATGGTAATTAATAATCAAAATTATTATAGGTTGAGCACTCTTGGATTCAAAGATTTTTCAGGAGCAGGTGTAGTTTTCTTTGCTGCAGGTGTAGCAGGATTGGTTTTGACAGTTTTATTGAAACCAAGAAAGGCCAGATTTGATAATGGAGCCACACTTGATTTTAACAGACATTCTCCATTATATATTGGATTTGGATCATTGTTGGTCTTAGCTGGATGGCTTTTTTATAATGGTGGAGTTGTTAGTTAAGGAGCTAAATCTCAATATACTCAAGGTTTGGTGGCTGTTAACACATTAATTGCTGGAGCTACAGGTGGATTCTTCAGTTTTGTTATTAGACATTTCTAATATGGAACATCAAATTTAGCTGCTTTATCTAGAGGAGTTATTTGTGGATTAGTAGCTGTAAGTGCAGCTGCAGATGATATGAAGCCATGGACAGCATTCCTTTATGGTGTTATTGCTGCATTAATCTACAGTTTTTTGGCTAAAGTTATGCCTGCTGCTCATATTGATGACCCTGCTGAAGTTGTATCAGTTTATCTTGTAATCATTAATATTAATTTATAATAGGGTTCAGGATTTGTTGGAATTGTATTATCAGCATTATTTGATACCAAAGCAGGAGCATTTTATGGATTTGGTGCTAAATTATTAGGCCATCAATTATTAGGATTATTAATAATATTTGCTTGGGTGACCTTCTTTACTTTAATCATACTATTAGCTTTTAAAGGATTTGGTATTTTGAGAATTGATGCTGAAACTGAAAATGTTGGTATTGATAAAGCTTAATGTAAATTCATTAATATATATTATAGGTTTGGGTGAAGCCATTGTATTTGCTAACCAAGTAGATGAAATGCCTCTAATTTAATAAACTGAATTAGGAAATCTTAGATCAAGTTAATTAGGATCAGGATTAAGATCTGCATTCAAATGAATCAAATAGATAAATTATAAATTTAGAACATCTATATATATATATATATCATCCTTCTTTTTTTAAAACATTTATGAATTACTTTGCTGCATATTCATAATCTTCCAAACAGTTATATATACTTGCACTGAATCTAGCCCAAGATCTTCCATCAAATTCAAAGACTACAACAAATACATTATATTTTTCAAAACACTATTATAATAATAAATTATTGTTACTGTTTTCTAACATTCCAATATATAAGAGTGATCTTTATGTGGTATTAATACATTTACCATAGCAGAATGCATAGTTTTGTCTTTAACAAGTAATTCAGTTTCCCAAATTTTTGCAACTAATTCACTGCCTTCCCAAGCTAATTCTTCACAATATTATATAATTTATTTAAGACCAAATTAGTTGATATAGTTAATTCCATCTATTACTGATAATATAACACTTGAATCTCTGGTGCCATAATACTCAAATTCTTTTTCAATACCAGCTCCATAAAATACTGATATAGTATTATTATGTATTTAATTCAAATATTTCTCTTTCATATATAATAAATTAACACTGCAGGGACAAAATGCCCATTTGTTTAAATTTGTGAAAAAGAAATCAGGATCTAATTCTTTTAGATTAATTTCACTGATTCCAGCACCATGAGCTCCATCGATTATACTTATTACATCATATTTTTTGCATAATTCAACAAATTCTTTTGTTGGTAATTTAATTGAAGGTAATGATGAGATGTTATCCAAAATGGCTACTGTAATCTTCTTTGTTTTCATATTTTCTATTCATTTATTTTCATTAATACCTTCTATCTATTATAAAATTATTTCATTCTTTAAATCCTCAACTTTAAGTTCTATTCTGCATGCATTCACTTTATGATTAGTATTCATATATTTTACTACATTCTATACCATTGGATAAGCAATATTCAAATACAATATTGTATCCTTATCTGACAATCTCAAATCTAAATGATTTTCAACATTAATTACTTTAAATAATACTATTCATGGACTCTGCAGAATTACTAGAAAAGAAACATTGATTAAAGTTTGCATTCAAAAATTCTGCTGCCGTTTTTCTTACTATTGGAGATTCTTTTGGAATTTAATATCTGATAAAGCTATCAGGATTTTAAAGAAACCTTAATTAATTCTCAATTCTTTATTTTAAGACACATTTTGGAATATATCCAAAGCTACTATGATTTACACAGGTATATCCAGATTCAATTACAAAATCTTCCTTTAATTCTTTTCCAAAATTTTTAATCATTTTAATATCTTAATTTTATTTAAAACGCAATACTTTTTAATTTAATAAATAAGATTAATAATTGTTTTTATTTCAGTATTAAACAAATTAATTATTAATATAATATCAAGAATAATTTATTAAAAAGATAATATTTTCTTGGTATAATATTTACTTAAATAATATTAGTAAATTTATTATAATTTTTATAATGATTATGTAATAAAAAACTCAATTAGTTATGCTTTGAAAGAATTTTTAAATATTTTAAAAATATGCTCCCTCATCTTTCATCCAATTACCATTATGATCACCTTCAGCTATATGATATTCATGTTTAATCTAACAATTTTCAGATTTCTAAATTAATGTTTTCATATGATTATATGATACTAATTCATCCTACCCAGCTTATCATAAGTATATTTAATACATGAAATAAATAGAATAGGTAATTTTATGTTTTTAATTGTATCACAACTTCTCCATTAATTTCTTGAAAATAATAAATTCGAAACACGTAAATTGGGTACTAAATCATTAACCACATCATTAATTGAAGTAAATGTATTTTCTAATATTACTGCTTTTATCTTCTCTTTTTTTGAATCTTAAAAATAATTTGCAGCATAAATTGCTACTGCTCCACCAAGACTTCTTCCATGTATAAATACATTATTTTTATCTATTTCCAAACTACTAAAAACATATCGAACAATTGCTATTGCATCCTTTTAAATACCAATTTAATTTGGACTTCCTGTACTTTCATCATATCCTCGATATGCAACAGCAACTACATTACATTTCAAATTATAATAATATTTCTCAAAATAATCTAAACGATATCCAAGATCTAATATTATATTAATAAGTATACTTCCTGCATTTTCATGGAAAAATATCAAAGTAGGGACTTGTGTTGATTATTCCTATTGGATAAACCATCCTTTTAATTCAATACTATCATGTTTTATAGATATTGGTTAATATTTTAAGTTTCTAATTATTTAACTTAATACCTTGAAGCTGGAGAACGATAATTTGGTGGATTTTATTTAGATGTTTGTTATCCATCAATATCTTAAAGATTTATTCAGATTTAATACTTGGCACATATAATATTTTCTCTTAAAACATTTTAACTCCAAATAGTAATGCAGCTAGAGGTCCAATTCCACAAGGAGTTTAATTTAAATAAAGCTCAACGAAGTTTACAGATATTTTAAGTTACATATTAAAATAATCAATTATTAATTCTTGTATTAAATCAACCAAAGATAGAAAATATACTCTTCCTTCCTTTAACAGGACTTTTTTCATCTATATTTTATATTTGTCTGTTTGTTAGACTTTGTTATTGTTATTTATCTAATTTCTAATATTTTTATTGAATAATGCAAAATTAAGCATTTAATTATGTTAATTACAATTTAGATCTTAATGCTTCTGATTCAGCTCTTTTAAGTTCATCTTTTAAAAAATTAATTTCTTCAGCTAAACTCAATTTAGTAGTTAAGTAATGTGTTTCCATTGTATTCAAACATTATTTTAATTTCTCTATTTCTAATTTATAATCTTTATCTTATTTAAAATCTAATTTAGTTTTTCTAAGATTATGTATTTCTAATAATTGAGATTTAAGTTCTTTTTATAAAATTTCAACAGTTTATTCTAGATTAGAAATTTCTAAATTTTAGATTCTATAATATATTAATTAATTAATTACTTAATAGTATGTTTTGCATCAAGTAAAGCATCTTTAATATTTTCATATTTACAATCATTTCCAACTCTTCTTCTAGAACTATTTTTAGTTTAAAAAGAACAATAAGAATCTGATAAATGAGAAGTATGAGTTTATTAAATAGAATGTGTTGGTGAATCAATGTGAGTATTTTAATTATTTTAACTAATTTAACTATCTTTAAGTAAATCACTTAATAATGCATTTTAATTTGATGCTATTTCATTATCATTAAATTCAAATTTCTATTGATGAGATTAAATAGCAATTTTGAGTTATTATTCATAATGAATACTTAATTTTTATAATTATTCATTTTATTCTTAAATAATTTAATCTTATTCATTAACTTATTATTATAGAGTATCAATCAATTCTTTATATTCTTAAATAACTTGTGTATGCTTTCTATTTTGATTTTCAAGATAAACTTATTTTCGTATTAATTCTTCTTTCTGTTTTGTCATATTTTATTTTTCTCTTTATAATTATGAAAATTATTTATATGCATCTTCACATTTCTTATCACTTTTTATAATTTACTATAAAGCATATCTTAATCGTTCACTAATTTCCTAATATTTTTTATCATATAGAGTTTATTCTTGATTTTTTTCTTCTCTAAATATATTCAGTTTTCTTTCTTATTCATTTAATAATTTTTCATAATACTTATTCTTTTCTTCTAATATATGTATTTAATGTAATAAATCTTATTCTACTAATTTCTTTTAATTCATTTCAAGTTCTAATGATTCAAATATACGATTTGTTATTATTCTTTCAAGATTAGATAATTGTTCTTCATGAAGTTATTATTGATGTTCTATTTTATATTAATAATCTTATATTTTATTTTCCAATTCTTATATATCCAATATTTAAGTATTATTCTCAATTTATTAATTATTAAATTTTTCATTTTATTTCAATAATTCAATTTCTTTAGCTTGTTCTGATATAATAAATTCTTTCTCAACAATTAAAGCAATAGCAGTTTCTTCCATTTTAACTAATTATTTTTTCAAATCATTAATCTTATCAGATTCTAATTTTCCTTGAAGTTATTAGATTTCTTTAATCAATTTAAGCTAAAATATAATTGATTATAGATATATACTTCATTCTCTTGATAGATGAGTATTTATTCTTCAGCCTTTGCCAATTAATCTTACATTTATAAAGCAAATTGTTATAATTAGGTTTCATGAGTCGATTCAATTTGTTTATTTAATTCTATATCTAATTCTTCATTTCGTTTCTTTAATTAATCTAGGGAATTGATTAACTTTGATAGTCTTAAGAGTTTACTTCTAGATGTTGTTATTTGGATTAAAATTCTTATAGTCTAATCTACTTTTTTAAACTCTCAATTTCAAGTTATTGGGTTTAAACAGTGTCAATGAACTACATATATATATGGAATTATAATTACTAGTTTCTCATCTTCTTCTTATTTCATTTATTAAATTATATTTGTTATTTTTAATATTTATACAACTAAAGTTATGATGATGGATTATAGTTTTGATAACTTTGAAGTGAATGAAAGTAGAATAACATTGAATGTAAATTTGAATTGTTATTATTTTATATAGAAAGATGAAGAAATAAAGAAGTTAACATTAGAAGAAGACTTACCAGAGATCAAACGAGCATAAATTATTTTGATGAAAGGATAACAACGTTAAAAATTAGCTGTACTTTATTTTTAAATCTATTTTTTGTTTATTAGATATATAACAATCTACACAGATTGTTATCTCTTGGTTTTGATCAATTGTATCAATATATAAGAGGTGACATTATGGAGTAAAGTGAAGAAGTACAAATAATTGCAGCAAGATCTTTATAAGGTTGCAAAATAAAGCCTAAAGAAATCATTTAATTGTCATTACATTTCATTTAACTATATTAATGGAAATTAGCATAGGCTTGGATGCCTGTATTTCAAAATTTGGTGTTACTGATTGATTATAAAGAATTTTAGACTTATTTAGAGAAAATGATTCTCCAATTTAGTGAACCTAAATAGCCTGAAATTGGTAGATGGGTTGGTGCTAAAATGATTGTATGCATTTCACCTGTGTTGAAAGATGAAATGAAAGGACCAATATTAGATAGAGCTCGTTTATTGTGTTCAGATCCAGATCATGAAATTAGGGAACTAGTTGCAGATGAATTACTTACTTGTTTGATATGCAACTTATCAGGAGAATTAGTAGAACAATATTTCATTGACAAAATTAATGAATTGTTATATGATACTCAAATAAATGTAAAAAAAAGTATGATTAAAACTTTCTTAAGGTTTCAACATAAGTTTCCAAGAAATAGTTACAATGTAATTATGACATTAAATTAATTAGATTAAAGGAACCACCATATTCATTGATTGTTTATCAACAAACAATATAGAATTATTGAGTGTGGCTTTATAATATTGTGGAGAAACATTTGTATAAATTCAAGATTAGATTAATGATGAATTTAAAAATAAGTTTACTAACTTATATTAGAAATTTGGATAACATTAAAATGATGATATTAGAAAATGGTACTTATATAATCTACCTGGAATCATATAAAATTTACATGAAGGACCTTATGCTAGTTAGATTTTAATGCCATATGCAGATATTTTAATATAAGATAAGAGTCATTAGAACAAATTGCTAGCTTGCAAAATATTGCATGAAATATCGAAATAGTTTGATGTAATTGAAGTACATAAATCTTAAAGTACAGTTATGTGTTACAAAAAATGTGGCATTTGTTTGAGTGTGTGATCTAGAGTGAAGATCTTGATTGCATATTAGTCATCAATTTACCTGAAATGTATAAGTTGTTGTAGGGCAACGAAGAGAATCAGGAGAAACTAGTAATTATATAAATTTAGTATTCCTCTAGAAAACTTAGTTTAAAGACATTAATTAATAATTGCAAAAAGTCTATTAAAAATGCTTAAGCAATTATTAATATAATTAACTATTTTTAGAACATCTTCTCAAATTCCTACATTTAATAAACAAAAAGCATTTCGAACAATACATACTTCCTGTCATCTACAAAGATTAATAAAACATTGATTCAGATATCTTATCGATGAAATGTTTAGCAAAATTCTATAGTGTTTGTTAAGATTATGAAATCCAAATGAAAATAAAAGATACAATGAATCTAATGTTCTTTAGAGGTAATAATAACAAGAGAGTTCGGTATATCTTTTGGGTATCCAATCTGGTACCATTAATAAGTAAAAAGCGATTCCAAGAACTTAATGTAATTAATTTTTTTCATTTTCTATATAGCTCAACCAAATACTCTCTTATAGCTCTGACAAAGCTGCAAGTGTTTAAATACAATTAATTAAATCTTTACCTAAAATCTACTAATATTTAGAACCTATTGAATACAATCTTATAAAAAATGTTAAGGGAATAACCCAATAATCTTTGGCCAGAGATGCATTTCTCTTAATTCAGTAAAGATAATAGCAAAATCAAAACTTTTAGGAAGAGTAGAATATGCTAATTCAATAAGAAGAAGCTGTCTTTACTTAATTCACTTAACAATAGAAATAGGAGAAGGGTAATGATCTAATCTAGAATAATGAATATGCAAATAAATATCTTAAAAAACCATTCCCAAAATTGATTTAATCATAATCTAAAAAGACTCCAAATGCATCTACTTCTGTGAGGTATTTTAATTTTTTAAATATTTTTTTAAATTTAGATTAGCCAATCAATCATTTGGAGAACTCACTCCTCAATAATAATAATAATAACAACAATTTAAAAGAGTTCGTAGATATACTGATGCTGCCAAATCAACTTCAAAACCTTCATCTAGACCTAGTGGATTTACATAAAAATGAGATTACGAATATTAAAACATCGATATATATTAATTAATAAATTAATTATGAGTCGATAATTATATGTTGGTCGTCTGAGTTCCAGGATCCGTAGAGAGCACCTTTAATAAGAGTTTGAGAAATTCGGCAAAATCAAGGATATTGATTTACGAAATACTCATGCTTTTATTGAATTTGAAAATTAAGATGATGCCAGAGCAGCCATTTCAAAAATGGACAACAAACGATTGAATGAAGGCAGTGATCGTATCACAGTCAAATCAAGAGGTAGAAAAAAGAGATGGATGAAATTGAAAAGATGATCGACCGTAAGGTGCAAGAGGACCCACATCCAGAGACGTATGTTTCAATTGCGGCCGTAAGGGACATTGGGCAAACGAATGTAAAGAAGGTATTACACTTATACCATTTCACCAGGGGACTTACGAGACACATGTTATCGTTGCTATAAAAAAGGTCATACACGAAAAGATTGTCCAAAATCAAGGACACCTTCAGAGAGAAGAAAGTTTATTAAAAAAATATTATTTTTTTTTAGTCGTCGTGATAAAGATAGAAAGAGAAGAAGATCTTCATCTTCATCTTCTAAATCTTCTGAATCCTCTAAATCTAGGAGAAGATATAGATAATAGTAGAAACAATAGAAGAAACCTAACAGAAGATCACCTTCTTCAAGTGAGAGCAAATCCATATCATCACAAAGCTCTAGGTATTTAAAAATTATTAGTATAATTTAAGCAAATAACCATGATTTAATGAGTGTATTGTTATATTCATAAATCAATATATATAATATTAAATTTTATATAATTAAATAAATATAATATGATTTAATAATTGCATCATAGAATCGGAAAAGAAACAAAAGTAGATTTTGCAGAAAAAAGAATACGAAATTTATTTAATGTTGACATACTCTAAAATGTTCAAGTTAGGAGATCTTAATTTATTCATTAAATTCATCCAAATCCTAAATCACTTATATAAGAAGGTTATATTGTTCATTCTTTGCCATTAAGAAACTGTGATATTATGAAAATATACAATTATCCAAAGTAAAAATTAAATTATAGTCCACTTCATACAGGAAATGATCAAAATCCTTAAATTACTTAAGTTAAAATTTAAAGAATTATGACTACTGCTAAAAAAGATAGATAGATTAAAATATCAACTGATATTCATTCCAATACTGTAGCCAAAATGCCTGCTTTTTACACTAAGCATTAATGTATCATATTATTAAGTTGAGCCAACAGTAAAACTTAAAAATCTATGCTATCAACTGAAAGTATTGCAATTAGGATTCGCTCATTAAGTAGAGTCAAAGAAAACCTTCAAGATTCCTAGATTTCCAAATAAAGATCATCTACTCCTAATGGAAAAAGAAGACTAAGTTAATATAAGTTACTATTGCAATAACAAGTCAATAGCTTTTTACAAGATTCATTCTTTAATTGAATAATTCTATATATGTATAATTATATATATATATATTATAAATAAAATTTATTGGATGTCAACAATAATCATTAATGAAGATTATGATTCTGATTTTGAGATCTTTGAATAAAGAAATCAATAAAGTATAAACATTATATATTTTAGTTTAACAATTAAAAGAATAGTAATTACATTTTAAAGAATAATTGCTCTCTCATATTTAAAATAAAGAATATGATTGTAACTTAATATCTCCAACACCATATCCAATGGATCAGACTATTAAAGAAAAGAATTAAAATATTGATAAACTTCTATAATTAAATAAAAGTCATGATTTAGCAAGTGATCGTTCATAACCTTCATCAATTAATTGTTTTACAACTAAAACTAGTAAGACAAATTTAAAAGGAAACTATTTGTTTAAATAAAGTTATTTACCTAAAACTCCATCAACTAAAGCAGTGAATGGGATAACCACAAAATCTAATTGCAATAAAAATCAAAAAAATTTCAATAAATAAAAATCTCCTTCTAATTTTTCTACTTGTGAACAAAAATCAGCAAGAACTCCAGAACAACCTAAAAATTATATTGGCATATTATCACCTTCTCCTTATAACTCATATCTAAAGAAAGATTATGAAAGCAAATCAAAATAATATAATTTATCTTCTTTCATTCATAAATCAACTCAAATAGATAAAAAGACTTAACCTCATTAGATTATGAAAACAGAAGAAAATGATAAAAGCAAAAAATTGAAAGAAAAGAAGTTGGAAAATAAGATTCCCGCTCAAAAATCAAATAAGGGATTTGATTAATGGTATGATTCATAAAAGAAATGGTAATACTGTATATATTATGTTAGGTTGAAACAAACTGAGGAAAAAATATTCAAATAAAAATTGTAAATGGAATAGGAATAAAGTGAGTAAGAACAATTTAGTTATTCTCCTGAAATTCAAGATGGTTCTAGATTTATAGTATAGAAGAAATACAATAATTCTAGTTTATTAGAAAGACAGAAATTCTATCAAGATGAATTACAATTCAAATAATTTTAAAAGAAATTAAGAGAAGAGGAAGATAAGAAAATTAATTAAATTAGAATAAGTCCATTATCAAGAAAAATACTTATGAGTGCATCCCCTAAATCTAATAGTTCTTTTACAATTTGCAACTCATCCAATTAAAATTATTCAACGATAATAAAAAAATGATATATATGTACTCTTCTGTTCTTTTGGTGTGTTTTATTTGATATTATTCTCACAAATCTAAATATTATAATATTTAATTATAATTTCATTATAATTTATGAGTTCTCTTTTTGCCAAATGCATGAATTGTAATTTAAAATTTGCCACCATTAATTGTTCAGAATGTAAACCTGGATAGATTTATCATATATGTTATGATTGTTATACATAAGTCCATAATAAAAAAGGTCTAATTGATACTCAACATAAAATTGAAACTATATCATATTAAGGTATCCCATAATATAACATCAAATAGAAATGTATCTAAAGAATAAATCTGCAGTAGGTATTCGTAATTAATAAATATAAGTAATCTATATTTATTTAAATTGCTAGACTAAATCTTTATTAAAATAGAAACTTTAATAATAATAAATTCAATATCAATAACCATAACACTCTGCTAAAATTTAATAGTTTATTTTTTCTCAAAAAGATGTAAATTCTTATATGGAAATTAAAAATATCTAAAAAATTAAACCAAATTCCTCTTATTTTTAGTAGAATAAATTTGAAACACTCTAATAATTAACAAAAATCAATGTTATTCGAAGATAATAAGATTAAGAAATTAATTCTGTAATTCATAATTTAAGTTAATAGAATAACTCTAAAGATTTAGAAATTTAGGTTAAAAATGAAAAATAAGATAATGAAAAATTAAAGAGTGAAATACAGTAAACTAATTATTAGCATTGGAATATAAATAAAGTAGTTGAAAAAAGAATGTATTTTTACTTATAAATAATTAGATAATAAAATCAAAAGGATTTGGAAAAAAAGATTAATTGTCTAAAGAATGAATATAATGAGGATAAAATGAAAAATGAATAATTGACTGAAAATGTATATTCTCAAAATATTTCCACAAGGTTAAAAAATTGTAAGACAAATTAAAAATCTCTGATTAATAGTTAAATGAAAAATTAGATTAATAAAATAAATAATATGAATAGTAGTTGAAATAATTAGAGTAAGTAATAGAAAAATAAAATAAAATCAAAGAGTTTGCTTAATTATTCTAAAAATATAGTATATTGGATATATAAGAAAAAATGGAAGAAATGGAGAATGAAATTAATTAGAAAAATAAATTGATAATATAAATGTAAAACTAATTATAAGATAATAAATATTGTGAAAATTTTAAGATTTAAATACAATAATAAATTAGAATAATATCAATATAAGATGAATTACTACACAATTTTAAATAGTTATTATAAAATATGTTAGATGAGAAAAAAGTTATGGTTAATGAACATAAAAGGTTAACTAAGGAAAATAATTAATTTAGAGAATTATTTACTATAATTATTTAGTAAAATTTAAATTTATTTGGAATAAATGAAGATGATTAGGAAACAGGTGATGAAACTGGAGTAGAAGAAGAGGATTATCATTAAAATAATGATGATGAGGATTGGGAACTTTGATAATTCTTTTTATATTATTCTTTTTATAAATAATATATTCTAATACCTAAATTAACAAATATTTGAAAATTTTTTATAAAACCTTTTTAAATTAATATTTAAACTAACATTTTACTCAAAAGATTTCATTAATCATAATAATGATAAATATATTATAGAACATATATTTAGAGCGACTATCAAGTAAAAGGGATTAATATATATTTATATACTAAAGATATACAAGAGAATAGTTATAAAAATTAATAATTATGATTGACCTAAGTCTTTATTAGATAATCATTATGGTTTTTCTGCAACCAACAAATAACACTCAAATGGAAATGGTTTATTTTCTCTCTTATAATCATTTAACATTTTTTCCAAGGCTTTATAATAAGTATCTCTTTATTCTTATGTAGAATTAGCTAAAATTCCCTCTATTTCTGGATTAAAGAATTCTTCTATATTTTTCATACTCACTATATCAAATGGAGCCATTTATAACCAACAAACTATTTATAGTAAAAATAAAAAACCTGTATTAATGAATCCTGCATTAGTAGCTAAAGTGATTAGTTCTTCAGGATTTGATACAAATCTTCCTCCTTACATTCCAACTGGCGATAAACCTGTTTCAAAAGCTAACTCCTTCAAAAACCATAAGGCTGAACAATTCTCTCTTCTTCCCCAAACTGTAATTCCAAATTTTCCTCCTGGTTTTAAAACTCTGAATGCTTCACTTATTGCTTTCTGTTAATCTCCAATTATTTAATAAACAAGATTGCACACATAAATATTGAACATTTCATTTTAGTATTAACTTAAATCTTCTACATTTCCAACAGATAAATGATAATTCATCTTCTTGAAAATTTCATCATCTAAATATATAAATCTATATATATACCAAAATTAACAGAATCCACTTCCTCTTGTGTTAATAAATCCAAAGATCCAATTTTATCTTTATTTAAAGATCTTTTCATCCTTGCTCCAGCTCTTTTAACCATTTAGGAACTTAGATCAAATCCATATAGATGAGCATCAGGTTTCTTTTAATTCATCATATGTTAATGTAAATATCCAGCTCCACAACCTGCATCCAAAATACTTATATTTTATTAGTTTTGTATACCTGTCTGCATCTTCATAATGTACCATATTCAAAAGAGTCATACAAAATACAGATGTATTTTTTTAGATTCTTCTAGCATATTTATCACTAAAAGTATCCCATCCTTTTGCTGTTCTAAAGACTACGTCTGACTACATCAATCTAATTTTATTAATAATAAAGATTTGATCATAAATAATTGTTAAATACTACAATTTTATTAAATGAATATAATCATATATATATATTTATGCCAATTTAAAATATATAAATCATTGGTCATTTCTTTCCATTTTTATTTGCTTAAAATATTATTTAATTAAAATGTATATTTATAAAAAGATCATTAAAAAATATATTTAATTAAAATGATTAACAACAAACAAAAAGATAGATACTCAAATACCACATCCTCTATGTAAAATTGTTATATTTACAATTAGGTATATTAAATCAACCATATCCAATCCTAATGTAAAATCAATCATTCAGGCTGTTTCTACAATCCTTCATTCTTAAATGTAAGAGGACTAAGAATAAGGAAAACAGATTCCTAAGACTTCTGAATTGTATTTCTTTAGTGAAGAAAAGTATATTGAAGAAAAACCTGAAGAATTTGATGAACAAAGAAAGGTTGTCTATATATTTAAACAGTATAGTTATTATTAAGAGAACCTCCAAGTGTTGACAATATCTATGAATTCATGAAAGCACTCTATGATTGTGCATAGTAATCATTTTTAAATATTTCTTTAGATTCAGTCCAGAATGTTGTATCATTTGTTTAGTTTATATTAATCGACTCATCGCATTTACAGGATTAACATTAAATCCAACAAATTGGAGACCTTTACTTTTAAGTTCATTATTAGTAGCATAAAAAGTATGGGATGATAAATATTTATCAAATGCTGATTTTGCATTCATTTATCCCTTTTTCACAACATAAGTAAATTTCTGCAATATAAATAATAGGAAATCAATAAATTAGAAGCTAAATTCTTAGAATTACTTTAATATAATGTCACAGTCAAAGGTGATTTATATGCAAAATATTATTTTGAATTAAGAGCTCTATTTAAAGGGGATCAAGAATTCCCACTATATCCATTAGATGTGACTTAAGTAACATCACTCTTATAAATTAATAGTCAGCAAGTTTAGAAGCTAGATCAGCAGATGTCTAAAAATAAGAAAAAGAAAAAGCAGAGAAACTATCCTTAACATATAATGATAGACAAACAAGAAAACCAGCTGCCATCATCAATTGATACATATTATTTCATATATGCATATTAAAATAAACTTAAATGTAAAATTATTTTTTTATCAGTCATATTGCATAAATAACTTATTCATCATTATTTTAATATCATATTTTATTTTCTATACTATTAATATGTATGCCTTTTATGAGTTCTTAATAAAATCTTTTTTTTATTTTATGAATTCTTAATCATTTTAATATAGTAAATTTGTTTATTTTATTGTTTGCACTTATCATAATAAATATTTCCATTGATAGAAGTATTCTTTATTATTTTAAATCATATTTTTAAAGAACAAAAAATATGTCTCTTAAAATTTTAATATCAAATTTCACTATTAATGAATTTTTTGTTTTTTCTTCTTTAAGATCTATTACATAGGTTATTCAAATGATTATGTAATTAAATTATGTATTTTATTTGATATTTTAATTTCTTTTATAAAGAAAATGACACTAATAACACCAAATGAATTTATAGGAAAATAGAAAAGAAAAATATTAAAAGAATTGAGGTAGATTGAGTCACTTTGTAAAAATATCAACTAACAATAGAGGATCTTATAGTTTAAATGGAAAGCAAATTTATATAATTATATTATAATTTTGGCAAGTATAACTATAATTTTAATTAATTAAAAATCATAGATAAGTTATTTATAAATTATAATATAAAAATTATGGAATATGAAATTATTTACAGATATTACTATTTAATGATAGGATTTAGTAAAATTTAAAATTTGTCTATTTATAATGACTTTTTTGTAAGCATTTTTATAAATAATCTTTATTTTTGTTGTTTTCACAATTTATATTATGAATATATTAAAGAAAAAATGATAAAGAATTAATAATAATGAAAATGATAATTTGATACTCATGATTAATTTAGATACTTAACTAATAATGTAAATATTTTCAAATAATAACCATATTTTTGATATAAGTAAACCTTTGTATTGTGTTTAGATAATAAGAATTCTAAGTATGAAATGATTTAGTAAATAGATGAAAACTTTGGTTAAATTATCATTCTCATTAAACTTACTTAAACATGTATATAACTTTATTATAAATTTTAGTGATTAAAGATATTTGAAAACTAAGAACTTAAAAAAGGAAATGTAAAGAGTTTAATCCAAATATTTGCTAATAAATTTATAAATAAAATTATGGAGTTTCAAATTTAGAAAAGAAGAGAATATATAAATCATTTAGGAAATGGGATAGATAAACAAAAGGAATACATGCATCAACCATAAGTAATGTATTTAGAAAGTAATGAAAATATAATTAAAATAGAAATGAAAAATTTCTAAAATAATATAAACAAATTGTGAAGAATATAATAATTAGAATAATATAAAGTTTGGTCAGTGAATTGAAGTGTAAGAGACTTTGAAAATAAAGTAATAATCAATTAAAAATATTGAATCAAGTACTTTTCCTAAAAAATTTATAAAAAATAGTATCTTTATTTATAATAATATTACTAATCGATTATAACTTTTAAATAATTTGTATATTTAAATATTTTTAAACACTATTTGAATTAAATTATGTTAAATTTTTAGAATATATCTTATTTACTTTAATCATTAGATCTGGATTATACATATTAAATAGATTAAATAAGAAAATTTATTTAATAAAAATTACAATTAAGAATATCTATTGAATTCTAATATGTAATATCTGACTAAATTATAGTATTTATAGAAAAGTATAAACATGAAACTTTAAATAATATATAAAAGCGTTAAATCATTAATAATTATCTAAGGTTTTAGTTTAATTTTTATTAGGAATAATACCAAATCATCGTAACCAAAAGAAAACTCAGACTAAACAATAGGTAAAATTAATATTATTATATTATAAGATTTGCTATATCTATTATATAGACTATCAACTTAGAATAATTATTATTTAAATATATAAATTCTTCTATGGAAGAACCTATGACTCGACCTGGCAAAAAATTATGGGCTATAGCTCGTAAAAAAGTGAAGGTGATAGCACGTATAAATGCTATGAAAAGAATTACTCTTTAAAATTACTATGGAGTGAGAGATGATAATGATTTTGTAGAGGCAACTTAAATAAATAAATGGGTAATATACCCTGATTCAAAATTCAAAGGATTTTGGGATTTTATTATTATCGTTCTTATGCTTTATACATGCACAATTTTACCTTTTCGATTAGCCTTTTAAGATTCTTCAAGTGATACATGGAATACAATAGATGAAGTTTTCAATTACGTTTTCATAGCTGATATAGTTATTAATTTCTTTACTGCTTATTAAGATGCTGATAATGTTTTAGTTACAAGCAATAAATATATTGTAATCAATTACTTAAAGACTTGGTTTTTATTGGATGTAGCTTCAGTGTATTAAATTGATAATAATTCAAAGGATTCCATTTGATTAGATATTCCAACCAGCTCAATAAACAGAAACAACTACACAATAAGGATAGAAAGGTTCATATACACAATTACTAAGATTAACAAGACTGCCTCGTTTATATAGACTATTAAAGGTAGTAAAATTATTCAGAATAGTGCGATTCTAATAAACAAATAGATCTTCTCTTTTTTCTAAGTTAATAAAATCTTGTATAAAGTTGGATGCAAGTATAAAAAGAATGATAAAAATAATGGGTATGTCATTGTTGTTTTTGCATTTGAGTAGTTGTTTTTATTATCTAATAACAAAAATTGAAACTGATGAGGTGACATGGGTGACAAATTTAGGTTTAGAAGATGCAGATGAAGCAACTTTATACATAAGATCATTTCATTGGGCATTGCAAACATTAACTACAGTTGGATTTGGAGATGTACCTCCATAGACTGATTGGGAGAAACTATATGCTATATTTTGGATGGGTGTAGGAAGTGCATTCTTTTCTTTTATGATTTCAAACTTGTAAGGAGCAGTAGGAGATTCAGAAAAATCAGCAAAGAATAAGATTATGCGATTAAATGTTATTCAGAATAAAATAAAGATTCCAGATTATTGTAATTATTTAATATATATACCTTTTAAGTGTTTACATTAATAAAGAGACAACTTGAATCTCAATAAGTTGAGAATTCTAGATAATAAATAATATTACAAACTAAGCCACTGATAAAATAGTTGCCTACATGTCTAAGATCTTCTGTTTAATTGTGTATCTATGCTCATGTGATAGAAAAAATTAAATTTTTATAAGACAAGGATATCGAATTGATTATGGATGTAATACCTAAGATATCTCCATTGAATTGGGCATAAGGTGATATTCTATTTTCAACTGATGATTATGCTGAAGAAATCTATTTTGTTTCAATAGGAGAGATTACTACTAGAGCTGCTGATGGTTCTACAATATCTGTGTATAGAGAAGGTGATACTCTGGGATTACTAGAGGCCATTTATGATGTGAGAAGGATAGGAACTGCTATCTGCAGTAAGAACACATAACTCTTTAGTTTGGATAGAACAACTTATCTTTAAATGTTGTAGGATTATCCATAATTACTGTCTGAAGTCAAATAATAGGTTGATAAAAGAATTAAAGAAGTAAAACCATTTGTGGAAGATGCTACTATATTAAATAGATCTATTTATGAAGTTATGCAAGACTATTAAAGGAAGATTAATAAAATTAAGAAAATTATTGAGTAATTGTAAAAGTCAGAAGATAGTAATGATATAATTGACACTGATAAAAATCAATTGCAAATATTTTTACAGACTAATTCTCAATTAGCAGATATAATGAATCTATAAAGAGAATCTAATTCTAGGGAAACTGTTATGTTTGAAAATGCCAAAAGCATGAATAATTTGATTGATTAACTAGCAGATTTATGGCAAAAATAATTGATTGAAAAAATTGATTAAATGCATACCGAGACTACATATATGATTCAAGCAGTTTAAGATAGAGTAGAATATTATTAGAAAGCAACTAAGAAGTTTTCGAATCTAAAAAATGATTTAAGTAAACAAAAGGAAAACATATAGAGTATGACAAAGTTATGATAAATTATTTTATACTAATTATTTTAAATATAAAAATGGATAGTATTTTGTAAGCAGCTCTAATTCGTTTTGATATGGCAGCTAATGATGGCAAAGTGAATGCAGAATAGGTGATAAGCATTCTACAAAGTCTAAATTATAATCCTTAAGATATCACTAAGATAGTGTCTCAGATTACCGCCGATATTGGTATTTGCAATCAATATTTGAGATGTCAAATAATTTAAAGAGTTACTCACTCAAAAGGAAGAGCCTAAGTAAGAAAGACTGACAACTTCTTAAATAAGATAAATTGAAGATGAATTTAGACAAGCTGTCAAGTATGGGAATGTTGATAAAGTTCTATAATATTTGAGTAAATATTCAAGTCTATATACTGATTAGATAAATATCAAAATCAAATTGATCTAGCAAACAAAATGGAGCCATAAAATAGGTAAATTCCAACTTATGATGCAGTATAAGCACCTGCTGAATATTAAGCTTATTTAATTCTCAAAACACTTTATGAACATGGATCTGATATTCATTATAGAGATGCTATGCAATAATCTATTATGTTTTATATATGTAGAGATGGAAGATGTTAATTATTCGATTTCCTTATTTCTAAAGGATTGAGTGTTAATGAATAAGATTAGAATGGTCAGACTCCTATTTTTTATGCAGCAAGAGAGAATAAAGTTGAAATCTTATAAAGATTAATTTAAAATGGAGCAAATGTTAATCACAGAGATAAAATCTTAGATTAAACAGCTCTATTTTATTCAGCCAAAGAAGGTTAATTATAAGCATGCTAACTTTTGATTGATGTAATTATTTCTTTTATGATTCAATTTAGGCTGGTTGTAAAATAAGTCATTAAGATGCAACCAAGAAAACAGCTGTTGCTTATGCAAAAAAATTTAATAGAAAAGAAGTCTATGATTTGTTAATGATAGGTGCTTAGAGATAGAAAGATGAGGCTAATTAAAAAAGAGATGATGGTCATTCAAAAATAGAATAAAAGATAAATAGAAAGAAAAATAAAGATTTACCTAAATTTTAATATAAATTAATGCATATAGATGATAAAGGACTTTCAAAAGAAGTAACTAATGAGGATTTTGAAAAGTTTTCATAAGAATTTCCTGAAATTGCTAAATTGATAATGAATCCTGATGATAATATAGATGAAACAATGATTTCATCTATTAAAGAAGATTAAATGTGGGATAAAATTGCAAAGAAAATACTTAATTAACTTTGGAAATTAAAGCAAAGTGTATATTTTTTGGAACCTGTAGATGTTAATAGATACTAAATTCTAGATTATTATGATATTGTTAAAAATCCAATGGATTTCGGAACTATTAAAGTATTAATGAAATTTAATAATAATAGTAAAAATTACAAAATAATCAATATAAATGTTTTAAAGAATTTCATATTGATATACTCTTAGTATTTGACAATTGTGTACTATATAATGGAATTCATTCTGAAGTTGGATAAGCAGGAATAAAAGTGAAATAAGATTATTTATTAATGTTGGAACAAAATGGAATCAATAAAAATTTATGAAGGTTTCTGCTTTGTATATCATTTTGATTTAGATAACCTTCTTTATAAATATAAAATATATGTATCTAAATATACTTATTTTCTATTTAAGTTTAATCTATTTCAATGAGATATTATTATCTTAATTAAATAAAAAGTAGTGATTTAGAAATTATGAAAACTACTTAAAACTTTTACATATTTAAAATAAAATTACTATAAAAATTAAGATGATTATCAATGATTTCTTGATAAACTTAAATTTTTTTAGAAATATTTAATAATATTAAAATAATAAGGAATATATAAGGAAATCCTATTGATTTCTATAATAAAAAATTATAAAATATTATATTAGTACATTAAATTTTATTTATATTTCAATAACACAACTATTTTATGTCAGAAAAGGGTATGAAAGTAGATCCAATAATTTGTATTCAATATAATCTAATTAGTGATCTAAAAAATCATCAGAGAAAATACTTACTTAACTGAAATAGATAATAAGCTCGATGTTGATGATTTTCATAATCCATTAAATGTAGAAGAAACTTAATCTTAGTTGGTGGATTCAATTTTTGGTAGTTGCAATGTTAAATCTCAAAAAGGTAATTAATTTATATATAGTATTATAGCAAGTAAAATGATTAGTTCATCTGGTAATGCTAAACCTACATCTAATCAACCATATGGTTCATTATTTAGAAGTGGAGTTTCTAATTATACAGTTTCAGATGAAGATGAAATTTAAAATAATTCAAATGAGATTAAAGATGGCAAACAATGTAATTCAAAGATTGATATTAATGATATTAATTATCTCAAACCTCCAGATTTGAAACACTAAAAATATTAAATATCTTATGAAGAATTGAACTAAAGATGTCAATAACTTGAATTAAATTTAGAAGTTGAAAGAAAAAAAAATTAAGAATTAAATGGTAATTTAGTTTATCAGAAATATAGATATCATTCTTTGTTAAAATGAGAGAATATAGGAACTTACAGAAATAGAAAAGGCTGCATATGAATAAATGGATAGCAGACTCAAAGAAATTTCAGAATTATAGGCTAAGAATATATATTTAGAAGCATAATTGTAAGAGTTTAAGGATAGTCAAGAAAAAGAACTAAGTAATAAAAAGATTTTAATTAATATAGAAACTAGAATAAAAGGATATATGGATTCTAATAATAGTTCATAAATGAATGCAATGTTATGTATTTTAATATATTATACTTAGAAATAAAGGAAAAATAAATCTAATTATTATAAGGTTAATTAAGTAGTTTAAGAGCAGCTACTTAGTATAGATCTTAAGGAAGCTATCATAGTACACAGAGTCATGATAACATTTAAGATAATAAAGTTGTAAATCAAATTATAAACAACACTAATAATAATTAGATTATAATAAAAAATGAGATATTTCAAAAAGAAATGACTTCATTAATTTAAAAACCTAAAACATCAACACCAAAGAAATAATAAATTATTAATTAAGATTCTCAATCTACTCAAAGATCCAAAAAAGGTCTTAATCACAATAAATAAAATTCTAAAGATTCAATTACTTAACCACCTACCTCATGGTTAGATCATATATAAAAAAAGTCTGATGATAAACTTAAAATTTTGAATAATCAACCATCAGAAAAAGAATTATAATAAGCAACTTTGAATAATTCAATAAATGATAATGTAAATAAATATCTACATGCAGATTGTATTTAAATTAATTAATATTTTATTAGTGAAAATAACTAAAGTTAATAGTCCAGCATTTTAAAGAAAAACTACTTATTAATTAGCATTAGATAATGATAATTAAGATAACAAAGATTTTATAAAATAGAAAAGTTTCTAACATAAATGATAATTGATTAATTACTTATCACATAAAATTATAATTAATATAATAACTATGATGATGTATCAATCAAATAAATATAGAATCCTTTCAAAAGTGTTCTTGATTACAGTTATTTCATTTAATTATTAATTTTAATATGAAATCTAATAAGTAATAATGTAAAAAATCACTACTCCCATTAAGTTAAGAGTTTAATACATAAAGTAGAATTGCTGATGAATTAACTGAAGAATTAACTGAAGAATCTACAATTTTCCAATAAACAACTTAATCTTTTTCAGATTGTTCTGAATTGGATTCTAAGCAAGAAATTGTTATAAAATATAGGTATATATAGTTTATTATTAAATAAACAGAGAATACAATACAAATGAATAATTATTCAAGTAGAAATAGCAAGATAATAATATATAAAACTCTTATGAAAGTTTAAAAGAATATATGTAATAAATATGATATGAACCAAAAAAAGTTAAAAATATAAACCAAAAAATATCATTCTTGATTCAAAACTAAAACCATTCATACCAGAGTACATACCTGCTTTTAATCCAATAGAAAATGGCATATCTGTACCTAGACCAGATGGAAAATTTGATAATTATGGCATTTATGATGTGGTAGGATATTAATTAATTGAAAGAGAGAAGTACTCTCAAGCATAAAAATGGAAAAAGATTAAATTATGAAAAAAAATGATATCTATAAAGAATCAAATTAGGACATATCATATGCATAAAAAAATAAAGTAATAAAAAAACTATTTAAAATAGAATACTCATTAACAATACTCATAGGGTTATGAAGATAAAAATAAAAACTTTACAGATTTATTTAAAATCATTTCATTGTATTCTAAATTTATTTTTCAGATATAAACCAAAGATAATTGATATTGAAGCACCTTTGAAACCTTTCATACCTGATTACATACCTAAGGTTTCATTTCCAGATCCCATGTTAAAGATACCAAGACCTGATGGAAAAGAAGACTATATAGGTCTTAAAGTTTTAGTATTTAAATTCTTAAATCTTAGAATGAAGCAAAATGAAGGAAGTCTATTTGTAATATAATTGATATTTAAATTTATATTGAACAAGATAGATTATCTTCAATAATATTTTGAGAGCTATTTAAAGATGAAACAGTAAATGGTATCTTTAATACTATGACAACAAAGTAGATATTACTTTAATGAAAACAATTAAATATTATTAAGTTATATATTTAATGGGGAATGGTTGCTCAGATTAAAGGGAAATGACCTAAAAATCATTAACAATAAGACAAGACTCATTTCCATAAACAAAATAACATGATCTTGCTTAAATGAGTTGTTTCATACCATCAAGTCAATTAACTTAAGCAGAAACGCCTCATGCATTACTTCCATCTCCATCAAGATAAAGTATTTCTTTTGAGAATGTAATCACTTCAAAAGTGAGAGTGCCATCAGAAGAGAGTTAGTTTTAAAAATAATTCTCATAAATTGTAGAAAATAATACAACTATTAAATCAAAGAGTAAGAAACCTATTGATAATTAAAATTAACAAAAACTAAAAGATAAAAAAAGCAAATAGTAAAGTCATGAAATAATTCCAAAACATCATTCTTCTAGTCCTAAAAAAGAACGTAAATAATAGATTTCTCCTCAAAAAAACATTAACTAATCATAAAAGAATTAAAATAGCACAATTAGAAATAAATCAACTTCTTTATAGAAGAAAAATGTTAATTAAACAAATGAAATTGAAATTATTTCAAGGAGAAAATATTCAGATCTACCTCAAAAATCAGAAAATACTCAATCTAAAAGAAAGATCAGCAATACAGTTGATGATCGTAATGTTCATGTGAGTTGGGATAGTATTTCTAAAGTAAAATCATTTACACCTAGTCCCATCTTAGGTAAAAAGGCTTCAGATAATGAAACAATCACTATCAAGAAAAAGAAAGTTCGATTCCATGATTAAAATATTATTAGATATGGTTTTGCTAATTGAAAATAATTGTAANATACCTAAGGTTTCATTTCCAGATCCCATGTTAAAGATACCAAGACCTGATGGAAAAGAAGACTATATAGGTCTTAAAGTTTTAGTATTTAAATTCTTAAATCTTAGAATGAAGCAAAATGAAGGAAGTCTATTTGTAATATAATTGATATTTAAATTTATATTGAACAAGATAGATTATCTTCAATAATATTTTGAGAGCTATTTAAAGATGAAACAGTAAATGGTATCTTTAATACTATGACAACAAAGTAGATATTACTTTAATGAAAACAATTAAATATTATTAAGTTATATATTTAATGGGGAATGGTTGCTCAGATTAAAGGGAAATGACCTAAAAATCATTAACAATAAGACAAGACTCATTTCCATAAACAAAATAACATGATCTTGCTTAAATGAGTTGTTTCATACCATCAAGTCAATTAACTTAAGCAGAAACGCCTCATGCATTACTTCCATCTCCATCAAGATAAAGTATTTCTTTTGAGAATGTAATCACTTCAAAAGTGAGAGTGCCATCAGAAGAGAGTTAGTTTTAAAAATAATTCTCATAAATTGTAGAAAATAATACAACTATTAAATCAAAGAGTAAGAAACCTATTGATAATTAAAATTAACAAAAACTAAAAGATAAAAAAAGCAAATAGTAAAGTCATGAAATAATTCCAAAACATCATTCTTCTAGTCCTAAAAAAGAACGTAAATAATAGATTTCTCCTCAAAAAAACATTAACTAATCATAAAAGAATTAAAATAGCACAATTAGAAATAAATCAACTTCTTTATAGAAGAAAAATGTTAATTAAACAAATGAAATTGAAATTATTTCAAGGAGAAAATATTCAGATCTACCTCAAAAATCAGAAAATACTCAATCTAAAAGAAAGATCAGCAATACAGTTGATGATCGTAATGTTCATGTGAGTTGGGATAGTATTTCTAAAGTAAAATCATTTACACCTAGTCCCATCTTAGGTAAAAAGGCTTCAGATAATGAAACAATCACTATCAAGAAAAAGAAAGTTCGATTCCATGATTAAAATATTATTAGATATGGTTTTGCTAATTGAAAATAATTGTAAGAGATGAGCAAATTATAATATGATTTTGTTGCATCCAATTTTAAATTAAATAATGCAGTGATTTGTGTAAATTATATATAATTATGAATAATGAATTACAAAAAGTAAACAAACTGATAGAATGTAAAAAAAACAAAGAAAATTTTAATTTTAATAATTATTATGTAAAAACTAAGACGTGAAGCAATAGAGAGAGCCAAATTAAACTCAGCTTGTAATACAATCATTAGTACCTTATTTGTAGTCTTGGTCACACTTCTTACACTTTTCATATGTGATCTCTCAGGTTTAGTGCAATTAGATAAACCATTGTAATACGTTTCTGCAGCAAATGCTATTAAAGATTAAATACCAGAGAGAAATTTCATATCTGCATCTTAAACGGGGACTTTAGAACCATTATAAGGTCAGCATATTGATAAGGTGAATGTGATTAAACCTATTATTGATCATAGAGAATATCGATATTTAGAATTGGAGAATCATTTGAAAGTGTTATTGATACATGATTCAGAATCAGAAATGGCATCAGCTGCTATGGATGTTAAAGCAGGATCTTGGCATGAACCAAATGAGTATCCTGGTTTAGCTCATTTTTGTGAACATATGTTATTCATTGGGTCTTAGAAATATCCTCAAACTGGATTTTTCGATGATTTAATGGCAAAAGGTGGAGGTTCATCAAATGCATATACAGAGGCATAAAATACAAATTATTATTTTGAAATTACTGTGAATCATTTAGGAAAAGCTTTAGATGCATTTGCTCATTTTTTTATAGATCCTTTATTTAATGAAGATGCAGTAAATAAAGAAAGAAATGCCGTTAATTCAGAATATGAAATAGATGTAAGTACTGAAGATTGGAAAGTTGTCAATCTCTTTGCTCTTTTAGCTGATCCCAAACATCCTGCTAGTAGATTTAGTATAGGTAATAATGATGTTTTGGCCAAAGAAGGTGTAGTTGAAGCACTAAAGAAATTTTATTAAGATAATTATTCATCTAACATAATGAGTTTGGCTGTATCAAGTAGATTGTCTTTAAATGAAATGGAAAAGATGGTTAAAGTATTTTCAAAAATAGAGAATAAAAATTTGATACCTTAATCAATTTCAGGATTTCCATATTAATTTGGATTATTGGGTAAATACAAAACAGAAAAGAAGTTAGTTTTATTAAATTGGTAATTGAGTGGAAGAGAATAATTTGTACACTAGAAACCTTTAGAATTAATAGATTATTTATTGAATAATGGAAATTTGAAGGATTACTTAAAGGAGAAATAATTAGTGATTGAATTTGAATCCTCAATTTTCATAGAATAAAATCATTTTGTCAATTATATCATAGAGTTAACATTACCAGAATAACCATTAGAGGATGGAAACATTGCCCTTGAAATTACAAGAATTATCAATAATTATATCTAATAATTAGAGGAATGGTTAAAGGATGAAAAATATTTAGAAGAAATATTTAAAGAATAAAGTTAGATTTCTAAAATAAATTTTGAATATATGGAAGGACCTTAAGAAATTTCTAATATTGCTAAGAATTTGAATAAATATGAATCTGCAGAAGTACTCTCATCTAGTTTTATAATGGATGTATTCGATAAAGATCTTATATTAAAATATATTTCTGAGTTGAAAAAGACAGATAATTTATTGATCTTAATTGGAGATGATGAATATTAATATACAGATAGTAATTTGAAAGGGAATAATAAAGAATTCTTAAAAGATAAAAAATTAGATAAAAAGAGTGAGATATATAGATTAGAATATGCAACTCAGAAGTTGACAAAAGATTCAATTAAAATTATAACTCAAAAAGATTCAAAATTATAAAAAATATTTACTAAACCTTAAGAAAACTTATTTATTCCAGATGATTTAAAATTAATATCATTATGTGAATCAAATTAATCTAAATTACCAATTATGGTACATTCTGATTAATTAAAACCTTTAGATAAGGAGGGAAAATTGAATATATTACTTCATGCTGGATAAGATTTGTAGGAATTCTCTGAAGATCAATGTAAGAAGGAAGAGAATGTTTATTAAAAAAATAATCATTTTCCAATTTTATTAAATAAAGAAAATAATTAATGGTGGAAAGTGTCTACTTAATTCAAATTACCTTCTGTATATGGAGCAATATCAATATAATACACTAAACCAATAACAATAAGACAATTTACATCAGCCAGAATTTATAATTTTATTTCAGATGAAGAAATAAATAAGTAACTCAGATAGCCCTTAACAACTGGTTACTCTGTAGAATTAGATATTGGTAAGTAAATTGAAATTAAAGCCTATGGATTTAGTGAAAAAGTTAGAAGCTTTTTTAATAGTATTTGTGGATGCATAAATCCATTTAAAGATAAATCTAAAAGTTTCATTGAACTTGAAGAAAAAAAAGAGGAATCACCTGATTTTATTAGAGCTAAATAATCACTTATAACTTCAATAAAGGATATATTTTAATTGAAATTATATGAATAGTCATTTCAATTGTATTTACCTTCAATTTTAAGAAAAGATTTCTTTAATCCTGAATTAGTCTTATAATAAATACCAGATATTACAGAAGAATAAATGTTATCAGACATCAAAGATATACTCTAAAATTCTATTTAAAGTTCATTATTGATTGGAAATATAGATTAAAAGAATGCTTAAGATCTTTCTGCTGATTTATAAAATTGTATTTAAGATAAGGAAGCATAAATTGAAAAATAAACAAGATTACCTATTTCAGTATTGAGTTTAAATGGTAAAAATTGGGTATTTGCAAAATTTGTTGAATAAGACAAAGGTGATTTGAATGGAGTGACATTAAATTATTATTAAATAGGTTAAAGAAATTAATAAAATTATGCATTAATGAAAATTCTTTAACCTGTGCTTAATTCTTAAGCTTATAATCATTTAAGAACTGATTTATAATTAGGTTATGTTGTTGCCATGAAATTCAAGTAAGTTAGTTGCATTGATGGTGCATTATTCTTAGTTTAAGGAAATAAAGAATTACCAATGAAGGTTAATGAATTAATAGAAGAATTCCTAGTTCAATTTGATGAATACTTAAAAACTATGAATAAAAAACAATTTGAGCATTTAAGACATAGTGCAATAGTTGAATTAAGATAGAAACCTTAAACTTTAAGTGAAGAAGCAGATAGATTATGGGGATACATCAGTTCAGATGATTATTCTTTTGAGGAGAGACAAGTTACAATTGAAAATTTGAAATCAATTTCAAAAGAATAAATAATAGAATTCTATGAAAATGTATTCATTAATAATAGATCAAAAATAAGTCTATAATTATATGGGTATCTATTTATAATAAATATTATTTTAGTGAAGGAATGGTTTCATAAACACTAAGTTTGAAGAACAATGAGGAATTTGATTCCTATATCAAAGCAAATATTCCTGAAGGTGCCTCACTTTTTACTGATAATGAATCATAGTACTATGATTGTCCAAATGATGTCAGTTCAGTTTGATTTCATATATATAATACAATTGTTAACACTCTTTTATTTATTTTAGAAATTATATTAAATTTAAATCAAGTACATTAAAAAATGATTCCCTGTTTATTATCAGTAATCTTTGGAACAATATCTACAATGATGATAGGATTTTATTGGTATTCAATATTATTTTGTGATCGTTATTTAAAAGAAGCAAACATTAAATTAGAGAAAGAACATGAATTAAATGATTAAAATATTAAACCTTTAATTTTAGAATTATTGGCAAGATTCATACAAGCATCATTAATTACATATTTATATAGCATACTGAAAATTTAAGTAGATTATTATAATAAAAATAGAATGAAAGAGATTTAGGATTGGCGCTATCATTGGCAGTATTTTTTTGTGTTACATTTGATTTGTAATATTACACTTCAAAAGTGGTTTGGGAGTAGAAGACTTGGAATTTCTTTTTTATGAAAGTGACCGAACAATTTATTTCACTTTCTACTCTATCAACAATTGCCTATATTTTTGTATGATGAAATATAATTCAAATTTTGCATATCAGATATGTTATTTCTATAATTATACATCTATTTATGTATTAAATAACAACTAAATAGTTTAACAAAATAAATAGTTCCTCAAATTTTACAATTGAATTCAAAAAATCAAACAAAATGCATTTCATTTTTTTTTTCTTTCTATTTCTAAAATTTAATCTGTTTTTGTGTTTTATCTACTAACTCTTACTCTCAATCTTCTATAGTGTCACAACCCTCAATTACATCTTAATTCATGACCATTATAAATACTTCATTTTTTTTCATTCTTTTTCAATCTTCTCTAAATTTTGTTTCTAGTTCATTAGTTGTCACTTAATTGTTCTAACTATCCTTAAAATAGTATTATATTTTCTTAAATTTTTGAATAAACCATTTTGTATTTAAAATCTAAAACAGAAATTCTTTCCCTATGTAACATCAACATCTGTATTTAAAATAAGAATGATATGTCTGAATTAACCAGCTTTTCTAAAACCAGACACTCATTATTGTTGTTATAAATAGATTTTAATTATTCTAAAATCATTTCTTTATAAAATATCATAGGCCTAGTCTAATAAGATTAAATTTATATTAATATACTTATTTTCTTGTTGAATACTGTTATTGAAAGAGAGAATATTATGAAAATACACTTTTTGTTATAGTATTAAAAGGTTGAATAGATAATTGATTAGTACATCTTATATATTTATTATTCATAAACTATAAGAATGGTCAAAAGCTTTATTTATGTAAAATATTATGAAATTAATTAATAAATTAAAATGGCTAGCAAATCTCAACCTCCCATATAAGAAAAAACTTTTCATGAATGGTCTAAAAACAACTTCTATAGAACAAGCTACATCAATCATTACACTCAAGTATAGGAATTGTTTCATGTCATCTAGTTTCCATAAGAACCAAAAAGTACAGCAATTCCAGGATATGCAGGCTATGTGCCATATGTGCAATCAGAGAATTTATATGGTGAACGATTTTCTCAAGTAGCCAGAAAATCACTTGCAGACTAAAAGTTAGGAAAATTCAATAGATTATCGTCAACTGGATTTAATTTTGATCCTAAAGAATTAATTGATGTACATAAGGAAGCTTATTCTCATAAATATGGATGCTAAACCTTATTGAAAAATCATCCATGTACTCATATCAATTAGATGATTACTTCCTATCAAGACGGTTTCAAAAAGCCTTAAGAACTTGTTGCTCCAACGTATTTAAAAAGAATTATAATTAAATAGATTTCGTAAGACTGATAGATATCTAGAGACTTAATAAGCTTAAACTAAAACATCAGGATTTTAGAAGAATCATATGTAATTTGATGGATCAGGTTGGATTCCTCATGAAAATATGAATGGTTTACAATATATTTTTTAATTTAGGCGATTAAGTGAGAACGGAATACAGAATTTAATATAATTAGGAAAAACCATTCCACAGAAATCCAAACTAATTCAAATTAAGAAAAATGAAGTAAACAGAAATGAATTATAAACATACCTGAATTTATATATAAATTTTTATCTTTAAAAATTTATATTTCATCCATATTATCTTTTATAAAAGAAAAGATTACTTTCTAATAATATTTTCTCATTAGTAAAATTTAATAGCTTAAGAATATAATCGAATTTTAACAATTGAATCTCTTTCTATAAAGTAATAAAATATAAATTTATTATCATCAATAAATTATAATTTAAGTTAGAATTATCATTGATAATATATATATATGATTTCCATATTATAGAATATAATAGAATAAGTATTAGGGAATGATTTAAATTAATGAATAATTTAACTTATTCAGAAAGGTAATCTTGATAGTTATTTAAAATGTCCTTTTGAAAAATAAAGAGCACTAAGGTTTTAGATGATTTTATATATAGTAAATTTTAAAAAATAAATATCATATCACTTAATGAACTATTTTAAATGAAATTATTAAATGTTATAATAATCAGAGAAAGACTTCACAATTGAACAAGTGGTTGGAACAGGCACATTTGGCATGGTGCACTTGGTATGTGTGGATTGAATAATAGTTAGGCTACTGATAATAGAACGAAGGAGAAGGTTGCGATTAAGAAGGTGTACTAGGATCGCAGATACAAAAACAGAGAGCATTTGATCATTTAAGAATTAAATCATCCTTGTGTAGTTATGTTACGCCATTCATTCTTTACACCTGGAGAGAATGTATATTGAAATTTATATTGATTATGTAGCCATAAGATGTGTACCTTAATCTTGTAATGGAATATGTACCAGAGACACTTTCAAAGATGATACGTCAGATACGCAAGCAGAAGCAAACTATCCCATCCACATAATTAAAGCTTTACAGCTATTAAATGCTTCGTGCGCTGCTCTACCTGCAGGGTACTGAGACTTATCCCAACTAGCCATCGGAATATGCCATAGAGACATAAAACCCCAGAACATCCTGATCAACCTTGAAACCAATGTCCTTAAAATTTGTGATTTTGGCTCTGCTAAAAGGCTTGTAGTAGGTGAACCTAACATTGCGTACATTTGTTCTCGCTACTACAGAGCGCCAGAATTAATTTTTGGAGCAACCGATTATACTACACAAATCGACATGTGGTCTATTGGTTGTGTTATTGTTGAGATGGTCATATTGGAACCAATCTTTCCAGGAGAAAGTGCCTAAGACTAACTTTTGTAGATAATTAAGATTCTTGGTACACCAACACCTGAAGTTATCAAGCAAATGAATCCAGCCAAAGCTGAAGTCAAATTACCTATGATTAAAGGGAATCCTTGGTCCAAGTTATTGGCTAAGCATAAATTAGATCTTTTATTTTTAGATCTTATAACATAAATGCTTACGTAAAATTCATCCTTCTTAATATTTAGTTACTCTCCAAAAGCTAGGATTCAACCAATTGATGCACTTTTGCATCCATACTTTGATGACCTAAGAAAAGAAGAATTTGCTAAATCAAATATCAAGTCGCCAAATCTATTTGACTTTAACAAATAAGAATTAAGTGTTAAACCCGAACTAAATTCTAAATTAATCCCATAATGGTATTCTAAGCTAAATACCTGATTAAGTTCCAAAATAAATATATATATGTAAATTATGCTCTTTAATCTGAAAGTGTAATTAAACACTAACTTCTTCATTTTAATTCAAAAATCATTTATTTTTTAACTCTACCAAATACTAAAGAATTATGTTTAATTGTTAAATTATTGTAATTTATAAATGTTATATATTAATTCATCAAATCTATGTAATAATAATTCTATTTTAATTCAAATAATCCTTGTTATTATATGTTAATATTATCATTAATGTATAATTGAATTATCATTTATTATCAGTTTCTTATTAATAAATTATACATAATATTATTTATTATATAAAGATCGCCATGCATATACACTCAAAAAAAAGAAGTATATTAAACAATCAATGATTAAATGGTTGTTTTTAAAGATGTAAATATAAAATAGAATATTATATAAAATACAAGAATTAGTTAGTTAAGCTAATAAATTTTTGTTAATAGATTTCTATTATAATAAAAATGCAATCAATGAAAAATATGATAAGAACTTATTTAATAGGGTAAATTATCATAATTATTCCAACTTTTTGATGTTCACAAGTGGATTATTTTTGATAAGTAATTATTTAGCCTTTTCGGCATGATCAAATGTGCATTAATGTTCCTCTGGTAAACGATGTTTATTGCAAAAATATGCTTCACATTTACATTATATGCCAGATATTCCCAATTTTCTTTTGCAAACCTTACATTTTGATGGGTCTTCCTGAAATAGTCTAAATAAAAATTTTTACTTTCATTTTTATTACTTCTTCTTGTTATTTTATTTCTTAGACTATCTGTTACTATTAGTTAGTTTATAAATTTGTTTCTTTTATTATGGATCTATATGAAAATAGTCATTCAAATAATTACTAGTAACATTTAGAACAATAAAATTATGTAGCAGCTGTTCCAAAGAAAGTCATGCATATATTACATAATCTTGTTTCCTACTTATTCTCTTAATTAATAGATTATTCTTAAGTTGCTGCACCTTGATTATTTTACATTTATATTAATGAATCTAATTTATACTAATCTCAAAATGAAAAAAATTTTATTTATAATCAAAAAGTAAAAAATTTTAGAAAATCCTAAAAATCTATTTAATCTGGATTATCCTTATTGAATAATTTGCAAATCCTCACTAAATCATTATTTACACTTATTTTAAAACTTAATATAATAAAATTATTACTATGATAATAAATTACTTAGATCTCGTTTATCTAAATAAATGGAATGGGCAATAGCTTCAAATAAATTAAAAAAAGATTGCTTTTTTTATTTTATAAATTATCTTTTCAATTTAAGTAACTCCTCTTCATCAATAACTGTAATATTATGCAATTTATTAATAAATAATGCAAATTCTTTACAATCTTCAGAATAAGGAGGTANTACATAATATTATTTATTATATAAAGATCGCCATGCATATACACTCAAAAAAAAGAAGTATATTAAACAATCAATGATTAAATGGTTGTTTTTAAAGATGTAAATATAAAATAGAATATTATATAAAATACAAGAATTAGTTAGTTAAGCTAATAAATTTTTGTTAATAGATTTCTATTATAATAAAAATGCAATCAATGAAAAATATGATAAGAACTTATTTAATAGGGTAAATTATCATAATTATTCCAACTTTTTGATGTTCACAAGTGGATTATTTTTGATAAGTAATTATTTAGCCTTTTCGGCATGATCAAATGTGCATTAATGTTCCTCTGGTAAACGATGTTTATTGCAAAAATATGCTTCACATTTACATTATATGCCAGATATTCCCAATTTTCTTTTGCAAACCTTACATTTTGATGGGTCTTCCTGAAATAGTCTAAATAAAAATTTTTACTTTCATTTTTATTACTTCTTCTTGTTATTTTATTTCTTAGACTATCTGTTACTATTAGTTAGTTTATAAATTTGTTTCTTTTATTATGGATCTATATGAAAATAGTCATTCAAATAATTACTAGTAACATTTAGAACAATAAAATTATGTAGCAGCTGTTCCAAAGAAAGTCATGCATATATTACATAATCTTGTTTCCTACTTATTCTCTTAATTAATAGATTATTCTTAAGTTGCTGCACCTTGATTATTTTACATTTATATTAATGAATCTAATTTATACTAATCTCAAAATGAAAAAAATTTTATTTATAATCAAAAAGTAAAAAATTTTAGAAAATCCTAAAAATCTATTTAATCTGGATTATCCTTATTGAATAATTTGCAAATCCTCACTAAATCATTATTTACACTTATTTTAAAACTTAATATAATAAAATTATTACTATGATAATAAATTACTTAGATCTCGTTTATCTAAATAAATGGAATGGGCAATAGCTTCAAATAAATTAAAAAAAGATTGCTTTTTTTATTTTATAAATTATCTTTTCAATTTAAGTAACTCCTCTTCATCAATAACTGTAATATTATGCAATTTATTAATAAATAATGCAAATTCTTTACAATCTTCAGAATAAGGAGGTACAAATTATGTTTAAGATGATGTTTATGATTGTTATCTCGTTTAGGCCATTGTTGACATCTAGGAAATCTACTAATTCTCGAAAGTAAATTCATCTATAAATTCTGCTATACTAATAAATCCATCTTCATCTTTGTCCATTCTTCGAAATATATAAATTAAATCATCATTTGAAGTTTTATAGTTAAATTATTAATATAGGTATTTTTTTAATTTGATTACATCTATGAAACCATCAGATGTTGAATCAATTTCCTTATATATTTGTAATATGTCTTATTAACTTAAATCTTTTCTTTACTCAAATAACATAGTATCCATTATTTATTAAGTCTCAATTAATTCTGATATAAGAATATTACACATTTTAATATTCTTTGTTTCTCCTAATTTATTTAGACTCTTTGGTCGAAAAGGAAAAATGAATTGCAAAAATTCTTAATAATCCTTAAAAATATCTTTATCAAATTCTATATTTTCATCAAAGTATTCAGCTATCATTTATCTAATTGTTTCTTTTCTTTATTCTTATTAACAAATTGTATAGAAATATTTAACAACTATTTTCATTTATTTATATATATATATATATATTAATAATTGGATAATTAATATTTTTCATTATTCAAATTCCTCTTCTTCATAATCTTTTTAACTCTTATTTTATGGTTCAGTAATTTATTATTCCGATTACTATTAATCAAATTATTGATCATTATATTCTTCATAATTATCTTAACCATTCTATTCTTTATCATAATCACCTTATTATTATTATTATTCATATTCCTCTTCTAACTTTTTCTATTCTTCTTCCAATCTCTATAATTCTAATTGTTCTTATTATAATCTTCTTTCCTCTTCCTTTAATTTTTATTATCTTTCCTCTTCTGCTTATTATTTTTATCTTTATTATTCTTATTGCTTTCTTAATGTCTCTTCTTATTCTTACTTTCTCATTTCTTCTTCTAATAATTTTTACCTTTTTGTTTCATTTTCTTACTTAATTCTTTCTTCTTCTTCCTACCTCTTTCTCTCCTCTTCTTCTTCTTTCCATTATTATTCTAATCTTCTTTATTCTTCTTCTTCTCTTTCTAATTCCAATTATCTCTATCTCTCCTATTCTTATTATAATTATAATAATCTTCTTTATTCTTCTTCCTCTTTTTATTTTTTTAATAATTATTATTAAAGTTCTTCTTATTTTTATTTTTATTACTATAATTAAAATTCATTATTATCTTTATTTTATTATTCTTAATTTGTTGACATTCTAGCTTATTCTTTTGGTAAATCACTTTCACTTTTAGTTTTATGTTGAATTTATGAATCTAATAAAAATATAAATAATAATTTACCAATATAAAATAATTCAAATAATTTTTTGTAATTTATCTAAATTAATTCTTATGTTAATTCATAATTCTTCAATAGTAAAAATTCATATTAAGTAGAATTAAGTGTTTATTCAACAAATTTTAGAGCATCCTCAAGATCTTCAACTGTACATAATTCTTATTTCTTTTTAGATTTCAAAATGAAATCCTCTAAAGAATTTCTATATTTTGATAGAATAATTCCAATTTCTAAAAAGAGTTAATCCTCATCATTTTTCTAAATTTCATATAAATTATTTTACTTCCAAAAGTGTATATTTTCCAATTAAATTTTTAAGTATACTCTTAGCTCTTGCTATTAGACCTTCAGTTAACATACTAAACTCAACAAATCTATCATCATTATCTTCAATCAAATATCTAGCTACTTTAAGACTATCAACTTCATTTAATAAAAATGGTTCAGTCTACAACATATCATTTAATTCTTCAATTCTAATAACTGAATGTGCATCCCCATGAATAAACTAATAAATTAAAAATATAATTACATTATCAATCTTTTCAAAAGGAACTTTCATAGCTTTAAGTTTGAATTTGATTTATTTACATATCAAACTTACATCATCCTTAGTTACACAAGGCAACAATTTCTTTTTTTGATCTGTTATTTCTGGACCTTCAGGTAGAATTTCAAGTTTATTTTCAAAAAAACTATTATTTTAAACAGTTCTCCTATTAAAAATATGAAATCTATTTATACCTTCTTCCAGATGACATTGCCACTTCTTCTTTAAGTGAATTATATTATTCACGTAATTATTATCTATCTCTTTCTAATTAATCTATTATTTATTATTGTTCTCTCTCCAATTCTTTCATTCTCTTATCTAATTCTGCATATTGAGCATCTTTGGCCTTCAAACTACTTATCAATGTGTCTATTTAAACTTACTTTTAACTAGCAATATAGGGATGATTAGTACTCAATATCTTATTTCAATTACTATTCATTTTCAGTAATTTTATTTTATTTCTTATATTCTGGATCTTTAAATTTTAAACTTTCAATCTGATTTTTTAAATATTGATTCAATTTATCCTTTTTAAGTTTTTCATTATAATACATGGTAGCTTTTGATTCATATTCTTTGCATTTTATTTTCAATTATTTTAATTCATCCTCTAATAACTTATAATCAGCTCTCAATCTTAAAAGATCATTATCAGAATCATTAAATTTCATTCCTATCAATGCTTTCAATCTTTATGCTTCTTACTGATAAGACATTAATTCGATTTCCAGTTCTTTTATTTTCATAGCTTTTGTATTTTTTTACAAAAATTGTATTTATTAATCCTTTTTGATTGATTCTTCTTGCAATCTTCTAAGTTGTTTCTTTAAATCCATTATTAAATGTTGCTTCAAAGGTTTATTATCTTAATAAAATGATTCCATGTTGTTAACAACTTGCTCGCTTATTGGAGTTGCTCTAACCATTCGTTGTATTTCTTCCTAGAAGTCTTAATTAATTTTACATCCATCATTTTTATTTTTGTATGTAGAGCCTAGTTCTCTCTTGACAAATTGTTATTGATTTATTTTGCATTAATAACTTCTTCATACAAAGATTCCCTATCGTATAAAATTGCCTATGGAATCATCTTCTATCTCTTTTATTACAAACTGTTTCTCTATTGGTCTTGAGTAATTGGTCTCATTTTCATTCCTGTCTACAATAAGTACCACTACGCTTACACTTTTATCCTCAGTCTCCAAAGTCCCTAAATTCATTTACTATCGCTTTCTTTATTCAGTCTGAACCTGTCTCTTAGATGTAAATGATGTTCCAGGTCTCTCCTCTACGTTCATATTTATTTTTGATTTATTATTAATTGCTTTTTATAAAACATATCAGCAATTTTGTATTTCTTAAATAATTTGCAAATACTTACATATTTCATTTAAAAATAACTTAAACACAAATAATCATTATAATCAAATTTATAAAAATAAACAAAAGAAATTCCTTAAAAAATATAACTTATTAATTGTTAAAAAAATCATGTATGATATCAACAATTCCTTTGAAAATAGAAGTAAATTACTAATCCCACTATATTGAATTCTATTTAAATAAAATTTGAATTTATATAATTTTTGAGTTGAATAATTAGTTAAGATATCCTAGAAATTCTTGCATTTAAATATTAATATTAGATTAGATCCTTTTATTAGTTTTAAATAAATGATTAGAAATTTGATGTTGTAATTATTTATCAACAAATCATATGCAAATATCACAATAAAGTTTCAAATATCTAAAAACATTTTAGATAAATCCTAATATTTATTATTGTCTATTTAAAGAATTGCTATTTATTCACATTTATTTACAATATTTTCTAATTCATTCAATCCTTTTTGGATAATTAAATCATTGTCGATATAATATGTTTTATTTTTTTATGATGAAACTTCAAAATATCAATTTTGTTGAATTCATACAAAACTATAGAATTCTTCTATGCATTAGAGTTGAATAGAGAACAAATAGATAATTTACTATTATTGTAAGTGCTCCAAAAGATTACACAATTATGAATGAAGTTTATAAAAAATCAACAAAATTAACTTAAATTGAATTATTTATTTATTGAAATATCGAAACATTAATAAATGTAGAACAATTCATATGATGATATAATTAGAGATTAAGAAAATTATATCTAATTTAAAATATGAACAGAATAAAATAGTAATACGAGGTCAATTTGATTACATCATAATTAATATTAAGTTTTTAAAGATATAATAAAAGAATTTGTTAAATATTGTGATAAATGAATCTGATGTAACTTACTTTAACAATATTTTTGACTTTACTTTACTAACTTGAAGGTCATTAGATCTTGAAGAATTTTTAGATTATTAGAAAATTATAGGATATAGAATAATGTTAGACAAATCAGTTTTTGGATAATGACATATGTCAAGGTTAATATTCTTAATATGATATAGACTGTCACTATTCATGTTGGAAATGTTCATCTAGCAGTTCTTCTAATTGTTTAGAATGTTTGAGCGATAGTAATCGATTTTTAGAGAATTCTGTTTGTAAATGTTAAGGGAATTATTATGATGAGAATAATGAATTATTTTGCTAGCGTATATATAAATTGAAGTTAGGTTGTCGTTTTCCTTGTTTAAATTGTTAAGGAAAATAGAATAACGATTGTCTAAGCTGCTAAAATTAAATGATTTTATTTGAAAATGAATGCAAATGTGGAGAGCATTAATATTTTAATTATGTTAATTTCTTATGTGAAGGTTTAAAATAAAATATATTTGAAATAGATTGTCATCCTACTTGCTCAGAATGTAATGGATCTTTAAATTCAAACTGTCTAATATGTAAATAAGATTAAAATACTATTTTACAATCTAATATTTGTATATGTAAAGAGGGATATTACAAATCAAGTGTTGACAATAATTGTTATGGTAAAATAATATATTAATTTAAAGAATGTCATTAAAATTGTAAAACATGTTCAGGACCAGCAAATAATGAATGTTTGAGTTGCAAAAATAATAAAAGTGGAAGTTCCTGTACTTGTTAAATTGGATATTATGTATCTTAATTGATTCCAAATTCTTAAGTTTGCTTTAGTAAGAAAGATGAAATAATTTATAGAATGTCATCCAACTTGTTAAAGTTGTTAAGGTTCAGGAGGAGAGTTTAATTGTTTAACATGTCATGCAAATGCAACATTGTAAATAAGTTCTTAAATGTGTTTATGTGATTCAGGATATGTTTGGAATGGTGATTCATGTATTTAATGTGATACTGTATGTGGTGGATTATGTAGATACAATGCTAGTAATTGCTGCACAGCACCATGTGTTTGTATGAAATCCAATAATATTTTAGAATGTTTAAATCCTAATTGTTCAGGCTGTGATGCCTCATAGACATGTACAATATGTCAAGTAGGAAAAACAGGTGGAAATTGTGACTAATCATGTGATGCTATTTGTAAAACATGTAATATATCTGATTCAACTTTATGTACATCTTGTAATGAACCTATGATTTTAAGTAGTGGAACATGTAATTGTCCTTCAGGTTAAGTTTTATCAGGTACTTCATGTGTAAATGCAAGTAATATTTAATTATTTAATTAGTTTGTGCTGCTACATGTACAAGTACTGGATGCATAGATGGATATTATGGAACAAATTGTGCATCCACTTGTGATTAAAGTTGTAGGAGATGTTGGGGAGGAAATAACACTTAATGTAATTTATGTAAAAGTAATGCTTATGTTGGTTCAAGTAATATATGTGTGTGTAATTTTGGATATTATATGGATGCAACATATAATTGTTATAAATGTAATTACACCTGTCGATATTGTTCTGGTAGTAGTACATTTTGCACAGATTGTTAATTTATGCATAGAACATTAGATGGATCTAATTAATGTGTTTGTAATGCTGGATATTATGATTTTGGAATTCCTATTTGTTAACCAACTTAATCAATTTGTGGATTTTTTTGTGGAAATTGTAGTTTGATATCAGGTGTATATTAATGTTTAGCTTGTGCATTATCAGGTACTCATAGAATAGATGATTTAATTAATTTTTGTCCTTGTTAAATTGGATATTTTGATAATGGATCTTAAATTTGTGAATGTAATTTATATAAATGAATTGTTAGAATGCAATTATAAATGTTCTTCATGTAGTAATGCTATTTCATGTATAGATTGTCGTAGTAACAGTAGTTTACCAAATTGTGATTGTGATAGTGGATTTGAAGAATAAGCTTAAGAGTGTGAATTAATATCCGCCGCACCAAGTAATGTAATTGTCATAAATTATAATGCTATAATTATGAAATAATATTGGAGTGAAAATTGCAATTTAAGTAATTTTGCTGATAAAATCAGTTGTTAATGTTTAGATGGTTATTATATGTAAAATTCTAAATGTTTACGTAAAAATATATATTATAATAATTATAGCATGTCATAGAAAATGCAAAACTTGTTCTATTATTTCAACTAATTGTATTGAATGTTCTCTTAATTACATTAATCCTCCATTATGCAATTGTGTTAATGGATATTAATTTTATGATAATGTGTGCATATCTTGTAATAAAAATTGTGTACTTTGTTCTAATAATCTATGTAATACTTGTATATCACCTTTAATTCTTGATAATGATAATATTTGTTAATGTACAAATGGATATTATTTTGATTAATCTTCTAATTAATGTAATAATTGTCAAATATAATGCAATCAATGTAAATATCAATCAGATTATTGCACTAAATGTAATTTTAATAGAATTCTTCCTTTTAAATGTATTTGTCCATAAGGTACTTATGAATTATCTTTATCATTACCATGTTAAAATTGTTCAAAATAATGTTTTACATGTTAAACAAATGGTTCTAATTGTATTATTTGTAGTACTCTTAGAATTAATCCACCTATTTGTAATTGTTTAGATGGTTATTATGAAGATACCAATTTAAATTGTTTAAAATGTCATAAAAAATGTTAGACTTGTTAATTAAGTGCATAAAATTGTGTTGAATGCTCATAAAATAGAATATCTAGTGAATGTTATTGTAAAGATGGTTATTATGAAAATAATAATGAAGTATGTATTTTATGTCATATCAAATGTAAAACATGTAATGGATCTAATGAATATAATTGTTTAACTTGTGATTCAACTAAACATTTTATTTAATCTAATTCTACATGTATTTGTATAAAAGGATATTATTATGAAAATAATTAATGCAATCCTTGTATTTATGATGTTCTTGAATGTCAAACTAATTATTGTGGTGATGGTATCAAATAATTATATGAATAATGTGATGATTGGAATAATATAAATAGAGACGGTTGTAATTCATAGTGTTAAATTGAAGAAAGTTATTAATGTACATTAATTTAAAATCTTAAATTAAGTCCTCTTATTTACTATTCATCATGCATTCAATGCACAGATGTTAATTGTAAATCTTGCAAAGATATTAAAATATGTTCACAATGTAAATCAGGATACTTTTTAGATGATAATCAATGCAATCCTTGCGAGTAATTATATCAACATATATATATTTTATAGTATCCATTGTAAAGAATGTTCAGGACCATCTAAAAAATAATGTACATCCTGTTTATTCGAAATATTTTCATAAGGGAATTGCTAATTATGTGAGGATACTCAAGGTTTATATCTTGAATAGGGTAAATGTATATCAAAATGTGGAGATGGTATCTTAAGATTAACAGAACAATGTGATGATGGTAATAATATTGATGGAGATGGTTGTTCATCTACTTGCAAACTTGAATAACTATGGATTTGTAATTCTAATAATAATACTTAAAGTAAATGTTAAATTGCTGATCTCCCTTTAGCTAGTATTAGTTTTGAAAAACCTACTAATATCTATCAATCTAATAGATATGGAATAATTAAATTTAATAAACTTATGAAAATTGATTTGATTTAAGTTTAATAACATTGGATACAAGGAATTAAAAATATGAATTAAGTTAAATATTATATTGAAATAGGATATGATAATAATTATGACTCATATTATTCTCAAATTAATTTAGATATTAAATTGTATGATACATTTTAAGGTATGATTTATTAAATCAATTTTACTGATTATTTACCATTTGATTAAGAAGGACAATAATTATCAAATCAATTTTTAGAATATTAATTAGGAGATTATTATAAAGTTTCTGAATTATAAATAACTACAGCAGCAACATCAAAGAAAATTAGTTTATTTTTTTTGGCTGCATTAGGAGGAGCAGCTATTCTTGGATTACTATTGTAAAGTCTTGAATTCTATTGGAATACATTAGATATGCTCTAATTATTTTCATATTTATCTTATATTAATGTTAAATTTCCATATTTACATCTTGAATTTTTATCCCTTTTTAAATTTGCTTAAATGGATTTTTTAAATGATTTAATACCATTTTCTTTAATTAAATTTGCAGAAAATGACACTTATCACAATTACCCATTATTAATAGAAAGAGATGTTTAAGAGAATCTACTAGTAAATCTGAGTTCAATCTTTGTAACTTATGCTATACCAATTATTATTTATATTGGATGTAGAATTATTATAAAAATTAATCACAAATATTTATTCGATAAAATATTGATAACTGATTCAAAAAATTTAGGTCCATGTTAAATAAAATTTTATACTTATTAAATTGCATATTACATTAATAATACTGCAAGAATTTATGAATATAGTTTTTTATTTTAAATCCTTTTAAGAATTCATTTATCTAGTTTATTAGATTTAAATTTTGCTATATTTACAACAATATATTGTTGGACTCAACATTATAAGGCTAATCTTAATGATACTCTTTAATATTTATTTGCTAATTTGATAATCTTAATCTAAATTACAATTATCATTTTATTAAGTAATTCCATACTACTTAAAAAATATCAATTTGAATCCTTATAATATAAATTAAAATATGGATCTTTATTTGAAGGATTTTAAATTACTGGTATTCATAATAGATAAGCTGCTCTACTCTAACCATTTAAGAAGATTCTTTTTATGGCTTCATTATTAGTGTTTTTCAATAATGCTCTCTATTAAATTGGTCTCTTAATATCACTGTATATGGTATCTGCCATTATTTCAATTGTTCTTTAACCTAGTATAAATACTTTAGAAACAACAAAAGTTATTACACAAGATTTTGGAATTTTGATATCTCTTAATTTTATACTAATTTATTATGTTTAAGATAATTTCAAATATTTTTCTTAAGATACTATTGAATTGATCTCATATTTTCACATTGGAATTTACATTCTAATGTTGAGTGTATAAATCATAATAGATTGTTATATGTAAATAAAGTTAATTTTTGAGAAATATCCAAAATTAAAATAGTGCTCAACAAAAAAGGAAGTAACATCTATAACTTCAGATAATACAAATTATTATTTAAAATAATAATTTATTGTAATTTAACCTATTTAAAGACCAATTAAATTTAATGTTTGAAATGATAAACTAAATTTTTGGAATATATATATATATAATATTATAAATTAATATAATAAAATTCTTAATATTTTTAAACATGCAAATAAATTGCTACTTAAAATTAAAAATATAATTATATTAAGAATATTTTTACAATTATATATTTCTACTTTTCACACATATTAATCATCTAAATTTTTTCATTTAAACCATTTCCTATTAATAATCTCATTATAAATACTTCTGCAGCAGATGGATGAATTCCTACAGTCGAATCAAAATCTGCCTTTGTAGCTCCCATTCTAATAGCCACAGCAAAACCTTAAGTAACTTCAGCAGCTTCTGGTCCAATATAATGAAATCCAATTATTTAGTCAGTATCTTTTCTGACTATTAATTTCCCTTAACAAATTGATGGATTTCTAGAACTAATATTCCAAGTAACAGGTTTAAAAACATTTTCAAAAATCTTTAAATTATCTTTACCATATTTTTCAATTGCTCTCTCTTCTGATAATCCAATACAACTGTACTCTAATGGTGTAAAGATTGTTGTTGCTACATCTCTATAATCCATTATATCTGATGAACCTTAATATAATCTCTTGATTAATTTCCTTCCTGCCATTATAGCAGTTGGAGTTAATTCTAATTTTCCAGAAACACAATCTCCTACAGCATAAATATTTGGACAATTAGTTTAATCATATTTATTAACAATAATTTTCTAATTTTCATCAATTTAAATTCCAACATTCTCCAATCCTAAATTTTAAGTATTAGCTTATCTTGAAATAGCCATCAAAATAGTGTCAAACTTTTCTGATGATTCCTTTCCATTCTTATCTTTCCAAGTAACAATTTTACCATCAATTTTAGAAGGTATACATCCATAATGAAATTTAACACCTTTTTCAACCATATATTGTCCAACTAATTATGCATATTATTAATCAAATTTTCTAAGCAATTTACTTCTTACTAACACTTATGTATCATATCCTAATCCATTCAAAAATCCTGCACATTCTAATGCCACATAAGATCCTCCAATTATTAAAGATTTACCAGGAGGTCTTCTCATCCAAAATAAATCATCTGATGTAATATAACTCTAAGAATCCAATCCTTCATATAATTTTGGTCTTGCTCCAACTGAAACGATAATTTTTTCAGCAGTAACAATACTCTTTTGACCTTTTTAATCAGTAAGCTAAAATTATGAATATATACATACTTCAATAGTATTTGGATTAATCAATTTTGCTAATGAATTTATATATTAAACTCCTGCTATTTTGAGATTGTTTTCATGCATTCTATTAAGTCTCAAAATCAAATTAGATACTACTTAAACCATTTTATTCCAATCATGAGATCCATTTTCATTTATTCCACTCCATCCTACTCTACCCTAATCTTGTCTATAATCTCCCAATTAAGCAGCAATATGAAACATTTTTTTAGGAATACATCCAACATTTACACAAGTTCCTCCTACACCCCAAGTTTGACCATTTGGAGAGGGTACAACAAAATCTGCCAAAGCAACTTTTTTTCCTAATTGGGCTGCTGCTTTACTGCTGGCTAAACCACCTGAACCTCCTCCAATTACAAAAAGATCATAGGAATAACGAAATACAATTTTCATTGATATTAATATTTATATATATATATTTAATGCAACTAAAGGATAACAATAATTGATGAATGATTTATGAGATAAACTAAATATATATATAAATATTTTGATATTAATTTATAATGATGGAAAAAAAGAATGAAGATGAAGTTGTTTAAATGAATGGACAAATAAGAGTATTGAATTATTTTAATGAGTTAGGCTGAATCAAAAGTAGATTCTTCATCTCCAAATAAGAAGAGTGGGTCTGGTGATGCATAATATGCTTCAAGAACAATAACACATAGGAAGTCTATGAATTATGGATCAAGATCAAGTAAATCATCTTCGGAAATTCATTTTGGGATGAAAGTACATAATAATCACAATTTTAGAAAAGGATTGAGCATTTTCTGGAAAGTTTCAATTATATGATATTTATGACTGTAATAACGATTTATGCATTATTTGGTGATGATATAAGAGTGTTATCAACAAATAAAGTATACATTTTGTATTAATAAGGATGGAGATGCTGCTTTTTGGGTGATAACTGCAATATGTATGGGATTTTTTTTGGTTGAAATTGTATTGGCTTCAGTTTGTAAAGTAAATTAGCTTTCATTTTATTAAGGAAGGATATATTCTTGGATTCTTTTTTTGGTTGGATTTATTATCAACTATTTCAATGTTATTAGATATTGGATGGGTAAATGAGGCAATGTTTGGAAGTGGTGGTGGTGCAGCTTTGAGTGCTGTATCATTGGCAAGGTTTATATATATATATAAATATTGAATATAGAGCAGGGAGAGCTTCAAGAGTAGGAACAAGAGCAGGAAGGATTGTTAGAGTTGTGCGACTTGTTAGATTATCAAAATTATATAAACATGCAAAATAATCTTTAGAGAAAGAAGCAGAAAAACTATTAGCAGAAGAAATGAAGGATGAAAACTTGATGGACCAAAATAATTAAGAATAAGAACAACCAGTTAATTAATAATAAAATAATGATAATATATCATCTTAAAAGTCAGTAGATTCATCTGAGAGACATGTAAGAGATTAAGATGAATAACCACATTTATAAAAGACTCCATAATAAAGGACTTCAATTGTGTTATAAAATAGATAAAGTAGTTAATTCAACTCAGAAAATGAATAGAGATTTCAAAGAAGACAAACTAGAAAAATTGTATTGTCTGGATAAATTTAATCATTAACCACTATTCAAAAAAGAAAATCTATTATCCAAACTCCTGGGAAAACATTATAAAGAGTTTCAGATGAAGGAGAAGTTAAAGAAACTAATATTGGAAAGGAATTAACAGAATTAACAAATAAAAGAGTTATTACAATTGTGATGTTAATCTTATTTAGTGTACCTATTTTAAATCTAAGTACTTATGGTGATCCTAATGTTAGTTTTACTACAGGTTTATAAGCAATTTAATATTGGTCTAAAGACACTGAAATCTATACTTATTTAATCAAAGATTTTATAGTTTATCATGAATCTTTAAGAACTTAATTGGTATTTTTTGAAATCAATTCAACAATTTTCTATCCATATGAAGATTAATATTAATATTAGGATTATAGAACTGCCTCTTTATAATATTATACATCTACTGATTCTTCAGATTAAAATGCTGTATGTATTTGTACAACAATAGCAGATGATGAATTGAATGCAATTTTATCAATTGTAAGAACTATTTTCGTTTCTATTGTACTTTCTGTTGCAGCAGTTTTGTTTAGTAAAGATGTTTAAGATTTAATTTTAACACCTATTGAGAAAATGTTGGAAACTGTCAAAAAAATATCAGAGAATCCTTTAGTTGCAGCTTAAGAAGAAGAGAATAAGGCATTTATTTAAATGGTTGAAAATGGAGAAATGAAAGCATTAGAAGATTAAGAGGATGAGAGATTAGAAACGGTCATTTTGTAGAAATTGATAGTGAAGATAGGAACTTTATTAGCACTTGGATTTGGTGAAGCTGGTTCTTAAATTATTGCTTAAAATATGGGAGCTAATGCATCTATTAATCCTATGTTGCCAGGAAAAAAAGTGATGGCCATATTTGGATTTTGTGATATTAGAAATTTCACTGATGCCACAGAAGTATTATAACAAGATGTTATGGTATTTGTGAATGAGATTGCTGAAATAGTACATGGAGTTGTGGATTAATTCTCTGGAAGTGCTAATAAAAATATTGGAGATGCTTTCTTATTAGTATGGAAATATGCAGAAACTGATTATTATCAAGATGAAGATGGAAATCTACGTCTTAAACCTTATGAACATGTTTCTTAAATTGCAGATATGGCTATCCTTTCTTTTGTTACTATCATCACCAATGTTACTTTATCCTAAAAATTATAGAAATATAAATAACATGAAGGATTGAATAATAGAATACCAAATTATTCTGTAAAAATGGGATTTGGATTACATATTGGTTGGGCTATTGAAGGAGCCATTGGATCTGAATACAAAATTGATGCCTCATATTTAAGTCCTAATGTTAATATGGCTTCTAGATTGGAAGCAGCCACTAAACAATTTGGATCCATGATTCTCATTTCAGGATAATTGAGGGATGTTGCCACAAAAATTACTTAAAAGAATCTACGACACATTGATAGAGTAACTGTCAAAGGTAGTATTGAACCAATGGATATTTATACTGTTGATTTGAATGTTGATTCTTTACTTAGAAAAGATCATAGAAAAAAAACTATTGTTGATTTTCATAGAAAAGAAAAAATTAAATAAGCTTATTTCTCAGAATCTGAATAATAGAAATAAAAAAAAAAATAAAAAGTTTTAAAAAGAATGAAAAGAGACAAACTCAAATAGGCTGTTCTTAAAAGTCATGTTTTAATATCTGAAACTTGGACTAAAGATCCAAACATAAAAATATCAAGAGCATTATTTAGAAAAGTAATTATATTCTATATTTTATTTAGGAATTCTATCAAAAATGGAATGAAGGATTCCATTGCTATCTATCTGGAGATTGGGATAAAGCCAAATCTATATTTGAAGAAACATTAGTAATTTTATAATATCAATATTTTTTAGAATTTTCTACCTAATTATAAAGATGGTCCTTCAAACACCCTTTTAAGAGTTATCAAAGAAGAACCATATCTTAGAAATAATTGGAAGGGTTATCGTGAACTAACTGAAAAATGATTTTATGATCTTATTGATTCTTTTTTTAGATTGTTATATATATTAATAAATTTTACATATCAAATCATAATACAACAAGCTGAAGAATTTGATTTCGTAATTCTCTATTTACCAACCTTAATTCCCTATTCTCCTGGCTTCCAAGATTCTTAACAAACTTCATCATGTGTATCAGTATAAATAAATGCTTCAATCAATCTTTATTAATATTCTTAAATTTACCTTAAATATTCATCAATATTTCTTCCAACTGAAGTATCATTAACTGAATAATGTCTCAAAATTCCTTTACTATCAATAATGTAGGTTCCTCTAAACGATGCTCCATATTCTTCATCATTCTCATCGTCTATCAAGCATCCATAACTAGTTGAAATGTTCTATTATTATTAGAATCTATTCTAACTTTTCCAATATCAGATATTAACATAATATTGAGCTTTCCTACTCCACCTTGATTTCTTGGAGTTTAACAATATTTCATATGTGAGAAATGGGAATCTGTAGATATTCCCACCACCTCACATCCAATCTTTCTGAATTCCTATTAAGAATTAAGATCAAAACAATTACTTCAACTCTGTCAGAAAAAGCAATGATTTCTGTAGGACAGACAAAAGTAAAATCAAATGGATAAAAAAACATTATTAGATATTTGCCTTTAAAATCTTTTAATGAAATCTAACATATATGAATTCAATTAACTTTTTTGAATCCATCTTTGTAATAAGCTTCTCCACTAAAATTTGGAGCAGGTTTTCTAATTTTTATTGGATTATTTTTGTACATAATAACTAAATCGTAATTTAATTTAATTGTCGTCACTCTATATAAGGAGATAATATTTTTGTGCAATAATATAAATAAGATATGAGTTAAAAGCTTAAAATTAGAAAACCTGCTCCAGCTTTCACAAGCACAGCTTATGTGAATGGATCATTCAAGAAAGTGTCACTTTCAGATTTCAAAGGCAAATACTTAGTCTTATTCTTTTACCCATTGGATTTCACTTTTGTTTGCCCAACAGAAATCATTGCTTTTTCTGACAGAGCCGAAGTAATTGTTTTGATCTTAATTCTTAATAGGAATTCAGAAAGATTGGATGTGAAGTTGCTGCTGTTTCAGTAGATTCACATTTCTCACACATGAAGTATTGCCAAACACCAAGAAATCAAGGAGGATTGGGTGATATGTAAATCCCATTGATTGCTGATTTAGGAAAAGTAATCATAATTTTTAAGAATATTCTAGACTATTTCTGCTGATTATGGAGTTCTAATTGATGATCCTTAAGATGGAGATTTTGGAGTTGCTTTTAGAGGCACATTCATAGTCGATAAGAATGGTGTTCTTAGACATTATTCAGTTAATGATTTACCAGTTGGAAGAAATGTTGATGAAACATTGAGGTAATGAATGACGTAGATAAATTTCTAGATTAGTATAAGCATTTTAATTTACTGATGAACATGGTGAAGTATGTCCAGCCTCATGGAAACCAGGAAAACCAACAATGGTTCCTGATCATGGAAGCTAAAAGCTCCAATAATATTGGACAGAAGAACATGCAAAGAAAGAATGATTGAGTCAATTATTATATAAAAAATTATAAAATTGTTCTTCTATAAAAATTATTTGTGGTATTAACAATTTGAAATCATATCAAAATCAATTATAAATACTTAAATAAATTACTTTGATTTAATTTATATATAATATTTGATATCATTATTCAAACATTTAATCCATAGCAATTTTATCCTTTTAATGTCTAGTTACTCTTTCTTAGTATCTAGCTCTTTCAGTTTCAGCAGTGGCAGGATTTTCTCTACAATAATCCTATAATGAAATAATGTAATTTAATTACAGTTAAGAAACCAACCTCAGCCTCATTGATAGGTAGATGTTCATTTGGTTTAGCTTTCATACGAAATAATAACTTATTGATTTCATGCATAGGCAAAATGGCATTGGCTACTCCAAAACATACTCCAATTATAGCTTCTATTGATATTGATTACAAGAATACATATTCCCACCAAAGATTTGTTAGCTATTTATAATATGATATGTTCTTACACAATAAATAGGTAGGACATATTCTAATTATTCAATCATTTCTCTTGACATCACAGAAGAATAATTATATTTAATTGTTCTTCTTCTTGCAATATTATATTTTTCAACCCAATAAAAAAAGAGTAATGCAAAACATGTAATTACTAAACCAATAGGAATAACTGAAGCATAGAATGCAACAACATACATATTCTTTAAAACTGTTGCATAAGATGTAGATATATCAAAGACTGGTCTCTCAAATAAACTAAATAATTTATATAAAAAATTACTCATGAAGTTATTTCTATGTTTTAACTGAAGCCTTACCCTTTCTTAATTCAAAAAATTAATATAACCATTTCATAATAGTAGATGAATCAATAAGTTAAATTAAAGCAGGTAAAATTGCATTAGATATAAATACATATGTTTAATTATATACCAATCCTCCTGTTCCATATATATTTTTAGTAACCCAAGTACTAATTGCAAATGTAATAACAGCAGTATTTACAAATTAAGCTAAACTAGATTTACTAGCTAAACTGATATTGAATCCTGTTTGTGTAGAGAATCTTTCAAATAGTGAAACTTTTCTAATTACAATACTTAAAATATAATTAATAATAATGATTGAAATGGATGCCAATTATGCTATCACTTTAACTTTATAATTAGGATTTAAATCTCCATTTTTTACTGCTTTAGCCTATTCATCAGCACTCTAAGCTTGAACAGCAGATAACCAATATATTAAACCACCACAAACTCCCAAAATAATAAAAGTAAGGAAATATCCTAATATTCTTCTCCATATTTTCTAAGATGTTTAGATATGTAAATTCTCCCAAAATACATCTGTTGGTTCTGGTGGTTATTCCACTTATAATTATGAACCTCTATAAATTAAATTACTTTTTCTTCCAAGAATTCTAGAACATAATGATAATCTATGATCAATTAACATCCATTAGACATCACTCTCCCATCTAAATGTAACAAATGCTTATCCTAAGAAATATTATTTAACATCTTTTCCTTCAACAAATCTTTTTTCCAAAGCTTCCAATTTTTATTCAATTTCAATTATTTAAGTATCAATTTCCTTTATCTATTCATTATTATTTATATCCTCACTACCTGGTAATAGACCTTGATCATACAAACTAGGTAATAACTAATAATATTAATTATTATTATAAATACCTTTTATTTTTGAGCTATCTTACTTTACTTTTCCTATTCTAATATAGATTATTCTTCTATATTATAACATAAATTAACAGCCACTACTCTTGATAATTTCTTTTCTGGTCTATTATTTCTTTATAAAAATTATCTAAGTTCTTCTTCATAATCTAAAACTTCAATTGGTTTTTCATATGTTCTTTCAATGTAGACTTCAAGATAATCTTTGAGATCTTAATCAAAATCATCATTTTTTAATCCCTCAGTATGAGTTGGAATATTCTTCAATAAAATTGTATAATCAGATGCATAATAAGTATTTGAATCTATTTCAGTATCAAAAGCTCTTTATTCTTTTCTAAAATATTGAAATAAAATAATAAGAGTCAACATAGATATTAAATTGAGCATTTATTACAAATCAATGAATTCTTAATCTTCTCTTTTGTTTGCTAATGATAATCCTGTTACCCAATTAAATATACAAACTGCTTTCTCATCTATCTCAAAGCCAATACTCTTATCCAAAGATTAACATGATTAACCAAAGGCAATATTAGTTATAATGTTATAATCTCCTGATGTTACAAACATTACAATTAACATTAGAATACATGCCTTAATGTATTCAAAATAAAGAGGCATACCTAAATGAATCATTTAATTACCTGCTCCAAGAAACGAATAATCTTAGTTATTACAATCAATTTTAACTCTATCTTTTGGTACTTAACGAGCACAACATTTACATATCTATCCAACCAATTTTTCTTCTTCTGAAATATTTGGAGTATTCTAATGTAAACGAAGACTTCTTAATTAACTCTTTGATAATTTTGTTGTTCCAACATTCCATGCTTCCTATATGTTTAAACTTTTTTACAATACTCTATGTAATTAAGCTAAATTAAAATCAGGAGGAATCTAATCTGATGGAAAATCAGAATTGCCTTCTTTTCCTCCAAGAACGCCAGCCTACACTTCTTGGGGAAATTCTTGTTTATTTGATATCACTCTCTATTCATCCTGGAACTATTAATATTTTTATGGTCCTTATCTGAACATCAAATCAAATCAAATTAATATTACAATAAATTTTATTATTATACATATATATATCTAGTTTCATTATCAATTCTAAATTGCCGTTTGAGAAATGTTTTGTTTAAAAAAATCATCCATTTCAATTAAATAATAGATTCAACTATTTTTATATAAGTTCTAGTAAAAATCATTAATTGAAAATAAATAATTTATTTATTTATTAAAATGAATGATACAATTGAATTTGAAGACTCTCTTAATGAAGTTACATCTTAAGAAAAAGATATTGTAAATTATTTGTAAGAATTGAAATTAACATTCTTAACTGATCCATAATAAAAATAGTTTAAATTTGAGCAAGCTAAAAAACAATTGATATTTTCATATCGTTCCCTTGACTCTGATACAGATGGCTCAGATATGACACCACCAATGATTGTTAAAACATAATCACTATTACTTATCAAATCACCATTAAGATAAAAGAGGCTATCTATTGTATCTGAACATCCATTAATCTGAATTATATTCTGTCAATTTTTTCACATTAATATTATATTATATTAAAATCTATTCGTTAATAAATGAAGAATATAAGTCAAACTGTTGATGTGAAGAACATTTCAAAAAAAGAAGACAAAGAAAATTTATTTTTCTATTAATCCATCAAAGATAAACTACCAAAACCCAATCCTATTCTAATTTAATAACTTCAATTAAACAAAGTTAATTCATTATTACCATTAAAAAAAAAGTATCTCTAATTAAGTATATTAGCTATTTAGAAGCAAATGAATAACAAATAACCTATAAAACACCCATACAATAATAAGAACAAGAATGTTTAACCTAAAAGCCTATCACTCTTTAAGCCTTCCTAAAACCCCTTAAACTAATATACCAAAAATATCAACCTTAACAGAACCAAAATCTATATGCAACTCTTATTCATTAACCAGATAATAACTTCGATGCTTCTCATTACTACCAAAGTGATGAAGATATTAAATTTGATTCTCTATTTGAAAGTGGAAACTTATTCTAAGTCTTCAAAGTATCTCTATCATATCTTAATTAGAAAAGCGATAAAGATTACATCCTACTCCTTTAAAATGATATTAATACCAAAGGATATACACAATGGTTTTACTTCTCCATTTCAAACAAGAATTCAACCCTTTCTAACATTAAACTCAGTATCATTAACATTAACAAGGATATGTGTTTTTATCGTTAAGGCATGAAAATCTTAATAAATGAATGTAATTATTGGAGAAAAGATTCATTGGGTTTATCTTTTAAGAAAAATAATATCCAAAGAAATAATTCTACATTCTACTATTCACTCTCTTTTAATTATACATTTATCGAATAAGGAACTGTGTACTTTGCCTCTAATTATCCGTACACCTATTCTAATCTATAAACATTCATATCTAGCAAATATCTAGTCTATGATAAAATATTGAAAGTCAAAAACATAATCACAAGCTAAGCAGGTAATGAAATATAAATCATTACTATAACTAATGATAATAAAGATTAAAAATAAGGATTACTATTTATTGGTAGACAGCATCCTGGAGAGACACCTAGTTCTTTTGTAATTGAAGGGATAATCAATGCTTTATTGTCAGCTGAGGCTGATGAATTGAGGAATAAGTTTGTTATCAAAATTATACCAATGTTAAATGTTGATGGAGTAGTACATGGAAATTAAAGATGTGGTTTAGGAGGTTTTGATTTAAACAGAAAATGGGGATGCAATAGAGATGATACATTAAATGAAATTGAAAAATTAATAACTAATTTTAATGAGAATTATCCTATCTAATTAATCTTAGATATACATGGTCATAGCAAAAAGTATTTGAAATGTAATAAATTAGACTGTCAGCTTTCTTTTATGGTCATAGTTGCAATGAATTCATTACTGAACTTTGCAATTCAGATAAAAGATTCAGTCTAGAGAATAGTAGATTTATGAAAAATACTAAATATTTGAATCATACAGCAAGAGTCTTTTTATAAAAACTATTGAATATGAATCAGAATATATATACTCTTGAAATTTCATACTTTGGATACAAGGATTAAAATTAAATTGTAGATTTTACTTTAAATGATCTAAGATCTATGGGTAGAGAAATAATTAACACTCTATCTAAAAATATAGAAACATAAATATGGACAGAAAGTATATTAATAAATGAATAGAATTCTGATGTCAGTTTCTCAGATTCTTCAATATCAGAAGATGAAATTGGATATGAAGAAATTAAATAAATTTAACCTGAACCCCTTAGAGAAAAAAATAATAATCTGGAAAGATAATATCCAAGATCAAATTCATATAAATAAAGACAATTGAAATCATCTTAAACTAGAAATAGAGCAAAATCATAATCAATATAAAATTAAATGAAATACTAATAATTTACTTACAATTTTATTGATAATTCTTTTAATAATAATTGTAATGTGAAAAATGATAATTATGATCATTAAAGTTTATTTATTCCTCAATAAAAACCAAAATAATCTGAGTATACAATTCAACCATTAGTTATAATGCCTCAGCATAGTTTAAAGCACTAATTCTTATGGTAGAATAGATTAAAATAATAAAATAATAAAGAGATTAAATTGTAAAATCTCAAAGAACAAAGAGATTTGAAAATTTATCAAGAATTTAAAGATTATGTCAATAATAAATAATACTCTAATAAGCCTTTACTTCCTAAATATTCATTTAATGATACAGACTTATTTAAAAAGTCACAAGCCAAAAAATAATATTTAATTATTAATTTATGATATATATATATATATAGACTATTAATTATATATATTACTTTATAATTGTTCATCATTCAAGATGATTCTCAAATATGAATTGATGTTTTTATTTATAAAAGAAACTAAAGTAAGTAAAAAATATACTAAAGTATAAACATAATTTGATTAATAAATAGATTTATATTTAATGTTTGAGAGTGAAGTATCAATATCTATAAAATATTTAAATTTAAATATGATGTTAAACAAATATTTTCATGATGGTAGATTATAAATTAATAGAATTATTATTTAAAAACAAATATTTAATTTTAGTCATATTAATAATAATATTTTATAAATTAGTAGATTCATAATTTTTCTTTAAGTTCCTATATATAATTTGTTAACGATCTCTAAAAAATTTATCTTTTTTCTTTGAAATGATATGAAAATTATTACCTTCTAAATTATTCTCAGCATCTTATAACTCTTTCTTCTTTCTTATTTGGTCAATCATAAAATTTTATAATAATTGTTCCATTTCTGAATGAGAACCTTATGAAATATTTATGAAATGTTGAAATTCAATTTTAAAATGATCAGAATTTATTAAATCTAATAGGTGCTCTTCAGCTATTTATTCTTAAATATTTGGTATTTTATTGCAAATCTACATAATTTTATTAGAATTTTGTAAAACCTTGTTTATTCTAACATTTGAAATTCTTTGTTAATTTTAATTTACAGGATTATTTAAGATCTAAGAAGCTACTCTTTTATGTCTTACTTCATTTGATGGTTAATTGATTTTCTTAAATTTATCCAAAGAAGGATTTATAGTTCTTTTAAATAATAACTTATTTTTTAAAAGTGGAGTTGCTTTTTCACTGTTTTCCTAATCATTACTTGTATTTTCATAGTTCAAAGTAGGTAATTTAGAGTTAACATATTAAGTAAATGGTCTTCTTGGAGTATAGGGTTTGATCTATTAAATTTTCATTAAATTTTCTTTTTCAAACATTTCCAATACCTCAGTAATTTATTGATTAGGAGGATTAGAATATTAGGTAGGGTGTCTTTCTTTTAGAGGCTAAGTGAAATTGAATTGTGTCATGGTTTAAATATGCTAAGATTGTAATTGTTTAGCTATCTTTTCTATATCTTTATGGATTGATTAAGAACTATTAGAATGGCCAATGATAGGATTTTGAATTGGTTATACAACAGATTACCTTTATTTTCTATAGTAGAATCTATAATGAGGTGATGCTTTGGTTTTAGCAAAGATACCTTCTTTTTACATGATTTCATATTGAGTTGGTACTAAGACTGGGTTGTTATTTTCTTTGTTATTAGATTTATTAGCAGACAATTCCATTAACAGATAAATGTATTAATAATTATCCGTTGACAAAATATAAAATATATATATATATATATTCTAATGGAAGGAATGATAGATTCTAATTTTAGTATAGAGGAATATGGTTAAGAATTTACGAAATCTAGAAATAAATGATATTAATTAGTGAATTTGATTATGTACGTATTTTGTGGAATTTAAAAAAAGTTAGTCTTAATAAGAATAATAAATTAATGAAATAATATATACTTTGGATTTCAATATTGTTTTATAATGGATATTGTGAGAGTGTTTCAGATTTCTAAGGGAAGGCATTCAAGTTTACAAATAAGCAGAGCTGTAAATAAATGTGAATTTATTATTGATAGAAATTTATAAAGTAAATGTTGGATTGCCAGAAGATTAAATGGATTTAGGATTGATTTCATCTTATGGAGATTTTAATGGAGATAAAGCGTAAGTTTATATGATAAAATTAGTGTAGATGTTGTAATAGTTGATTAGAAGAGTAATAATATAATTATATTGTATTGGGATAATACATTAAATGAATTTGAATAAAAAAATGTTTGTTAAAGTAGTTGTTATCCAGTTAAAGATATCATAATATAAGGGACAATTCCATTAGATTATGATTATGATGGCTATTTAGATATATTAGTAGTTTTAGGAAATGATGAAGGATTTACAATTAATATATTAAGATAGACTGAAATAAAGAATGGTTATCCAGTGTTTGAAGTAATGCAAGAGAAATATTCATCATCATCCTATCCATTTGTAGGAGATTTCTTTGGTAATCACAAGTAAAGTTTAATTAATAATATAATAGAACATCTATTATGATTACTACAGATACTTAAAGATTAGTAGTTTAATATGGATTATAATAACCAACTGATTTTCTTGATCTTGTAGATTAAGGTTGTTCAATAAAAGATTATGAAAAAACAATAAGTGCATAATTATTAAATCCACATTTTAGTTCTTTTGTTGATGTAAGTTCTGATTGTAGAGCAGATTTAATAATAACATCTGAATTGGGTATTGAATATTGGTATACTAAATATGTATCTACTGTTGTTGCTGAAAGTACAGATTAATTATTAAATAAATAACCAAGATTTTGTTTATAGATAATAGATTCATTTATTAATGGAGCTGAATTAAAGACTCTTGATTTTGTGGATATTAATTTTGATGGATCTATAGATATGATTTATGTTTTCTAAAGAAATGATCTCTAAAATTTAGTAATTAATTATAATCAATATGAAAATCCTAATAATCCTCCAAATTTATGTTAATCAAATACAAAAGATTCAGATAAATAAATGGCATATCCATATTCTCCATTTAGTCTATTAGGAACAAATACAAAATTGGTTACTCCATTAAGTAATGGAGATTAACCAATTAAATTATATGATTATAAAAATCTAGATTTATCATTAGCTTTAGCACCTTTTCTAAGATTTGGTGATTATTTAGCTAGTGGTTATCCAGGAGCATTCATGATCATTTATAATGAAACTACTTACAAACCTAATATATATTATCTTAAAAATGTACCCATAAGTACTGATTGTGAATTAGAATCAAGAATGTGTAGATAATTAATAGTGGATAATGATCCTGGAGATCGTTTTTATTTAATTACAGAGATGGAAGGGATTAATGTAGCCTTTTTTGATTTTGGAGAAAATGGAAGATTAGATTTCTTAGTAAATAGTATCTCTATGGATGAAGATTAAAAACCAAGATACAATTTAGCAGCATTTTATAATTATATCTCTTTAGATGCTTTCTTTTTAAAATCATTAGGTATTAATGGACAATGTGCAGCTGATGAAGAAAGTAAGATTACATGTTAAGGTTCATTGTATTATGGAGCCACTTATTAATTCAGAGTAACTGATATTAGTGGATCCTATAAACCAGCTGCAGGAATTCAATTATATTAATCTGCTTATTCTCCATTGTAATTACCTTATTCTTATATGGGATTGGGTAGAACCAATAATTATATAGAGAATTTTTACTTAGGTATACCATTATTAGATGGACAAATTAGATAATGGACTCCTATCATTCCTAATTCTTAATTAATTGTTTCACCATTTACTGATAATACGAAATCGTAATTTATATATATATATAATTAGATGGACATTATCAATATTTATAGAACCAACTGAAGCAATTTTAGTTGTTGTAATAGTAACTATAATAATACTATTTGTTCTTGGTGGCATAATTATTTGGAAACACATTAAAGAGAAGGAAGATGATAAAAAAAATTAGGAATAGTTTTTTTAAATGTTTAGATGAATTATTATTTAATAAACATAATTATATATATATATTAATTTATTTAATTATAAATATTGATTTTTTTTTTAAAGTTAATTATCATATTGCTTCTTCTTATTCCACTTATTAAATTTTATTATCAGTAACTTCATTTGGTATATTATATGATTCCCTTTTAGATGGTATATAAAATTGAATAATCATACATATATAAATGTTGATTAAACTCCATTCATTGACACTACTTAATACAGTAATTTATTTAGGTCTAAGTATTCTTATATATTAATTATAAAGCAAAACAAAAAAGCATAATGTAGAAAGTATATGTAATAATTTATACTTTCTAATTTATACTTTTGCAAATTTGGATTAATCTTATTCTGGGAATATTTCATATTGTGTTTCTTAAACTTTAACTATTTCATTATTCATATTTGGTTGAGTGTAATTAAATTATTTATAAAGCAAATAAAAAAAGCATAATGTATATATTGTTAATACTGTTAATATGTATTTCTCATAGATTTCATAAAATTGTATATCTTTTTTAATATCAAATTATGAATTATTTTATTTTTGATAAAAGAGATAAAGATTCATAAATGCTTATGGTAAAGTATACAATAAAACAATAATAATCTAAAATGCATGTTTCAATTATAATAATCTCTTTTTATTAATTATATCTTCCATTGTCATATTTTAAAATTTCTAAAATTCAAATATAATCAACCAGAAATATAATAAACTAGTTTATACAAATAATTAAATCATATTTGTATAACCTTATACAAAATATAAATGAGAATATCTAAATAATTAAATTGGCATATTATAAAATACCATTAACACTAATAAAAAAGGTATCCATTTTAAAATATCTGGCCATTATATTTTTTAGTAACCATCAATATTAATATATAAATAACACATTGCATAAATAATAATTACAGTGAAAAGAAACTAATTAAAAATATATATATAGAATTTACTTAACATGAGAGAAGTATACGATAAAATTGAGTATTTTCAAAAGTTGATTATAAATATTACATTTTTAATGTTTAATATTCTGGTGGTTTTATAATGGATATATGGGATAGAAATAATGTATTTTAATTTGTATTTATTTCTCTTAATTCTCCAATACAATTAAAATGATCAAACCATTTCAAGCAATCTAATTTTGTATTTATTTATTCATCTATCATTATTGTTTCATAACTCTAATAATTCTTCATTTCACTTTACTATTATATATTTATACGTTGAATTATCAAGTGATTAATTGCTATATAAAGTTAATTGAACATTTATAGTACTGATTTAAAATTCAGATGAAAGTTTGCTTTTATTCAATTTGTATAAATCTTCCTAATTTATATTGTTGTTGTTACATTGGAGATTGAAATATTGATTTCCAATTTAACATCCTTCATCTCTGGTTAAAACATTCCAATAGAAGAACAAATAAGTTTAGTTTAATTTTAGTAATCACTTTCTTAACATTCTTAATGATAAAATGGTTTAGAAACAAATTTCTTTCTATCCCCAATTCCAAAAAGTTGTAGACATAAGAAAAATGCAATCCAACAAGAAATCCTAACACAAATTTAACTGTGAGTAAATGCCTCTACTTTTAAAGGAACTTATTAATAAAATGAAATCATATATATTTATCATTAATTATCTAATATTCTAATTTGAATTGAATATCCAATAAATTCTAAATATTATAAGTAATAATTAAAAGAAAATACATTAAGACAATCATAATTCTATTCTATATATAAGAAAGTTGTATTTACATTTATAAATTAATATTCTAATAACAGTATATTAATTTATAATTCATTTAAAATTTAATCATGAATATTGTAAAACCATTGGTGAAAAATCATCACCTATAGCAACTAATTTTGTTTTATTATCATTTATTTTCAATTATCTCACACAACCCTTATTCATTGCTCCAAATCCATATAAACATTAACCAGAATCATTATCAAAAAATAATAAATTGCCATCTCCGCATCCTGCTATTGTCATATTATAAATAGTCTCTATAGAAAATACAGCATCTTTAGCCTTCATCATAGAAACTGGTTTGAATCCAGCAACTATATCAATTATTTTACAAGTTGCATCAGCACTACCAGTAATTACTAATAAATTAATTAGAAATCTTACTAAAATTTTATTAATGCACTGCTAAACCATTAATAGATCCTTTATGAATTTAACTCTAATTTACTAATTTATTTGTTCTCATATCATGAATTACCAATGTCCCATCATTTGTACCTGCTGTAATTACAAGATTGTTATTCTCTCCATCTGAATACAATAAACATTTAGATACTGCTCCTTTATGAGTATTTTTAGACATCACTGGTTCTCCTTCATTTATATCCCAAAATACTACAGTACCCTATTTATCACCACTTACACATAATGAATTTCTCCAATCAAAATCTAATACTGCACTTTTATGTGGTCCAAATAATTTTCTACTTTCTGACATTGAACTTAATTACCAAATTACCAATGTTTAATCATATGAACTTGATATACAAACTGACTATTCATCTACCATCAATTTAGTAATAGATCCTTAATGTCCAAGTAGATCATTACATCTTACTCCCTTTGCATCCCATAAACAAATCTTACTATCCATCCCTGCTGATACTATTTAACCATTTTACAAATGCTATACTGAACTAACCCATTCTGTATGTCCATATCTTTTTGCATATAATTCTTTCTCATATTTCATTGAAGATAGATTATAACATCTTAAACCATGATCAGCAGATCCAGTAACTAAATGATCTTTCATAATATCCATACAGAAGATCTCTCTTCCATCTATTGAATTAATTATTAAATACGTCCAGGTTCTAATGCCATACTATTGGTTGGACCCTTTCTCCATTAAGATAACAATTATGGTGATAACATTTCTACCTATATATTAATATTAATTCATAAATTTTAAGGAATCATAAAAGCACAAACATCTCTTTGTTCTTCACTACAAAAATTGAAATGACTGCATGCCTCAAATGTTGCAACCACATCCACTTTAATACCATACTTTTTAAATTTCTCAAAATATGAATCTGGTAAATCCTATTTCTCTCTTCCTGTCCCAATCAATACATAACCTATTTATATATATATAGATTATTTTTACTTGGTCTTGGTTTAATCACTTCTAAAATATCAAAACTATGTGCTCTTATATCAGCTGCAGTCTATACATCCCATAAAAATATTTATTAAGGAAATATTAATATACTTCCTGGATACCAAACATCATTCACTGAAAAATATCCATTACCCAATCCAAACACTTGCTATAAAAATGGTTTGTTATGTAGAGTTGGATCAATAAAATCAAATATATATTCTGTTTTCCTTTTATTTTGCTTTGTATCATAAAATTCTCTAGGTTTATTTATTGATGGATCCTTAAATGGTAATTCAGTCTTCCTCTCCATTATTCTTTATTTTATCTATTCCATATTTACAGTCACATTTTTCTTATCAATGTTTTAATTTTAACAAAATAAAAATTTTGGAAGCCTTCTTAATTATAACATATTAATATAAATATTATCAAGAAAATTGTATGAATTCAAAAAAGAACATTGCCAGGCAGATAGTAAAAATGTTAATTTTAATCTTTCTTTATGGAAATTAATAAGAAAATCAATTATTTTTTGTGATATTACTTAGATTATATTATAAGAATACACATCTATATTTTGAATTAATATAAATAATACCTTACTCTCTATTTTACCATAAAATAAATTAATAGTTTCATGTATAAATCTGTCACTCTATTAAAACATCTTGTAGCTAATGCTAGTTTAGGTTTTGTGTATTTTGGATACTCAGTTGGTTATTTGAATCCTGCATTGTAAACAGTAGACATAGTTTTTGGAATCACAGAAAATGTTGATTATTTTAATGGTCTATTGTCAGGTATTTAATATTCTAACTTAGCAATTATGACTATTGGAGCTGCAATTGGAGTTTTAATTATGCCTAACATGTTGCAATATTTTAGTAGAAGGCAATCATTAATTATTTTGGATTTCTTTGGAATTTTTGGATATGGAATTTAATTAGTAGGTGATTGGAACTTTCTTGTTATTGGGAGATTTGTAGCAGGAGTAGTACTAGGCCTTAATTCAGCATTAGTAAATAAATTAATCTAATTTTATTAAGGATCCCGTTTATGTTAACGAGTTTAGTCCTCCAGAACTTCAAGGAGCATTGGGTTCTATCATGACTATGTCTGGTAGTTTTGGTTTGTTTCTTTCTTTCACAATAGGATTATGGTATATTGCAATAATTATATTTATTTAGGTATAAATAAAGTCCAACCATAGATGATCAATATTGGAGAGTTGGGTTTTCTTTTCCTTTGTTAGTTTGTGCATATCGTACTTACAATCTCATTAGTAACTTTAAATTAGATTCACCGAATTATTATATCAGTGTAAATGATGAAACAAATGCTATCGAATCAATAAAAATGATATATTAAGAATAATACATATAAGATGTATTAAAATAAACAAAATAAAATTAAAAGTATTGAAATTATTCAAATGTAGACAAAATACAAATTAAAATGAATCATATAAAGATTTGTTTTATGGAAGATTATTTAGGAATTTAGTTAGAATATCTTTATTAGCATGTATAGGACAAATGCTAGGAATTAATGCTGTTATATTTTATTCAACCTAAATCTTTAATGAGATTACAAATAATGATGTTTAGAAATCAAATATTTTAAATCTCTTTATACCTTTATTAGGCATTCTTGGAGCATTTTTAATGGGTTTTATATTAAATAGAATGACCAGAAAAAACTTCTTTTTATTAGGAGCTGTAGCATGTGTATTAGTAGAATTACCTCTTGGATATATGACATCATTATAAGAATAACCAGCTATTCTAATAGTGGTATTTATATTACTCTTTATTTTGTTATTTTCTACAACAATAGGACCAGCATTTTGGGTAAATTATAATTTTAAATAATAGGTTGTAATGCCAGAAATGGTTTCTCCAAAAGGTGTTTGTCTTGCAACAAGTGTGAATTGGCTTGGCACAGCTATTGTGGGTCAATTCTTTCCAATACTAGTCTCTTCTTTCAGCATATCTGTTTGTTTTTACATCTTTTCATTTGCAGGAATCTTAGGGATAATATACATATAATATGATTTTAAAACAGACCCAAAAAATGTAGACACTTAGTAAAATACGGAATTGGTGATTTTAAATTAATGATTTCCAATTTGTATTATTTTTTTTAAGTTAGAATAACAAACTTCAAAATTTTTAATTTTTTGTTTATAAATATTATAATACAATAAAAATTTATTTCATACATTTTTAATAGTAGAAAATCTGTTTTGAGATTTTTGATTAAAATTCTTATAATGAACACTTATTAAGTAATTATGTTTAGATATTAATCATTAATTAAAAATTAAAAACAGTTTATAGTTATCAACTAATTTATTATATGTTATTTAGAGACATTAGAAGGTTTTATATGAATGGTAAATTAAGTTATTCTTCTTACTTTCTTTTCAATCAAAAATTAAATTACTTTTTTTATATTAGTCTTTAATTTTCTTATACTAGTTTAAATTTCAAAAATACTAGATGCTTAACAAAATATAATTAAATTTACCAAAAAGAGAAGTAACTAAATAATAGAAAAAAGTTCAACTTATTTAATTATCAATGAACCTATGATTTTATTAATAAAAATAGAATTCATTTCCACTAGATTTGCGATAATTATTTAAACAAAATTTTCATAAGATCGTTCACTTAAGTTGAGTGTATAACATATTGCTCAAATTAAGTGAGCATCAAAAATTATATTTTTAAATAATCTATATAATTTTATTCAATATATTATTACTAAGTTTTATAAATGAGTTTCATTATTGTATATCATCTTGATTTGTTGAAAAATAAGATCTTCTATGTGTGAATATTGAAATGGAATTATTGGGTCAGTAAATTATCGATAGAAAAGAAAATTAGAAGAGTTATTCAGGCTTTAGCCAAATACTAAGCTTGAAAGGATATATATAGATAATACTTAATTAAGAAAATCAATAATTGTAAAAAATAATGATTTTAAGTAAAGCTCATTTCTAATATAAAATTTTCATAATATCATTATGCTGGGCTTTTAATATTGATTTTGCTGTTTCAATAGCCGAATTCTTATTAGTCTTTTCTCTTATATTCCAGTCTAATGAATCAAAAATGTTAGTAAAATTTTCTTTTAAATTCTCTTTTAATCTTTGTTAATTCGAAATTGAGCAAGAAAAAGGGTTTTTGGTATGTTAGATCTTTTGCATCTATTTAATTTACTTTCTTATCTGTGTGGAAGCTAAATTTAAACTGCTTCCAACATTTTACTCCTTAAAATCAACATCATTCACAAAAGTTTCCGATTTTATATCTTTAATACTATATTAATTTAAAGGGAAGTGACCTCCTTGCATGATTTCAATGTGCAAGAAGTCAGATCCCAAATACAATTCTATATTTCCAGTTTATTTACAAATTGAAACAAAAAAAACTGAGCGTTTAAGGAAAAACTTTCTATTTCTTTTCTCTTTCTTACTAAATGATGCTCTAGATGAATCAATGTTCCTCATTTTTGAATGGCTATCTCTAAAATCCATTTCAAAATTTAAAGGGACTTTATAAAGTTTATCAATCTCAAGATTTGAAAAATTCATTAAATATTGTTAATTAATTAATCAGATTTATGAGATAAGAACAGATGAATAAAATTAATTATTATATGTAAATTGGATTAAGACTTCATTAAAAAGACACAATGATAAAAAATTTACAATTTATGCAATATTTTATGGTCACTTTATAAAATAATATTCATCTAATTAATATAACTTTAAAAAATATTATTATTAATAATATTAGGATAATATATTTGATTTCTTTTTTCGAATTAAATAAGTATCTATAAACATATTTATTTCTTAACCTTTTTAATTCTGTTATTGTAAAATTATGTTTAATGTTTAATAGATAATTCATTAAATTTAAATTTTTATCCTAAGTTAAATATCCTTTAAATACAGATAAGTATGTTCAGATAATCAAGTTATACTTTTAGTTTTTTAACTCTCCTACATTATGAAGGATATTCATTCCTCTTAAATTTTGTAATAATTATAAATAAAAATCCTCTAGTATTCAACCAGTAATATAAAATAAATAAATGAATATATATTATTTTTTTTAACTAAGAACTAATTATTTGTGTTTATTCCTACTTATAAAAATAATTGTTATAAATAATCAATCAAGTAGTTGATTAATATTGGTTAGAATCAAATATTTAATAAAGATGTTGTGTAATTGATTATATTATTAAAGTTTCCTCTGATCCATATTAATAATAATATATAATACTAAATCATGATATCATCAACCTATGTTGAATTTAGATGAAGTTTTTTAGTTCTAATAAGTTGGTAAAGGTTGGATATTGTTTCTAATCAGAATTTAATTTAGAAATATTTTTTTTGTTTATTTAAAGTGACTTGAATATTGATTTTGATGTCATGATCAATCCTTTCTATATAGATATTTGTTAGTTCTCATGTTGTCTCTATTTTTTAATTTAATTTTATTTATATAGTAAAATCTCCCCAGAATTGTAGTCAACCAAAACTGATGTGTTGAGAATATAAACTTTAGGTTTCCTCCTATGCTTTGACTACTGTGGAGCCACAGTACCTAATTTTTTATATAAGTTTATAATATATTTAGCTGATGAGTAGTTGATGGAGTGAAGTTTAGAAGCCTTTTATATATATAAATAACTAGCTTACTTAATGAATAGATAAGTGATCAGTCATTACACTTTCAATGAGTTATTATTTTAATGAGAGACTTATCTTCTTTACTTTTTTTGGCTTCATCTTTGCTCTCAAATCTTTAAATTTTTATTCAAACATTGTTATTTATCAAATTATTTAATAATTAAAATCCTTGTAATATAAGACTTTAGAATCTCAAAGTTATCAAAATGAAATTAGATTTAAATGATAGTCAGAAAAGTATATATCAACCTAATGTTTAAAAATTAGCAAGTTATTTTATTCATAAAATGAAAATTTTTAATAATTTTATTAGTTTTTGTAAATAATATATCTTTATTTTATGCTACTTAAAAAGAACGAATTTTTATGAAAAAATTTAGAAAAACAAAAAATACAGATAATTCTAGAGTTATAGTTATATTTGGATCTAGTAATAAACATTTTTTTTGAATTACAAAAGTATTTAATTAATAAAACAAATATGATATAAATAATGTTTCATTGTTATTTTATCAGAATATGTTATCGATTTAAAAATCGTTTTAGTATTTCTTCATCCAGATATTCTTTATAATGAAATTTATGCCAAAAAATTTTACCCAGTTTCTCATAAATAAATTCGGTTGTTTATTAATGATTCTGGTTTTTAGACTCTTCCTATAAAGAATTATAGTCACAATAACTAATTTTTTTACTTGTTTTAGCCAATTGAATACTCCCATCAGATACATCTATCACTATATTAACATTTTCAATAATGGAATTTTGTTTGTTATGAGTTTGATAATGTTCATTGAACTAATTTCCATTATTTTTAAAATTCTTCATAATATACTTTGCAGTGGAATATTTTATCTAAAGTTTTTATGCAGCCTTTAATATATCATAAACTATACTTATCGAATTGATACATTCTCAGAAATTACTAAATTGATCAAAGATTATTTTCTATTGGGTTCTAATCTCTTGTGGTTTCTTAATTTTACAATGGATTTTTTGATAGGTATGTTTATTTTCGACATAATATAATTTAATTAAACAATTAAGAACTATTGCATAAAAAGAACATTACAATAAATGGAAAATTTTAATTTTCAATTATTATTTTTTCTGATTCACTTTAAATAAATTTTCAATTCACATAAATAAATGGAAATTAAATTAGCAGAATCTAACTCTAATTTCTAAGCTATAATATTTAAGCTAAAAAAAGAAGTTTATATATCATCCAAATGCATTAATTTCAAGATAAGTAATTATTTTTCATAAGGAGTATAAAATTGTTTTCAGGTTACAGTGATAAGTTCATTATAAATACTTTATCAAATCTAATTAATGCAGTTATAAAATCAATTTTGATCAGTATTCAATTCAATTTTATAATTTTTATAAACTGACATTTCAAAGGATGAAATTCACTTGACTACTCATAAAATGATTTTAAAACTGAATCGACTGAATCAATTACTTATTTATGAAATACTTTTTCTTCTGAAAAATTTTTAAGTCCAAATTTAAAATTTTCAGAAACTTTAATTAAAATGAATAAAAGAATACATATTTTGTAATCGAAAAGCTTGAAAATAAATTACTAATATCTAAGAGAAACCGCTAATAAATAAATAGTATTTTATTATTTTTAATTGAATCTAACCAACATCTTATATGGTTTAATTAAATGAGATAATATATTATATTTATATCTTTGATACTTTATGAAGGATTGGCTGATTTATGAATCGACCTTAAATTAAATGTAGAATTGAAAATCTAATATCAAATAATACTAAGGTGAAAGAATTACAAATCTAAGGAATTTATATAAAACTTAATTTAGATTAAAGTATGAAAATTATTTTTTTAAGAAACTTAATTAAATCAAATAAATTAATAATAGATAGAAATTATTAATAAAAAAATTTTAAATTATAAAAAATTAATCTTTTGCCAACCAATTAAACTCTTTTTAACTATAAATAGTTCAGTTATATGTATTTAATAATTAGAATTCTGTTAAAATCCTAAAGATTGACCTGCCTAAAAAATTTTGCTATTATATCTCAACTATATAAACGATGCTTACAATCTTTATTATTATTATTTTAATTAATAAAAACATTTAATAAAAATAAATAAAATGATATAAAATTTAGTAATAATATTCTAAAATATCATTTTTTTCCAGCTTTTTTTTAATTTGCCTATGCTTTTTTAGGATCTTATGCCTATTGTTTTTCTAAATTCTCAAAAAATTTATCAGGATCCTAATAATTAGGATTTGAAGGTTTTAATGTAGTTTCAATCCATGTATCTAAATCCTTTTAATAAAATATTTGTATTACATCAATATCTTATTTTTTTTCTGCATCTTAATCCATTTTTACTTTATCACTCCAAAGTGTTCCTTTTTTAATCTTAGATTAAATTAATTATATTTTTTTTTCCATTTCTTTTTCATGCAATTAGTTAATATTTACTTTTCTTTAAATATTACTAGATCCTGTAATTAAGCCTCCTTCTTTAAAAAAATCTGATGCATATTCTGGATTTTTATAAATTTTATCTCCTAAGGCAGCAACTGGTAAACTAAATTTATTTATTCAAAATTACCCATTTCTCATTTAATAAAGATATTCTAATCTTTACTTTTTACCCATCATTTCTTCAATCTCATGTCTTTTTTCGCAATTAATTGGTGGAAATGTTTTAATGCCATATGGAACATCTTCAAGATGTCCTGATTATCCTTCTTTGAGATGAAGTCTTTATGCTCGAGGTTTCTTTTCTTAAGGATGATGTTCAATAAATTATTTTCCTAATATGATAACTGCTATCGTATACCAGGAGGAAATTCTTATGATTTACCATCACCTGGTCTTGGTATACTTGTCTTAAGATGAGGTACCCAAGTATAAAGATCTCCATATTTTGGATCAAAATGTACTCTTCCCAATGGTTGCTGAATTTCTCCTCCTGCAAAATCTGTTATACAATCTTAAGGTTTTATATGAATTTTCTATATAATTAATACAGGTTTACTTCTGAATAGTTAAATTTACAGGATTTCAAACCATTCCATGCTTACTAAGATTACATTTGTTCTACAATTATTTTAAGGTTTTATAAAATAAATTATTAAATTCATAATTATGGAAAACAATATAAGGTTCAAAAATAAAATTAGTTGATAATTATATGTTTGATTCAAAAACAAATAGAAACAATAATAAATTAAAGAAATGATTATGTTAGTTAATAAATGATTATGTTAGTTAATAAATGATTATGTTAGTTAATAAATTATTATGTTAGTTAATAAATTATTACACTAATTCTCAAAATGAAATAATGTAAATTAAGTCAATATCATTCCTTACATCATGATAAATGCGACTTAGATATAAGCACAGAAAATGGATTTGAAAGTATAATACTTGATGAAGTTTTACACATTTAATATAATGATATTTATTATATCAAATAATTTTTCAAAGAATAACATTTAATAAAAATTAACATTATTTTAGAAAGTCAAATTTATCTGAAAAGGAATGATGATAATATCATTAAGAATAACATTACTTAAAAATATACTTTGAAATTCATTTTAACTTCCAAATGGCTTATTTTCATAATTTATAGTAATATTGATTTCAATTAATTTTTAATAAAGATGTACATCAGCTTAATTAATAAACACTCTATTTATCATCTTGTTGAATGGCATAAACTATTAACAATTTAAGTTTAGAAAAATTTAATAAAAATTAACTATTAAAATATTATACTTTAAATATTCTTGTGATTATAAGGAAATCTAACTTGTAACTAAATATATCAATTAACATTTAGCAACTATTTAGGATAAAAAATATAATATTGATAATAGTTTGATTTTTGGCTATGTTAATGAATTATAATTTATTTAATTCTAATATGAATTTCTTTCATATGAATAAGCTAATAAATGTTACTTAAAAGTAATGAAGCAATTATGTTCATAGCCAATATCATTTTTGTTTCACAGATCTTTGCTATCATAATTTAAGTTTAATCTTCAACCTTTTCTATAAATGAATTAATTACAATTCTTTGATGATGATAATTTTATTGATTCTGATGAGATCTAAATGTCAGGATCTATATTATGAAAGCTTTACTACAAGCACTTTTACAACAGATGAGGGTAAGAGTTTATAGTAATAAGGATGGAACTTAAAAGGTCAATATGGAATATATAGCGATTGTGGTCCAACTAGGCTGTTTGGGGGTTATCAAAATTTTGCTAATGGTACATCCATTACTTTATTAAAATAATTGCCACCTCATTATTCTATAAAGATTTCTGTCTAATTTTGGAAGTAAGAAGGTTCTAATATTTTAAAGGATAGATTCATGGGATGATGAACATTTCTATCTATTTATAGATAATTAATAAGCATTTAGTGGCACTTATGATGTCTCTGGTATACCTAGGTGTGGTCTAACAAATTGGGATGACAGAATTGTTTAAATAGACAGGGAATAATTGCACACTTATTAATCTGTTTTGATTTTAATGACGACAGATTTAGATACTTTTGATGTAAAACTGTTCTATAAACTTAGGAATTTTGGGGAATTCGAAACTTTAAACTTTATATTTATCCTTGTCCTGCAGGTTGCCAAATATGTGATTCAGGAAATACCAGAGTTGATTGCATAGTATGGATAGTAATAGATTCAAGTCTGTTGGATGCAGATTTAGATCAGCTTGTAATTGATGGATGGGAGATAAAGAATGGATGTTAATAAAAGAGTTATTGTGCATGTATAATATTATTAATATAGCTATGCCAATATTAGGAGGATAGGGATGTTTTGGAAAAGGCACTATATTAACAAGAAGACTTAATTTACCTCCTCATGATAAACTTAAATTAAAATTAAGATATATCTTTATTGATACTTGGGAAAATGAATTCACTTAAATTTTAATCGATGATACTATTATAAGTACTTTCCCTTATAATTACGCTAATTAAGTTATTCGTAATTTATGTGGTTAAATATTTAATGAAAAAAATTAATTATTGGAATTGACAATATCTCATACATCCTCATAAGCAACACTGAAGATTATTAATAATTTAGATTAAGGTCTTATTAATGAATCTTTCGGAATAAGAGATTTTCAAATCTTTATAGGTATTTAATTACTGATAATTAGCATGTGTGTTTGGAGATTCATTTAATTAGGCTTGTGGAGTAATATGTGGTAATGGAATTAAAGAAGGTTTTGAATAGTGCGATGATGGAAATATTTATCCATATGATGGATGCTTTAATTGCGAGTACTCTTGTGTGGAAGGATGCTCTCATTGTGTCTTTGGAGTTTGTTTCGAATGTGAAGATTTTTATGAAATTTAACCTTATTTTAATACTTGTACCCCTAATTTAATGGACAAAAAAATATCATTATGGGAAACTTGTGATGATGAATTAAATTATTTAACTTGCAAAGACGGAAAGTTTTTTTGCCCATATAATTGTTAATTTTGCATCTTTGGATAATGTTAAATTTGCATTGAGAATTATGAATTGATTAATAATTAATGCGAACCGATATGCTAGGAATAATTTTTTACAAATGATATTGAATGTTAGGATTTTAACTTATTTGCTTTCGATTAATGTCATTAATGTAGCTTTGAACTAGAAGAAGGATGCTCATTGCACTCTCATGGATAGTGCATACAATGCTAAGAAGGTTGGGAATTCGATGAAGAATAATCCAAATGTAGACCAATTTGTGGAGATTTTAATATTAGAGGGGATGAACAATGCGATTATTATTAAATTAAATCATATAAACAAGTATATAGATGTGAATTTTGTAAATATACTTGCCAACCTGAATGTATTGATTGTTAATTTGGAATGTGTTATGAATGCTCCACAGGGTGGGAAATTAGGAATTTTAAATGCGAAACCATTTGTAATGATAATTTGATTAATGGTTTGGAAGACTGCGATGATTCTAATACAATTAAATTTGATGGTTGCCACTAATGTCATAATGATTGTTAATAAGAATGTTCATATTGTTATAGAGGAATATGTTTAGAGTGTATTTTTGGATGGAGATTGACTCAAGAATTCAAATGCCAATCTAATTGTGGAGATGGATTAGTAGCATTAATAAGTATTGAATAATGCGATGACAGCAACCTTATTTAGTTTGATGGGTGTCATCTCTGCTAATTAGAACAATTCTGTGGAGACGGAATAGTAAGTATTCCAGAATAATGTGATGATATGAATGAAATTCCTTATGATGGATGCTTTTAATGTTTGTATTAATGTGAATTAGATTGCAAATTTTGTAATTAAGGTGTATGTTAAATAGATTGTGAAGCTGGCTATTAATTTATAGATAATTAATGTCAAGAAATCTGTGGAAACGGAATAGTTACTATTTCTGAATAATGTGATGATATGAATCAAACTCCTTATGATGGATGCTTTTAATGTTTTTATTAATGTGAATTAGATTGTGAATTCTGTAATGAAGGTATCTGTTAAAAAGATTGTGAGCATGGTTATTAGTTTATTGGTAATTAATGCCAGGAAGTCTGTGGAGATGGAATAGTTACTAATTCAGAATAATGTGATGATATGAATGATATTCCTTATGATGGATGCTATAAATGTGAGATTGAGTGCTCAAATAATTGTTAATTATGCCAATAGGGCTAGTGCATATTATGCAATGAAAGTTATGCATTGTCATAAATGGAAAATTAATGTAAATCAATATGCGGAGATGGAATTTTGAAGGATGATGAAGAATGTGATGATAAAAACTTTATAGATAATGATGGATGCTCAAAAAATTGTAAAATTGAATAAGATTTTGTATGCAAAAATTTTGAATATACATTTACTTTATGTACTTACAAGCAATATCCTAAGTTTTAGGCTACTTTACTAAATCAAATTAGCTTCAATTCTTAATATGTTAAACTAAACTTTGATTAATTAGTAAAAACTAAATTGAATGGGTCATTTATAGATTAAATTCAAGCTAATATACTTGATTTAAATCTTGAATCCTATCAAATTAACATACTTTCTCTTTAAGATGCTTCATAGACATTATCATAAGTTGAATATATTGTAGAAATTTTATTTAAGACTTAATTAACACATATACCAATATTAGAAGTTAAATTACTTGATCAACTTTATAATGAATATGACTCTCCTTTAATTAATTAATATTTAACAATTAGATTGTTACAAAGTAAATACTTAGATGAATAGGAACTTTAATCTGCAATTCATGTAAAAGATTCTGCTTATTATGCTTTAATGATTATTGGTGGGTCTGGATTTGTTTTATTTTTGTCTGGTAGTTCTTTTTTTATTAGTGCAATTTTAGAAATTCTTTAACAATAGTCTTACTTAAGGTTTATAAATGTGGTATTTCCATTAAATTTATTTACATATTTTGAGTTAAGTAATCTACTATCACTTCAGCCTATATTGGATAAGGTTTGGTATAATTTTTTCTCTATATCTGTAATTGGAGAGAATTTTGTTGAATCATACGAAAAATTTTATTATTATTAGATAAACGCTAATATTTTTATTAATATACAAGCCTAGATATTTTAAATTCTTATTATCTTATTAACATATATTTTTGTTAAGATGTTGTTTAAGATACTAAGATAAATGAAAGATAATCATTATTTTTGTTTTGGATACTATGTTGCAAATTTTATTTTAAGAGCTTTTAAAATCCTTTTCAAAAAAAATAAAGAATTTTTAAAAGATAGTTTTTAATTATTTATAAGATCAAACAGCTGGGATTTGCTTTTTTTATCCTTTTTATAAATAAAATCTCCAACGGATACTTAAAATATGTATATTTTTGCTTAAATGATATCCTACTGGATATTATATTATTTTATGATCTTTATATCATGTGATTGGTTTAAAGATAATCAGAATCAATCATCATAAAAATTTTGGATATCAAAATATCAAAAATTAAATATGCTGAAAAAATTGTTTTTTATATCCATTTTAGTATTGTTTTAAAAAAGTCCATTAATTTAAACTATTTTATTGTCAATGATTACTTAATATTCTTTAGTTTATTTATATTATTTTACTCCTATTAAGAAATAAGAAGAATATTTTTTTAATTTTTATTCTGAAATAAGTACATTTATCTTTACATTAACTTCAATTTTTTATTGTAATGAGATGAATGGCATATTGGATAATTAAGATTTGAATTTGCTAGGATGGTTTCATATAAGCTTGCTACTATCAGTGCTTTTAGTTAATTTGTGTTTTTAATTATACCTAATTCTAATTTTAATAAAAAAATTGATATATAGTATGTTAAAACATCAAAGAAAAAAAATATAGGAAGTAGATCCATATCCTTTAATTAAGGCCTGATTGTTTTAATTATTGAAATATAATTTATTTATTTTTAAAATTGTTGCTAATTAAAAAAATCTATAAAATGTATTTTAAACACTACATTAAAATTATATCAAAAAGTCATAAATTTTTTATTAGATTGAGTGCACAAATTAGTAAATTTAAATGAAATAAAAAACGAACATCATCATAAGAATTAGAAAATTTGTTAGAAATAAATAATAGAAAAGTAATTTTTTTTAAAAGTCTGAATAATGAATTTATACAATTATAAGACTTTAGCAGTCTTAAGCTCTTTGATACCTTATAAATCACTATTCACTAATACTTCAAATATATTTTGAATACCAATAATAATAATTGTTTCAATAGAATTATAAAAAATTTATAGAGTTAGATTATTATATATTTTATTCTTATAGACATGCTAGGATTTTATATAAATCACTAAAAAATGGTTCATTTTTTGATTATTAAAATTGCTTCAAATGCACTTAGGTTCTTAAATTATAGCTTGACAAAAAATACAATTATTTATAAATTATTTTATAATGTATAGAGAAAAATCATTAAATTAAAAACTCTAAGATCAAGAAAAAGATTATTAGTAGTTGTTTGAATATTAATTATATGCTCAATTTAAACAGAAAGATTGGTGCCAATCAATGGCTTTTACAAAAGGAAATTAATTATTGATAATTTAATGTAAAACATTTATTAAAGTATTATCTATCCTTTAAGGATAAATTAATCAAATAAAAATTTTATCAAGTCATAAAACATATCTTACAACAATAACTATATTGTAAAAAATCAATTTACTTATATCGACCAGCTAAGAAGGATATATCCATATTTGGTCATTAATTCCTATTGCAAAACCAATCATAATCAAAAAATTTGATACTACTTCTTCATATGTTAGTTGTTTAATAAATAATGAAAGCTGTGATCTTATTATAACAGGAAATAATAATATTATAAACTTTTGGAAGAATCCTATGAAATGGTTTCTCATTTAATCAATTAATGATCATGCAGGAGCTGTATGGGCATTAAGTTTGAATTAGAATGAAAATAAACTTATATCTTGTGGATGGGATAAAATGATTTTAATTATTGTAAAATAAAGTGATGAAAATTGGATTGTTACATAAAAAGTTTTTGTTTAATAATATGGATATCGAATATGTTTTCTTGATAATGATTAGTTTTTGTATCAACCTAGATATAAAAAAGCAATAATACTTTATTAAATCTTAGATAATGGTTGTTAAGTGGAGAAAGTTAAAGAAATTGAATTAACTTAAACATCAAAAGACTGTAATGCATTTTTTCCAATGTAGTTTGAAAAATAAAAAAAAATAATTTTGAATAAAAATGGTGATACAATAATTATATTAAAAGTAATAGGATAAGGATAAATATAAATTATGTAATTTATTTATTTCGAATCTTATAATATTTTTGGGAAGATGAGTGAGGATGGTTAATTATTAGCTATTTGGGATGAAAGTAAAAAGAATTTATAGATAAGAAAACTTTAATATTATTCATTAGAATGATATCTATCCATATATTCAATATATGTTTATGTATAACTATTATATAATTTTAATAAATTAATAAATAAAATAACGAAAACTATTATTTAAATAACAATAATGGTATAGGATTTTCATTAAATAGATATGCATTTTCGCCATAGAAGATTGTAATATAATTCATTAGAATTCTAATTTTTACTTCTTTATTTCTTTTTCGGATGAATTTGATTGAAAATACCAATTAATATAGAATGAAGAATTACGTTATCAATATATTAAAAAAAAAGATTCAAAAAGCTTTTAGTAAGAAAAAATAATATTAACTAGAATTAGTTATCGTTAGATATATCGATTTTTTGGGATTCTTTTGATAAAAGATTGAATTTTAAATCTTAAATGCTTGAACTATATTAAATATAGAATACATATATTTTCTATTGTTAAATATTGAATTGTAAAAAATAAAAAGCATTCCAGGTTTCAAAGTGAAAAGAATGCCAATTTTAGATAACTATTTTAATAGAGAGATAATATATATTAATAAAAAATAAATATAATGATCCAAATAAAAATATTAGTTATATCAATCGAAAATTTAGTATTGAGATTCCTACTCCTATTTGGTTCTATAAAAATACAAAAAGCAATAATAAAAATATTGAATACTCTACTAATTCTATACAGATAGTTTTTAAATACAAAATTAATCTGAAGAGATGCATTTTTTGGTGTAATCTTTTTATAAATTTTCAGATAAATGATTAGGTTATTCATAAAATAGATTTTAATGATCATATAAAAAAATAACCAATTATAAGATTTCCTGATTTATTTTGAAAAATACTTTTAATAAGATTTTAATAGTCTTATTTGAGATTATCAAATTAATTTAAAAATATGGATTTTTTAACATGAATATTACTCAAAAAAGGAATAAAGTTATTTATCCAATATTTAATTTATAAAATTAGAAAATTATTAAAGAAAATATAATAAGCTAAATATTCAAAAAGATGAAAATATCAACTTTATAAGAGAGTTTGAATGGCAGTTATCAAAATATATATTATATAGATTTAATTATGAATTATAAAACTTTTTGTTTAATTTTGGCTTGAAAATGCTCAAAATAAAATAATAATATAAAATTATTGATAAAATCTAAAATAGTATAATTTATCATATTAGAATTATTGCTATGTGATAAAAATAATCAGTTAAAAATAATAAAAATTAATTAAAATTTAAATTAGTTTTATTATTAATAAAATACAATAGATTAAATTAATTGAATATTTTCATAAAATAATACTAATATTTAATTTTTATGGAATAAAATGGCAACTTTATTGTTTAAATATGTAATAATTAATTTTATAGAATGCTTTCACTTTTCACCTTTTTGGTTTATTCAGTGGTCTCAAATGAATTATTATTCATTTCTCTAGAATCAGAGTATCATTTTAAAATATTTAGTAACCTAATTTATCCTATGGGACTTGAGCTTTAATCTGGAATTGATTAAGAAAACAATATTTATTTTTATGATGTTACTTCTCTTGGTATCAACACTGGGAGTGACATATTCACTATCGGACGTAAATATTCCAATATCTTTCAGTTTGGATAAAAGGAAATTCATAATCAGAAAAGTAATTTATAATGTCAATAATGTCAATCGATGGAGTTAGTGAAATTGTTTATTTAGAATATGATCAAATTATGACAATTGAAGGCAATTCATTTGAATATATTGATGAAGTTTGGGTCTATTTGTTTTTTTTATAATTAGACCTTTCCTCATAATGGATTTGTTATTTGGATTTATCTATTAACTATGATCTATAATGTCAATAATTTAGAGGGGAAGGAGAGTATTATCTTTTTAGCTTTTTATAGCCTTCTATTTCTTAAACAGAATTTTATGAAATCTATCCTTGGTAAGGGGAGGCTATTTCAATCACAGCTAAATTGCTAAATATGCAATATGATATATTTGACAATCCTATTAAAAGTTTAATCATTTCAAACTATGTTGAGTTGAATGTAATATTTGATCTAAAATTGTATGAGAAAACTTAGACCAAGATATTAAAAGATTGGAGTAATAATTAACACATTGTAAAAATAGGAAATGCAATAAATCCTATAATTATTCCAAATCAATAATTATTGTCATTCTAAAACTAACAATATATTGAAATTGAAAATTTTAAAATTTCAAATACAATCACTATTGAATTTTAATTATTTGATGATATTTTAACAGATGAGATCACACTATTCATATTTTAATCTAAAAATTTAGCTATAGATGTATTAACAATTAAAGCAAATTTCAATACATAAGCATTATTGATTAATTTAAATATGATACCAATTTAAGTATGTTCAGTAAATTTTGGAAGTAAAATAATAATAGCAATAATTAATGGAATTTTGACAACATCAATATTGATAATTCAAAATGAAGAGTAAGTACTCTTGACTAAAGAAGTTTTATCATATGAACAAGCTTTTTAATTTCAACATGTAGATACCTTGACTATTGGAAGCAAAGATAGTAAATATTATTAATAATAAATTAGATACAAATATTAATTCATTTAGATTATCTAATATAAGAATAAGTAATGGATTCTATTATGTTATAAAAGAACAATGTGCCTTTTCAATAAATTAATGTTATTATTGTCTAAATGTATTAAAATTTTAAATTTAGAATTATTATTTACATTAAGGATAGTGTTTACCCGAATGTCCATCTAACTTTGAAACCAATGAATTTAGAAAAGAATGCATACCTTAATGCCATCCAACTTGTTTAACATGTGATCCATTTAATTTATCATATTGCTTGACTTGTTCAGGTATAAGAATAAAAGAACCAAATTGTAGTTGTCCCCCAGGCTATTTTGATGATGGAATCTCTCCTGATTGTATAGGTATTAATTGATTTAATTTAGAATACTTGCCTGATCTTACAGTAGAGAGTGGTATCTTTGAAGGTACTTGTTAAAGTAATATTTAATAAGAAATTAAATTTACAAAAAAATATCTCTTTCCTCCACTAGTTGCAATCAGTTTATTAGGCCATATAGCAAAAGAATAATATTAGAATTAAGGATTTATATTTACAATTTCTGCCTAAGATATCACCAATATCTCTTTTTTTCTAACAGTAATATGTATGGATCCAAAAGTTTACATAAAAGTATAGTGGGTGTCTGGTTACAGTAGTAGATTTTTTAATGTGAATGAGAATTTAATTGGGGTATTTCCTGTAGATGTATTTGATGTCTCCATTTAAAAGGAAAATTTAGTTATTGGAAATATTTTAGGATGGAATATAGATAAGTTTGATGAATAGGACATTAATTTAAATTTAGAAAAAAAATCAGATACAAATACTTTTGAAATTACAACAAATTTATCTTTAGTATAAATATTTTATCAGTTATTTGAATTCACAAATTATGTTTATGATTAAATATTAATAAGTTTAGATTTGTGTAATTAAGGGAAAGATTTTTCAATAGGAGGAGCACATGGGAATGTGAATATTAAACATGTTCCTCTTAGCATTCCCAGCTTTACAACCTTGAAATAATTTCACAATTAAAATTCACATATCTTATAATTTTACTTATCAGAAAATAAAAGGACTGGATAGATGAAATACTCTCTTAAAACATTAGGTTAATAAACTACTTTCCCTTATTTAAAAGGAGATATTGTTATTTTTGCAATTAAATGTAATAATCATTATAAACCATGTGATTATTTTGAAGAATTGTAAAAATGTCATAAAATATTATCAAATTGTGAATGCAGTTCTTCTTAATATTATAATTAAGTGAAAAATTATTGTGTAGATTGTTCCTACAATTGTTAAACTTGTGATATTCACTATACAAATTGTTTAACATGTCCATCTGAATATTAATAAACACTACAATAAGATTAAGTTACATTATACTATTACTGTGGATGTAAACAAAATCAATTTCAAGATACAAATGGAATTTGTTAAGATTGTGATCCTATGTGTTTGTCATGTGAATAAACAAAAACTAAATGTAAGAGTTGCATTGAACCTAAAAATTTAAATGAATTAAATTAATGTATTTGCAACCCTGGTTATATTGCGACTTAGTTTGGATGTGAATGTATAATATATTTGTAAATTTAGAGAGCGTTCGAGATTTATGTTCCTTTTTTAAAGATGATAATTAATGTGAACAATGTGTTCCTTTATCATTATTTAATCCTATAACTAAGAAATGCGAATGCAATTTTGGGTATTATTAGGAGGATCAATAATGCTTAGGTAAATAATATTAATATTATTAGCCTGTAATGAACCATGCATATCTTGTCTCTCAAGTACAATTTGTTTATCATGTGTGGCAACTATGTATTTTGATTAATTTAGTTGCCATAAATGTTAACCACCTTGTTATGAATGTAATTCAGAACAATCTTGCATTAGTTGTATCAATTAAACCTATATTTTGGATGGTGATTAATGCTTGCAAAGAGATTATTCTATACAACAAGATTGTGAAGAAGGTTTTGAACTCTTAAATAATCAATGCGTATCAATATGTGGAGATAGTTTAGTAACAAATAAAGAAGAATGTGATGATGGCAATAACATTTAATTTGATGGATGTCATTTGTGTTAATATTCTTGCCCTTAAAATTGCACTGACTGTTATTAAGGTAATTGTTAAGAATGTGAAAATAATTTTATTTTACTTACAAATGGTTAATGTGAATCAAATTAAATATGTGGGGATGGAATATTAATGGATCCGGAATTTTGTGATGATGCTAATACTATTGGAGGAGATGGTTGCAATAATTGTTTCATAGAATCTAATTGGAAATGTAATGAATTAAATGAATGCACATTCTTTAAAGCTCCTTAAATAATTCTTATTTATTAAAACTAAACCTTTAATAAATAGTATATTTCAATTACATTTACCCAAAAAGTTAAGGTATATTCCTCATTTCCTTTATCTTAAGCATTTGAATTTGATATCCTAAATATCTCTAATAAATACTATAACTACAAATTGCATATTAAATAAGATACAAATCAAGAAATTCATCTTCCTGAGTATATTTTAGAACTTGAAATTAATCAATTACTTGATTATAGACCTATTTTGAGATTGTTAATTAATTAAATTGTAGGTAATAGTGAAGATTTGATACTCTAATAAAATGAATATCTTTTAACTTTGATGTTCCCTCAATATTTGAATAAATAATAACAATAATATTCCTATACTTTTCTATATACTAATAAATAAATTATCTATGTATTATCTGCTCTATCTATAGCAACAGTATTTTTTGGAGTATAATATTTATTCCTGGAATGCTTAAATATTCTCTAATATTAATAATATTTAAGATACATCAATCAAGATTATCCATAAAATTTATTAATTTATTTTTAAATTAGTGATATGATAACAATTCAACCATTTCTAGAATATATTCATTTTGATGATTTATTTGAGTTTTTAGATTATAATTCGGACATGTAATTTAAAGAAGGATAATTTAGACTATATCCATAAAATGCCAATTTATTATCAAACCTTTAAACCTAATTTTTTTAGTTTATTATTGGATTATTAGTTTGGATCTCTGTAAAATAGCTTAAAAAGATTTTATTTTATAACATTTTTAATTAACGATTTTTAACTTTTATGACTAAACTTTATCCATATATAAATAAATAATATGTTTAGAAAATATCCTTGAAATTATATAAAATTTGTTTAAATATCATCAATTTAGGAAAGTACATAAGTTTAAAAGGACTAAAATAAATATTGTTACTTAATGGATGGGATATTATTTTTAAAATTTTCATCTTTACTAAAATTATGAACTTTAACAATTCCTTGGACATATTATAAGTTATAATTTCATTTGCAATATTGATGTGTTATTTTATAGTAATACTATCAATATTTGATAAGAATTCTTAATAAATTTAAAACCTTATAACTTAATCATTAGAAAATATGTTTGAAATAGCTTAGGTTATAAGAAAGATGCTCTTTTTGTTTATTTTGATATATTTTCAAGATTCAGGCATGTTATAAATTAAATTGATTTGTATCACAAGCTTATTCTAAATAGCACTCTTATTTTCCTATAGAAAAATCTTTAAATTATCTGCATTTATCATTTAGTTAGTGTTAGAATTGTCAGTATTGATATTTACATTAAGTTCTTCAGTATATAATGCTGATTTCATGTATTTATTTAATGAATAAAAAAAAATTATATTTGGTTGGTGTCATATTTTAATTTTATCATCAGGAATAATAGTAGAATTATTAAATTAAGCAATACAGATTATAAAGTCTATTATATAAAAATTTAAGCATGTTAAATAAAAAGAAATAGAGAGGACAAAGCCAAGAATTATGTTTATAGAAGTATGATCAATTATTTATTATTCAAATAAAATTATTATATTTTCAAATACTTCTTATTAATAATATTCCTTAAAGTTCATATAATTATGTTTAATTAATTAAAAATAAACAAAATTGTTGCTTTAATATTTCCAAAATATCAAGTAAACTTAAAGAGAATTCAGTTAATAATCTATTTTAATAAATATTTTTCTTATAAAATAGATTATCATTCCTAATATAAATTCAATTTATTAAGTTATTTTATTCATAAAAATTGTTTTTGCATTTCAATTTCATTTAAGAAACATATAGAAGATCTTAACTATTAAAAGTACCAGACAAATGATTAAATATAAATATATAGAATTTATATATTCTAATAATTATTAGATAATAAACTTAAATTCAAAAATATTTCTCAAGATTTAAATAAGCATTTCATTATCCTTTTGAGAAATTCATTTAATCTTATACATGAAAAAATCAATAGAAAGATGTTTCTGGAATTTGTTTATCCTTATTTTATCATCTAATCCATTTATTAAGTTGATCCTCATTTTTGAATAAATGAAATTTTATGGGAATCAAAATTACCAGTTATAAAAGGTGTTGAATTTTACATTAGAAATGAGATTAGGAATAACAAGTTTAATTCTTTTTTTTCTTGATACTTCAATTAAATTTTATTCAAATTTATATTCTTTTTAGTAATATAAAATAGAGTCATTACTATATGTTATTGAAATAAAAATAATTAAGATTTAAACAATAACAATAATAATGATGAAATAATGTGAAGTTCTAACTAATCTTTCTGATTCTAAATTAATATCAACAGAATTGATAATACTTGAATATTTTTATGTGTTTAAATTAAAGAATCAAAAAATTCATATTCATTGTTTTATTAAATGATATAATAAGATTAACCCATTTAGAATTAACATCTGCCTTATGGGGAAAACCCTTTAGAGTTTATGAGGAAAAGGTGCCATGTTATGCAATTGCCATCAACTCTGAAAATAACTTAGTCGTAGCTGGTTCTGGTTACAACATTAAAGTAATTCAAATAACTCAGGATTAAACCTTAAATATGTTATAATTGATACAGCACCATAAACAACTAGTTCTTTGTCTTAGTTTCTTTAGTAAAAATTTGAATTCTAGATCATTCATATCTGTTGCAGACACAATTATTATATGGGATGAATCCGATCATTAATGGAATATTTAAACATGTTTGAAAATAGAATATGATATATCTCAAGTAAAGAGTTTAGTCATTCATCCTGAAGAAGACCTTATCATTTTTGGTTCTTAATAAACAATATAATTTTGGTTTTAAAATTTAGATACAGAACCTGATAAAATATAAAATAAATGGATTTGCAAACCTTTTGATAATCGTGACACTTTCGGTTTATCTATTAACTAAAAAGGAGATAAATTAGTATCTTGTAATATAGGATAAGAAATATTGGTTTTGGAAGGAAGCAGCACTACACAATGGAAAGTTATGGAAAAAATATCTACTAACACCTATGGATTGAGATTGTGCTTTATTACAAATGATATAATTGCCTTTTAAGAACGAGGTTCAAGACCTCATGAATTCTTATAATTTTACTCATTAAATTCTAAAGAAAAATTAACTCAGAGTAATGTTAAAGGAGGATATTAAGCTTGTAATAGTTTATTTCCTTTAAGTTATGTACCATAAAATAACTAATTATTGATAGAAATGGGTATTGTGTAAATGTTGTTAAGATAAAATAAGTAAATTCTTAACAATTTAAATCAGAGTTAGTTTAATATTTTGAATATAAAAGCGAATACATATATGGTACAGTTAGTAAGGATGGAAATATTCTAATTATTTGGAATGATAAATTAGAAGTAATATAATTTAGAAGATTAAATTTTAACTTTTGATTATATCTTAGCAAAAATTAGTTTCTTCATTTTACATATAATTATATTATTTTTTTTAGTCTTATAAGAAATAATACTTATGAGAATTATGAATTGAATTTAATTTGCCTATTTGATTGATAGATTTGATAATTTTTAACAATAAAATGACTATATTGAAATTATCCTTTAGCAACTATAATATATTTGTTTGAAAGTAGAATGAATTTATTTATTTTTACTTTTATTCTATACTTTATTTTGAAAGTATATGTTATTATTTCAAATTCCATTAAAGTCAACAGAGCATTAAAATGATCTGAAATCTTTGATTATATCATTAGTTAGAATATGAAATCCACACATAACTAAATAAAACTTTGTTTATCATATTAAGAAATGAATTTTTATATGATTGTAAAAGTTATATATTAAAATTATTCTATATATTCATATACAAATGATTTTACAAGCTAAAATAAATTAGGGTTTGTTGATAATTGAAATTATAATGTTTCTAGTTCTATACAAATCATAACAATATTTTACTAAGAATCTTCAGTTCTGAAACTGATTTCATTATTTCTCAAATTTGAAATTTAATAAATTTATAAAAATTAATATAAAATTATGATCAATGATGATGAGTAATCAGCTTAAAAATTCCTATGGCCATCCCAACTTCTTTTTTAATCTCTCTTATATCACGATGTGTGAATCCTTCTTTATAAGTCTTTTGAATATAAATAATTTCCTATTATTTTTGTTTCTCCTCAACAGGAACTTTAGAAAAGTCAAATCCTTTATACTCTTTTATTGTTATTGCTTCTGATTTTGATAACTAATCTTGATTCTTTGATGAATAATCTAATCTTTCTGATTTATTTTGAATTGTTAAATCTGATAAATTTAATGGTTTTGAATTCATTAATTCTGTATTTTATATTAGATTATTATCTAGGTTTGGATAAAGTATATCTAATAAAGGACTAAGCTAAATAATTTTCTTATTAGTTACATTTTAACAGATGTAATCCTTGGGAAGTTTCTGAACTTAAAAACTGAGAGATTCAATTGATCTTGATGTAAAAGTACCATTACAACCTGTAAAAGTGTAACCCATAAACATGCAATTAAATTATTATCCTTAATCTATTCCAAAAATGTCTTATTTTCCTTAATATGTAATAATACCAAGTTAATTTATTTGTTCATCATAATGGCCAAAAATGACTTAAATATAATCATCTATTTATTGAAATATATTAATACTAGATGGAATATCAAATTCATATAATGAAGTATATTTTTGATTCTAATAAGTGTCGGTAAAGATAATCTTTCTTCCATTTCCTTTATTTAAGTAAATAATTGCCATTCCGCAAATTTTGTTATCTTGGAAATAAATTTTAAACCCACTAATCTTAAATTCACCAGTCCTAATTTACAGATTATCATCAAATTTCTATGATTCTTTTGAATCAATTCCAAATGATATTTGAGAAGGAACTTTATTTAACATATTAATTAATTATATTCTATATTTTATTATCATTTATAATTAACATTTATATTCTTTATAAAAATTTAATTTAATCCTTTTTGATCTTTTATATTGATCATTAGATATTTTTTTGAGTACTCAATTAATTCAAATTATTGTTCATCAATCTCATCGAAACAAAGAATTCTATCATTCAATATGGTAAGAAATAAATTTAAAATAATTCTAACTTAGTTTAAAGTTTAGTAAAGTTTAACTTTTGGATATTCCTTTATGAACTTATTAAGATTAGTAGAGGAATAAATGAAATTTATTGGTGGATAAAATTATCATAACAAAGAGTTATTTTTGGCTAATTTTATTTTAATTGAATAATTCAAAAAAAGTTAGATGCATGAATTTCATAGAATACTAAAATTAATCGAGCATTTTCATGGATTGACAAATTTTCTTATATTTAAGTGAAGCTCTGAATTAAATATTCTTAAAATAGAAGAATATAATTCAATAGTTTTATTAAAATAAAAAAGCTTAAAGTATATAGTGTTCACATAGAAAGATTGTTAAAAAACAAATATTTTCATGTTTATAGAAAACATTATTGTAAATATTTTATATTTCAAATAGTGCTTTGACTATTTTCTAATAATTTGGCAAAATTAATGAAAACTCAAAGAATTGATTTCCCACTATAACAATTTTATTCTATTTTTAACATTACATTTATAAACCAAATTTAAATTCTTTTTGGTAAATTGAATTGTGAAAGATCAATACATAAAGTACACTTTATGAATATTTAGCTTTTATATTAATTATCAAAGGCATTGCAGGAAATTAATAGAAGCGTTAAAGTGGTTAAGATTACAAGATTTACAAAGAAACATTAGTTTCAATTGGAAAAAATACAGAAGGATTATTACTATTAAAATTAGTTAATATCGTTTGGGTTTGCTATGAAAAATGTCTGCTTTATCATTTTAATTATTTTTTAATAAATTAAAACACCCTATGAGATTTATTTTTTACATTATTAGTTATTTTAATCTTTAGATGTTGTTTGTCAATTTAGTTTAAAGTAAAATAATAATAAGTATTAAATAAAAATTTTTTTTCTAATAATCTAAAAGTATCAATATAATTTTTTTTTGATGCTTTATACAAATTTTCTTCAATTTTATTTAATAAAGAAATCTCACTTTAATTACAAGACTATTTTAATAATAACTATAAATTGATTACAAAAATAAATTTTAACCTATGAATACATTACATTTTATAATTGAAAAATGAAGTTAATTAATTACTTCATAACTTATTGAAAATTTTAATCTATATTAGCCTCAGAATTATAAGATTAATTTTGAAATGAGTCTAATCTTCTAAGAATAGTTTATAAAATTTATGAAGTTATTCTTAAAAAAAGAGAGAAAATTCTATTTTTTAATATTTTAAGTTAATTAACAAATTGCAAAAAATAGCAATCTTATTGTTAGCTTTATATATATTAAAATTCGCCAACCAAAAAATCAACAATTACCAATAATATTCCTTTAATTTAATGTTGAATAAATTGATCATGCTATCCTAAAAGATCTCAACTATGAGGGAGCAAAATTATATTAAATCAAGTTTAAATAAATTCAAATTTATAAATAGGAATATAAATAAAAATCTCAATCCAATAAGAAATTGCTAAAGATAGAATAAATATAATATAATTCACTTTTTATATATTATAAATTAAGGCTTTATATTTTATTAGTGGATTATCTTTCAGTAATTAATTCTTTTATGAAAATCAATATCGAGATTATTCTTATCTATAATATACTCAGAGTGATTGGTTGGATTCAAGTAATTATATTTTTAGTTTACCAAACAAGTTTAGAACTTGAAGATATCACAACAATTACAAATTTAGTAAGATGGTTAATATGGGCAAAGATGCTTGAAATAATATTTATTAAGCCTAATGAAATTTTTGATCAAAGAAACTTTGTTAAATATTAATCCTATCTAACTAGACTTTTATGTGTATATTATTTAATGACTCCTGGTTTATGTTTTTGCTCTTTTAGAAATACTATAAGTGGTTGGGCAATTTAAGAAATTTTTGATTCCATTTATCATATAGGATAATCTGATCTTACAACATAAATAAAAAATACTCTAACTTACTTCTTAATCCCTTACACTGCACTAGGAATGTTTAGAATATTAAATAGAGTTATTGAAAAAAATATGGATAATATTATAATTTATAGGACAATTTAAATTGTGCTCATTCTCTTTGCAATGCATCACTTATACTTCAATTTCAAAAATAATAACATAAAGAAATTTAATAAATCCAAATTAAAAAAAAATATATGACTTGAACTTACGACTAGTAAATGATTTCATTAAATATAAAATATCAAAATTAAATTATTTTAAGATAGATATTTTTTTAAATATAAATAATATATTGAAGATTATTGCAAGTTCTATTACCAATATGATCTATTATTAATTTTCATCAATCTTTTCCTTAAAATCGTTTATTTTTGTTATTGAATATTTTATTATAATGTGAATATTACAACAGATGAATAGTATGAATTCTAAAAAATGTTTTTTACAAAGTAGCTTTCATTTAGATTTTACTTTTACTTTCTGAATGAAAGACTAGATAACTAATATTTAATTCTTTACTTTTGGTTTAGTCATATCAATAAACTTATTTATTCTGCTCCGTAATTAAATATTTAAGAGATATTAAATAATTTCTTAAAACTTTAATCCCCTATTAATCAATTTATTTAATAAACTTTCTAATTATTTACAAACGATATCCTTGGCAATAATGATAGTGGAAAGTGCAATTTAGAGTGATAAAGATAAATTAGAGTGAATGATTTAGAATAAACTTAAAATGATCTTCTATCAAATTTCATTGTTATAATTTAGTATTATTAAAGATATTCATTAAAGAATTATCTAGTGGAATTTTAAAAGATTGGTACTATCTAAAAAGGATAAAATATACGTGAATAAATAACTATGGATCATTTAATTAGATCGATTTCATAAAATATTCTTTTAATTTTAATCTTTATCCTTATACTATTCGAAATTATGAATTGACTTCACGATTATATAAAAATATCAGAATCCTTCAATCAGTCATATTCCTTTAAAGGGGTATTATTATTGAGTTAAAAGAATTCTTTAGCATATAGTGCAACGGATTCTAATAATCTTTCTAAAGATTTTTATATTGTAGAAGCAGAAAACTCAGAAAATTTTCTAATCCTCATTAATTATCAATACTTTACTTTGAATCAATATTTTCCTTTCCTTATTTATAGATTTGAATCATTATATCCACGGTTTCTACCAAAGAGTTTAAGTTCTATAAGTATTGCTGGTATATTTTCATTCATAGTAGAGATGTATTTTATTACTTAGAACTATAAAGTTTAATGAAGTTGTAAAAAATTATTGTAAGTAATAATTTTATAGTAATTTCATAAGAAATTTAATTTAATTAAGGCATTGTTCTATTTAATTAACCTACATTTTCTATCAATTCCTTACTGTTAGATTCTGATGTTTCGATTTTAAAAGATAGCGCAAAGATATGATTACCTTCTGATTCTTGCTATTCCCATAATGTTATCATCAATCAGCCAAGTTGATTTCTTTGAAATTTTTTTTATCTTTGTTTCACAATTCTTTCCTGTGTATTCTAAGTTTACAGAATATTATGTAATATTATTCTATGTTTCTAAATAGAAATAAAAATAATAAAAAAAAACTCATTCCTTTCTTTTCAACTAGTATTGCATGTCTGCCTCTTTAATGGTCATATGCAAATAAAGTCAATTTATACAATTACACAATCCTTAATGAAATTAAAGTATAAGCCTTGTTAGTTATTATAAATATTCATCCTAAATTAAACTGAAAGCCTAAGTTCAAACTAATTTTGTTAAAATTTTCTATAAATTTTTATAGCAAAATTGTTAATGAGAAAACCTCTTAATATTGTCATGTATATATATTTTGTAAATTCCATTTTCTTTGCTGTTTTAAAAGCCACAAGACATCTTGATCACTAGAACTCTAATTATGGACAAATTCTATCAAAATTAAGCCTTACATGATTTCTAAATCAATTATTTCAAAGTGATCAAGTAAGTTTTGAATTGCATTCTACTGCATAAAGACACTAAAAAATTGATTCCCAATAAAAATTTTAAATAATCTAAGTATTAATTAGCCAAGTAAATCTAATATATTTATCAATACATTTAAGTATCTTAAATTATTCCATATATATAAAATGGCCATATTAACAAATTAATAATAGTTAACCAAAATTTATTATTGATTTCCTCTATAAGTTAAGGGCTGAAACAAAGAAAAGTTAATAATGTCTATGTTGAAATTCTGAGAAATTTAGTTTGATCAAGAGCATCTAGTTCAATTAGGTAAAAAAATACACCTACAAGAAAGCGATATGGAATATGAATTGAAATCAAATAAATGGGATTAATCCTCTATCGATTTATAAAAAACAATGAATGGAAAATTAGAGAGGGTTTAGTAATAACGATAATTTTGATTTCATTGAATAACTTCACAAAAACAATTATTCTATTTTGTTAAAAAGCTCTAATTTAACTATGGGTTTTAGAAAAAGATTAAAGAGTTAGAAATTTAAAGAGAAATTAAAACTTAATAAGTCTATAGTTGTAGATTTTGAAGAAAGATTGGTATAAAGATGTTGAAAGAGTTATTCAGAAGTAAATACAGGATTCAGATGTATAAATTGCAACAGATTAAAAAATCAAGTTAATAAAGAATCTTAAGCTGAAATTTAATTTGATTCTCATGATTACTAGGAAATTAAAAAAATATACTAAAAAGGTGAGAAAAACTTAAATAATGTTTTCAACCACACTCAGAAAGATTTATGCAACTTGGAAATTATTAATTAATATTAAATTGCTTTTCAAGTTTTGGAATATTTTTGAAAAAAAATCGATTCTTTAATAATTGTAAATATCTACCAAATAAAAAAAGCAAANGATTTCTAAATCAATTATTTCAAAGTGATCAAGTAAGTTTTGAATTGCATTCTACTGCATAAAGACACTAAAAAATTGATTCCCAATAAAAATTTTAAATAATCTAAGTATTAATTAGCCAAGTAAATCTAATATATTTATCAATACATTTAAGTATCTTAAATTATTCCATATATATAAAATGGCCATATTAACAAATTAATAATAGTTAACCAAAATTTATTATTGATTTCCTCTATAAGTTAAGGGCTGAAACAAAGAAAAGTTAATAATGTCTATGTTGAAATTCTGAGAAATTTAGTTTGATCAAGAGCATCTAGTTCAATTAGGTAAAAAAATACACCTACAAGAAAGCGATATGGAATATGAATTGAAATCAAATAAATGGGATTAATCCTCTATCGATTTATAAAAAACAATGAATGGAAAATTAGAGAGGGTTTAGTAATAACGATAATTTTGATTTCATTGAATAACTTCACAAAAACAATTATTCTATTTTGTTAAAAAGCTCTAATTTAACTATGGGTTTTAGAAAAAGATTAAAGAGTTAGAAATTTAAAGAGAAATTAAAACTTAATAAGTCTATAGTTGTAGATTTTGAAGAAAGATTGGTATAAAGATGTTGAAAGAGTTATTCAGAAGTAAATACAGGATTCAGATGTATAAATTGCAACAGATTAAAAAATCAAGTTAATAAAGAATCTTAAGCTGAAATTTAATTTGATTCTCATGATTACTAGGAAATTAAAAAAATATACTAAAAAGGTGAGAAAAACTTAAATAATGTTTTCAACCACACTCAGAAAGATTTATGCAACTTGGAAATTATTAATTAATATTAAATTGCTTTTCAAGTTTTGGAATATTTTTGAAAAAAAATCGATTCTTTAATAATTGTAAATATCTACCAAATAAAAAAAGCAAAAATTAAAAATGAAAGAATAATCAAAATTGTTTTTGATGCATTAATAGAATACAATCTTAAAATTTATGACTTTTATTTTGAGTTTATCAATTATTACCATTTGAAATAAATCGAAAAACAAAGGAAATTCTATAGATTCTGATCGTTTTCTGCATGAGATTATAGAATACTCAATTAGATTGGCAAAAATAATGAGTAAGAATGAAATACATTAGTTGAATATAGCAAGGTTTTTTATATGAAAAAAGAGAAGAATCATGGCGAAATGAATTTTTTAATTATTATGATTATTATGGAGCTTATCAAAAAGATATAAAAAGTTGTTTGCTTATTTAATAAAAAGGTGCCAACTTTTAATTTGTCCACAAACCTATATAAACATTCTTTATTGCAGCTGATTTTTATCAAGTATTGGTTTAATCAAAAGATTTTGATATAAAGATATTGAATACTTTAATCGAAATGTCGTCAAATGAAGATAATCAAGATTAGGATTACCTAAAGTGTTTATACAATGTATAATAATAATATTCCAAGAATTATCATTAAGTTGATAACATATCATTATTTCAAAATAAAAATAACTAGATACTTTTCCTACAAGTTTAATCTAAACCATAAAAGAATACGATGTTAATTCAATTGATTATTCCACTGAAATTTATGCTGAAACAAGATAATACCTCATTTCAAAAATATCATAAGAGGTTAGGATTATATAATTTTTGAAATTCTTAGTTAATTTAACTAAGAAAGATAATAAATTCATAATATGTGGATCTAATGCATTTAGTATATTGTTCGAAATGAATGCTAATCTAACAAACTAAAATTTTGAAAATATTTAAACTTAAAATACTTCTTTAATTGGAGGTAATTTTGCAAAATGCAATTTATCAAAATCTAAATTTTTTAAAGTCAATATCAATGGAATTAATTTAGGTGGTGCTGAATCGTTTGATGGTAATTGGAAATAATTTTTTCGATTGATGATCATTTGATGGTCATAGTGATATTTATTATTTAGTCTGTTTCTCTCCTGATGAAACTCTAATAGCATCTGGCAGTAAGGATAAATCTATCCGTCTATGGGTTGTTAAGACAGCTGAATAAAAGGCCAAATTAGTTTGTCATGCTTAGCCAGTCTACTCAGTATGCTTTTCTCCTGATGGAAATTCTTTAGCTTCTGGGAGTTATGATTGGTATATCCGTTTATGGAATGCCAAAACAGGAGAATAAAAAGTTAAATTGGTGTCCTATAAATAAAAGTTGCCAAATAACTTGATGAAAAAAGAAAAGTTGCTTTTATACATACATCTGAAATAGGGAATTGGGCTGGGATTTGCTACTTGTTTTGAGACAGAATTATTCTGAAGTTTTGGAATTATTTGAGGATAAAATAAAAATAATTTTAATAAGGAAAATCAAATTGAATATTATAAAATTTGAAGTTACTAAAACACTATATTATGTAGCAAAACTTAATTTCTTTTTATAGAATTTAATAATATTCATAAAAATTAAATATTAAAAATGTAAAAAAAAATTAATATATTCTATTTTTTGTTGAATCAGAATTTTATAACTTTAATATACATACATATTACCAATATCATTTCCCATTTATTTCCATATTCAGTTTGTTCAATTAATATCTTATTCAATGAATTTAATTTGATTAGGCTTTATTCAATTAATTGATTTTTTCTAAATTAATGAATAGCTGTTAAGGAAACATTAACTGATAAATAAGTTTAGATCAGAATTTTTAAATTTAATATAAGAAGAATAATGAAAAGATAAATGATTTACGACATTAGTTCATTATTAAATAAATATCATTTCTGTTTTAATTCTGGTTAGCTTTGAAAAATGCAAAATCCTTTAGATTAAAATAACTAAAGTAAATCTAGCCCTTAATAATTTAAAAACTCTCCATTATGTATTTTTGTTCCTTAGGCTATTGTGATATAAGTAGTATAGTTATGTAAGAATTTACTAAATTTGTATAAATACTACCACAATCCTCTTCAAAATCTAAAGATCGGTTTTACTATAGCGGGGATTAATACTGATTGAGAACATCCTTAACATCCCATAAGCTGATAGAATTATCACTACTGCCAAATGCTAATGTAGTTCCATCAGGAGAAAAGCATACTGATAGAATCCAATTATTATGGCCATCTAGTTGGGCTTGTTATTTTCCTGTCTTAACATTCCACAAACGGATAGAGCAATCTTAACTTCCAGATGCTAATGTAGTACCATCAGGAGAAAAACAAACTGATAAGATTCCACTTGAATGTCCGTGTTATTGAGCCTTTTCTTTTCTTGTCTTAACATCCCATAACCTGATAGAGTTATCCAAACTCCCAGAGGCTAATACATTACTATCAGGAGAAAATTTAACTGAACGTACTCCATTGACATGACCATCTAACTTGGCTTTTTATTTTCCTGTCTTTACATCCCATAAACGTATAGAGTTATCATCACTATCAGATGCTAATGTTACACCATCAGAAGAGAAGCAAACTGACGAGACAAGCAGGCTGTGACCATCTACTTCATTCTATTTTTATCCTGTCTTCAGATCCCATATACGGATAGAGTTATGTCCACCAGATGCTAATGTATATCCATCAGGAGAAAAGTATACTGAGTAGACTGACCAAGCGTGACCAACAAATTTGGCCTTTTATTCACCTGTCTTGACATCCCATAAAAGGATAGATTTATCCTTACTGCCAGATGCTAACAGAGTTCCATCATTAGAGAATGATACCGAGTAGACTTCATTAAGACCGAGTAGGCATACTTACTATGACCATACATCTAGGCCTTTTATTATCCTGTCCTAAAATCCCATAAGCAAATAGGCTAATTCCGACTTCCAGAAGCTAACATAGTTCCATCAGGAGAGAAACATACCGAGAGAACTGACCAAGTATGGCCGTCTAGTTTATTCAATTTATGTATTTTCAAATTGTTCCATTTACAATTAAATAACTCTGCTCCATTCAAATTCATACCACTTATTTCTACATTCTAAAATTCTGATCCACTTAAGTTGCATTTAACAAAATTGGCTCCCACTAAGGATGAATTTTCAATTCTAATGTTTTCAAAATTTTAGTTTCGAAGGTCCACCTTCATCCTCACTAATAAATTTAACGAATTTGACCCACATTAAACTAAAGTTTTATCTATCGCTGTGAGAAGGACTAAAAATTTAAAAAATGGAATGATTTTTGAATCTTATGTTTTTTTTTATATAAATTATATTATTTTTTGTTGCTCATCAAAGTAGATTTCTTCATTATAATTATATTTATTAAAATTATGATTTTTTATATTTTTGGCAATTTCTGCAATTAGTTGAAAGTTTTTATTTACTTAATCAGTCTTATGCATCTTTGAATCAACTTTTAACGGAAATTCTATGCAATCTGAAATTTTTTCTTTTCTCAACATTTCAATTATCAAATGGTATATTGATTCATCCACATCCTTAACTTTAGCTAAAATCTATTAAAGATCTTCGTGATGCTCATTTTGATCACTCATTTTTTATTTTTAAATAAATTATTACATTATTTTACTCTAATTTAAGTTAAATACTGCAAATCGATAAAAGTATCTTGGGCATTTTTTAAAAATAGAAGTCTAAACTTTGTAGAGATTTGGAATTGACTGTAATTGATGTAAAATATACTATTGAGAAATCATTTCAGCATTTGCATTGGTTGATTCTTTAATAATATAGAATAACTTGTTTATTGTTAATAATTTAATTTGGTTGATCACTGCTTAATGTTTTAAATAATTTATATGTGGAAATTACTATTTCTTAAAAGTATAAATAGAGAAATCTCTCAAAAAATGCACACAAGATCAATAAATTTAATAATCTTAAAATTAATTCTCATTTTCTTATTTAATTTTTTAATTGAAATACTTTACATGTATTTTACTTTTTAGTAATAAAATATACTAAATGAATGAAAATTGTTTGTGTAAGTTAACTATTCAGTAATTTTCGAAATAGAAGGAATTTAATCTAGATATGAAAAGAAATATAATTAAAATTGTTGTCTTAATATAATAAATTTTTTCGATGAAAACAAAATAAATAATACAATATTAATGAGAAGAAGACTAAATTTAATTGAGTATAATTAAAAAAAGAAATCCGCAAAGCATTTCATTTTTGTTACAGGAGAAATTATTGTCGAAGAAAATAGGTGATTAGAAGATAGTAAATATCGGTAAGCTAACGTTTAATATTATTAGAAGATAGAAATTAAAGAATAGGTAAGAGTTTTTCATTCTTTGATATTTAAAAAAAAATAACCATCTTAATATATTAAAATAAATTGCTTTCAGCTCATAGTAATTGAAGTGCTCTAGGTTTGCGAACTTTTTGAGAAATAGAATTTTTAGAAGGATGGCTTAATGTTAATGCTATGTAATAAGTTTATAGGGCTTAGGAGATTTAAATCAATTCTCCTATTTTTTAAAATATTTGAAAAGTGATAAATTACTAAATGATATTTAAAATAAAACCTTTTTCGATATAGCCATGTATATAATTTGAATCAAGTAGAATCGCTTTATCATAACAGATTATAACTTGTTCAATCATTCAAATTATATATGGTTGCGAAAAATATAGTAAAACTTTAACCTTCAATTCTAATTAACAGGAATTATCTGTTTTTTAGTTATCCATATAATAAAAGCCATTACAAATAAATGAATAACTAATATATAATTTATTCATCTAGAATCACTAAAAAAAATAAAAACTAATAAGCAAATATTTAAATAATGAATTACACCTAGTCGACATAATTCAGTTATTTTTGGAGTTGTTACAAATAATTTGTTGCCAATTAGATTTTAGTGTGGAATTCTAATATTTCTGATCTTAATACTTAATACAAAAATAAATAGACAAATAAAATATTTTTCTATTTGTCTATTTAAGCAAAATAAGCCTATTTCGATAACTGACGTTAATTTCTATTATTTACTAACTGTGTTGTCAACCAAAAAGTAATTAAATATCATTTTTATATAATAAATTAGAAAATATTTTTTTTAATTAATTAAACTAAGAGGACTAGAAAAATAGATATCAATTCAGAGGTTTGGATGAGTAATTTTAAATTAATAACAAAAAAATTAAAAAATTTCATGGAATACTGATTTACTTCGAAAAAAACCTTCTTGCTTATTTTTCCTGAAGAACATATTTATTCAAATAATATATTCAAATATAGAATAAATTATAAGATTTACACGAGGCCTAACCTTAACCTTACTTCATTTGGAGAAGATGAGAAAACCTTTTTATCAGTTAGAAGTATAATACCAGACTAATTTTAGGAACTTTAGTTTGACAAAAGTTGCTGCATTTAAGAAATAAAGAATAAGAAATAATTTTTGGGATATTAAATTATTTTTATACTATAACTCTAAATCATGAATTTAAGCTAAGTTTTTTTTATTTAGGACTTAAAATTATTTATCATCCTTAATTATTAAAGTCAATGAAAAATGAACAGCATTATTGAAAAAAATTGATGAATCATAAAACTATATATTATATATTTCCTGCTTTTTATATCTGTTTTTATATACATAATTATCCAATTAATCTAATATTGAACCATTTAATTCCTTTATTGACATTAAAAACTAAAGTATTTTCACTATCAACTAACAATTTTGTAAATATAACAATTATTGATACCTTTTTCTTCTACTTCAATTTGTTCAATAGATTTTCTTAAAATTAATTAATATAAATTAATTTTAAGACTATTCCCACTTCTAAATAAATTTTAAAAGAATGTTGTTTTAAATTAGTTTTCTTTCAGTAATTCTATCACTCTTTATTTTGATCTCTTCATTGTGCTTACCGTTATTTGTTTAGATTATTAATTTAATTTAGTATCATTTATAATTAAATCTCTATAAATATTAATAGGTAACAGTTTTTATGACTTCTCCATAATTATTCCCTA